AACCATCATTTCAACAGCTTATTCAACATTGATTTCAGTGTGAGTACCTTCAACTTTAGTAGATTAAATAGCAGCTGGATTAACATCAAATCCACCAAAAATAACACTTGTTAAATTTCTATTCATGGCCTTGCACATAATATAAGAGAGAATAGCACCTGATGATCCAACCAATGCTCCAACAATAGTTAATAATGGATTATCTAACATAAAACCTTCAGCACATAATGCCCATCCTGAATATGAATTTAAAACTGTAATTACAACTGGCATATCAGCACCACCAATAGCATTTGTTAATGTTACTCCCAAGACTTTGCTAGCAGCTGTTGCTGTTAATAAGGCTGTCATTCCAACAGCAAAACTACCTGTTTAATTATATATTAATAAAGATGCAACAGATAAGGCTGCCAATGCAATATTAACTTAATTATGATAAGGAATAACAGTTGGATTTGAAGGCAAAAGATTCTATAATTTAGCAAAGGCAATAAGTGATCCAGTAAATGTAATACCACCTGTGAAAATACCAAAGAAGATTGATAATTTATGAACAAGTGCAGCTGGATCTTCAGCCAAATGAGGGAATACATGTAAATAATTACCAATAGATGTTAATACTGCTGCCAATCCAACAAATGAATGGAAACAAGCAACTAATTAAGGTAAATCAGTAATAGCAACTCTTGTAGCAACTGTACCTCCAATAGTAGCACCCAACATCACCATTGATGCCCATTAAGCTAATAATTCTGGAGAATATCCTTTATATCCTAAAGTTGCAGCAACACCCAATCCAACTCCCAAACAACCAAAACTATTACCAATTCTAGCTGTTTATTATTGTGCTAATCCAGCAAGTGCTAATATACAAGCTATAGATGAAGCTAAATATGAAAGATTTGTCAATGGTTCTTTTGGAATTCCATAATAGAGTCCACCATAATATCCAAGCACTCCTGTAGCACCTGCCAATGCCATTAAATAATTATATTCAGGAGGATCAGTTGGTCTTCTAAACATATTTAACATTCTTTATGTGACTAAGAAACCACCAGAAATATTGAGTGAAGCTATGGCAACAGAGATAGCTGCCAATAACCCAGTAAAGGATCCTGGTAAATATTTTCCATCCATCAATTCCATACCACCAACTATAATTATACCAGATACTGCATTTGTAACTGACATAAGTGGTGAATGTAAGGCTGGAGTCACACCCCAAACCACTTGATAACCAACAATTCCTGCCAAAGCAAAAGTATTTAACATTTTTAAGAATTCCATATTAGGAGATTGATAACCTAAAGCCATCATTGCCATAAGTGAAGCTGATGTATTAATTACATTCTTCCAAGCTTATTTATAAGGATCTACTTTAACTTCTTATTTTTTATGAGAAGCAGCTTTTGATGTATCAGCTTATTAGAGTTCACTCTTAGATGTAATTATAGGAGGAGGTGGCCATTTCAATTCTCCATTTAAGGTTACTAATGATTATCTTACAACATCATCATTCAAATCTACTTATGTCATTTTTCCATTTGGATCTTTGATTGTTCCTACAATGTATTACATCAATTTTCCAATATTATTAGCATATAATGTTGAACTTTAAGTAGGTAATCTGCTAGGTAAATCAGTATATCCAATGATTTTAACTTTTCCCTAATGATTATATAATTCTCCTGGTTTGCATAATTCACAATTTCCTCCTGTTTCAGCAGCCAAATCAACAATAATTGATCCTTATTTCATATTTTCTACTAATTCTTTTGATAATAATTTTGGTGCTGGTCTTCCTGGAATAAGTGCAGTAGTAATAATTATATCAACTTCTTTGGCTTATTTTAAGAATAATGCTAATTCTGCTTCTAAATATTCTTTTCCCATTTCCTTAGCATATCCACCAATACCTGCACCATCAACAACTTCTCCATTTATTTTAACTTCCAAAAATTCAGCTCCACAAGACTTCACTTATTCTTTAGTTGCTAATCTTGTATCAAATGCCCTAACAATAGCTCCCATATTCTTAGCAGTTACAATAGCTGATAAACCAGCAACTCCTGCTCCAATTACTAATACCTTAGCAGGTGGCACTTTTCCTGCAGCTGTCATTTAACCAGCAAAGAATCTACCAAATTCATTCGCTGCCAATAAAACTGCTTTATATCCTGCAATGTTAGCCATAGAACTTAAGGCATCATATGTTTAGGCTCTAGTAATTCTAGGAACACATTCCATAGCAAATGTTGTTATTTTCTTCTCCTATAATTAATTTAGTAATTCTTTATTCTATGCTGGGTATATGAAAGAAGTCTAGATATATTAAAAATATATACAATTGTTTAACTTTCCTTCAAAGCTTTTGTATTTTCAGGAGGTCTAATTTTTAAGATTACATCAGATTAGTCATAAACTGAATTTGTATCAACTACTTTTGCTCCAACTTCTTAATATACATTATCTGCAAAATTGGCCTTTAAACCAGCTCCACTTTCAATGAGGACCTAATTATTAATATATTATTTAAACTTGATGACCATCTTTGAGCAAATTTTTAATTGATTCTGGAGTGGCTGCTACTCTGTTTTCATTTGGATAGGTTTCTTTTGGAACACCAAATATAAATTTAGGATGACTTGGCTTCTTTTCACCTTTACTTGAAAAGCATGATCTTGCACTTAATAACAATTGCTTTGTTGCTTGGCGATGAAATCCTAGCATAAAATAAATATCTTTTTTTTATAAACTATATTTTCCAATATATACAATTAATTTTAAAGGAAATTTTTGCAATATAATTTATTTTAAATTATTATTATGAGAACTGCAAATTCAAATTAAGGGTAATCCTCATTTCCTGATATAAATGAAATTAATGAATACATTAAGGAATATTTGAGATACTCTAACTATTCCAATACTTTAGAATGCTTTGAAGCAGAAATAAAGAGTAAATAGGTTTCCAATAAAGTAGATAATTAAATGAATATTCTAGATGCTAAATAAATAATAAGTTATCAAATAAACAGGTGATGATGTTCCTCGTATATTTTAATTACTCAAAAGTGATAATATAAAATCAAAAAGGGAAATCAATTTAGAAAAAGATTAAAAACAATTTAATAAAAAATACTAATAAATTTTATAGGCTGGGAGATAAATATTTTCAGTAAGCATAAATTTGTTATAATTATTGCATTCATTAAAAGAGACAGCCAAAAATGAAAATCTAAGCGAAACTTTAGAAAACTATAAAATATAATTGGGAAAATACCATAAAGTTATTATAAATGAAGGTAAGCCAGAGGGTACAGAATTGATTACTGAATAAGTTATGCATGAACATAAAAATAAGCTATTTAAAAATTACTAAGATAAAAATGTAGATGGAATGATTGAAGTTTTGTTATCTCTAAGAGTAAATGCATTATAAATTGCACCAGAATTAAGAAAAAATTTAGTTTATGAATTAATAAGAAATGATGTATTTAATATTGAAGCTACAGAGAAATTTGATTTTGTTGTTCATTTATTAGATATCAATAATTAAAGTCTTAGACATGCAATTTCTAGTTTAATTAGTGTAATTAGTAGTACATTAAGAGGTGTAGAATACTTAACTTATAATGGAAATATGATAATTATTGAAAAGATAATAAAAATCTTAAAAGAACAGGAAAACGGTTCAGTAACTTAGAGATTCTGTTTAGCAATTTTATAAAAGGCTAGTATAAAAGATATAGTCATACCAACCTTTGTTTATAATGAAATGATTTAATGGATTATTAATCTAATTCAAAAATCAATTAATACTAAAATTCATGTATTTTGTCTTGATTTTGCTTCTGCTACTTTAGCTAATATTATTCATACTCCTTATACATTATAGTATTTATAAAATTAACCACGATTTGCTTATTAAATAATGGAGTAATTATTAAAGTTCATAAAAGATTAAATATAAGTTTCAGTACTTATGCATATATTAATTTGTTTATCATATTTAAGTAAAGAAAACTTTGCTAAATAAATGGAAGAATGCAGATTCATAGATAGAATTAGTGAATTTGTAGAATATTATAGTGTCATTAATACTGGTATGATTAGAAATGATATTTTTCTTAGAAAATGAAGCAGCAGAAATTGATAAAAAAACAGTATTAGATTTATGTGCTCATATGTTTCATCCTAAGGATACTTCATTAGATAATTCTGAAACTCTAGAATTAAATGAATTAAAAACTGAGGATAGAATAAGAGAGTATGAGAATGAATAAGGGGAATTAATCTTTGAATGTTTCCAAGATGAAGTTAGTTGAATATTTATTTTAATATTTTTTATTTGAAATTGGATTATTTTATGATGAATTTATTATTTGGTGTTATATCTTATACATTCATACTATCTAAATGATATTTCATTTTAGAAAAATTTGAGCTTTCTTCCTAAGATTCAAAATTATTATTTCCGAAATACTTCTCTTCAGGAAATTTATTTTTCTCAATAATTAAACACGACCAATGCTAATTTTTTCACAAATTTTTATTTTACCTAATTGTCTAATCCATGCAATTTACTTAATCAGATAAAGATTGTTAATCAGAGCTTCCTTCTAGCTTCAAAGATGCTAACTTTAGAAAGAGAAAACCCATTGATTCAGATACTAAAACTAATTTAATACTTAGTGTAGTCAAAGATCATTTGCCCATATATTAAGTATTAAAGTTTCTATATATTTTGAGGCAGCTATCATTCATAAAGTTAAATATTCATCAGCTAAACACATATTGAGAAATTACTACAGTGATACTGCTAATTACTTTTCTCTTCAAAAAAAGAGAAGAAGAAAGATAATCTGTTGTGGTGTCTCCGCTTTAATTGACATTAGCAGTGGAAATATAGTTTTAACATCTTAATAGTGTTAAACGATTGCTTATATAAAAAATGGAGTAAATGCCCAAATCAAATAAAAAGTTATTGATCATTTGAGTGTCTCAATTCATAAATAAATATGTAACTTAAATTTCAAGAGGTTAAATAAGAAAGTTAGAATCGACCCAATAAAACAGTTGAATAAAATAGAAAAAATTGAAAACAAAGTTAATTTTCTCATTTAAACACTAGAAAAATAACATAAAGAAATGACATAATGATAAGTTACACATTATCTTTATTAATTATAAATTATTTCCACTCCTGACCTTCCATAGTCCTTTTATATAAAATAAAAAAAAGATATTCAAAAATGCAATAAAAGAATGATTTATTTTTAAAAACACAATTAATATTTATTTATATAACTATTTTTGAATTTTTTGTAAAAGAATTTTTTTTTGAAGACTTCATGTAGTTTCATATTGGTTTACAATCATAAATTAAAAATTTTGATTCTTTAATATGATTTCGGTCATGATTTTAGATAAATAAATAGAGCATATGTGTTTGAGAAATTTAACATAATTACTATTAAGTATAGGAAAACAACTTATTTATTTACATTTGCAACTTATTAGAATTAACCAATTCTTAAATGTTTATGAACATAGCATAAAAGCATTTTATTCTAATTTTAATATATAAATTTAATATATTTTATAAATTTAATAAGAAATTAAATTAAAAATATAAATAATCATTATGATTGTTTAGTTTTAAGTCTATAATAGTTATTTTACAATACTAGGGGTAAACATGTTGTAAAATAGAATTTTGATTTTTATGTATTATCCATATCTAATCTAGAAGATGGACTTGTTTGAAATCTTTAATTTGAAGAATTTTGTGTAGGATATCTTCGAATATGATAAGTGATATTTTCTAAAGCAGTTCCCAAAATTCCAGGAGGAGATTTATGTTTCTTAGTTTATTTCTTTATTTTATTCTTATATTTTAATGACTATTATATGATTAATTCTTCAGTTTTTTATCTTGAATGTTAAGCAGATTAAGAAGATTTTAATAATTTATTTAAGTAAGCTTATTCATATTCAGCAGGATTATCTAATGTAAGAGTCTATTCTCTTAATTTATTATCATCTAATCTGGTTCTACTACTAATCTTCAATATCTAACTTGTACTATTGAATAACAATTTTTATTGATTTTCTTAAATTTATATAAGATTTTCAGGTTTTAAGAATGTTTTATTTTATGTTCTTTCAAGTAAGTTAATTTTTTCAGTTTGATCTATGAAATTTTTTTCATAAACCCTTATTTATTATATGATTTATTTTAATTTTCTATCATTTAAAGCAGTTAAACTTTTATTTAATGCAGGATCACAATATAGGACTCTCATGAAATCTCTCTTAGAAACTGAATAAACATTATTACTTTCAAAAGTAGAAACTAAACTAAATTATCTACATAAATCTGAAGCTTTTAAGATCTCTAATTCTCCAAACATTTCTCCTGCCCCCAAGAATTTTAATGTCATTATTAATTTTTTGTCACTGGCTATAAGATTGCCATACTTTTTTTTTTGATATAATTTATCAATTTTTTCTTGATTTGTTAAGGAAGGTTTATTATATGCAAATTATTGTTTTAAAAATTCTACATCATCATCAACATCTTAATAATTATTATTTTATTCTTTATTCATTCTTAAAGATTTAATAACCTAAAGATTTTGAAAGAAGATACTTTAAATTCACCAGTTTATATAAAATAAACTTCATTAGATGGATCACCTTCTTTATATACAGTATGATTTAATCTAAATTTATTTAATTTCATAACATCGAACAAAGATTTAACACTCATAAACTTCCAGTCTTTAAAAATAGAGAGTTTTGCAAATTCTTCAAAATACATCTGTCTTTATTAATTTATCTTTTGGATAAGTAAAATAAATTACCACTGTTTTTTTGATAACCATATAATCTTCTGCATCTAAAACTGCTAAATGAGTAGGATTTACAGCAGTAATAGTGGCAGATCTAGGTTCATTATTTTCTAATGCAAGCTCACCAAAGGCTTAACCATCACTCATTTGGATTAACTCTTTTTCTTGATAACAATCTCCAACAAACATTCTTTTATGAATTGATACTCTACCTTACAAAATTATATAGAATTAAGTTCCCACATCACCTTAAATATAATCAATATTAACTAACCTTCTCTAAATAAAGTTTCACCCTTTTTTAGAGATGTATAACTCATTTTTCTTAAGCATCTCTCTAAAAGTAATACTCCTTATTCTTTTTCTAACAATTTCTAAAAATAAACAATATGTTTTGTAGCTTTCTTTAAAATTTCAATCTCATATTATGTTCTATGATACGAAGATTTTGTTAGTATAATGACAACTATTCCAAATATTTAATCCTGATTCAGATTCTCATAAATTGAAGGTTCTTATTCCATTTATAAGATATACTACTTTAATTCTTTGATTTCATCTTCTTTGAATTAGTGAACATTTTATGAATTTCTCATTTTATTAATATTATTATATATTATATATTTAATTCAATGTAAAATCTTTCATTTTAGAATCTCAAACATCTTCTAAATTTTAGATTCTGAAATTCTTATGAAATAAGTAAAATTAATAATAGAATTCTTTATTGTTACTATTTCTAAATAAATATTATTTATCATCATATCATATTACTATGATAAAAAATCAAATCAAAAAATCTCATACATCTAAATTGAATTAAACTTAATAATTAAATATATATTTTATTAACAAAATGCTTTATACTTTATATTTATTAAATGAATTATAAATCTTGAACTCCATTTTCTTAATGTCCTAACCTTAAAAATATTTTCTTTTTTATTTTTGTAATAATTATATATAAATAAGTTATATAACAAAATTTTTTTCCAAAAACGCTTAGCATATTAAATTAATGAAAACATTAGTAACAATAGCAATTGTGTTCTGCTTGCTTACTCATCCTGTAGTATGTAAGAAACATTACAATGATGAAGAACATTCTGCTTTCGAGAAAAGTATAATTTTTTTGGTACAACTTAGGTCATAAAAAACTGTCTCTTTAAGATGATCCTTCTTATAGCAAATTAGAGGAGATCCAAGATCATCCTTTAGGATCAAAGATTTTATAAACAATAGCCTTACAATTAAGAGGAAATGAATCTTTGAGTGCTGTGAGCAAATTGTTGAATGACTTAAAAGGGGATTTAGAAGTATAATTTATAATCAATATTTTTAGGGTAAATAAATTGATGCTGATAATGAGAGAGCATAAATTGGCTCATAATGCAAAAAAGATCTATAAAATTATAGTCAAAGAATCAGTCTCTCTATTAATGAAATTAAAGATGCTGAATTTAAGGCAAAAAGATTGAATGAGGCTATTGCTGTTTATTAAGCTGAAATTAATGAAAAAGCTAGATAAATAAAAGTATTCTAAGCAAAAGATGATACATTAAGAGATATTAGAAGATAAGATAATTTAGATTTTTCAACAAGAACTACTTAAATGAAAGAGATGGTTTAAGCTTTTGAAGTTATTCTTCCTAAATTACACTAAGTTTGGGATGTAGCTGCCTAACACAAGGCTGGATCTTTTATTGAAGAAGAAGCAATCAATGAAGCTTTAGTTTAATTAGCTAAAATTGGGTAAGAAATATTTTTAATCTATTTTAGAGAAGAAAATCCAATTACTGCTATGGTTGCATTGACATCAACTTTGGAACCAACAGCTGTTTAGACTTTGATTGAAAAAATGGAATCTATTAGAGATTCAATTAAGGAGAGCATAAAGGCAGAAGAAGAAGCTGAAGCAAAGAATGCCAGAGTAAATTTTATATCAATTATTTAAGGATACAGATACAATTTTAGCAGCCATTTTCAATGCTATGGAAAGTTTGACTAGAGAGAAATCAAGCGATGAAGAAGCATTATAAGAAACTATTAGAAATAGAGACATTTAAGATAAGAGATCAAGAGATGCTCATGCTGTAAAATAATATATATAATCAGGAATTTAATGCAGCCAAAAATGGAAATTAATAGAGAAATTAATAATGTTAAGAATACGAATTATAATATTAATAAAACACCATCGAAAGAGATAAATAGATTGCAATTATTAGAGATGTTCAAAATATCATTGCTACAAAGATAGAAGTTGTTACTTGCTTTGTAGAAGAGAATAATCTATTCTGATTAATATGATAATTATAAAATATTAATCAAAATATTCATTTCAAAAATATGGAATAGATTTATGACTTGATTCCCATGGTTGTAGTTCTTCTTATAATGATGCTTCTGTCATCATATTTTTAGATGGAATTTATTTCTTAATTTTTATAGGTGTGTATAATTAAGGAAGTACAATATTGTATTTTGCTTAATAAGGTTATGATTGTTTTTTAGATATATTAGAATTAGTATATGAGTTTTCAAAGTTAAATTTCTTTGAACTTTTTCTTTTTGTTATTTCATTAATGTAATATTGGTATGAAGAATCTTTTTTGGGAAGATTTCTTACAGTAGTTAATTCATGATTAATGGAATGAGATTGGGTTGATTAATTATGATTAGGAGAGAGTTGTAAATAAATTTGATGATGTTGCAATCGAGGTGATTATATGTTAATTTTACATCCAAAAACAGGTAATATTTTCTGATTGTTGACTTATCTTGTTAATGATCTCTTTACAAACAATTAATATCTAGCAATAGGACTATTTTACAGATTCTCCATATTAAAAAATAAATTGTATTCTAAGATATAATTATTTTTAAGAAATATCTAACTTTTGATAATACAAAAATTGACCTTCAGAATTCAAACTTAGATTTATAAGACATCTTAAGAATTAAAGAGAAGACCAGTCTACCTACTATTTATTCAACTCCAGCTTCATATAATTATTATGTAGTTTCTTTATCCTCATGGACACCAAAAACATTGATTTAAAATTGGTTTATATTATATTGTTCAAAAAAATTAGAAAGTATTGAATTTGCTGTTATACTATCTGTAACAACATATAAAAATCCATAACAGTAGTTTTAAATTTGATATATATTAATGTTATGAGATAGTCTACTATTTTTTTCCATAATATAAATGATATCAAATCTATTATAATTTAAATTTTGAGAAAACATTTCTAAATGAATTTGATTGAAAGGTTCATCATCCACAATAGTAATCGATCGATATTCTTAAACTAAATTTTTATTTGTTTTAACATGATTTAATTTATTTAAGTCTCGTTATTTTTCATTCATAGCTACATTATTTCAAGTATTTTAAATTATCTATCCATAAAAAAAAATCAGTGATGTTTTCATAATAAATATCTTTTAAGTTGGATATATTTTATTTTATTTCTAGTATAATTTTCAAGAAATGCTATTTAAAATTTCTTTGAAATAGAAGATAATATATGAGTAAATAAATAATTAGAAAGTTGTACTAAAGACAATTAAATCATCAATAAAATGATGAATTTACTAAAAATATAATATACTTAGAAAAATTAATCCATTTTGTATATTATTATTCTAATCATCCTTAACATCAGAAATAAGAGATTAGTAGTATATATTAGCAGTTTTATAAAAAAAAATCTAATATCAATTATATTTTAGTTCCTTAATATTTATTAATATTTACCTTTTTTAATATAATTAATGCAGCATAAATAGATAAAAACAACTACATCATAAAATATAAGGTAAAAGCTAGGTCTAAAAGACACTTTAACAAATATTAATTAAATCTACAGTCAACCTCATTCATCAAAAGGAACAGAAATCAGAAAAAAGGAAGTAAATTCTTATTTATTTAGAATGTATAAGATTGCAATACTATGAAGAATAAATTATTTAACATGTTGGGATCAAATTATAATTCAAATAAAGCATTCTCCATATCCCCTACTAATTCCCTTAAACAGAACTATTTTGTTTCGACATCAACTCAATAGAATTCAAAATAACTTCTACAAAAACAAAATCACACTCTTGATTGCCATACTTCAGTTGTTTAAAATCTAATAGGAAATTCAGTTAAGAATGTATAGTCATAACCATCAATGAATTTATTTGAAAAATATACCACCTTCTTAGAGAATCAAAATTTTGAAAACCCTAAACCTTCAGTTAATCAAGCAAAAAAAGTTGGAATTGCTAAACCTAATTCTTCTCAATCTAGAAATCATAAAACTGATAGAACTTCATTAATTGCATTATTTGAGAAATTGCATGAAAAAGATAGTTCTAATAAACATCGTAAATAAACATCTTAAAATTCTAATTATGTTTTTAATACCTAAAAATAATAACCATAAGAATGTTTTTACACAGAATTAAAGTTTCGACAAAAAATTAAAGGATCATTATCCAATAATTCCTCTGGTTAACTTTGTTCTCATCTTAATCCTAATTCTTCATCAACCTAAATATAACAAAACCAGTAAAATAACATAGATGATAATTTACAATCATTAGCTGAAAGAATGTCATAAATTTTAAATAATTATCATTAAAAATTGAAACAAGTGGACTTTGAAAAAGAAGTGTTAATATAAGAAATTCAATATTGGAAATCTAAATATTAAAAATGTTAATAAAAATCATCAATTTCTTGAATTTAAAATAGATTAAAAATTGATAAAATAATCTTTTTATAATGATAAATTAAAAATATGAATAAAACAATAACTAAATTAAATCATTTTCTTTTAAATATATGTTAATAATTTGCTGTTTTTCAATGAGCATATCAGATCTTAATCATTCAAATGATAAATATATTTAAAGTTTATATTAGAATTTAGAATTCAAAGATGTTTGTTATAAACTGTATTTTGAGATAATTAAAATAAACAAAAAAGCTTAATTTTTGGATAATTTATATTTAATCATTTACTAATCTTAATAGAAAAAGTATCATATTAATATTTTTCTTTATTAATAGAGTAAAGCTATTTTAGGAGTTATTACATAATATATCGTGTATGATTAAAAATTAAAATTAAATAAAAGAGATATTCAAATTTAATTTTATATAGCAATCTCACTTTAAAGATTCATTCGTAAATCTTCTTTATGGATAACTATTTATAAATAAATATATTTTATCAATACTCCTATGTTAAATTATCAATTAAAACTTAGGATCAGTAGATAAACACTATTTGAAAATGTTAAATTTTTGCTATTAATATTTAATTAGTCTTTTTGAATTAGTTTAGAGTTCATAATTATTTTTAATTAAAAAAAAATATTATTAATTTCATTTATCAAAACAATTATGTCCACATCCAGAAGGACATTAAGTATTATTGCTAAACCAATTTTTCATTTCTTTCATATGACCTCCATGCATACATTATTAACACCATAAGTAAAGACCTCTTACTGGTTTAAAACTTTATTATTTAACATTTAATAATACCATATTACGCATATAAAATCTGTCTTACATATATTACAAAATGCTCCTGTAATTTAACTATTTTTACATGGACCAAGACATTTATCATTTGTAACATATTTATTACTAGTTCTAAATTATTCAACTGGACTTTCTAATGCAGCTTTCATTGCTAATGTATGTTTTCCAAATGCGACTAATAATTCAATATAAGATTGAGTCCATTTTTTAGCAATCAAATCAGGGAATTATACATAATTTTTTGCACAAGCAGCCATCCAAAATCCACTTGGAAGATCCCCTTAATCTATTACATGTTAAATTAATTAAAGTATAGAATTTGAGATAACTTACCTAATATATTATTAAATTATTACATCATATGTTTTTTATCAGTCAATAAATAACCTATAGGAGTCATTGTTCTTAATAAATTTTTATAGTAAGGTATTCTTTCTATATGAATTTTCAAATGATTTTAATCCTCAATTACGATATTCTTGCTATCTAATTCTTATCTAAATGCTGCTGGATATTTTTCGAAATATTTATAAAGTTTTTAGAGATCCTACGAATCTAATTACTTTATTTCATGTTATTTATTATTTTTTGTAACTTATGTCATTTATTCTAAAGGAGACTTTTAATCATCATCTGATTAATCATTACCTTTGTTTGATATTTATATAGGACAATTCAACATAGAAATATTGGGACCACATTCTACAGATAATTTTTTAAAATCATTAACAAGATGTTCTAAAGCTTTCCAATAGTGTGCTATTTCTGGTTTATCTATTTACAATGCAATATTGCTATTGTAAGAGAAATCTTTTTTTGAATTGTAATTCTTTTAAAAATATTTTAATTCCTCATCAAAAGGGATTTTAGGATCAAATCTTTAATCAATAGCTTCAATATAGAAAATTGATCTAACATTATTTTTTTGACTTTATGAGTTTTATGGAGTTCCTGAAGTTGCTTTTTGAATATCTTACAATGAATTTTAAATCAAATTATTTTAAGAAGTATTCTATGTCTTAGACTTGTATAAATTAAAATCTTCATTTGAAGATTACTTTTAATTTAATTACAAATTCATGTTATAATGGTTGATTTTATCTGATTCATTTTAATTTTGGAAGGGAGATTCTAATTTCATAAGCAAATCATTATATTAATTAAAGGCAACAGGAAATATGGGACAATTATTATATACTTGATAAGCTTATCTAACAGATTACATTCTTAAATATTTATCTTTAGATCCTGTAAATACATATTATTCATCTTAATTAAAAACAAAGGATGTAATTATATCATTATGACCTTTTATAATATGCATTGGTCTAAAAGGAGTTCGAATATCATAAGTAGTAACTGAAATATCTCTATTTAATGATGACACACTCAATAGAGAATTGTTTTATACATGCCATTTTATATGAGAAGAACCATCTATATGTTAAATGACTTCTTTTTCTTTGATATCAGTGTGATTCTCAACTTATAATATTTTGATTTCTTTATCATTTGATCCACTAGCTAAAACATTATCTTTAGTCCAATCTAAGCATATAATTAAATTTGTAAATGGATCCTATTTCCTACCCCTTAAATTAATCTCAGTAACATTCTCTTGTTATTTTCTAATATCAAAATATTCTAACTAACCTGTTTCTGAAGCAGCCATAAAGTAATTGTCTCTTGTTATGTTAAATTTAATATCTCTAATTGCTTCATTTCTTTATAATGTAAAAATTGGTTATGCAACAGGTTAACGATAATCATAATAATTAATTGCATAATCTTATCCACCACTAATAAAACAGTTTTCATTATGCCAAGTCATTCTATGGATAGCAGCTTAATGATTTCTATAAACTGTTTCTTTTTGTTTATCAATATCCCATACCTAAAATTATCCTTATACAGATGCAGCCAATAATAAAGTTGGTTTTTTGCGATTAAATTCAACATAACCTATTGCTAATTTAGTGCCTTATCTTCTCAAATTCTATTTGATATTCATTTTTTTATGCATTTAATCCAAATCTATTATTTTTAATATTTCCCTCCCACCAACTACCAAATTTCTACCTTAATAATCAATATCTATTGATGATATGCTTGTTTGTAAATCTAATTCTTAATCCATATATATAAATATAAATATTTTATTATGTAATTATAAGCCAAAATAACATAAAGAAAAGATTGCTATGTTAGTCTACCCAGAATGTTTTAATAATTCACAACATAATCATTTTCTTAAGGAAATCTATGTTAAGTGATAAAAGGGTAATGATTTCTTCATTATTAAAGTGAATTAATGAAGACCTAATAAATTGCATATTTTGGATGTTAAGGTATTTCAGAAGATAATCATATTGAAATTGGATTTTAATTTGCATAACTTTTAAATATTGATGATGATGATTATATACAAATAACAACAAGTAATTATTACTTTAGAATAAATTTAAGTCTCAAATTGCAATCAATCAAGTGCCATAACTATATATGTTCAAAAATGGTCAGATTATATGATAGTTCAACATTAAAAGGAAATATTTGAAACAGAACTCCTTAATAAAATTTAAATTGTATATAATGAATTACTTTTTCCAATATTTTATTAAGAAGGATAATTTGTTACTTTTACTTTCAAAGCATAAGATTATAATGGCCCTATTGCTATAAGTCGTAATTGTGAAATTAATATTTTAATTGAAGAAGCATAAAAACCAGAACAAAAATTGGATTTAATTGAATTAAATGTACTACTTTTAGATTAAGATTATTTTGAATCATTTATTGAAATAAATACAGAACTATATCATAATAATAGATTGGATAAATTATATTAAATAACTTATTCATCTTCATTTCCTAAATCATACAGAAATTATGTTAAATATGCCAAACATTTAAAAAAAAACAAATAAAAATAAAATATTCCTAAAACTGCAATTGTATAATTCAAATATAATAATAAAATTAATACAAAATATTGTTTCATTTCCAAATATTATGCTAAACATCTTGGTATAAGAGAAGGTTAAGTGATTTTAATTAATACATAAGAACATGATATTAGTAAAGAAGCAAATATTAGAATATTCAAAAGAAATTAATTTATATTTTAAAAAATATATTTCAATTTCTATACAGATTTATCTTTAAGCAAAGATACTGTCATCAAATCAATATTAGAAAAAATAGAAAAAAATTAATAAACTGTTCTACAAAGTAATTAATGATTAAAATATTAGGCAGAGTTCATTTTAATTAAGAACATCTCTATTTTTTGAGGATTGTTTAATTAATAGGTAATTAACCAGAGCATTTATTATAAACATTATCAATTGTAAATGAACATAATGAACCTAAAGTAATTGGTGAAAGAGAAAAAGGATTGCTTAATAAATATTTAGAGGAACATATTAGAATACTTGGATTTACAAGTCCAATTTAAAAAGAAATCAAACTTACTTAATACTAAGGTTTGAGATAAAAAAAGGTTCTTTAATAAGATTATTAATTATTTTTATAATTATTTGATGAACCAATAAAATAATTAGAATCAATTTTAAATTAAGAATCAAAATCTTAATGTTTGATTAGTTGTAAAGAAATTTAGGCAATGTAAATATTGATTTAATATTTAAAAACAAATTATGAAGTAATTAAATTAAATTTAGATAAATTAAATCAGCAAGGATAAAATGAAAAACTATAAAATGGTAAAATTATTAATTTAAAATAGTTAAAAAATTTATCAAACATATTTTTTGGTAATCAAGATAAGTTTCTGTTAAAGATATACTTATAGTAGTAAAAGGAGTTGAATCTATTAAAAGTATTGATTTAATTGATTTCTAATAATCATTCTAAATACTTATTTCAAATGTAATTTTATATCATTAATATAGGTCTTAAGTAAAATTATTAGAAATTAAATTATGGAATATCCAAAAATTAAATTAATAGTGGTTTCCCCATCTAAAGATTATTTAAATTTCAATCTATAAAGTATTTAATATTATTATTTAATATTAGAAATATTTTCAAAGGATGCAATTATTGAATTTAATAAACCAAAATAAGAACTTAGATAAAGAATTTTTGAATAATGTTATCATTCTCAAGAAATTAAAAAATCTGCTGAATTTTTAGCATCAAAATCTGAAAATTTCAATTATTCTTAATTTTATGCTTTATAAAAGAGAGAAAAATATTAAGAAGAATTGAATCAATAAATATCAGAAGAATGGATTTTATAATAAATTAATGACTTATAAGATTAATAAGTGTAATTAAATAAAAAAATACCAACTTTTAAAGAAATAGGTGGTCTTCAAGAATAAAAATAAATAATTTTAGATCTATTTGATTTACCTATGAGATATGAGCATTTGTTTGCAAAATCCAAAATTAAACTACCAAAAAGTGTTTTAATTTATGGTATGCCAGGTTGTGGAAAAACCTATTTTAGTTTGAGCATTTGCAATGAATTAAATATTAATGTATTAACAGTAAAGGGACCTGAATTACTAGATAAATACATAGGTATATTAAGTAATAATAAATTAAAGGATCATCTGAGTAAAATGTTAGAGATCTTTTTTAAAAGGCTTAATCATTGTCTCCTTGCATTATATTTTTGGATGAAATAGATTCGGTTGTACCTGTAAGAACATCTTCACATTCTGGAGTTACAGATAGAGTTGTCAATTAATTTTTATGTTATCTCGATGGAGTGGAAGAAGGAATGAAGGGAGTATACATAGTAGCTGCTTCAAGTAGACCTGATTTAATTGATCCAGCCATTTTAAGGCCAGGGAGAATAGATAAACATGTTAGAATAGATTTACCTAATAATGAAGAAATACTTTAAATTTTAAATATTTATAAAGGACCATTAGAGTTTGATGGAATTACAGAATAAGAGATAGCTGATTAATTGTTTGGATTATCTTAAGCAGATGTTGTCTCATTTTTCAAAGAAGCCAGAATATATTTAACTGATAGAATAGTTTAATTAGAAGACTTTAGTCTAAAAAGAAAGGTGGAAAAAATAGAAGATTTTAAATTAACGAAGGAATTATTTTAAGATATTATGAAGAGCATGAAACCAAGTTTGAGTTAAAAATAAATACTCTTTTATAAAGATGTTTATAATAGATTTGAGAAGGGAGGTATAAAAGATATGAGTAATCAAAAATAAGCTTTATAGTGATAATATATTATATATTAATAAATTTGTATCATTAATTTATATTTTATTATTTTTTAGATTACTTTTAGGATTTGAACTTACTAATTATAAATTTAAATTTTGATCTGAATTCTGGATTATAGATATTATGGGTTATAATAATTGACCTTATTTTGTTGAATCAAAATATAGAGTAATGATGAGTCATCATAAAATTTAATTATACTTATTTATACTAATAATTATTTATTTGTTATTTTGTTATTTATTCTTTCTAATCGCTAAAGTGCTTTTGAAATAATCACTCATTAGGAAAATATTTGAATACTTTTTGCTTATAATTGAGTTAAGAAGCAAAAATTAAACAAGTCAACACAATTGTAGTAAGATCAATAAATATTTAAATTGTATTAAGAGAATATAGAAAATAAAAGAAAAAGAAATGAAAAAGAGATGGAAAAAGTATTTTTCATGATTGAAAAGCACACTTAACTAAGAAAACCTATTTGGAATGTATTTTAGATTTGATAATAATAATGGAACTATTATTTTATTTTATAAAATATGATAAAGATGCTTTAGATAAGCATTTTAATTAAAAGGATCAACTAATTTTAAGTTCAAATTGCTATTAAATATTGAAGAGATTAAGATGTTGAATTTAAAAAAATATATAATGAAAAAGAAAAAGATGGAACTGTTTTAAGAATTTTAAGATAATTTATAAAAAAAATGATTTTAGATTAGAGTTAGATTCAATTAATATCAAGAGCAATAGATTTTTTGAAAAAAATAAGAAGAGTTTACAAAATTATTGAATGAAAATTTTAAAAAGATTTAAAAAATAACTAATTATTTAATGCTTAAAGTAAAGCAATCTATAAGTAATTTAATATTAATGTAATCAGAAATAGAATAAGCACTTTTTACTTATTATATTCTAAAATAGATTCTTAAAATATATGTAAGTAAAAATATGATATATGGTAAGATAGAGAGATGTTCTTGAAATAGTATATTTTATATAATGAAATGGCATTTTTAATAGAATAGATTTAATATAAATTATTGAGAGACAAAGTAAATAAATTAATAAATGAATATTGAATGAAAGAAAGAGTATTTGTGTAAATAAATTAGTAATGAAAATAATAAATAGAATATTTTGAATATGATGAAAGTTCAAAATTGGGATATAATGAAAAATTAAGAATATAAAGAAGAATGTAGAATGTAATCTTTAAAATTTAATTTTGGAAGAAGACATGATTATGATTTATTTAATATTATTATTTAGATTTATATTATTAGGTTAAAGGTTAAACCTTTCTTAATGGCATAAAATTAGTTTTAATTTAAGATCACAAGAGATTTTGACTAATAGTTAGAAAAATTAAATATATAATTTTAGTTTAATAAATAATTAATATTTTTCTAATCATGGGCTGTTGTTAGGGACATTAAAATGGTTAGAAAATATAATATTTTAGATATGCATTAACTTACAGAATTAGCAAAAGAATTGACTGAATATCAGTAGCCTGAATATTTAGCTGATATTTTAGATTTGAAAACATAAATTAAATTAAAGGAACAATTAGATGAATAAGAAAAAGAAAAAGAACATAAACAATCTCCAAAAAAAGAGACTAATTACTCTCAAGATATTAAAAGTGGTAAAAAAGATAATAAATAAGATTCTAAATCACAAAGTAAGTTATAAGGATAAGAAAAATAATGGATAATTAAATAAACTATGTTTGTTAGGATTAATTCAAAAAAGAATGTAAGTGAATTCTACACTGTAAAAGATATGATAGGATAAGGAGGATTTGGTAAAGTATATAAAGTAGTTCATAGATAAACTGGTATTATTATTTATTATATCTAGGTATGGTAAGAGCTATGAAATTGATCTTAAAATCTAAATTGAAGAAAGAAGATTAAGAGAAATTATTAGAAGAAACTAATATTTTAATGGATATTGATCATCCAAATATTGTCAAATTATATGAAATGTATTAAGATGATAATTCATATTATTTAATCAGTGAATATTGTGATGGTAAAACTATTAAAAATCTTCTATGAAGGTGGTGAATTATTTGAAAAAATTAAATATGTTTAAATCTTAACTGAACAAGAAATAGCAAGTTATATGAAATAAATCTTGACAGCTGTAGCTTATTGTCATTCAAAAGGTATTGTACACAGGGATTTGAAACCTGAGAATATTTTATTTGATTCTAAAAATCATGGTGCATCATTAAAAATTATTGATTTTGGAGCAAGTGCTAAATTAGTTAATGAAGAAAAACTTAATAAAAGAATTGGAACTGTATAAAATATATAGATTATTTTAGCCATTTTATGTAGCACCAGAAGTTTTGAATGGTAGTTATGATGAAAAATGTGATATATGGTCTTTAGGAGTTATATTGTATGTTTTGCTTTGTGGATATCCTCCATTCTTTGGACATAGTGAAGGAGAGGTTTTATCTAAAGTTAGAAAAGGAACCTATTAATTTGATAGTAATGATTGGTCTAGAGTATCGATGCAAGCAAAAGATTTAATCAGAAGAATGCTCTTTTATGATCACTCTTCCCGTATTAGTGCATCAGAAGCTTAATAACATAGTTGGATAGCCAATAATAAAGCTAAAGGATAAGTTAACAATATCAGTTTAAAAAGATTATAAGATTTTGATTCTAAAAATAAACTAAAATATGCAATTTTATAATTCATAACAGTTTAAGTTGTTTAAAGTTAAGAAAAAGAAGATTTATTGAAGACTTTTTAAGATATTGATAAAAATGGAGATGGAACTGTTAGCAAAGAAGAATTGTTAGCTGGTATATAATTATATAATCTTAGCCTATATGAAAATATATAAAGGTGATTCAATTGCAGCTCAATAAGTTGTAGATGAATTATTTCCATAACTAGATGCTAATAAATCTGGAAAAGTAGATTTTAGTGAATTTGTTACTGCTTCAATTAACAGAGATAAATCTCTAAGCAAAAAAAAAATAGAATAGGCTTTTAAATTGTTTGATTTAGATGGAAATGGTTTTATTACTAAATAAGAAATTAATGAATTATTTGGAAATGAAATTGATGAAAATATGTGGCAAGATATTTTGAAAGATTGTGATATAAATAAAGATGGAATGGTATTAATATAAATATACTATTTAGATATCAATGAATGAATTTGTTAATCTTTTAGAAACTAAAATTAAAAGAACTTCATAATTGTAATGAATTACTATTTTTGTTAACCATTTATATTTTGCATGGCTAATCAATTATTTTATACTTAAATTATAAAAATAAATTATAATTATTTTATTTTAATACAATTATTTTTTTTATAATATAAAAAAAGTTGCGTCTATCGGGACTCGAACCCGACCTAAATGCTTGGAAGGCATTCGTACGAACCTCTATACTATAGACGCTGACTGAGAATTAAAAGATTTTATTGTATATCAATATCTCTAATTAAAATATTAAATTTGTAATTTGTTGATCTAAAATATCATTTTCTTAAAAGATATGATTTATAGTTAATAAAATATTTTATTTATATAAATATTTATAAATTATTTATTTTTTTAATTTTGAAACTAATCTACTGTTTTAAGTTAAATAATTTCATCACTTTATATTCATAATCTATTCATAAAATAATTCAATTATTCATAATTTACTAATTTTATATTCCAATCTAATATGATTAACTTATCTACTCTTTAGATTGTAGAATAAGGAACAACAAATATTAAAATTCATTATCTTTCTTGTAAAATTATATTCTTCGAATAAGAATATTATATAAGAACTAAAAATATAAGTAGAAGATGAATCTTTAATGTTTATTCTTGAATTTTTCTTATTTATATTTTATTTTGATTTAGTAAAATCTAAAAATCATAAATTGATTGTAAATTTTAATTAACTTATAAGGATTTGATAATTTGAATATTTTATATCTATATCTTATCTAGATTTGTTAATTAAATTTAACTATTATTTACAATCAATAATTAAAAACAATAATAACTAGTCAGATAATCTTCACATTAATAAATGATTTTTCTCTATTTTATTTTAGATTTCTTCTAATTAGTTAATTATTCAATTTAGAATAAGGTATTAAAATGACTTTTAAGAATAGATTTAAGATTTTTGATACATTATTCTTACATTAATTATAATAACCTATTCCCATGTTATATGTCTCTTATAAAACATTGGTTAGAGAATTAGTTAATTAAAATAAAAGACAATCAACTTGAGATTATGATATTTAAATTGTTAGATATTTTTTTACTGTATATAGATATTTATTATATTAATGATTTATATATTAATATTTAAAAAAAATAAATAATATAAATGAGCTTAGAAGTTAAGAATGCACATAGATAAGCATTTAAAGAAATCTTTTCAATGAAAGCAGTAGAAGGAAAACTAGACAAAAAGGGTTTGGCTGATCTTTTTATTATGATTGATTATAAGGTAATATGATTGTTTTTAATGATTTTTAGATTCCATAAGAATAATTTGATGAGATGGTTTAAAGAATATTTGGAAAAAAAGAATAGATTGGATTTGAAGAGTTTTTAAAAATTTTTAATTTAAAACTGACAGATTATACTTTTAATGATGTGAGAAATGCTTTCAAATTATTAGCAAAAGATGATGATAGGTATTATAATAGATAGAATAATATTAATTAGGTATATTCCCTTAGAAAAGATTAAGAAAGTATTGTTAAAGAATAATGTTCCTGCTGAAGAAGTTGAATTTTTATGTCATCAATTGGATCCATTTACTGATACAATGAAGAGAGTTAATTATGCTGAGTTCTTAAAAAGCTTAAGCAATGTTTGATCTATATCGATTAAAAATATTACTTAATATTAAATTATTTAAATAAAATTTAATAATGAACTTTTCCCCACAATTAGGATTTCTAGCTGAAAAGTTTTAAGAAAAATAATAAAACAATAGGATCACAAAAAGTGATTTAGAATAAATACTAGAAACTGCTAATTATTGTTAATCTGATATTTAATCTTTAATCTAATAATTTAATGAGGATGAAATAAGTAAAAGTAATTTGTTATATAGCCTATAATTAGTTTTTGTCGATTGTGGGAGTATCTGAAAATAGTCAAAATATATAAACCTATTAATAAAATAATGGTTATGAGATGGTTTCTGAAAAATAATAAAAGTTGACATCTGAATAACTTCAAAGTATTTATGATGATTATAAAATTGCATTAAAAAATTAAGATTTCGAAAAAACTAAGTCAATTTTAAGTATTTGATATTATATAAATATAAGATTAGTATAGAGATATTGATTTAGTTAATAAAATAGATCCATCTTAAAGATAAATCTCAACATACATAGTTGTTTAGGGTCCTGATGATAATATAGCATTGTAAACATTAGAATTGTTGTTTGATTTTGGAGCCAACTTAAATTACAAAGATTAATTAGGTCAATCGATTTTATTTTATATATGCAGAGATGGAAGATTAAGACTTCTTGATTATGTATTGTCAACCAATACTGTAAATGTCAATGATTAAGATAGATATGGATAAACACCATTGTTTTATGCTGCTAGAGATAATAGATATGATATTGTCATTAGGTATTATAATAATTGTCTATATTTTAGATTAATACAATATGGAATAGATATTAACATTGTTGATAAACTCTCTAGTTAAACAGCCTTATTCTATGCAGCCAATGGAGGACATGTTGAAATATGTAAAGTATTAATAGAAGTATAACAATAATAATTAATTATAGAATGGATGTAATCCAGGTTAAGTTGATTCATCTAAGAAAAATGCTTTATTTTTTGCTAGAAAATACAATAGAAAGGAAGTGATAGATCTATTTAATAATTACTTTAATAAAAATAAAGATGATATGTCTAAAAATAGTGGAGGAAATGATAATAGTAAAGGAGAAGCACCAAGATCATAATAATAATAATAATAATAATAATAATAATAATAATAATAATAATAATAAAAGAGGAAATTTAAAGACATTCCTAAATAATCATATAAATTAATATTTACAGATAATTAAGGAAATTAAAGAGAATTAAATTCTATTGAGTTTTAAAAGTTTCAATAAGAATATCCAGAAGTTGCTAATCTAATAGTTAATGCTGATGAATTGATTGATGATACTATCATTAATTAGATTAAGGATGATGATACATGGGAGAAGATTGCTAAAAAAGTATTAGGTATTAATAATAATCATTTTATTAGGAATTATTTGGAAAGCAAAAGGTGCTCATTTTTTCCATCAACCTGTTGATTAAAAGAAGTATGGTATCAGTGATTACTTTGAAATAGTTACAAAACCAATGGATTTTGGAACTATTAAAGTACTAATGTATTATAAAATAGAATAAATTAAATTCAAATGTGTATAGTTCTTGCTAAGAATTTTATGATGATGTGATTTAAGTATTTGAAAATTGTATTTTGTATAATGGGGAAACAAGTGAAGTAGGATAAATTGGATTAAATATAAAATAAGAATTTGAAAATCAATTAGAATTGACATTATTAAAAAAATATTTATGATAATTATAACATTATAATAAATTAAATTTATGAACTTTATCAAAAATACTCCTTATGCTATCTTGGCATTGTCAGGGATTTTAGGAATGGGATATTTAATCTATGATTATAAAAAATGCTAAAAGGAGTTAAATTAATTTGAGGCTGATTTGATAAAATTTTAAAAGGATTAGGATCTTAATAAGGATCCATAAGATTTTTTCTTTGAGTCAAAGGATGTGCCAGTTAATTCAAAATTGAGTTCCAATGTTTAAGGTCCAAGATAAACATTTTGTATATGTATTACAGGTGGACCAGGAAGTGGTAAAACAAGTGTAGTCACATTTTTATAAGAAAGACTTAGAGACTTTTAATATAATGTTATAGTAGTTCCATTATTAGATGATTATATATTAGGTTAAGATTAAGAAATTATATAAAAATTGAGTAAGTAGGAGAGAAATTAATTTATAATTAAAAAAGTGATGTTGATGCAAAACTTACTAGATTATTCTAAAGAGTTGGCAAAATAAGTGAAAGATAAGGATTCTATAATTCTATGTTAAGGTGGGATTTTAGATTTATTATCTTATTAAGATGAAAAAGATTAAATTTTTTAAGATCTTCATGATGAATTTAAGCCATTGGCAACATTAAGAGATAAAAATTATGATGCTGTTATACATTTGGTTACGAATGCTGATGGACTATAAAAAAATTTTTATTTTGGCAATTCATTCATTAATAGAGATTAAGAAATTAAAAAGGCAATAGATGCTGATAAATAAATTTAAAAAATATGGATGGGTCATCCTAATCATTTTTTGATTGATAATCGCGGACTTACATTTGATAAAAAGATTTAAAGAGCTTATAAGACTGTTTAAAAAATATTAGGGAGAGTATAAACAAATATTCGATGGAGTAAATGGTTATTAAAATCAAGTATAAATTATATATAAATATAAGTACGTATTCCATCTGCACAATATCATACTAAGATAAAAATTACAGATATTTTCTTTTTAGATAATAATAGTTAAAATTAAAAAGAAATAAATAGAGTAAGAATGAGATAAGTAGAAGGAGGTTTAAAATAATATTATTAGATAACAACTAAAACATCTAAGAATAAAGAGGATGTTTAATTTTTAAGAAGGATAATATCATTTTCTCAATTTCATCAATTAGTCAATAAAGGATAGAATTAAATGAAGATCTTGAAAAGAGACAGAATTTGCTTTACATGTTAAAATTAGTAATTATAAATAATTATCAAGATTAATGTAAGTAGATTTATTTGAATAAAAATAATTGGGAATTTTAAGATTAACAATAAATGATGCAACAGAAAGTTATGCCGTTCCTAAATGGATAGTAATTGACAAAAGAATAGATAGTAATAATATTTATTAATATTAGACAATCCTAAATATGATTCCTTTAATTTGGCTTAACTAAAAGAACCTTGAACATATTTTTTAAATTAATCAAATTCTTAAATTTAATAGAATATTCAATTAAAAATATATATATATATATATTTCAAGAATTCTCTTCAGTATCTTACTCAATTTCATAATCAGGAGGTAAAATAATTCTTATTAAATCATCCATATTTAGTTTTCCATCTCCATCTTTATCATGCTATTAAAATAGATTTTCAACTTCTTTTTCTGTAAATCCATAAGTAAAAGTTTTCTTCATATCTTCAATCGAAATAACTAATATATTGAATATATAATTACATCCTTTTCCATCTTAATCTATTAAATTAAATAATTATTTAATCCTAATCATACTTTATTTTGGAAGAATCCTTTTTCTTTTAGTTGGCTATTTCTCTACTCTTAAGAATTCCATTTCTAAACTTTCTTTTGAACTTTTAGCAAAAACATCATTATATTATTGAATCCATTAATTAATAATTTTTAATTATTCTTATGTTAATGAAGGATATAATTTCAACATTAATTAATCAAAAGTAACAAATCCTCTTTATTTAGAATCTAAATAATTATATAAACTTGCAGTAACTCTTTTCATATGTGGTTTATTTTGAAATGATTTAGTAAATTCTTTTACTTTAATAACTTAATTTTTATCTGAAAGACTATCAAAGTAACTCTTCAATTTAAAAATTTCATTTTTTGTTAAAGTACAACCTTTAGTTATTATGATATTTTTTATAATTTTCATAGGAACAATCACTCTTCTAGAAGTGCCATCACGTTAAGTAACAAATCTAATAGTTGGAGAATCATATCTTTATATTTTTCTAGAATGATCTCCTATTGCTTTTTCTAAAATTTATAATTCATCAATTTCATCATCCAAAATTGAAGGCTTCATTAATGTAAAAATCTTAGGTAAAGAAAAATGAGACTCTAATTATTTAGATTTAATTTAGAGTTAACGAACACTTTTTGTTGTAGCTTTATACCTTTCTTAAATTTTGTGTGTTAATTTATCATTTAGACTTTTCATAAAGTATTCATTCTTATTTGCTTTTGTTATCATTTCTAACATATCTAAAGCTTCTTATTCAGTATATGATTTAAATGATTTAAAAACCTCAATAGGCTCTTAGATTTTCTATTTTGGTTCATACATTGCAAATAAGTCTTTCCCAATATCATTTTCTTTTTCTAACCATTCAATAATTCTAAATATATCAAATTTAACTTACTCACTTAATTCTAATTAATTATCTATTTGTATATCACTCTTTAAAAACATCAATTTTGCAAACTTTTCTAATTAAACATAAGGAGGCAAATCTGCATTTGTTAATTTACAATATCCTATTATTATAGATTTGATAATAATAAGAAGTTCATTTAAACTTATATTTCCATTACAATCTAAATCAAAAACAATATATAAAACTAATATTAAATTACTTATTACAATGTATTTTATGAATATGTTAAGTATGTGAACAAATAGTTAAAACACAAATGAGTTCATAAATTGATAAAAGTTTTGATTTCCTGCAAAAATTATCAAATATATATCCTGCATTAGGACGTGAAAATGGAACTATTTTACAGAATAAACTTTTATCAATGAAAGGAAGTGAATTTCTACGTTAAAACTATTCATAAACAGCTCGAATTTCAGATAATGACCCTGTATGTATAAAATTAAATACAATATAGCAACTATTTTAAAGCTGGATCTACCTCTCTAGAAATGTCAAATTTTAGTTCCATTTTTCTCATATGCATAGGTAAACTACTCAGATTACCATTCTCATCTTAAGTTGAATTTGAAGAAACACTGCCCATATATCAATTTATTATTAAGAAATATACATAATATGATTATTAAAACAATTTGTTAATTTCTAATAATTTATTAACTAAAACAAAATAATTTCTTTTGGATATATTAATTAAGTCTCAATTTATTATTTACTTTTTATATATAAAAAAAAATTTTAAGTTAAGAAGACAAAGAAATTTACTTTTTAATTATGTTATATATATATCCATTTTATTTCATCTTCGATTTATATTTCCTTCCAATAATAATTTACATTAATTTCTGTGCAATTATATTCATACTCAAATTATTGTATTTTATATAGGATGTGTGATCTTTAACATTCTATATGAGTTTCATCAAAATATCTAATGTTTTTATCTCATTATTAGTTTCAATAATCTGATTATATCAAGCATCATTTTAAGAATTTATATCTTTTATCAATATAAAATAGTGATAAAATATATTATCCTCTTTTTTTATCTAAAAAGTACAAATGGTTAAGTTTTAGTATATTTAGATTAAGTATTTTTTTGCTAGGATTTATAGATATTCATAAAAATAAGGTGATGATTATAATTATTAAATATTAATTAATTTTTTGTATTATTCTTTAGGTACATGAAATCCAAATAACAATATACAACATTTAAAGATAAACGTTTTTCAATTGAAATATTAAAAGAACTTAATATCATTTTGTTAAGAAGAAGAGTAAAGTAAATATATTTATTAAATCTGGAGATATGAATAACTAACTCCAATAGGAAGCATTGATTTCGAATAAATCATCAAATCTTACGAAAGTTCTTTAATTTATTAAAATAAATTGAAGAAAAGAAAAAGAATGGTAATTATTTGATATCATGAAATTAATCTCATTTGAATATGAAATTTACAGGAATTATAGAAAAAAAACTGAAAATTCTTATGTTAAATACTAAATTTCAGAGTCAATATCATCTTAACAAGTTTTAAATAGCAAAGTTGTCAAATTAATTTTAACCAAATAATTTGCAGAACTACATCTGAAAATGCTATCTATAAAAAAAGAATATAAATAGACTCATCATTCTCATTTATGGTTTAATATTGGATCTAATAAAGATAGCCTTATTATATAAATTAAAATGATTATTGTATATATAATCATATAAACAAGAGCATAAGTTTAGAAAATGATTTAATTTCTATTATAATATATAAAATAAAAAAATTTTATTTATTATTTAAAACTTTGTAATAGTGTAGTTAATTTAAGAATTAAATTATTCATGCATTATAATATCAACTTTAGTTAATAATAAAAAAATGAATCAGTAAAGAGACATAAATTTTCACTTCTATTCAAGATAAAATTAAAATTTTTTATTAATATCAGTAAAATTATATAAGAATATATGTTAGTCTTTTTCTATTCTCATTTTGATTTTACATATATAATATGAATAGTAATCTAAATTAAATATGAGAACATTAATTATTATTTTGAAATATCATAATATTAAATATTATTCAGAGATGCAATAAACATAATTTTTTGGAAAAAAGATTAAACTCTAATAAATTAGTTTAACTGGGAATTATGAATGTCCTCCTTTACCAACACTCTCAAATATTCATGGTTTATTTTCACCAAGATTAGCTAATTAAAAGGAATTTTTATAATCACCAAGAAAAAAGGTATATACAAAGGTAAGTTAAAGTAGTAGGACTGATGTACCTTTAATTTCATAATCATAAAGAAATCTAGATGGATTTAACATTACATAATAATTTTCAATATCTCCTTGTAAAAGCTATAGGTCTACTTTACGTTGTTTAATAACACATGAAATTAACTTTAGAAAAAATCTTGATCACATTTATATTGTGAAACAACCTGTTAATGAAATAAATTAATTAAAAATTATGTAAATGAGTAGATAAAAAGTGAATAGCGGATATAAAGAAGATGATATTTATTTAAAAAAGAAAAAATTAATACTTGAAGCATAAATAGCTTTAAGTGCTACTAGAGTTCATACTCAATTAGCATTATTTGATTATGAATAAATTAACTTTTTTGAAGAAATTCCATAAAATTGCAAACTTGTATTTTTAAGTAATAAAACTATGATGGATTTTTGGGAAATTTTATTTGCTTTTCATAATATTGAATTATAAAGTGATAGATAAAATTAAATATTGAATATTATTTAATATATCAATTCAACAGATGATCTTCTTAAATTTTTATAAGATAAATAACTATTTAATGAAGTAATTGAAAGTAGAGATATTTGTAGTCCAATAGAAAATCTAATTATTACAACATCAAAATCTAAATAGTAATAATTTTAGAAATTTAATACATCAAATGATTTGTAATTTAAACTTGATTAAAGTTTAATAAAACAAATGCAAATCTTAAAAACTGAAGAAAATGAAGAAATCTAAATGATTAGAAATAGATTAGATGAAAATTTAAAGGATTATAAAATTGAAGTTAAATCTGATACAATTTAAGAAATTTTAGAAAAATAAGGTTTGAATAAAAACATAAAGCAAAACTAATAAAAATGTAACTTTAACATAATTAGATAGATTTTAAATTGTCTAATTTTAAAACTTAATGTAGTACAATAGCGAAAACACAATCTAAAAATCAAACCTACATAAATCAATTTACTAAATTTCCTCTCTACATAGCATAATCATAACCATTAGCAACATATTATAATATACCAAAATTAATGGAAAAAAGTGGACTTAACAGAAATGAAATTCATGAGATATACTCAAGATATAAAGCATTATTGAGTTTTGAATGTACTTAAATACCAGGAATGACTAAATAAAGTAATAATTATATATAAATAAAGTGTTACCCAATGGAATCAGTAGAGATTCATTTGCAGCAGGGCTTAATGAATTATCAATGGCCCCTTCTGGAGTAATTGATTAATTATTTAATTTATTTGCAATAGAAAACAGTTTGAATTTTGAAGGATTCCTTTAGATTATAAATTTAATAACTGCCAAAAGCAATGAAAAAAAAATTGAATTAATTTTAAAAGTAAATATTAATAAAATTAGTTAATTGATGAAAATGGAAATGGATTACTCTCTTTTGAAGAAATATCTTAAAGATGTGAAATGATGATGGATTCTATAATGAAATATAAAAATGGAGAATCTTGTACTAATAATATGGTTGATATAATAACAAAATCTATTTTTGATGTAATATATATAGTTATTTTAAGGCTGTAGAAATGAATTATGATGAAGAAATACCAATAGAAAAACTGAGATTGCTAATTGAAAGTAGAAGTTAGGCTTCCAAAGCTTTATTAATGATGTGTTGTGGTGATATAAACTATATTGATTGATTACTTATATAATATAAGCTTATTAAGTAATATAAATAAATTAAATTAGTATACTTCTATTATTATATATAAATTATATATTTTGTTAACTTTATTATTTTTATAATAAAATGGTATACATTCTAACATTAGATCAAGCATAAATATCAATAAAAATTGATAAACCAAGCTATTCTCCTGGAGAAATAATAAGAGGTGTTATATATTTAAAAATAAAAACTAAAGATATAAATGCTGGTATATTGTACCTTAAAGTAAAAATTTAGTATAATTTATATCAGCTTTGTGGCTAAGAAAAAGTCAATTAATTGGATAAACACAATCAATTTTTCAGTTTCAAATAGTTTATTTTTCAAAAATAAAAGAAAATCACAGATTTTGGAAAGTATGGCAAAATTAAAATAATAGGAAAATGCCAATTATAGCTTGTAGAAAATATTTTGAAATGGAGGTTCCTAATTTGTCACCTAGCTTTACAATAAACTATTATAAGATGGTACAATGCAGAATCTTATATTTTCTCTCTGTTACTATTTAAAGTGAAGATGAAAAATATTTATACAAACCTCCAAAGAAACATAGAGTAGTGATACATATTCTTTAAAAGCCTTAAATACAATCTGCTTTACCAATGGAACATACTGGTGAATCAAAAATAACAAATAGATGTTGTTTTACTACAGGAGTAATATAATTTATAAACATAGAGCACAAAACTTAAGATACAATTAAACAAACCTTACTATATTTTTGGAGAAAATATTGATATAGTTCTATAAGTTGACAATAGTCAATCAAGTTCAAATATTCAAAAATTCAAATTCTAAATTACATCATAGTTAGTTATTTTGTATAAATAGTAAAAACGTAAATTATCAAATTATTTTGATATATTTGATTAAGAAATAATTTGTAACATATATTAAATTATTTATTAGAATAAGTTGCAGCTGGTTAGTAAAAAGAAGTAAAAGCTTCATTGAGTTTGCCTAATGGATAGCCTACAAAAACTTCTACAATTTTTCCTTAAAGTTCTATAAAGACTAAAAGAATTATATTTCAATATATACTTACACTTAAAGTTATTTTTGCCAAAAGATTATTAATTAGCTAGTAAGATTTAACAGTTCCTATTCCATTAATTTTAATATAAAATTAAAAAAGGGAAAAAGACAATGTATTTTAATCAATGGATAACATTAGTATGGTTGGATCTGTATTTGAAACAACCTAAAGAATAAATTCAAGCATAATAAAAAAGTTTATTTATGGAGATCATAATTGTGCAGGTTATGGTGAACAAGATGGATATTAAGGACCTGAGAGAAAATACAATCCTGTTGAAAGTTTAGATGAAAATACTTTAAAAGATTTAAAAGGAGCATTAGAACAATTAATGTTTAAAAAATAATATGAAAATGAAGATAGTGATGATGAAGATAAATTGATTGAAGAAATTGATGGAGTGAATCTAAATAATGTTAGTATAAATGTTGAATAATCTGATAAATAATAAAAACCAAAAACTATTTTTTAATTAGGCAGCAAAAATGATATATCTTTGCCAAGCCAAAATATGGAGGAAGCTAAATTAGATAATGGAATTTAGGACTAATTATAGACAATTAAAGAAGAAGTAGATAGTAAAGGAACTTAATATAATCTAAATAATGCTCTGTCTTCATCATGTGTAAGAAAAAATCATCATTAAGAAGATAATGATGATTAATAAAATAAACAATTTTAATAATAATCTTATCCAATTGAAACTTTTGGTTCTTTTTAGAAAGTAATAATAAATAAAGAAGAATGTGATGAAATGAAAATAAATCCTGAAGAAAAAGAAACATAAATAAAACCTATCAATTTATAGAAAAATAGATCACTATCTAATTCAATTGATTAAAATGATTAAAAAGAATAAAAATAATTTAAAGTTTAATTTAATGATGCTACATCAGTTGATACTTTAGATGGTAAAACTGGTGATAGGTAAAGTACTTAATATAGAAAAAAATGATAACCATCCAAATAATTTTGAGTTATAAATTATATGATATTCAATTAATTTAAATGTTTATGTAAAAATTTATGAAGTTATAATAATTAATCTTTAAATGTTGTTAAATCATTTAAAATACCATAAATCACCATGATCATTGAAATGATAATTCCATTTATTTTAAAGAATCACATTCCTCAATTTTATAGCTATGACACTAAAAGGACAAAGAATTTTTAGTACAAGTGTCTTCTAAAAGATTATCAACTATTTATAATATTGATTAATCAATATTTTCCTATTTTTATTCACTTAATATGTATATTTATGATAACTGTCTATCTTTTGATGTAACTATTTAATTTCTTAAAGATTTAATTATATTTATCCATTCATCCAATTTTAATGTTTAAAGCTATCTTTATAAGTCATATGTAGTTTCAATACAATCATCTATTAAATCAAATTAGGCCTTATTATGGCCAAAGTAAACAATACCAAATCTTTATTAATGTCTTTCCTTTTCTGATAATAATTCTTTTAGTAATCGTAATCTTTTTTTGTTTTCTTTCATTGTTAAATCAATTATAAAGGCTATATCACATTCTAATTTCCATTCTAAAAGTTATTATTGTTTTTCAAATAATGATGAAATTGTACCATTTTTTTTGTGTTTATTAGGTGATTAATGTAACTAATCCAATCTTCTTAATATAAAACATAAATCATCTGCAATAAAAATGTCTTTTTATTTTGAGCCTTTTACTTTGTGAACACTTTTTCCTTTATTAATATTTTACTATTGTTAAGTTTATTTAGATTTTTAGTATTTAGCAGATTTCTAAGATGAGCAAGAAATACCCATTAAAGTAAATAAAATTGATTTTATTATTTATAAATATATTCTTAAAACTTCTTGATTAATCAAAATATCATTCATAAACGTAAAATACATGTTAAATATTTAATCATGCATATACATAATATTTATACTCAGACAAAACCGAAAAATGATTAAAGGGTAAGTTAATTAAATTATATAATTTTCTTTTAATCAACTTAACTAACTCAAAAATACAAACATTGTATAACAGTTTTAAAAAAATTCTTATCTTTGTTTTAACTCTAAATTTGTTTTTGTTATTAACAATTAAAATCTTAAGCAATAAGCTAAGTCTCGAAAATGTTAAAATTATATTGGATTCTTAGGATGTATAAAGAAGTAAATAGAATTTCATTTTAGATAAAAAATACTACACTTTTAATTTATTTATTAATGATATTAATATATATATATAGAATTTAATAAATTCTTATGTGAAAATCTATAAATATATAAAAATATCTTTATAGAATATTTAACTTCAAATGTATATTATAATATAGATAAATTGCTAAATATGAAAAGATTTAAAAATAAACTCTTAAAATTGAAAATTCATGCATCATTAATGGGTTCTGTTTCATCTTAAATTTAAGTATCCTCATATACTTAATTACAAACTAACAGTTTTTCTTATTCTTCATCTTCTTTCTCTAAAATATGACTCAAATCAGCTAAACTTGCATCATTTTATATTTCTGTATAAATTGAATTAGTTAATCTAATGAAATAATAGATTATCAAAGTAATTATAATTAACATTAAACACTTCAACCAAATAGGAACATAATTACTAGTGTCTCCTGATTGTAATACATCAGCAAGTGAATCTAAATTAGATCCCATATAAACCCAGAATCCAGCCCATATAACAGTACCGAAAAAAGTTGGGTGAATAAATTCCCAATGAGTAATTCTAAATAATCCACATGCATAAGTCTTGAAAATTGTAGGAATTGCCAAAAATTAAAGTAGATACATAACTTTTGTAGGTTTACGTTCTGTTGCTAAATAACAAGTAATAAAATATATGTTTTCATTCATAGCTGTATAAATAAAGTTTCTTATCCCATATCTTCCAATTAAAAAACCAATATATCTATAATGATTAATGAATTGTTATATACTTTGCCATGAATTTTGCTAAAGAAACTGTGAATAAAGCAAACCAAAAGGGATGAATTAAAAAGCCTGCTAAAATATCATAGAGAACAACATTAAAGCCAGTCAAAACAAACCATAAACCTATTATTCCAATATAAAAAGCTCCTATATATTGTCCTATCTATATTTTTATAATAACTTTACCCTACTCATTAAAATCATTAAGCACATTAAAACAAAAATATCGAAAATCTCTCACCCAATATAAAAGTAATACAAAGGTTACCAATATAATTGAGTACAATATCATTATAAGTAACAGTACTTTTTATGCTTTATCTCTTTTAGGATTATGTTCAGATGTAGCTAAGTTCATTTAAATTCACTATTACATGATCCATCCTTTGCTTTTTAATACTTTTCTCTTAATTCTTTACTTTAATTTTCATAAAACCACTGATCTCTAGTTTGATCACTCATTCGTTTTTAATATTTATCAAATATTGTTATGATAAAATTATATTATATTTAAAATCATATATTTTTAATAGTAATTTCAATTCATTTATTAGACCACAAAATTGTATACTTATTTTATAACAGTTTAAAAAGAACTTAAATTATCTTATATATCATTAAATAATTTAGAGAATTTATATCAAGATCTTTTATTATAAAATACTTATAATAAAACCTCTAACTTAGTTTTATTTGAAAAAAATAAAATATAATTGGCTACTTGATAAAAATAGCAATAATTTTATATAAATCTAAACTTAGTATCACATATTGATTAATAATTGTATATAATTCAATTAAGAAATTTAGAAATCTTGTATTGTAATTCTTATATTTGGATATCTAATTAGAAAATATGTTTCTTGATTTGATTGTCCTTATTAACTAATATGTTTTTGATAATATATTTATTAATATTGATTCAATATAATTAAAGTATTATTTAATTAAGATTCTCATTATTTAATATATATTCCAATATCCATATGTCAATTGAAGTAGCAAAAGCTATTGGGTTTGAAACTGAGGAAGTTAGAACATTATGTACTGATAGAGATGCAATTTTATATTCTCTTGGTATAGGATATAGTTAAGATCCAATGAATGCAGAAGAGCTTTCATACACTTATGAATTACATGAAGATTTCAGAGTTTTTCCAACTTTCACAACATGTCTTCATAGAACTGATATTTTTAAAGTATATTAATATAAAATAATAAGGCTTTAACATCATGCCCAGGTATTCCAAACTTTAATCCAATGATGTTATTGCATGGAGAATAGAGAATTTAAGTCTTGAGACCATTGAAGGCAGGAGTTGAATATGTAACTAAAGGAAAAATAGCTAATATTTCTGATAAAGGAAAAGGAGCTTTAGTTTAATTCGATTTATTAAGTTCTGAAATAGATGCATAAGGAAAGAAAACATTGGCTTTTGTCAATACATTATCTCTATTTATTAGAGGATTAGGAGGTTTTGGACATAAAGGAAATCCAGTTGAAAATATTCCTGCTACTCCTAAAAGACCTCCCTGCAAAGAAGTTAAGTAAATCACAACACCAAATCAAGCTATCATCTATAGATTATCTGGTGATATTAATCCATTACATATTGATCCTGTAATATTAATTAATTTTATCTTAGAATATGGCTGCTTTAGGAGGATTTGATAAACCAATCTTACATGGTTTATGTACATATGGTATTTGTGCTAAAGCTGCTATTCAGACATTTACTTAAGTATAGATTTTGATTAATCTAAAATAGGGAAATGGTGATGCTCTTAAAAACATGGCAGCAAGATTTACTTCACATGTATTTCCAGGAGAAACTTTATTGATTTCATTATGGAAGGAAGGAACAAAAGTTTAATTTTCAGCTAAAACTTAAGAGAGAGGATTAGAAGTCATTGTGGGTTTTGTAGAATTTAATGAGAAAGCTAAATTATGAAATAATTATAAAATAAATAAATTAGTGGATTATCATTTAATTTTATAAAAAATTATTCAAGTGATTAGAGTTTAGTAAATAATGATTAAGTATATTGAAATCATTTGAAGTTTTATTTGAATGAAAGTAGTTAACTATCTATTAATATTTTACTCAATATTTAATTAAGTTCTAAAACAATTCTATAATTTTAAAGTTATAATATTCTACTCATTTTAAATATAAATTTTGATAATTCTTGACTAAATTCTATTTAAGATATAATCTATAATATTGTGTTTTTATTTTGTTTAAATTCTTATTAATTAAAATATGAATTAGAAGGAAAGACATTCTAAAGAAGAAGATGATGATTTTACACTTGATATTTCGAATGCTGAACCATTAGAATTAGATGATCAATATACAAAATCAAAATCAATTGGTTGGGGAAGATGCCATCCAATGATGTTTAGGAAAGGAATTCCTGCTATTATTATTGGACCACATTGTAAGTTAAGTTTTGATTTTAAGGGCCTTTGTTTATTTTTGCTTTTCTTTTATTTTTTTTAATGGGAGGACTCTTTATTTTCCTTAGGATTAGTGATGATCCATTTATATTTTATAGTACTCTTATTATTAGTATTAATCAATGTATCAGTTATCTTATTGTTGGATTAATCAACCCTGGAGTTGCAAATATAGAGAGAAATGATTTAGAAAAGAATAGTCAAAAAACATGGTAACCTAATTTCATATGGAAAGGTATTGTAAAGTATGTAAGTTGATTCAAGCAAAAGAAACTTAACATTGCTAAGATTGTGATGTTTGTATATAAGAATTTGATCATCATTGTCCTTGGACTGGAAAATGCATTGGTAAAGGCAATATTAAATAATTTTATTATTTTATCATAAGTACTGCAATATTTATGATTTTTAACCTTGTGTTAATTTTGGTAAAAATTAAAGAATAGGAATCTAAAATATAAAAATAACAATGATTAGTTTTATTAATATTATCAACAACTAAAAATGTCTTTTTTTATGAATTCTTTCATTTTAGTTAAGTTTTCATAATTTTCAGCAATTTATTATATTAAAGGATGTCTCATTGGATGCAAAATACAAAAATGAAGAGCATACTAATTTATCTTATTCTTCTTTTATTTAAATTAATTGCAATTTTAAATTAATTTATCTATTTATAAATTATCTAATTCCTTTTTTTGATAAGAATCAAACCATTAAATAAATTAATGCAAATCTTCCATATTTAATATTTCATATCTATTTAGATCAATTAAAGAACAAATGATATCTGAAATATCAAAAATACTAGTAGCCAATAAATAATCCCAAAATCTACATACATTATTTATATGAAAATTATATAAAAACAGTGTCATTATTAATTTAGTAATCCATATTTCATTTTAGACTTCCAACTTAAGATAAATATGATTGAATAAATCAGGAATTTTCATTTTTATTTCATTTATGCAAATAAATTCTAATAATTTTACTAATGGCATTTCATCTGAATAAATGTAATAAAGTAAATATTTAGGATTTACCATCATTTATGCTAATAATTATAAACTTTGATCTGTCTATTTATTATTTATAATTAAAGTGAATCCAACTAAGAAATTCATACCTTAACAATAACCAAGTTTTGGAAATAACTTTGATAATTTTAACAAAACCCATTCTAAATCTTTTTAACCTTCTCCGGTTTCAAAATATTTAATTTCATTAGATGTTACAGTTCTATGTATATCTTTTCTTATTGCTTTAGCATATTTCTAATCTTATTCTACAAAAGATAGTCCATCTGATTATATATGGAATTTAGGAGTATAAGCCATCAATTACCAACAAGACCATCTAATACGTTATTTAGGAGGCCCCATTATTAATTTAATTCTTGTTTAAGGGTTATTTTTACTTGAATTCATTTTTTTTTAAGATGTAGAAATTTATGATTACCATGTCTAAATTTGAATTACAATAAGGATAGCTCTTTTTATATTCGAATATTTCTTATGTATCAATGAGTGATTATTTAGTTTAATCAATCTCCTCCTCTTCATCAATTTCAGACAAGAATTTAGTAGATGCATCACAATTTAAATTTATTTAAGTTATCAATACAGATTCATGTAGACTCTCTAACCAATCATGAAGACATGATGTCTATTATTATTCATTCTAATATATAGTAGGTATTAATGATTGTTTATGTTCTTATTCTAAGTCAAGTTTAACTGCCTCATTGACTTAAGTAACTTTTCTTTATCTAATCTAATACTCAGCTTTCAACATTGATTCAGTTCTATCATGTTAACATAAAGCCTAATTCCCCATTATGTTATAATAAAATTTATTCCATTTGCCTTACTTTTTATTTTTTTGAATTCCAAAACAATAAGAAATCTTTATTAATAATATCATATCATATAATTAAATGAGTCGGAAATTCACATGGTAAGAAGTTGGTGACAATGCCAAAAATGGATGGATTGTTATTGGTGATTCAGTCTATGGACCATAAGGATTTTTAGATTCTCATCCAGGAGGCCCAGCTGTCATTAGAAATAAAGCAGGTAAAGATGTCACTAGATTCTTCAATGAAATGGGTAATTTATAATATATGAATCTAGGTCATTCATCAAAAGCTCATGATATTTTGAAATCTTTGAAAATTGGTGAGATTGACAAAAATTCAAAACCAGCCAGTTGGTAAATAGACTCAGATCAAAGACTAGTAGCAATTACTTCTGTAATGCTGATATTAGCATTTGCATTTGTTTATTTTTTTGTTTTGAAAAAATGAATTTTGTACATTATATGAAATAATCTAAATTATTTNACCTTCTCCGGTTTCAAAATATTTAATTTCATTAGATGTTACAGTTCTATGTATATCTTTTCTTATTGCTTTAGCATATTTCTAATCTTATTCTACAAAAGATAGTCCATCTGATTATATATGGAATTTAGGAGTATAAGCCATCAATTACCAACAAGACCATCTAATACGTTATTTAGGAGGCCCCATTATTAATTTAATTCTTGTTTAAGGGTTATTTTTACTTGAATTCATTTTTTTTTAAGATGTAGAAATTTATGATTACCATGTCTAAATTTGAATTACAATAAGGATAGCTCTTTTTATATTCGAATATTTCTTATGTATCAATGAGTGATTATTTAGTTTAATCAATCTCCTCCTCTTCATCAATTTCAGACAAGAATTTAGTAGATGCATCACAATTTAAATTTATTTAAGTTATCAATACAGATTCATGTAGACTCTCTAACCAATCATGAAGACATGATGTCTATTATTATTCATTCTAATATATAGTAGGTATTAATGATTGTTTATGTTCTTATTCTAAGTCAAGTTTAACTGCCTCATTGACTTAAGTAACTTTTCTTTATCTAATCTAATACTCAGCTTTCAACATTGATTCAGTTCTATCATGTTAACATAAAGCCTAATTCCCCATTATGTTATAATAAAATTTATTCCATTTGCCTTACTTTTTATTTTTTTGAATTCCAAAACAATAAGAAATCTTTATTAATAATATCATATCATATAATTAAATGAGTCGGAAATTCACATGGTAAGAAGTTGGTGACAATGCCAAAAATGGATGGATTGTTATTGGTGATTCAGTCTATGGACCATAAGGATTTTTAGATTCTCATCCAGGAGGCCCAGCTGTCATTAGAAATAAAGCAGGTAAAGATGTCACTAGATTCTTCAATGAAATGGGTAATTTATAATATATGAATCTAGGTCATTCATCAAAAGCTCATGATATTTTGAAATCTTTGAAAATTGGTGAGATTGACAAAAATTCAAAACCAGCCAGTTGGTAAATAGACTCAGATCAAAGACTAGTAGCAATTACTTCTGTAATGCTGATATTAGCATTTGCATTTGTTTATTTTTTTGTTTTGAAAAAATGAATTTTGTACATTATATGAAATAATCTAAATTATTTACTATTCATAATGTTGGTCTATTGAATAAATCTAAAACTGGCTTTCTGATCTCATTTACAACTTATTCTATATTTCTATTATTTTCATTCTTGCTAGCATGAATTAACTAAAAAATATTTTATCTATAAATACTTTTTGATAAAACTTATCCTAATCATTTTAGCCTAATAAGATTCCATTATGTTCAAACTCATAAGAATCAATTAACAAATTTAAGACTGTCAACAATTCTTATCCATTTTAAGTGATTTGTTATTTTATTAAATTGATATTATTTTAATTAGTTTCCATTAAAGATAATGATATGAAATTTTAATTTAATAGTAATCTATCTAAAATAAAATTAGAAGCTCGATATCTTCTAAATGCAAGTAATGAAAAGAATTTTTAAGAAGCAAATAATTCAAAAGTTAATTAGGAAAACTAATAGGCTGAATATGAATATTTTAGATGCTCTTGTTATAATAATTTCTCTTTTATTTTTGCAACATGATAACCAAATACATGAAATGGATTACCTACATTACTTTAAGTTAAAGGTCCAAGTTCTGAGAACATAGAAACTGGATCTCCCATAAAATATTATCCTAAATAATAAAGTACAACTTATTTATTCTAAGAATTTAATATATAAATACTTTTTCAATATCTAAAATAGTATTTAAATAATCTGTTTATTTTTATATCCTATTATTCTTATAAAAAGAAGATAACCATATGAGTTTTTCTTATATTTAAGGAACTCCAGAAATTCTAAGAAATCCAAACCCTCCAAATACATCTCTTAATTATTCTGCCATATATACACAATGCTCAGTAATATAAAGAGAAAAGAAATCAATAAATTTTTTACTTAATTTTCTTTTTGCCTTTTTTGTAATAATATCTTATTAAAATTCTTTTCTAGCCTCTTAAGTACTGATATAAAACATTAAAGCAAATGAAATTGCATTAATTAATCGTGTAATTGTAACTTAATAAGTTAAAATTGGTCTTTCAGTCTTATCTTCTGTAGTTCTGAATTACTTTCTCATTGAACAATATTTATAACAAATATCTGACAATCTCATTATTTCTCTTAGTGCAATTTAAACATCTTCAAATCCTTGATAAGATTCCCATTATTCAATAACTTCTTAATCATCTTAACTTAATTCAATGTATTTCATAACTTTTGAACCTTCAAATTATATAGCATAATTTTAATATATTGAAATACTTTTACCTAACCATTTCTCTTTGACTTTATTATCTTTTAATTATATCAATGCCAAATAAACTTTATCTTAATTCTTACAAGTAACTAAAGCATGCGTTCCAAATTTACCTTAATAATTATTACCAATTTTATATATTCCTTCTTTACTATATAATGTAGCTTAATTATTATCAAATTATATTGTTGTTGATATTTCAGTCATTTACAGTGATCCTGTAAATTCTTATTCATTTGATAACAATGAAAGTGACACTTTTAAGGTATTAGCTTAAACTAGTAAATTCTGAAATTCTTTATTTGGAGTGATTGTTTTTAAGATCCTTAGATTTAACAATTGAATCTAAAAGAATCTTTGAACATTAGGAGAAACTAAATCCCCAAAGTATTAAACGTAAGATTCTGCTTAATATAAACCACCTTTGCTTTAAATAAATTTAGTTAATTTATCTACTTAAGCAATATCTAAAATATGCTATTCATTTAAATTTTGAGAACTATGGTTAATTTAGGCTTATATCTCTGGAGATTCTGAGATTAACTTTTTGAATTCCTAAAACAACTAAAATTATGGTTATCCTCTGTAGATTAGATATGTCAATGATTATTTGCTTACTTAAAAATCTTCACTATTCATTATTAATTATATATTTTTAGTTTAAGCAATACATAACCTATATACAACTTAGCTCATTTTATTTATTCCAAAATGCTAACAATAAAATTCTCTAAGGATTTATTTAATTTTTATTGTTTCTTCTTTCCTAACACAACATAGTTACAATAAAAATCGTTTTTTGCATCTAATTCCTTCAAAATTCCTTTAAAGAAATCAAATATCTTGTTAATTTGAACACATGAATGAGTAAGTAATTTTCTATTGTATGGATTAAATATCGTAATCGGCAAAGCAGGTAAGCAATAGTCTTATAAATTAAAAAAGTAACTAAATTAGAATAATTACATACCTAGAGTTTGGATTATTTATATCTGCCAAAAGACCTATTCCAGTAGAAGAGGAGTCAAATAAATTTACGTAAAAATTAAGCAGATCAATAAATTGTTCACTAATTAAATTAGAATTAATTCTCTATTCTCTCATATAAGAATAAACCATAATTATTAATGAGTAGGATGATAGACCCCCTAAAATATAATCAAATGATATTATTACCTGAATATGATTCTGATAGCTTTAGCTTTTTAATCATAGATTTTAAAATAAGGACTATCTATTATAGTGATGGATATTCTTCCATCCATTTTTTAACTAAATCAGTAGTTATAGAACCTATATGTGTAGAATAAATAGCATTTCCATTAAAATTAAATGAAATGTCAACCTTTATTCCACTCTTTAGTTTTTACTTTAGCTTTTTCCACTATTAAATTTATTATTCATCTAAGTTTCTACCTTCATATTCAAAAATATTAATTTATGGATCTATTTCTAATTTAATAATTGGAACAGCTGAATTAAATATTGGACTAATAATTATTTTTATAATATATACTTTGCTTTTACTACCCATTTTTTTCTGGAGAATTCAAAAAATAAGTTATCAAAATGACTTTTTAACATATTTCTATTATAGACTTCTAATCCATTAATGCCAATATCTATATCCGAATCTATTAAAGCTAATCCTGTAGCACAAGACCCAAAGAGCCTAAATAGAAAAAGAAATATTTACATTATCATTCCATCTGGAATACCTAAGAAAACCTTCTAAATTACTAATTTAACTCTCTCAAAAGCCAAAAATCTAAATGGGAGCATATCTTCATATTCACTCATAATATTATCAGTAAAATCAAGAATGTCTAAATTGATTTATTCAATCATTTTTTATTTTCCCTTTTATTTAACATTTTCTAATTACTCTTTCAAGCTTTTTTCTGAATTTTATGCTTATATGGATAAATTCTTTTTCTTTTCGAATTACTAATTTTTCTTTTAAATTTTCGGAGTTATTTCATCTTCCAATGTATTTTGAGATATTTATCCACTTTCATTAGAATTTGAATTAATATCTTATTAAAATTATTAATCCTCAAATTAATTTATCTTAAATGAATTTATCAATTTAGCAAATTTTTGTTATTTTTCATTATTATTTTTTTTTATTTTAATTGAATTTTTCATTTAATTTGATTTTTATTTAATTTCTTCTTCTTCTGACGTAGAAAAAGTTCTATTTGAACAATGACTTTTAATTGTTTATGCTTAAGTTTCAATAGAAAATCTAGTAATTTCAGATTAAGGTGATTATAATTATAATTGTTCATCTCTACTTTCTGGTATAGATTTTTAAAATCCTTTTTACTTTTTTTTCATTCTTTTTTACTCTTTCAAGCATTATTCTTTATATAAATTTTCATCATTTAGTGATATAATTGCAATTTCTAAAATATTGATTGTAATTTCTTAACCAATATCAACATACTCATCATGAATGGGAATATTCTAATCTATAATAAATTATTAAGAAATACATTTTTATTCAGTTTAGATTAGATTAGTCTTTAAATTGTTAACACATTAAATTTTATATGATTATTACTATGTGTTTGAAAATTTATTAGATTCACTATTATAAGAATAATTAATACTTTTAATCATCACTAGTTTCCCAAGCTGATGGTGTATTGGGAGGTGTAACATATGCATATGCTAGATTGCTTTATGAATATGATCTTTAAAATCTTAATATATTTGATTCTTATAGATTTTTGCTTGATAATCTTTTATCTAATTCAATTGGATCTAGTCCTTTGAATGTTTACATTTTTTAGAATTTCTTTTTCTTCTTTTTTTTATCTTTTTTTTATTTTTTATCTTAAATTTCAGTCTTAAATAATTCTTATTCTAAATGTTCTTAAAATAATTGTTATACTATTTTATAAAACTTTTTTAATATATATGTTTTCTGATCTATTAAATCATTCATAGATGTAATTAACATTGAATTAATGATATTTGTATCTGTATGACATTTTTGTTAAAAATTTAACAATAATTCAACTTATGATTTCAATAATTTGATTGCTGTGCCAGAGAATATATTTTCATAAAATTTATTTTCTAAATGATCAGGTTATTATTTAATTTCTGAATATATTTCCTAAAAATAAAAGGTTAACTAAAAGTAAATAATTTTATATTACTCTTTCTTTATTATTAGCTAGATTTTATAAAAAGAATTCCCTTAATTCATTTGATGTATTTTTATAGATAGGCTCTCTAAACAATCTCTATTTTTTCTTTTTCTCTCTATGAAGATTATAAAGGAAGGAAATATTTTTTTCAAATTCTTTAATAATCCAGACTGCACAACTATGAAAACTGTTCTAATGAAACCAAATAGGGTCTTCTGCTTTTTCTAATGATATTTTTGGGGATGCTGATAGAAAATATTTATCAGAAAGGTCTTGTAATAATTCTAAGAAATAGTTGAGATTTTCCAAATGTGGTTCAGCAACGAAAATAGTATCCATAAAATTTTCATTATCAATTATATTCAATTTAGAATACAATTCCTTTATTAATTATGCTAATTATTTACTTCTGCCTTCGGATGTAGAGCTTTAAACTTCATCATAAACTAATCATCAATTTTAGACTCTAAATTAATTGTTGCTCTAAAAATAATTTTAATATTAACTGTTAAAGTAATGCATAATTTGAAGGGTTATTTAGTTTGTCATATATGTACATTTTCATTATTGGAAAGGTTTTTATTTATCCTTTAATCTGAAATAGTTTATACAATTCAGATTATTCCAGTGTAGAAAGCCTGTAATATTAATCAAAAAAATAGATACCATGATATTACTTCTAATTTGTATGTTGCAGTGGATGAATTCTATTCATGAATGTTATCTGCATACAAATTATAATAATAAGGTGCTCTATATGGATACATGCAATAATTGAAAGGTTGGAGAAAATTCATTTAATTTATCTGATTCATCTATCTACTTTACGATTATGATTACATATTGTGAGATGAGTTTGTTCTGATAAATTTAGTTTATTTATTTTTATATAATAATCTGAGAATCTTAAAATTAGACCATATTAATATAATAAAAAGATATAAAGGTACATAATTATATATAAGTATAATAATCACTTTGTCATTCAATCAAAATTGTTCTACATTTCAAGATATGGATTTAATTAAATCAATTAAAAAATTATTTTTTGTTCTCAAGAAATATCATTTTAAATTATTATTTTATATAGTACGCCATCTTCAAAAGCAATTAATAATTAAATAATATATTATTTCTTTTAAAATATTATTAACTAAACACAGTAAATCTATATCTATGTGAAAATAATTTACAGATATTAGATTTAATTAATAGTATAGATTTCAATTCTGGTATCATATTAAATTATATATTTTCCACTTGCTATAATTAATTTATGTCTTTCAGCTGCAAATGCATGAACTCTATCATTTCTTTTAATAAATGTTATAATTATCCATCATAATCTCAAAATTTAACATATGTGTCATCTGATCCTGATGCTATAAAGTTTCCAAAAAATTATAAACATTTTATTCTATCTTCATGTCCTTCACAAATATGGATTTATTTCCAAAATGGACATTGATTCCACAGATGACCTGTTTAATCTACAGATCCACTTGAATAATTCTTATTTTTGAAAGTACTATACATAGTACATAATCCTAATGTTTCTTAAGAGTAATTTTTAATTGTCTTGTTCATCTATGATTTAAAATTTATATTTTACTTGTCCCATATTTTAATTTAAGTATCTTTTTGAACATGAGATATTTTTTATCACCATCCATTAATGCTAGATATTTTACACTTTTATCATGAGTTTTAATGTTTATTCATATTCTATTAATAAAAGATTCAACAAATTTAAAGTTAGTTTTACTTAATGTGGGCCAATAGACCTAAAGTTTTAATTTTATATACTTTGAACTAATTTATGATAAATCTAATTATGATTTATTATCATTAATCTATTGGTCTTAAAAATTAGACAATGTTTAGGCAGACTGCTTAATTTTATTTTATTATTAATTGATATTATAATCAAAAGGTTCATATAGAAGTTGATTTGAAATTGATTATTATTTATTTTTAAATATTGAATAGTGAAAGTTATTATTTCCATTATTTTAATTTTCATATTATTTATTAAGTATTTAAAATTCTACTATCTTTTATCCTTTTTATTTAGCATATGAAGGATAAGTTTTGTTATCTTTTAATAAACCTTTATTGTAATTTTATGTAAAAGGCTAATATGGTTATTCTTGCTAAAAATATTTGAAAATACTTTATTATTATGAAGAATTTAGAGTTTTTTGGAGATTCTCAAAAATGTTGGAAAAAGTGCTAGTTTATTTTTTATTAAAAGATTGGTTGTTTTGATTGATTTGATCTATTGTGATTGCCCAATTGACTCAATTGTGAGGATAATTCTTTACATTCAGATAAATTGGATTTTTAATTGAGAATACTCTAAGATTATGAAGTATGTTGCTTTGATAATCCATTCTAAGCTTAACATATAGATAATTATAAAAATGCTTATTTCATCTATTTTTGATATCAATAATCTAGTCATAAAATTATTCTAAATATTCTCTATCTTTTAATCAATCTCTTCAAAATAATTCAACAAATTTTTATTAGAATTGTTAAATAGTCCTTTTCTCTTTTTTTAATTATATTATTATTTCCTTTTTTCTTTTCTCATCTATTAAATTCACTTCAATTATTAATTAAGATATTTTTAAATGAAAGAATACTTTTAATTATTCAAGTTTCTACAATATATTAGTTTAATATTCAAGTTTAAGTATTTGATTAATTCATTAATATAGGCATCCAAATTTTAAATCTTATTCGTATTATAAGTATCAATAAACATATCACAAATTGGCCCTTTCCTTGTATAATCAAGTTAAAAACACATCTATTTAAATGGTGATGAATACAATTAACAATAATATTACATAATATATATTATTATTATTAGTTTACTCAGAAAATCAAATGAAAATAATACAATTAACTTCATACTTTCTTCATTTATAAATTCATCAATTTTGCAATTATATTCTGTTTATTCAAAAGAAATATAAAATTGGATCAAAAAAATGTCAATATTTAATTAAAATATTATTTAAGATTTAAAGAACATCAATACTTCATTAATCTAATTATGGGGATTATATACATAATATATTTATAAATAATTAAATAAATGTTTTCAGAAAGATTAGTCAGAGTTACTTTGACTCTACCGAAATTTGAAGGCAATCTAAAATTAGAATCAGAAGCTTAAACAACCACTTCAAGTTCAAGTATCTCTTTTTTTTAATATTTAGGGATCATTTCAATCAACACTAGACCCTAACTACTTGGTAATAGATATCATAAACATGCTATGACTTCTATTTCTAATCCTAAGCATCTATAACTATATACCCCAATGCAAGAAAGCAAAAGAGCAAAGAGATTAAAAAATATTCCTTATGAACTCTAATATTTCACTCCAAAACTTCCAAATAAAAATTTTACCTCTAGTCACTTGATGAGTAATGAATTGCTAAAACCTTCAACTGATAATATTGAAAATAAGGATAAATGGCAGATTAAATCCTATATTCCTAAAACAAATAATGTGTTCAGTTTATGTTAAATAAAAAAAATTGATTAATAACAGAAAAGAAAAGAAAAATTTTAAGATTTATCATAATTTAGAAAACCAAATATAAAAAATATTGAGAATGAAAAAATTAAAGTAATATTTTCTAATTATATTTAGAGATATAATAAATAAAGATAAGTCACTTAAAATTTGATTGATTAATTTATCAAGTAATTCAAATCTCGTGCTAAAATTGAAAATTTCAGCTTGAATCTATGAAAATTAGTAGGAATTTTTGATAGATAGTCTCAATATTTATTTATAATTATCACCTTTTTGTTTTCAATATTTTTGAAATTTATATTAAATATAAAAATAATTTTAATAAAAAAATGCTTCAAAGTTTTATCCAGTTTTAGTCATCTATAGGTAAAATTATTTCATTATAAAAAGAAAATCGGGATAAACTTCTTAAATTTTTATAAAATTGGCTATTATTGTAAAGTTATATGTTAATTGGGTATAATAATGAAGAATCAGAGATCAAATTCTCTATCTATTGTACTTAATATGTTTAATTCTATTTAGAACAAATATATATATGTAGAAGATTATTCAGACTTGGAAAGAGCCTTTAAACATTATTAAATATTTTAGAAAAAAAATACTTATAAAATCCAAAAAAAGCATATAATTAAATACCTCATGCTGTCAATGAAATGACTACATATTCAGTGTATATATTTTATTTCTTTTTTCATTTGATTGAAAATATCATGGTTATTCATTAAATGGGATTTTTTGAGAAAAAATTTAATCATAAATTGTTAAAAATAGTCTCTCATACATTCTGGTCTTTAGGATTACTAACTTAACTTATCTATTATTTGAATAGACTTAGATCAGCATTTCGAAGGTATTTTTATTTTTATTAGAGAGAGAGTAAGAATTAAAATCTTAAATTTAAAATGGAATGACCAATGGAGATTTTCTTGAGTAATTAAAGTCCTTTTCTAATGAAAGATATTAATATGGATTGTTAATCTTAAGAATTATAGGTGATCTTGCTTGTGCTATGTAAAAAGCATAAATTCCTGAAAAAATTGTAATGAATTACTACTATTTAAGCTACACACTAGATTTAATAGAGGTTTAGTTGCCTGTGGAGGATTATTGAGTTCAATAATCTAAATTTATTTATAAGCAACAAAAATAAATAAAAAATAGAACTTTGTTGAAGTTTGAATAATGAAATAGTTTACATATTTAATATTAATAACTCAAATTAATTAGATTAAATAGAATAAAAATTTAAATTAAGATAGTTTTATATTTTATCAATTAGAATTAGAGACTTTTTGTTTTTATACTCTGAATTCATATTTTAAAATAAGATAGAAAATGAGAAGCAATTAAAAAATTTAAGGAGAAAGAATACAATAATAATATTCAATAAAAATTATAATTATAACTATAAAAAATTTAATATCATTTCAACTTTACCATACTAAATTTATGTTTAATCTTGAGTAAAAGATTTCAGGGAATTTTTTATATAAATTTGAAAGAGTGTTATAATAAAATAACAAAAGTATTATCCAAAATGCATCACTAAGGAAAAAGCTTGTAATTTAAAGTCTTGAAAAATAGCACTCTCCCCATATCTAATTTACCATTGTTTTCATCATAATAAATGATATAAATTTAAAAAGAATGCTTAAAACCATAGCAATCAGAATGTAAGATTTAGACATTCTAAATATTGAAATAATAAATAGCAAAAGTGTTATTAAAGCTAAATAACAAGAAATTGTTTGTATAATTGTTGCTGGTATTATATCACATTCATGACCTTAATTATGAATATATAATACTAATTTCAGATGTAAAGTTCGTAAATATTATCCCTTCCAATAAACATACAAATACAGATAATCCCAATGATAAAATTAAGAATTGCAAAGTTTTCTTTAATGTTGTTGGAAGCTATTTCTTAAATAATGATTATTCCATACTATAACTTTATTTAATAATAATACAATTTATTTATTTATAATAAAAAAATGAAGAAGTTGCTATATTGATTAAAATAAGAAAGAGTTCCTAATAATATTTTAGAATTAAAAAATCAATTTTTTATATTTATATAGAAAATCCATTTATTTTTTATATAAAATAATTTATTAATACAAATAGTCAATCATTATTAAGTTTTTTTTTTTGTTTTAATTTCAAAAACAGATTTCAGAGCATATGTTCCTGGACCAGGAGAATCATTTTTTAGTCCTGGCAATGGTCTATCTCCAATTCCGAATGTGATTTATTTAAATCTATTGTTTTAAATGATTTTATCAGTAGGAAGATAAGTAGTGGGGGAAGCTGCTTTTGGTAATTTTATATCAGAACTAAAAAATAAATTAATAGTACTTACTTGATTTTACCATAGATACTAAAAGCTTTAGTTTTATTAAGCAATTTTAAATCATATGATCCAGGACCTGGAACATCAAAACTTCTTATTGATTATAACTTCATTCCAAAGCTGCATGATCTACAAGATGTCTATTTCACATCATATGTTCCAGGAGCTGGATTTAATTAATCTCTTTTATCAAGATCTAATGGTCTAAGTTATTTGTTTCCAAATCCAAAAGATGTAGCTCTTTTAGTTTTAGTGTCTGTTAAACAAAGATATTTTGGAGATGGAAGTTAAGGTGCATGATGAGATTAAAATCGTTCTGCTCTAGGAAATGATAATTAAGGATTTGTTTATTATAAAATGCTTGAGCTAAGTTGATTAGGTTCACTAAATTATCCACGAAAAGTATTGTTATTATTGAGTTTCATGACTGAAAAAAGGGGTTTACTTTTAAGATGTTAAGAGTTATTCTCATTATTTATCATAATAAAATAAAATAAAATCAATTGAGATTATAATTATTTTATAAATGGGATATATAAAATACTAGTTATTTTTACTTAAACAATTTGTTATCATATTCTAAAACATATAATCATCAAATTAAAGATATAAATATTATAATTTCTATTTATGATCTCTAACAGTTATTTGTTTCTAAAATAAAATTATAAGATCTAATTATATATATAGTATTTATAAATAATGGTTATTATGAATATTAAGTTTTAGATATACTTTAATTTGAAAATTTAGTTATTTTGCATTTAAGTTTATTAAACTTTTTGAGTAAAAATAAATATATAATAATAATATAATGTAAGGATTAAGAAGGCATCCAGAACTTGATAATATGCCTGACTTTTTATTCGAAAGTAAAAGTATAATAATCTCAAGATACTTTGATATTATCTGATCCTAGAGAGGAAAATTGTTATTAAACAATAAAAGATTATTGTTGTCCAAATTTTACTTTAATGTCATTTACTGCCATAATTTCATTTATTCAATTGTCTTTGTTTATTGTAATGTGTTTCTTTGGGGATTTTAATCTTTAGAATACAATTTTGTGTATAGTATTTAAATATTATTTACAAAAGAGTTCTCAGATGAAACTCTTGATAATTTTGGAAGATGTTCAGCATATAATGTTAAATATTAATTAGAATTCTATCGACTATTAACTTGTCTATTTATATTTAATAATGTTAAAGATTTATGTGGAGAACTATTATTATAAGTGATTGTAGTTTCTATGGTGGAGAAGTTTATTAATAAAAAAACAACTTTATTTTTATATTTATTGACTGGTGTTGCTGGATCAATAACATTTATAGTGTTTTATGATTAAAGTATACAAGGAAATTCATTTTGTTTATTTGGTATGGTTGGTTTAATGTTTGGATTTATAATTTAGAATGCATAATAAGTATTTAAAATTATTATATTAAAGGATGAGGCAAGATAAGTAATTATGTAAGTAACAATTTTTATATTAATTATTGGAATAATAGGGTTTTTTTATAAAAATTCATTAATTTTTGGAATTTATGGAAGTTTTTTAATTGGAATTATTATTGGATTGATTTAACCAACTTAAAATAGAATCTTTTAAAGAACTAAATTGAAGTTTGTTGGATTAGGTGTAATTTTCATGTACTTTACTGGATTTATTTATATTTTTTTTTCTTTTAGAATACCATCACATCCAATTCAATAACAATGAGTTTTTTATTATTTTGATTAATTAATTTATTTGAAATAATAAAATCCATCTATATAATTATATTAAAATTAAAAACGAAGTGAAAATGGATAAAAAAGGCAACTTTGAAAGACTAAGGAAGAAATTAAAGAGTGATTTATTTAAAAATGAGTCTCACTAAAACTAGTAAGCTGAAGAAATCATAAACTAATGTCCTTAGATTTTAGAATATGTTCATTGCTCGAGTTAAAGTGAATTTAAAGAAGAGCCAACTAAATTGATAGATTATCTCTCAAATCAGAAACAATTAGAATAGATGAAGTAGTCCTTCTAAAATTAGTATTAAATAGGTAAGATATTAGGAGAAGGTGCTCATGCAGTAGTTCGATAATGTTGGCAAATAACAAATCCTGATGAAACCTATGCTGTCAAAATTACTAGAAATCCTGATCCTGAAATTACAGAAATTATGAAACAAACATTCTTAAATACAGTCTCTTTGAATCATCCATATATATGCAAAACTAATATGCTTTACATAGATCCTAATATGGAATGCTCATATCTCGTCATGGAATATTTGCCATATCCTAGTCTATAATAAATCCTTAAAGATAGATAGAAACTGGAATTTGAAGAAGTCCGCTAAATTATTAGACAATTATTTGAAGCAGTATCTTATATCCATTAACTTGGATTATGTCATAGAGATATTAAACCAGATAATATATTATTTGATAATGATTCAAACACAATTAAATTGATTGATTTTGGTGTATCAAAAAGATTTCTTGTAACTGAAAAAAGTTGTAAAGACATTAAAAATAATCTTATGTGGACTGTTACTGGAACCATGCCATATCAAGCACCAGAATTATGGACAGGATTTGGATATTCCAATAAAATTGATATATGGGCTATTGGAGTAGTTTGTTATTAAATGTTATGTTCAAAACTACCTTTGGATTAAGAAAACCAAATGGAAAGTTTTTCTACTTAAACTGAATATACTGGACATTTTCAAGAAGAATAGTTTATTAATCTTCCTCCATTAATTATTGACTTCATTAAAAGATTATTAAAATGGGATCCAGAAAAAAGAATTACATCCTAAGGTATTCTCAATTTATAATTTAAAAGAGGCTCTCCTTCATCCTTGGCTTTATTAACCAAAGTTAATACCTATATATTCCAAAGGAAAATCTAAAGATGATATATTCTCTCGTTCAAGTGGCAAACCTCTTTTGGCACTTGTTAGATCTATGTAAGCTAATTTTAAAATATTTTAATAATCTGTTTTAAATGTCAATGAGCATTTTATTGATAAAAACGACTTCAACAAAAATCATGGATAAATTATAATTGGTTTTAAAGAAACTAGTCAATAAATAAGAGACAAATCAATTCATTTTCAATAATCAATTCATTCTATGAATCTCAATAAATGTTTTTCTAAACCTAACACAGAAGATGTTAAAGATCTTTTTGATGTTATTAGTTATTGTGATAGTAATTCTTCATTTGAAGCTTTAGAAGAGAAACAATAAATATAAACTCAACAATAAAAATAAGCGATATAACAACAACAATAAAAAATTGCATTTTCTTAAAGACTAGGAATTATTAAAGAAGAACCTGAATCACTTTTAGCGAGTAATTTTATTTCTAAAATATAATAATAAGTTGAAAATTGATCAAAAATTTAGATTTATATTTATTTTAATTTAATTTAAAGATATTATTAATATCATTTCAATATTATTAGTATTTTATATTATATCAAACTGTAAATACAAACACATATCTGATTCTTCTTAAATTATTATTTATAAGTTTAGCTATCCATCTTGATCGTTATTTTTTTATAATAATTTACAAAACCACTAGATGATAGATAAAGTCAATAATATCCTTAAATAAAATTTATCATCTTTTTCAAAATAACTAGAATCTCTTTTTTAATTATAGTAATCTATTTTCTTTCAGTATCTTATTAATAATATTTTAAGATTAGTATAAAATTCTATAAAGAGCAAATTTACTTTTATGCAAATAGAAGCTCATACAAAATAAAATTTGTAATGAGAAGAAATAGAATTATTAAATAATCAATTATTTATTATATATTTGCAATTATGAAAGAAATTTAAAATAAATTTAGATAAAGATTATATAATTGATTATGTTTATGGATCTATAGTAAATTTTAGAATATCATTATATTTCTAATTAATTTAGTTTGATATTTTTCAATACATGTATTTTCTAAAAATAATAATAAATAATAAACCCTATTTTTTTGTATTTAATTATTAATCTAAGATAGAATAACAATATAGATTCTTATTATAATTGCATCTTATCATATAAATTAAAGTTAGAATCTGATTTTATAAATATTCCAAAAACTAATATATTAAAATATATATTTAAAATATCTATTAATTTTAAGTATTTGAAACACTGTAGAGATCATCAAATTTAGTGAATCAGAGAATTTATAAGTTAAAATGCTTAAATCTTTAAGGAATTATATGATATTTTATACTTTAATTAGTTTGAAATAAAGTGTCAAAGGATTATAGCATAATTTAAAAATAATTTTTTAAATAAATACAATGTAATACGTCGCTGCTTATGCTTTGTTAGTTTTGGGAGGAAAGGCTCAACCAAGTAATTCATATCACAATGAATATCTTAGCTGAGGCAGATATTAAGGGATTATTGGCTGAAGTAGGTGCTCAAGGAGCTGATGATTAAATCAAGGGAATTGTAGATGCATTGAAAGGAAAAACTCTTTCTGATGTTATCAGCGAAGGATTAAAAAAAGTAGGCACTCTCTAATTGGGAGGAGGAGGTATATAGTAAATAATAATCTTAAGCTGCATCAAGTGCTCCTGCTTAAGCCTAGGCTCCAGCTGCTGCCAAATAAGAGGCACCTAAACCAGTTGAAAAGGCTCCAGAACCAGAAGAGGACGTTGATATGGGTGGTTTGTTTGACTGATAATACATTTTAGTACATTCATATACATATATTAAATATTTTATCATAAATCAATTAGCCTTTGTTGACAATATTGCTGGAACACTAACATTAGTGGATTGAGGTTTAGCATTGTTATTATTATTATTGCTACCATTAAAACTATACCCTCCGAATTAAGCTAAAATCAATAAATATGAATGCCTTAAACTGAGTTCCTTCTTAAACTTAATATACTTTCTGGATCAATTTCATTAGCAGAATCTCTACGATTTTCGTTGGCTATTTAAATCATTTCGTCTTCTTTAGGAATATATGGAGCTGTTAGTTGTCTATCCAACAACTTATCCCAAGAATAATCTTTAAACCATGAATGAGCCTTAACTTCATCAGGACCATTTACTCCTAATCTATTAGCAGGTTTTCTTTAGATGAGCTTGCTCTTAATTAAAATATCTACTTTGTTTGCAAAATCAACAGCCTCTAATGACCATCCTGTGGGAATGTCAGTATTTTTTATTTAAACTTATTTAGCAATAACTTGATCTCTAATTTCTTATCTACTTTTCCCAACATATGGTCTTTTGCCCATTATGCATTCATACACAATAACTCCAAGTGCATAATAATCAACACCTACTCCATGATTTTATCCTAATTAATTAGATAAAAAAATTGTAATTCTTACTGCACATTACTTCTGGAGCCATATATCCAGGTGTACCACTAGTATCTTATGCATTTTCTGGTTTCCATTAACGAGCAATTCCCATATCTGTCAATTTTAAATATCCTTTATCATCAAAGACTAGATTTTCTGGTTTCACATCTCGATGGAGAATTCCATTTACATGTAAGTATTCCAAAGAGACGATTATACAAACCACAAAGAATTCTATTTTGTTTATTTTTGAGTACTAGTTTGTTCTTCAGTAAATTTCCTTTATTTACATAAATGGTATCTCAGATCTCCACCTGTTAATAAATCCATGACCAAGTAGAGATTGTCTCTATCCTAAAATGCTGCTTACATATTTATAATGAAACTAATTTAATGGGTTACTTTTACTTATGTTTTAATTAACTAAGTAGTTATAATTCATTCATTACTGATTACACACTTTTCTTAGCGATGATCCTATTTCAAATATTTACATAATTAACTTAGCTTTTGACATTATTTTCATAGCATATAAACTTTTTGACTTTTTGTTCTCTACCATCCAGACCTAATTTTCTTTATTATTTTCTTTAATCTTACCTTTCCAAAGCCTCCCTTGCCTATAACACTCTTCTGTGTGAAATTAGAGATAGCAATCACTAAAATTAGATTAAAGTATTACCTGTTTAATCTTCTGACTCTGTTGACTTTAGTGTGCAATTTCCCATTTTTATTTATTAATTATTACAACAGCGAATTAACTAAATAACTTTTAGAATATCATCATTAAATTTATTCAAAAATGTTGTTTAATAGATTGACTTAGATCAAATACAGAATAGATAAAATATTAATTACTAAAGATATAAAATTAATTGTCCATATACTTATTTTAGATCAAAATATGAATTTCAATATAGAATAGCTCATTCAATTTGTTTCTGAAAAGAAGTCTTGAAGGATCAATTTAAAGGTTAAATTAATTATGGTATCAGATTGCCTTGGATTTCTTTTACTCTACCTAATTATTATACACCCTCTTTAAAAATATATGAAAAATTCAAAAGAATTCAATTAAATTGATATTATAATAGTAAATGTTTAAATTTTTGAGATCTAAGATTATTTTTGAAAGGGATGATATAATTATATTAATATATCTAAATAATCATGTTTTCATGCCTTACTATACAAAAACTACTAAAATATTTAATGTGATCTATCATCATCAGATAACTTCATCACAAATCAATTCTTAATCTATGTATCATAATTGAAGTATCTAGAATAGTTATTTCAAATAGATTAATAAATTGCTTCTTTGCCTGAATCTTAGAACTAACTAATTATTGTTAAAGAATAGACAATCAGTAAGTCCAAGCTTATTTTAAATATAATAATTGCAAAACAAATCAATTTAGATAGCAAATAATATACAATAGGATTTTTTAATTAAAAGTATTATTCTATCTATTTAAAGATATTTAATAAAAATATCAATCAAAATAAATACATTAATCTATTTTTTTTTAATTGGAAGTTACAAATAAAAATAACTATTTCTATATTAAAATTATTCCAAAATATTTTTAATCATCTAATCAGCTAATAAGTAATCTTAAATATATGACTTGATTTTAAGAGAAATTAATATTCTATTTTAAAAGCAGAAAATAAAATCTGGAAAGAAGCCTAAAGTCTTTTCTTTTACAACATTATAATCTAAATTATTAAATTCAAATTATAAAAATAAATAAATTCTTTTAACAAATAAGTATGGAAATATATATAAAATTATCAAAATTAATTTAATAAAAGTTATGATTTATATCTAATTGATCTCTTTCTAATCAAACTTTTTGTACAATATATCAATCCATAACCAAAAATTATCTCTGATAAATTAATAAAAATTACATATACATTATTATTGATTTATATATAAATATATTAAATTTATAAAGAAATGAATAATTCTGAATATCGATATCCAGGAGGAGCGAACTCATTTAATTATGAAAATATCAGAAGACCTAATACTATTAATTTGAGTCCATTTGAAACTTAATTGCTTTATGCAATAGCTTTTAGTTTAATTCTATGGGGACTAATAAGATCGTATAATTATTGATATATTGAGAGATATAAATTATAGTTTAATTAAATAATTTAGATATTTATTATTTTTAATTAACTATGATTCACATATAATTAATTCTATCAATCTTTGATGGTAAAATTTAAATCATTTCCTTACACATTTATAAAACAGCTTAAAATTCATTTTGTTAATTTTATTAATTAATAAATTGAACCAGTTATTTATATTAATTTAAAGAATTGACTAAGTATGTAACTTTAATTTTATTATCTTTAGAATAGTATTTAGATTATGCTTTAGCTATATTGAAATATGCTGTAGTTATGGATGAATAATAAGCTGAGTCTCTCTATTTATCTTCAAATAATTTCAATTATTCAACTATTTTTTAATAATATTGAATTGTATTGAGACAAGCTTTATTCATTTTTTCAGTTAATTTTTTACTTTTACCTCCTTAAAAATCATCAATTTCATTAAATTTAACAATAAATTCATATAATTCGTTATTAATTTCTGCAATTTCAACTAATAATTTTTCATAAGTATTTTGATAAGCTTTTGGATTGATAGCATTAAATACAGGAAGTAAAAGGTCTAATCTTTTTTCTAAATATGCAATAATATTATTAGGATCAGTTTCAAGATTCATAATAACTTTATACATAATAGAGATTTCACTAAGCATTTGAATATGTTCAGTTACAAATCCATCTAATACAAATACAGACATTGCTTTTTTGTATAAAGTATTGGATTATCTAAACAAGGATTTTATATCATCAAATGTTTTACTAGGTTAGAATACCTAATATGATGATAATAAGTAATACTAATTATTTAACATTAACACTATCAAATGTAATGCTATATTTATTAAATAATTTATGAAGACTAGGATCATTCTATTAATTGCTCTTAATGCAATCAACACAATATGACATCATATCTCCTATTACTTTTCCTTGAGCCATTTATAAAGTTGCACGACTAGAATTCTAATATATAAATACAGCTTTTTCCTTTTTCCTTCTGGAATGACGGCTTCACCAACTAAGAGAAGATAAAAAGCCTAAGCAAAATTCCAGATACCTGAATAATACTCAGATAAGGATATGCAATTTATAACTAAATCTCTTAATTCATAAGTTTTAGATTTAAATTATCTCAACATTGTCTATCCACAATAGTAAGCAGCCTAAATATATTAATTTAAATATACTTTATCTTTGATTCCAAGTTTGGTATATGCTTATGCAATATAAAATAAAGTGATTGTGTAAAATTCTTATGCTTTTTCAAATCCACCTTATATTTTAAAAGCTCTTTTTTCAAAGTCTCCCTTGGCTATTAAATATTCACCTAATCTTTCAGCTTTAGCCAACATAGCTAATCCAGTTTCATTATCATCTAAATTAACTGCCAGGAATCCTAAATGATTGTAGATGGATTAAATATATGTCAAATAATTTTCAATGTCTTCTATTTAAGAAAATAGTTATAATGATTTTCCCATATTCTTTCTAGCTAGATTGAATAAAAATAAAAAAATTACATTCTCCATTTTCTTCACAATCTAGAAAATTGACTCCTAATTAGTAATGGATGATTGCTTATTGCAAAGGGTCTTATGTTTTTTACAATAATTATTATAATAAGGTTCTTGCTCTGTATTTATATAGAAATGGCTATTCTTCTATACTTGGAAACTTTTCTAAATTTTCAACCTAAAAAAGAATGCTTTCAAATTCGTATAGCATATATTTATTAATATTATTTTAAATATTTTATTGTAAATGTACATTTTATTATCTCTACTCATTTCTTGGTTTCTTTAGCTTACTTTCTCTTTTCCTTAACTCCAACGAATTTAGCATTGTACCATTCTTATCTTAATCTTCTGTAAATATTCTTAGATCTTAATTCTTTTGAGATTACTGTGGCTTTTTCTCTCTTTGGAGTTCTTTAGAATGTGATAACCTGAAATTTATTTATATGATATATACTTCTGGATTAGTATTCTATGTGTATGCTTTATTAATAACATCATTTGCTGAGTCTTTAACAACTCCATTCTTTGGTTTACCAGCAACTCTTGGGAATAAGACTAATTTAGACAAATAAGCCTTGATTCTCTTAACATTAACTGCCAATTCTTCTTAGCTATTATTTCTTCTTCTGTGATCAACTGCAATTCCTACAGTTCTGGCAAATTAAGCATTAAGACCTGCTTCTTTCAATTCAATCAATGAAAATCCTCTTCCCAATTTCTATACACCATTATATTTAATTGTTTATCCTCTTACAACTGGTCTAAGTAATTCAACTGGTCTTGGAGAAGCTCCTATTGAGAATTAATAAAATAATTATTTACTTAATGCATTAGCTTATCTTCTTTATTATCTTCTTCTCTTGGCAGCTGGTTGATTGTAATATGTCTTTACAAATCTTGTCCAATGTTTTCTTAAATGGGCATTAGGGAGTTGTTAATTGTGCTTCATTTTTAGAAAAAATTTAAAAAATAAATATAAGGATATTTAAAAATATATTAAATGACTCAAATTAAGATTTTATTCATATAAACAAAAAATACTTTTGGTTATCCATTTATTCTCAACTATAATTTATTTAACACATAAACCTATTCTATTTAATCAATATATATGATTGATAAATATTAGAATCTAAAATTTCATAATTAAATTTATTTTCTTTACTTATAATCTTATATAAGGTTATAAATTAAAAGTCTATAATTTTATCAAAGTGTTAAGATTAATCTAATAAATATATAGTAGATGATCTTATTATTTAAGAAACAAAAATATAATAGAATGACTAATTTGTAAGAGATGGAGATTCTAAATGTAAGTAATTAATTTAGATCTCCTTCAATATAATATTATATTTATATATGGATGTATTTATATTAATATCTCAAAATATTCAATCTTTAGCTGCTCTATAAATTTTATTACAAGCATCTTCTAATAATCCTAAGAGAGATTCTTGAGATTCTTCTCTTAATTTTTTTTCTTCTTCAATTTCGCTCTTGACTCTGGAAACAAGGTCTTTTAGCATTTCAAAGATTGCTGCTTCTGATTCCTCTCTGAATTAATTTATTCAATCAGTACCTTAATTTTTTCTGATTACCTAAACCTTCATTCAATCGTTTTATTTCATCTCCAGCTCTTCTTAGAGTACCATTATCATTATCTTCTCTATCTTATCCTTCAGTTTTAACCATGTCATATAATTTAGGTAGATCATTTTCTAAAGATGTTGTAATATTTTCAATTTGTTCTTATCTAATTTTTCCTTCTGTTTAGATATCTGACTTCAAATAGACAACCTATATAGAATGATTATTAATACTTTTTCATCTAAATATCCTGATAATTTGAGATTTCCATCCTTTCTTAAAGCAATTTCTTATTCGAGTTTAGTTGTGATTCTACTTTCGAAAGCAGCAATTTCTCTTACTCTTTGTTCAAATTAAGTTTCAAAGGCATTATTTTCCTCTTCGATTTATTTTTGAAGACGAACTATTTCATCTTTAAGTGAGTGCTATTAGTTATAAATACAATAATTTACAAGTTTTCTATTGTATGAAGTAATTGTGTCTTACATTCTCTCTTCAACACCTGTGATTCTTCCACAAATATTGTCAATTCTATGGGCTTTAGATGAATCATGTTATAATTATATTGAGTTAAGCTTTTCAGAGATTTTAGCAAATCTTTCGTTGAAAGGTGTATTTGGATTCATTTTTTTAACAAATTTATTTAAGTATATTTATATTTAAAGCTTAATATAAGAAATAAATATAATATAAAATTTAACAAAGATATTTTATTCATTATAATTAATAAACATACTATTTTTTAAGAAATCTTGGTTAATAACTTATTTTGATTCTATCCAAATTATATATAGTCAAGTATTATATAAGATTTTACTCAAATATCAAGAATATAGATATAATATAATATTAATAAATAAATTATATATTTCATACATATTTTATTATTATTAAAATAAATTCCAAAATTACGTTTACAATTTTACATTTAGAATTGAATATCCTTTCTATTAAGGTTAATCTAATACTAGATTGATAATTATTAGGAATTATTTTAAATTAATGACTTTAAAAAATTTTATTTAATTTCTTAAAATAATGATACCTCAAGATAGTTAATTCCTTCTTAAATTTAAATTTTCACCAAATAATAATTATTAATAAATTATCACACTCAATGAACAATGCTATAAGATGTGAAGAAAACTTAGATCTTCAAAATAGTTTTGAAAAATATAAGTAATTTGATATTTATGAATAATTGCAGGAAAAATAATCGACCCTCATAATATCAGAAAGTTGACGAGAATATTAGATAACAAATTATAGATTAAGCTTGCAATATGGGATAGCCATTAAGATAAGTAAAATGACTTCTAAATTTCAGATAGCTCAAAACCTAGGAATTAAATATTCAACTGCAAAAGCAATTGTCTAGGTATACTAAAATGAAGGAAGAATAGGAAAAAAACGAACAAGAGATAAACGAATTTTTTAAGAGATTGAAACCTTCATGATAGTCGTTCACAAATAATCTGGGAAAATAGAAAAGCTCAAACATAAATCTGAGTGCAGTGACTTAAAAACCAATTATAAAACAGCTAAAATAAAGTAAATACTTATATATTAAGGTTATTAGTCTTGAAGAAACTCATTATTCTTAATTAGCTCAATATTTTGGAAAGTATACTCTATATTAAGAAGATGAGGCACAAAGTTCACAAAATGAAACCTTACTGAACATTGTTAAAATATTAAATGAATAATACTAATAATTTTAGTATGATCCTTAACAATGATGATGATTAATTTATTTATCGATAAAAAATTAACTTTATCCTTAAAATGGCATTTTATTATTATTTAATTATTCTTTCTGTTTTATATATATATATATTAATTTTACAATTTCTTTTATTTTGATGGTGCGTATAATGCTAATAAATAATAAGAATATTGATAATACTAATTCTATTGATTATTATTAAATTTCTTAATCTAATAATAAAATATCATGTATTAAATATATTTAAATAATTTTTTAAACAATAAATTATTGTTTGATAGAAGTTTTTGAATTTTCTTTTTCTTTAATAATTAAAAAATATTAATACTTCAGAACAAATAATTGCAATACTTTTTTATTAAAGACTAAATATTCCAGATAAGATATTATAAATGCTTTTGAGAGATTAAGCTGAATGAATTAGGTATCTTGAAATGATACATATTCTAAAGAGTTTTTAAATAAATTATAGTTACAATTTTATGAAAAATGATTACAATATTTGAAATAAATATTTTTCCTATTTTGTATTATAAAAATTGTTTTTTTCTATTTTCTATATCCATTATTATTTTTATTTATCTAAATTACAAATATTTCTATATAATAATCAAATAATGAGTCTTACAAAATATTTGAATAATAATTATTATTACATCATTATTTATTAATGTGGAGTACTAGTATTTTGTTAATTTAAAAAGTATTTCTTTTATCTTACACCAGTATTTTTATACTCTTTTGTAGTAATTCAATCCAAAAAAAATAAAAATAAAATTAAATACTGAGAAATATAATGTTTAATACAAATTACTTGTAATAATATTATTCATTTTTTATGAGATATATATATTTTATTAAATATATCTATAAAATCATTATTAACATTTTACTGCCGATCTCCTACAGTAAGGACAGGAATTTTTAATTTTCAACCATCTAATTAAACATTCTGAATGAAATATATGTTAACATTCTAGAAATATAATTTTCTATCTTTTTTGAATATCATCACCGCAAATGGGACATTATATTGTATTATTATTTTATTCTTCCAATTAAGCTAAATCTACTGCTTAATTTCTTTTTTATTGCACTTCTAATTAAGAATTAAAGGATTTAATTTCTAATTTTTCCAAATCTTCTTCTCTCAAATTAGTGACTTAAACTTAAGGATTATCATTAAAGAATCTTCCATCTCTACAATTCCTTAATTATAAATAATATTGCCCCTCGATAATATGTAAATTTTTACTAATATATGAAGATTATAGATGAAGGCTATGATGATGCTTGCAACTGTTACACCAGCAATTAAGTATGAAATTTGTTAATAGTCAATAACCAATTAGATACCATCTATAATGACTTGTAGAAATTAAATTAAAACAAATAGATTTATTACAAAATAAATCTTAGTAATCTCAAAAACATGAAACATTAACTAATTAATGAGAAACTTTATAAAAGGTTTAATTTCCTTTTGTAAATTATCAAATTTGATAGAGTAATAAAAGCCTAAAATTTAAAATAAGATAATTTACACACAAAAATGATCAGTGTCTAAAAATAAAATAGGTATTCATATGATTAAAATAATCTTTTGTCACAAGTGGGGAGCTAATGCACATCATTTCTTCTGATAATATTTCTTGAATAGAATGAATAAACATGATTGCAAACAAAAAATGCTGATGCATAATATAATAATTGGGTTGCTGTGTATTTTTATAAATTTGTATCAAAAGTTCCATATAGAGCAATGATGAAACTAAAAATCTAGTTGGATTACTTAAAATAACACTACCTCATTAAATAATATAATAGGGTAAGAAACTTTGTAATGATTTTGCCATATATTGATTAGTAAGTTTCTTAAATTATCTCCAGTTCCTAAATAAGCATGCCAAATTAAAGTAACCCAAATATAAATAACTCCTAAATGATACAATATTAAATAAGTCAATGGTATTTTTAAAGCATAGGCTGTCTAAAATTTATACAAAATATTACTTATGATTTGTCCGATTAGATTTGATCATATAGATAATAAGAGCTTATTGAGATTGGGCAACTTATAAATATAATTGCTATGGTTGTGTGAAATATGAGTTTGAGAAAAACCATTAATATTGGTTTATAAATATTTGTAAAAAAATTAATATAATCGAAACATTATTATAAGTTATAATAAGTAATTTTATTAATAATAATATAATTTCTAATTTATTTTAAGACATAATATGCAGGCATATTAAAACACTAAATCTAAATAAAAAAAATAAAATGAATAATCATCAATTTAGTATTATAAATTTCTATATTAGAAAAGTTAAACCTATTAATGAGTTTTCATATTAATTTATAATTGGCAACTGATTGCTCTTTAAATATAAAAATTATTTATGCACATAATTTAAATATCTTTATACATTGAATTATTCTTATTTTGTAAAATTCATAAAATTTCAAAATGTTAATTAAAGAGTTAAAGGTTTGTAGATACAAATTAATAATAGAATTTAAATAGACAATGAGTTAAAGATTTTACAAAAATAAATACTGTTATTTGGAAATAGATTAATGAAGAATTTTACTATGTCTTTTAATCAAGAAAATTAATTATAAAATATACATTATCAACTTTCTTGCTTTAGCTTCATTAATTTTTAAAACTTATACTTTTTTCTTAAAATTTATAAAGATTCAAAATTTTATAAATTATATTGAGGCATATATTTATTTTAAAAACTATATAATTGTTCCGATCATAACTGAGAGAGAATTCTATTAGAGATTATAAAAATAATATAAAATATTAGTAAAATAAAAATATTATAAAATAAATGAAATTTTAATTTAAAGTTCAAAATTCATTTGAATAAAGAAGAAAATAATCTTTTTATTAATTGAAAAATATGATTAGTGGGTGCCTATAATTGCCGAATAATAAATGGATAATGGAATATAGAAAAAAGGAAATCCAAATAATCTTTAGAGAATTTAAAAAATGATGGTTCTGGGATCAATGTAAATTTAAAATCTATTCAATAAATTTAAAACATAATTTTAACCATATATATCTGAAAAGCATGGACTATTTATATTTTTTGGTGGAAATAAACTATTATCAAATCAAATGTCAAATACTATCATGGAGCTTTATTAAAAATATAAGGATGATGATGGATGGCTTTACTTATAAATAAATATATAAGAAAAATCAGGTTGAAATATTTATGATATTTATTTAATTTATATTATTTTGGCCTTTACAAATTTATTTTTTATATTAAAACAAAAGAAAGTTAAATGTTAATGAATATTTATAAAACAATATAACTTTCATTAAGTTTCTCCTTGTTATTATTATGGGTGAGCAATATATTCAAAGTCTTTTTTATTTTATAATCCAAGGCAATTTGTTATCCATTTTGTTAATTCTTCTAATAATTTTGGATATTTATTTTAATCTTTAATCCATATTGAGATTAGTATAAAATTCTTTTTAGAGTGAGCAATCTTAATAATAAATATTAATTTTTACAATTCCACATACTCCTTGTAAATGTGGATTATCATCACTTAAATAGTGCAATATTAATTCTTCCCATACTCTATTTTCAAATCCTCTCTTTACTCTAAGTATTAATCTACCACCATTCATGTTTTATGGATCTTCCCATACAGGTTAAATTTACTCTTGGAATAAGAAAAATTATGCTCCTAAAGGTAACTTCTCAGGTTTAACCATATAAGAATAGTATGACCAAAATTCTCTAGCTGTTCCAAATGAACCTTTGATATGTTTATATTTTTACCTATTTATTTCAGTTAATCACTAAAATTATCAATATTCTAGTCTTTGCTGACACTTAACCAAAAAGTAAACCTTGATCTTAATTAAGAATCCTAGTTCATACACGTAATTATGTAAAAATAAAATAAGTTTTATTTAATAAAATATATAAATATATTTAATATTCTTTAATATGAAGAAAGAATTATATAAGAAAAGTGAAACATAATTGTTTATTTACTTTTATGAAATAAAAATATTAAATTCAATCTGAAATAAAAGCTTTTTATCTATCTAAACCTTTTTAAGGAACTTCACTATATATATATAAAATTAAATATACTCTTCTTCTTTGACAAATGGTTTTTTATCAGAATTTTATTATTAAACTGTTTCCTTTTCTTATTTTAATCTATCCACATTTAATCTATGGACATTTCCAGGTGTATATGGACTTGATCTTCTTTAAGAGTATCTTCTCTCAGGAGTTGTATCATTTTTAATTAACATACCTGAAGTATATGGTTTTTAAGGAGAATATCTTCGTATTCTTTTATTGGAATATTCATCTAATTTGTTTCTATGTTTTATTATAAAAATTACCTAATATTTTACACTCTTTTTTGTATATTTTAAGATTCTATAGATTCAGTAGGTCTTAAATCAATCCTATGTTAAACTGTCTTCAAACTCTTTTTACAATTAAAACCTTATAAACCTTTCTATTGAACTTCATATGGATTTTTTTAATGATTATCATAATGAAATATTTCTCCTATGTAATTTTACAAATCTCCTTTTAATCTTTTTGTTTTTTATGATCTTCTAATTTGATCATTCTCATCAAAATTTGAAGGTTATTGGAAATTCTTAGGACTTCTGAATTATTCTTTAGGACGTGTAAGTTTAGGAGATAATATTTTAATATTAGTTGAATCATAAATGAATGTTTTTGATTATTAATTTGTTGAATAATTACCTCGTTTATGAATTATACTATGTTATGAATCTAAATAACTTTTTTTAGGCAATGTCACTTTTCCAATAACAATAATTTAACTTTCAACTAATGGCTATTCTAATTTTTATTTCTATGCACTATCTGATTAATCTGATTATTATGGTATTTCTGCCAATTTGGTTTGCATTTTACTAATAGAAAGTTCATTAAATTAAATTTAACTTTTTTTTGCCAAAAATTAAGAAAATATATCACTTTCATTTGGAACTACTTCATCTTTTTGTTTTTAATCAGTACTATTTTAAACCATTTCACCTAACTTTTTATATAAATCTTCAAGATTTTCACATCCTTAAATTTAAGATACTATTAACTTTTTTTTTTAAGGATCTCCTTTAAACATTTTAGCATCTTTATCTTCCAAAATTGTAAGTACTTCTAACTTTTCATCTATCATCTATAGTTTATGTTAATTGGCTTTATAATTAAATTCCCATTATTCCCAAATCTTTGTAAAAGTTTCCTCATTTAAATGGGAATCTTTAAATATTTCATTTCTAAAATGATAAAGAAACTTACAGATTTAGACCTTTAGCATAGTCAGCAAAATCTTAAATCTACAATTCTTAAGCATTCTCTTTCACCAAACCTTTAAATGCTTCTGATGGATTCTTGAACTTTTATTAAAGATTTTTCTTTAGAATAATCCAATTCTCAAGAATTGCTTATTAACTCTATAAGACTTGCTTCTATTTGGTTAATTCTTCGATTTCGGACATGATATTATTAATTAATTAAAATAAATTTTATTCAATATTACTTTAAACTATTAATGAGTGCATCATTTTATTTTTTTTCTTCTTATATTTTATAATAAGCTTCTTGTAATTATTTTCTTATATATTCTTTTTAATATTTCCATTCTTATAATGTATTTTCACTTTGTTTTTACATATTATTAATGAATGTACAATCATTAGTATTATGTTTTTATTATTTTCTAGCTGAATAATAATTTTCATTCTTTTTATCACATTCAATATCATTTCTATTCTCTTTAATCTATATTTAATAATCTGAAATCTAAGAGTTTAATTTTAATATTTCTATTTTATATTCATTTAATTCTTATAAATGTTCTTTTTCTTATTATTGATATAAATTTGAAAATTTTTCAATATTAATATTAGAATCTATAACTCTTTATTCAAATTTAGATATTATGGATCTTAATTTATTTAATTCTTATTTATTATGATTATCTATTGATTTTAATTATTAATTATGATCTTATTGTAACTATTCTAATTATAATTTTAGATCAGAAATAAGATTATCTGAGACAGAATTTCTTTTCTTTATTTATTCATTTTCAAGTTTTAATTTTTCAATAAATTTATCTTTTTATCTATTATCCTCTATTTGAAATTCTTAATAACTCTGTAATTCTGTTTATAATCTTCTAATCTCAAGTTCTTATTTTGATTAAATTTGAATATGTAAATTCGATAGATTTTTAATAATATGAAATTCATGCTATATTCTTTATACTGTACTTTCCCAAATTTATGTAATATAATTTTAAAGTTCATTTGTATTGATATTTTTACTTATATATTCTGAGACTGCATTATTAGCTATATCAACAATACCCCAAAAATCCTCTTTATCATAATGATGAATTTCATCTATAAAATTGTTTTTTATTGTTTCTAATTAAATCAATTATATATCTTAATATCTTCTTTATGAATCATTAAATAATCTTTCTAAATCTTTTTTTACACTCTTCCATCTCTTTATAAAAATCTCTTTCTCACTATTACCTTCTAAATAATTTTTTATTTTTTTTAATAACTAAAAATTAATTAATTTCATTTTACAATTTAATTTAATTCAATTAGATCTCCTAAATCTTATTCTTAAAAAAACTCTTCAATTGCTTATTTATAATACTCTATTTAAGTATTAATATGATATTCAAATTCTTATTCTTGAATCATTTGCCATTATGTTGCAATTTCAGGTAAAGTACCTTAATTTATTGCATCTACAAAATATCTAAAATTAACTTTTATATTATTACTTAGACATTTCAATAAAAGTAAAAGGAGTTATTGCTTTACCCTTATATTATTTGAACTAAACTTTAAATGATAATTTCTTTCTCAACGCAAGTACCTATTCTTAAAATTCTACTCTTAATTCTTCAAATTTTACACTACCTAATTATTATAATGCTTTTTCATCTTCTGTAGGTCTTACAAGAGTAATGCAATCCCTTTCAGAAAAGAATTAAGAAATATGTCTCCTAATTTTATTTTTATTCTCTATTGTTTCACTTATTCCTTTTAAAGGTTTAAGAGCAGCTTCTAAATAATCCTTTGGTAATATCTTATTCCCATATTCATCTTCTAATCTAAGTGTAAAATCTCTCAAAATCCATAAAAAAGAAGGAAATGTTTCAAATAAATCCTTCTATGTATTTTAATCTGCCTTCTATAACATTTTTGTTAAATTAACCTATATAATATAAGTTAAACTTACAATTAAACCCAAATTCTACAATGCCATATCATCTATAGTTCCAACACTATTATAAATAAAATAGCTGCTCATTAACATTGCCAAAAGGAATACTTTAACATCATGATTCATATCTTCTTCAACTGACCCAATACCTTCAGTATCAATTAAAATTGCTGGAATAGGTTCTTTACTTCTACTTGACTCAAAATAAATTAACTCTGACCACATCCATAAACCCTTTAATAATATATTAAAATATTTAGTACTTTAGTACATGCATTGATAGTAGAACCTACTTCAAAACCTCTACTTTATTAAAGCAATAATTAATTAATTAGATAGCTCTTTCCTGTTCTGTATTTACCAACAACAACAATCACTGCAAAATTCTTGCATTTATCATTAAAAGATTTAATTATCTATATTGCCTCCTAACAAAGGACTAATTCTATTAATTTCCTTTAGTTTAATACTTTTTGTTTAAGGCTCGATTGCAATCAATTAAATAGCTCTTGGACTTTGTTGCATAATAAATTAATTTAACGATAAAGTTTTATAATAAATGTAATTTATGCTATTTTTTATAAAACAAAAATAAATAAAATATTTTGAACATTTAGAAAAATATTATAAAAATCTTAAGAAACTAATATAAGATAACTCTCATTGCAAGAAATTTATTTAAATATTAGATTTATTTAATTAAAAAATAAATTTCTAATTATATGCTGAAAATTAATAACTGCTTACTTCATTTAACTAAGTAAATACCAAAAGTAATATAAACAAAGAACCTAATTTAATAATAATTCAAAATTATCATTATAAAATAAGTTCATTAAAAGGAAAGCTTATAATGTTATAATTGAATATAGTAGATATGTAAATAGGAAAATTTTAATTTTTGATTAAAGTTCAGTATTTCTTAATCTTTTAAATAATCTAAGGTTTATATTATTATATAAATAATATATCCCATTTAATTTCAGTAAAGCAAATGTTACTTTTCACCATAGAAACCCTTTTGAGCTTTCATGTAAAAAAAGCTTTTATTATTTATTCTTAAAATTTTAGATTCTACAGTTAATATTTGATAATAAATATAATTCTATCTATTAAACTATTTAAATCTTGAGAATGAATGGAATGTAATATAATTAGATTAATTTGATATAAAAATAACATATTATAATTTATTAAAGAAAACCATTTCTAATTATTTAATCTTACTTATAAATTTATCATTAAATTATACATTATTTATGAACTTATTAAGAAATATCATATATATATAATCAATTTCTTAGAAAAAGATCTCAATTATGTAAATTAAAAACTCTAATCATTGATAATATAATTTAAGCTTTAGATAGGTTTTGTAATAATAGTTTAGCAAAATTTAAATATAGTTTGATTAAGTAATAAATAGAGATTGAATAAATTTATTCATATATTTGTTTAATCTTTACATATTATTATATTTAATTAAATATGAACGTTTAATCAACTCACTAATCTACTTTACAAGATTTCTAAGTCATTCAAGAATTGGGATCTGGTTCATTTAGCAATGTTTATAGAGTATATAGAGTTTGTATTATTTTTAGGTCAAAAGGATTGCAGATGGATAAGAATATGCTTTAAAAAAAGTTAAAATAGCTAACTTAAAACCTAAGGAAAAGTAGAATGCTCTAAATGAAGTTAGATTTTTATATTCGATAAATCACAAACATATTGTTGCATATAAAGTAAGTTCTTTTTTGGAATTTTAGGAAGCCTTTATTGATGAACCCTCATAATGTCTTTGTATAGTTATGGAACTACTATCAGGAGGAGATGTCTATAAAAAGATTTCTTAAGCCAGAGGTTCCACTCCCTTTACAGAAATGGACATCTGGAGAGCATTGATTCATATTACTTTAGGGTATTTAGAATTTATATAACTCATAGATTAAAGGCACTTCATGATTAAAAGGTAGTACATAGAGATCTTAAGTCTGCTAACGTTTTTTTATCAAGTGATGGAACTTTCAAACTTGGAGATTTAAATGTTTCTAAAGTAGCTAAAGCAGGCTTTGTATATACATAAACTGGTACTCCATATTATGCTAGTCCAGAAGTATGGAGAGATTAACCTTATGATATGAAAAGCGACATTTGGTAATTTTATAGTTTTTATTTTTTAAGGTCACTTGGATGTGTAATATATGAAATGTGTTGTTTATAGACTCCATTCAGAGCAAAAGATATGGATTTACTATTTCAAAAGGTTTAAAGAGGAACATATGATTAAATACAAAGCCACTTTTCTAAAGATTTATCTCAAATCATCTCGAGTTTATTACAAATCTAACCTCATTAAAGACCTACTTGTGATTAAATACTTGCAAACCCAATTGTTTAAAAATATATGAAAAATTTAGAAACCAATATTGAATCTAAGCCAATTAATAAGACTCTTATGGAAACAATTCAATTTCCAAATAACTTTAAATAATTGAAAAACAAATTACCAAAAGTATTTTTATAATAAAATTATTAAGTCAAATTATGATGAAGTTAATCCAAATGTTAGTGCTGATAGAGTCTAAGATAATAAATCTACTGATAAATCAACTAGTCCATTTCGATATCCTTAATAACAATAATATATTCCTATTTCTGAATCTAGAGTCAGTCAAAGTTAAGTTAATATTATATAAGCACAATAATCATCTCCTTAGTAAATTAAGAATAATTCTATTTTGAATAAAAATCAAAGTAATGTTCAACAACCATAACCATAAATTATATAATAGACATAAAATCATAAAACTGAGAAGCCTCAATCTGCATAAATAAACTCAAGATAAAATCCATATGAGAGAGCTCATGAACTGAAAGAACAAAAAGAAAGAGAATTCAAATAATAAAGAGAAAAAGACTAATTATTAAGAGAAAAAAGAGAGAGAGATGCAAGAGATGCTAAATTAGCTAAAGAAGCAAAAGAGGCTAAAGAGAAATAATTATAAGAAGCCAAACTTAGAGAGAGTAGAGAATAATAAAGATTATTAATAGAGAAACAATAAAGAGAATAACAAGAATAATAATAATTTAGAAGGATTTCTCCAATCTCAGCTTAACCTCGAGAATACTAATATGCTAATTATATTAATTAACAATAACCTAGAAGCTAACATTCCTATTCTCCTAATATTAGATAAATAGACTAATAAAATATTTAATAGGGTTATAAGTATTATATTAAATTCTATTTAGTGGTTAAAGAGTTAATTATAATAATTAAGTATAATAAAGACCAATAAATAGCTAATCTATCAATGTCAGTCAAAATTATCCTAATTAATATAACAGACCATATAATTAAGAAACATCTTAACATAGAATTTCGTAAACTCCATAATCTGCTGCTCCAAGACCATAATATAGTCCTTATCAAAAACCTATTACAGAAAGATACCCTGCTCATCCACAATCTGCTTTGCCATCATCAAATATTAGGGAATCTTAAAAAACTGAAAGACCATAAGTTTTTCCGTCTTAAGCTAAAGTTATCAAATAAAGATAATCTGATATCAATTAAAAAAAAGAATTTTCATCTCCTAATTAATAATAGGCAATTAGACCTGCTGGAAAACCTTCAAGGCAATAATCCAATAATATTTTTTCATAAAATGACAGAATAATTAAATCTGATTCTAGACCTTAGAATAATTTTATTACTGGCAATTATAATCATTTTTATCCAATTGATAATTACTAAAGACATGCTTCAGATCAAAATTTAATAAAATATTAGTAAAAATTAAATATATTTTAGACTTCGATAATAAGATAAATAATTATTATTACGTCCATAGATCAATAATAGAAAATATTGAGTTTGAACTATATTACTCAAGTTAAAAGTATTATTATTTTTACATTTATTATAATATTATTCTTAAATGATTATATTCTTACTAAATTCTCCTAGTTTTTGACTATCAATCATATCTTAATTCTATTAATATAATTATAAAAGCAAATTATTTATACCATTAAACCTTATCAAAATCTTTGTTTAAACTTATATATGAAATATCAATTACTACTTAATTATATTTAAAATAATTGATTTAAAGTAATCTGCTAAGATTAAAAATAATTTAATACTTTTTATATTATCTTATAAAGACACATTATGATTATATCAATATCAAGAGACTTTATTTCTTTTCAGTTTAATCAATTAAAGAGATATCAAGAATATTAATAAGAACATTAAGTAAGTTTTACTTTTAGTTGATTTTATTAGATTAAATGATCCAACAAAAATAATAATAATAATATAAAGATTTATAAAATTTTAAATTTTGACTCAAACTTCTGTAATTTAATTACTGAATAAAAATGGAGAAGACTTCAATTTAATAAGCTTACCCATTCTTTATTGTAATTAACATTCATTCATTTTTTAGATAAATTCAATATCATGTAATTAACCCTTTTTACTCTCTATTGTCTCTTGAATTATCTCATTTTTTCCCTATTAACTTTTTTATCCATTTAATATTATATTTGCAGCTCTAAGTTTTTAAATACAAGTTTAAAACTTAGTTTATTTTAAGAAGTTTATTTATTTTTTCAAATCAAAATGTTCTAAATATGGTCCTAGTATAAGTTACTTTTTCTTGGTTATAGATATTTGTTAAGATGCTATGGAGTCAATAGCCCTTGTTAAACTGCTTTTTTTTCCATCTAATAACTCTAATAGATGCGATTAACAAACTTTCTTTAATCACCTTTCTTCAAACAAGGTAATGTATTATCAAAATTTGATGTATGTTCAGATGCAGTATATATATTTCTACCAGCTTAATGTATGTCTTAGATTAAAGTACTCAATTTAATAGATTGACAAGTCTTAAAGGGTTCAAAAAATTGGAAATTTTTATTTCGCATTTATATTATAATAATAATATTTTCTATCTTGAAGTTTTTAAAATTAACTTTAGATTTTTCATATAAAGTTATCATAATTTTATAGCTACTGAATTCGATCAATATATAAGCACAACTAAGGTTTTGACTAATATATTAGATACTCTTTTAAAATTCTTTTGAAGATCTTATGAAAAGAAATTTTATAAATAAATAATTTTGATATATTTTTTATTAAAATTCTTAAAAAGAAGTCTTAAATGGGAATATATCTAATACCAGATTTATAATTCAATAATATAAGTAATTTATTTATATGAGGATCTTAATTAATAGTTCTATATTTTAATAAATATTTGATTAATACTTTTTCATTCTTGAATAATTTTAGATATTAAATTTATTACAAATTTTGATTTAAAAATTAGTTAGGTTTCATTCTATTTGATATTCAAAAAGCATACTCTAAAGTCCTTCTACGTTACTGAGAAAAAAGAGAATATTTGAGAATAAATAATCTGCAAAGAGTATTTAAGAAATTGAAGTTAATATTTGAGAGAGGGAATTTAAAATGAATTTTTGATTATATATATTATTATATAGATAATATTTAACAATACAATCAAGAATCCAAAAATGATTTCTAATGCACATATTTTATAAATGATTAAGTTAATTATGTTTAGTCAGTGTAGATATAGAAGGATAATTTATTTTAATATACATTATGTGTTTAAATTAAATCCATCATAGAAGGAAATACATTCATGAATTCTTTTTATGCTGAATTGTTTTCATAATATGTATTTTAAGATTACTAGACTGAATTATAAGGACCTATTTTTTTAAGTAAAAAATTAGTTATTGGATGAGTTAATAGAAATTCTTAATTGTTATTAAATTAAAAATCTTCAAAAGTCTAAGGATTTAATATTATTTAAGTTTGCGGTTGAAGATCTATATATCTTTCAGTAAAAAAAGAAAACTCAAATTTGATTAACTTCTAAAAATCTGTTTTTGTGGGACTCTCTTCTGATTCCATAACCGCCTTTTTAATAAAATCAAATTCTTAAATACAACTTTTTTCTAATGGAATATTTTCTTATTTCAATGGATTTAAATTCAATTCTGTTGTAACAGTTAATGTTATATTTGTATTGATATCTGCTTAAGCTAAACATTATTCAAATATATTCATAACTATTTAAGAAAGAAATTTAGAATTGATTTTAACATTAAAATCCTCTAAACTCAATTAAATAACAAATCTTTTTTTTAATGCATTTGACATTGATGAAAAATAAGGTTCTAAATTGCTTATAAAATTCTTTAAATTAACAATTTTATAACTTACTGATTCATTGTTTATTTTACAAGCATTTACAAAATAGTAATAATTTTAAAATTAATTCATAATTTATAAATTTAAGCATTTAATAGATTATACTTTTTCATTACCTACTAAATTAAGACTTAAGATAGCATTTGAAAGATTAGATAATGATGTCAATATTTGATTTGATACAGAAATGATAATCTTATTTAGAAATTTGATTTATTCTTCATTTTTTGACATCATTTATTATGGTTTCTCTTCTTTTAAAATAAATAATAAATAATTTTTTCCATAAGTCAATTATCTTATATCTATACTTAGAATTTTATTGTTCTATTTTTAATCATCAAAATAAACACCATCTAAATTCTCAATAATCTTAGGATCATCTTATTTTATAGATAAATTTTGTTTAATCTTATAAAAAGAATACTCTTCCAACGTTTATCTTTTCATCTATACTTTCTTTATTGACATATCTCCTGATTTATGCATTGGAATAGAAGATAAATCTACAAATGTAGGGATTTAATTCTTATGTACAACATATGTATTCCTTAAAACTTCAATCATAGATTTTGTATCTTCAATATTTAATTAATACTTGGCCTCTTGATTTATGAATTCTAATTAAAATGAATTGTTATGTTCATTTAAACTTATTGCAAAGAAAGAATGAGGTACATAGTCTTCAATTAATTCTCTATAATAAAACTACAAATGATTACTTTAATTTAGCATTTAAATGTATATAAGAAAATGCTAATCTAAACATAAATTCATTATAATGGGAATACATAATAACCAAAAATTATGAAGTAAACACTAGGATGATATATGAATAATCTTAAGTAGTAAGAGCATCTAATATATATAGCTAAACTGTGGGAACAATTATAAATGCTAATATTCTTAAGCGAAAATTGCTAAAGAGATATTAGATAACTGAAATTGATCCACTATAAAAACCATATAAATAAAGAGCCCTAAAAATCAAAGCTAAAAATTACTTTTATTTAGTCTCTGTGGCTACATATACACTGATTATGATAGACATTAAGTACATAAAAAAGTAATAATATCTTATCTTTTTGTCAAATTTTTTAGTAATTATAAGGACACCTAAGATAAAAGCACCAGAAAGTGCCAAAGAGATTATCAAAAAAATATGTTATCCATCAATCAAATATATTGTAAAAAAGTAGAAGCTTAAAAGCATAATGACTATTTCTATGATGCGAAAATAATGTAATCTGTATTTACTCATCTCAATTTCATATAAATCTTCATAGTCTTAATTTGCAAATCTCAAGGTCCATCGATTAAATAGTAATTTATTCATAATTATAACAACTAATTGAAAATTTAACCTTAAATATGCTCAAAACTATCAGACACTACTGTATTCTTAATAAAAAATACTTAAAACTTCTCATAATTTCTTATCTCTTTACAATACTTAATTTTATAATAATAGCTCATTTAAGAACAATAAAATCTTTCAAATATTATTGAAATGTAGAGTAATATAATAAATTCTATATTTTACAAAAGAATTATCATCTACAAATAATGTTGATATGATTCACAAATTATTTGATAATATAGATAATTTAAATTTGAAAAAATAAATTAATTAAATTTTATTTAAAATATCAAGTTATTTAGCAATGTATTTTATCAATTGATTTCCTTAATAATTTGAGAATTATTTATAGCATAGTAATTAAAATGAATTATTAATTATCTAAATTATGATTAGTTCTACATTATAATATATGTTGAAAGCAATATTTAATATATTAAATAATTTATGATTTTAATTAAGTAGATGGAAAAGTAAGTATATTTTAAGTAATTTAAGATAATTTTATAACAACTTAATTACATATTAGAAATGATTATGATTATAAATGATTGAATAAAAGAAGAGATAATTATATTATAATATATTATAATTTAATGAGTGATATATTGATTGATGATCGTATTAGAGACTGGGTATTTTTACCAATAATAATTGTGATGTTTATGATTCAAATGTTCAGAGGACTATTAACAAAATATATGGACAATAGAAAAACATCACAAAAAGTAACATCAAAAGCTTAACTTGCTGAAATGATTGATAAGTACATTGAGTAGACAACATAATTAGAAATATAACATAATAATCTTAAAGATTAGCTAGATTACATGGATTATTACCAGATTAATCATTTAAGATGAAGAGAGCTCATTTATGTGATCATGAATCTGGCATATTAACAAAAGCTAGTTAAAAGCCAGCAAAAGATCCAATGTAATCAATGTCTATGATGAATCCAGCTACGATGGCTGATATGCTAAAATAAAATTTAAGTGGAATAGGATTTATGGCAATTCAATATTAATGGGTTTCTTATTTTTTTTCTGGTTTTATAATTGGCAAAGTTCCATTTCCTTTAACTCAGAAATTCAGAACAATGTTATAGAGAGGAGTAGATATTCAAAATTTAGATGTTAGATATATTAGTAGTATCAGTATTTACTTTGTTTTGTTGTTTGGAGGTTTATAAAAGATTTAGTAATTGATGTTTGGAGATGATAATGATGAATTTGTTGATGGTAATAAGTATTTAGAGTATAATTATTAGACACTTAAATGTAAATGTAAATGCAAATGATGGGAATGCCAACTATGCCATCACTTGGATAATAGAATGACCCAGGAAAATTGTTTATAGCTGAAAGAAGTAATAAACATAAGATAATATAGCTCGTTTGGAGGGTGTAAAGCATTCATTTGAATTGAATAAATCATAAGATAAAGCTATGAAATCTTTAAAGAGATTTTTAACATAATGATGTACAATAAATGTTATATATTATTTTGATAAACCATTCGAATATTTGTCCTTTTTAAACTGATCTGGAGTTTCTATAACATTTTAATTATCTCTCATATGAATATCAAACATCCAATAGAATTAATCAAGAAAAAAGTCAATTCAGATGGCATCACTTATAAATTTAGATGGAGTAATAATTCTGTTTCTATTGAACCAATGACTCAATTAACTTAAGAAATGCTTGTTTTAGTAAATGATTATGAATTAAGAAATTTGGGATTTGATCCTCAAGAGCCAAAACCATAAAAACATATTAAATAAGATTCTTAATGTGTAAGATAACCTGAAGAATAAAAGAGAGAAAGGAAATAGAGTGAAAAAAGAGATAAATCATTAGATAAAGTATCTGAAAAACAAAAATAAACAAAAGACACTGATAGTATTTAAACTAATAGTAATTCTGGAAATATTGCTCATAAACCAAGAAAAAGCAAGCCTTGTTAAGTTAAATCAGTTAAACATGATTGTGGAAGAATAGAATTTTTTGTTTGTTTTGATGATTCTACAGATTCAAAATGGGTATCTTTAGAGGAAATGAAAGAGAAGGCTCCTTTGGCAGTTTGTGAATTTTTATTAGGAAAAGTTAAGTATGGAGGAGGAGGAGCTAACAATAAAAAATGATTAAGAAAATATTATTTTATTAATTATATTAATTATGGGATATAGATTATCTAATCCTAAAAGGTTTGGATTAGCCAGAACATCAAAATAGAGATGGCATTTGTGGAGAACTCAAATGACTTAATTAGTGACACATGAACGTATTCATACTACTTGGGCTAAAGCTAGAGCTCTATAATATGTAGCTCATAAAACATTCAAATTAGGATAAGATTCTAGTAAAAATAGAAGTAATGCAATTAATCGATTAATGGGTATAATATCTATATAATTTTTATAAGGTATTTTAACTACTAAATTTGCTATAAAGAAACTTATTAATGAAATTGTACCTAAATTTAAAGATCCTAAAGAATAAGTATTCAAAGTTGTAGAAACTAAAAGAAGAAAAAGTGATTTTGCTAGAATGGGATATATTGAATTTGCAAAGAATGAAATTGCTAAATATGAAGAATCTTAATATAAGTAATTATAGGAGACAGGTAAGATTGTAGATATTAGTAAATACAATAAAACATGGTTGATAGAAGAAAGAGATTTTATATAAGGAAAATTAGACTAAGTTTAATCTAGATTTGATGCTCTATAAGCTGATCCTAACACTTCTAGTGTTGAAATAAAAAGAGCAGATTAGGATATTAAATTTTTCAAACGCAAACTAGAAACTGTCGAAAAGGACCTTTGGATTGAAAATAAGAATCCATTAGATATGAGAAGATATTTCAGAATTTATTGATATACGGAGATGCATTATTCCTATCAACCAATCTAGCAAAATCCATATTTCTTCTTTAAAAATTAGGTCTTTTTTAATTATAATGTACTTTAAATGTAAGTATGTTTATGTTGCCTTTCTATCATCTATATGATATTATGATGTTGGTCTTTATTTATTAAATGCTGCTTTAGAATAATTGACATAACAAATAGTCTTCGGTTTTGGAGGATCACAATTCAAATCAGGCATTAATGCTTAAGTATGCCAAGATTTTCTTTTGGTTTATTTATCAAGTGGAATATGCTTTTTAGTTGGCTCCCATGGAATTACAAAATTAGTGGCTTATTATAGTTAAAAATCTCTTTATTCTTCAAATATTGTCACTCTTTATCTACAATTAATAGAGACAGAAGGTGTTCTTGGTCTAATGCATTTCCAAAATTCATCTTATATTTTTTCAACTTTGTTTCTGAATCTAGAAGTAGCTGAATGTTCTCTCTTGGCAGTTGTATGAAAATGTTAATGAAAGGCTTGCAAATTAACTAATTGCTCTTCATTTTAAATAGATTCTACAGGTCCATCTACTTTTAAAATCTATCCTAACGATTTATCAAGAAGCATTTATCGAATTTTTGATTTTTCGATCATTTAAATAAATATTGTTAATAAATACTCCATTATTAATTCTCTCAATAAAGGAGATAATAAAATTAGATTAACATATAAAAAACTAGAGACATGATATTTATTAATGAATTATTCATTTAATAGTAATATCAAAGAAGTTGATTTTATTTTAATCTAAAATCACCATCATTACTTTATCTTGATTTTTAATTAATTGGATTCTTGGTTTAAGTCTTAAATTATATTAATAAATCATACTTAGATGTAAGATAAGTTATACCATCAATAATCAATTCTTTTTATTGAATGTCATATTAACCATTATCTCTTTTTTATATTCTATATTACATACATTAACCAATTTCAACTGGAATACAAAGAACATAAATTATTTAAGAAAGAGTAAATTCCAACAAAACAACATCAACATCATTACCTTATAAAATATCATCTCTATTTGTATTACATACCTTAACACCATTACTAGATGCAATCAACATTTCATTTATTGATAATGGTATCATTGTTTAACTACAAGGTAATGTATTTGCATTCACCTTTCTTAATTATTTCTCTTTCTCATTTACTTAAATTATAGTAGCTCCTTATTCTCCTCCCACATATACACAAAATAATTCACCAGATTTAATCAAAGCCATTTTATACTTTCTTAATCTACCTTACAATCTTGAATTACCAATTGTTAGAAATAATTCTAATTTTGTTGTCATATTTTTATATCCCAATCTTCCATCAGAATCTACAAATGCAAATGAATTATTTTGTAAATCTAAACCTGCTAATATAGGTTTATTTGAAAATGTATATTAATCCTATATTTTTGCAGTTTATCCTTAGAATATCCAATAATACACTTAACCATCATCTGCTCCTGTTATAAATGTATTCGGTGATAAAGGTTCTATCCAATTTACTTATTAAGTATGTCCATCAAATGCTAATAATGATTTCTTTTCAGTATCAAATATTCTCATTTTCAAATCATTTTAACCAATCATAACAAATGTTGATTTAGATAATCCAATTACAGCCCCTATTGTAAAATCTAAAGTAAATTTTCTATTTAATTTTATATGAGGCCATTCTTTTTTTGTAAGATCTAAAGCCCTACTGAATTTACAATATATTCCTGATTTACTAATAACAATTGAATCTGAAAGTCCATAATTTTCACGTAAAATTGGTTTAGAATTCATTTGATAATTTTATTAAGAATTATTTGAATTATTTGAATATTATTATACTAATTAAGGAGGTTAAGGCATACGATCTAAATTTGAACACCAACCTAAGAAATAATTTTATAAAGGTTCTTATAATGTTGAATATAATCTTTATTAATCTGATTCAAAAATCTTTGGTGATTCATTTGCAATTAACAATCTCGTAAATAAATCCTATAAAATGTCCAAACTAGTATTATCAATTAATTTTAATTTTCTTAGATATTCTTCTGAATTATCACCTTATTATCCTAATTTACAAGTCAAAGCCATTGGAGTTGATAAAAAGTAATTTGCTGCAGGAAAGAATCTAGTATTGAATTATTTTCTAGTTTATTCAAATAATGATTCATATTCTGAGTAAACTTGGTCTAATTTTCGAAATACGTTTTCTTTAACTTATTATAAATACAATTAGAACTATTCTACAATAAATGTCATATCCTAAGCAACAAGTGTCTTTTAAGTATCAATATTATCTTTAACTTTTTTAAGATGATGTTTATTGTCTTGAATATATTTATAGACTTTAAGATTTTCATCATTATTTAGAAACTATTCTAATTAACTTTTATTCTATTGTGTAGCCTAATATATAGATTAACTGAATTCAGTAATAAATTATTTTATCCCAAGTACATTATTATTATGTTCCATATGCGCATCCTCATTAATACATTATTAACAAAGTAATATTTTCTTTCTTTTACAATTCTTCTCTACACAGCCTTTAATAATTAAACCTTGTTTATGATCTTTGCAACGTAATGTAACCTAAAATGCTGAAGGTTGAAGTAAATCTTCTTGCATCTAAAAAATATAAAAAATATATAAAAATAAATGCAATTTATCTTATCTTAATTGATTAACCAATATGTAATCATAAATAATAATCTATTTTCAAATTTATTACAAACTATCATATTTTTTATATTCTCATTTCATACTAAAAATTATAGATTCACAACTATCATTAAAAATACATTAAATATATCATTACTTAATTAATATTATTGTTTTATACTATAATAAATAATTAGAATATACAATTATTTAATAAAGTAATGACAATTGATTTTTTTTATGATTAGATTAATAGTAATCTATTAGTTCTTTTCCTAATCTTTTGTATTGATATTATTAAGCTAATTTAAGTTGATAATTATTAGAGTTTCACTTTAAATTGGCTTTATAAATTCAAACTAAAATTGTTATCATTAGAACTTTTACTAAGAGAATATATATTAATTTATTAACGGTTATATCTCAACTCAGAAATGAATTACTATATAGAAAGCTAATTATAAAAGATGAGTTAACTTCTAGAATAAAAGCAATCTGAGATCAATAAATTGAAGGCCTAAGTCGAAAAATATTAAAACTATGATTAGTAAATAATACATTTTATTTCAGATAATTAGAAGAATTAAACTAATACATCATGTAGTTAAATTACTAATTTTAATAACAAGAATAGACTCATAAAGATTAGATTTATTTTATGTAAAGGGAATTGGCATTTGCCTAAGATGAAATCAAAAATTTGCAAGTATTCATTTTCATGTTTTTATTAGAGAACAAGGGGTTAAAATGAATAACAATAAATAGCATCATTACTTAAGGAATTATCTGAAATTAAATAAGAAAATAATTAACTAAAAGTAGAATTATCAAAGTAATAATAAAAACCAAGAACGAATTCTATTCAAGAAAACAGTATTAATGATGTTAAAGTATTATTATAGAATTAATATATAGAGACTCTCTCCTCATATGAGAGTACATAATTGTAGCTTTACTAGTCCCTCATAAAATCTTGTAAAAGAAAGAAGAGTTCCTTCACTTCCTGATGTTAACTCAAATCGATTATCTATTAATAAGACTTCTTTTCATAATTTATCATAAAATCAAACATATTCTAAGAAACCTCCACTTCAATAGATACATAATATCAGTCCTAATAAGTAATTATTAATTGTTCGTCAATGATTAAATATATATATATATGGAGACTTTAAAAATTTAATTTATAATTAATGAGTAGTTTTAATACGAAATTGAATTTCTTATAATCAGAAATTAAGCTACTTTCAGAAGAAAACACAGAGCTTAAACAACTTCTATAATTAAATAAACAAATTCTTAAAATTCAAGGAGGATAAAGAAGCACAAACATTGTATTATAATAATTGAATTCAGTCATTACCAAGTGGCCCATAGTTATCAATCGAAGTTTGTAAGTCTGATGCTAATGAATATCATGATACTTAATACCTTATATCAAATTTAATGGATGAAAATAATAAACTATTATCAACTAATGAAGAATTAAGAAAATAGAGAGATTAATTAAGAGCATAAGTAAATTCATTATATCTATATATTATTTTAGAATCTATTATTATAATAAATAGAAATAGAGAACTCTTAAAGAATACTTGATATTCAGACTGAAAAACATTAGAAATTAATTGATTTCTAAAATTAAATTCTAGGAAAAGATAATCAAATCTAAGAATTGAGTGATTAATTGTAGAACATTCTATCTAGAAAACGTCTCAAAACCAAAATTGTATCTATTTATTAAATAAATTAAGTAAATACCTTTACAAAGTGAATACCTAATTTTTTAGAATCAACTTGAAGCAATGAGTAAGGCTCTTAATTATTACTATTAAGAAAATAAACTATTTAGGTAAGAGAACAAAAAATTCTCATTATTATTGGATTTATTAACAACAGATAAGAATACAGAAAATAAATTAAATTCAGAATAGAGTCCAGATATCAATGATTCAAGTTATTTTTTAGATTCACTTCCTCTAAAAGTTAAATAAATTCCTAATCCTAATTAATAAATCACAATACCTAAACTTGATCTTAATAAAGCTCATAAGATCTAATAACTTAATGTTGAGAAATAGCAAGAATCTGAAGAATAACATCTTCCTTTAGAATAATTTATAACTTTAGATAAAAAGATTTATCCATAAACAAAAACTCAAACTCCTTGTTAAGGCTAAGGAGGGCAATTCATTAGTCCTAATAAATTATTAATTTAATTGACTTCTTTGGCAGATTCAAATAAAACATTGACAAAATAACTTAATCAATATAAATAAAAGTTACAGGATGAATTGCTATTAACAAAATCGCTTGAGAGCAAATTAGATGAATTATATCGATATGTTTAAGACTTAGAAAAAACAAATGAAATTTTAATCACTTCATAAGTGAAACTTACAAATACTGTTTAGAAACTAAAGGATTTGATTATAAAAGGGAAGAAAGAATAAACACGAAGTAAACATACATATAATATGTCCCTTTAAAATAACGGAGATTTTTATACAAAATCAAAAGAGAGAAGTAATTCTGTATACTGATTTATTATTAATTTATAAAATAAATATGAATAATATTTTAATCGTCGCATTTCTCAAATAAAAGATATTTCTAACAAATAATAATCAATTATCAAACTTAAGTAAGTTGTTAAAAGCTTAAAAAAATGTATTGAGGCGAAGAACTCAATTATTAAAAGGCAATTTCTTATTAAAAATTTGGATATAAAAATTAAAAACGATAATGAAACTTATCATTTGAGTGATAAATATTATTTACCTTCGTTTATTGTTAAGAAATAAAAGAGTATAATATTTTGGTAAATTTATAGTACTTAAAATTTATAGAAATGGTTACATCAACAAATTGAAATTGATGATATTTTAAAAGATAATTTTGATAATTATGTTTTATTACATCAAAAAATGGTTTATTTGATAAATGCAATTAGAAAAGTGAATGAAATTTTTTAGAACTCTTGTGTTTAAATTAATGGAAATCGTTGATGAAACACATTATTAATATTTATATACAAATAATTTAGTTAATAATTAAAATATATTTGTTAATTAATTTGTAAATTCTATGTACTATTTGGAGACTTGATATTAGAGAAGACATATAACAAAGAATATTAAAATATCATTAACACATAAATTGAATAAATGTAGACTTATAAAATCCTATTATTATGGAATTAGAGGATCTTCATTAATTAATATGTAATTACATTAAATATATAACAATATTTTCTAAAAATGTAATTTAATTTAATGTTACATATTAGCAAAATTTATCACAATTATTTTGAAATTCCTTTAATTTTTTTGGTAAATAAACAATATATACCTAAAAAAGGAATATAGACTTCTTAAATTTGAATCAAACATTTATTCATTATGAATTTTAAACCTAAGATTAAATGGAGAAGGAAATTTGCATTAAATCATTATATAATTTAGAAGAAGATCAAGAATGATAAAAATTAATATTTTCTTAAAGAAACTAATAAAAATGGGTTAGAGGATGTGAGAGAAGTTCTTAATTAATGTAAAAGATAATAACTAATTGAAATTTAATAGTTGTCTCATAAAATTAATAAAAATATCTTTATTATTAATAATAATAATTAATTATTTAAGAATGGCTTCCTTTAGACCATAGTCTTCATAAGCTATATCAGTCAGATCACCCAGCAGAAGTATGAGATTATCATTATAAGTTAGTTATTCCAATGGCATCCAACATGGGTCACTCTTATGTAATTCCAGCTGCACAAAATTTACCAACCACAGTAATAGTCAAAGAGAAAAACCCAGTTTCATATGATAGAGAAAAAGAACATGATGATGAATATAAGGATGAATTAGAGTTATGGAAGAAAAAATATTTTACATTAGAAGCTTAATTAGCTAAATATGATATTGAAAATGAAATTGTACTCAATTAATCTGACTATTTAAGAAAGATGAATTATAATCAAGGATTTTGGGTTCTTAAGAAGATGTCAAAAAGTTTTAAGTTGATATGTCGAAAATTCAGATGGATATGGATAAACAAAGAGGAGAAATGAATGATTTAATAATTGAAAATCAAAAACTACTGAATTAATAAGTAGAAGTAGAAAGATTGAAAAAATTAGTTGGTGAAAGAGAGGATACTATAGGCTAAGTATCAATTATTTTTAATCATTAGTTATCATAAAAATGTAGAGAATATTAAGAATAATTATAAGAATTGGAAGCATTTTAATAAGCATTATAAGATATGCATAATCAAAATGAAGGTAAAGAAAAGATGATTGAATAATGGAAATTAAAATATATGGAAAATGATTAAAAGAAATAAAAGGAAATTGATGAATTAAAATTAAAATTAGCTGAATATAATCCAACAGAAATATAATGTTTAAAAACATAATTTGATAGAGAAAGATAAGAATGGTAGAATAATTAAAAGAAACTTTAATAAGATTTGGCTGATGCTCTTAAATAATTAGATTAATGGAAAATTAAATATAATGTAATTATTTATTTAAAAAATAGAATCTTGATTTGTAACATTAATAACTCTCATCTGCATAAAAAGAATCTGTTGCAAGAATAGATACATTAAATCAAGAATAAAATAAATTGACTGTTTAAATTCATACTTTAAATGATGATAAATAAAAATTATAAATAGAGTTGGAAGCTACCAAAGGATAATTAAAATTACATTAAGGATTGATTGGAGAATTAGATAGATTAAAGAGGTTATTAACTGATAGAAGTGCAGAACTTTAATAACTATAACAATAATCATAATAAAAAGATATTGATCTTAATAATGCAGATTTAACAATTTCAGAATAAAATTAAAAAATTAAATCATTATCTTTATTATAATAAGAAAATTAAAGATTATCATAGGAATTAGATTAATAACATAGATTAAATGAATAATTACATTAAGAAAATGCAGATTTATTGAAAAATTTAGATAGATTTAAATTATTGGAAGAAGAAAAGATGTAATTAGAAAATAAAGTAAGTATGTTAGCAGCAGAAATAGAAAGATTAAAAGTTTAATTGAAATAAAAAAATGATAAGATTTTATAAGAGTAAGAAGAATTGAAAAGATTATAAGAATAATTGAATGAAATTGATGAATTATAAAAGTAAATTGAAGATTTAATACGTTAATTAGAATAAGCAAATAATACAATTGATGAATTAGAGAAGAAATTATAATCTATTTCAGAACTTGAATAAAAACTCTAAGATGCTAATAATAAAATATATGATTTAGAGAATAAGGTAGCAATGTTAAGTGCTGAATCATAAAGATTGAGATATTTAAATGATTAAAAGACTGAATAATTAAAATAAGCTGAATAATAATTATCAGATCTCAATTTACTTAAAGAATAATTAAACTAATTATAGAATAAATATGATGCACAATAATAAATGAATTAGAACTATTAAGCTGAATTAGAAAAACTAAGAGGATAATCAACATAAGCAGATACTAATATTGCAGAATTAAGAAGATAATTAGATGAATAAAAAGCTTAAAATATAGTTCATAAATAAGCTAATTCTGAATAAGTTATTGCAGATTTATAATAATAATTAAGTTCATTGTAATAAAGCTATAAGAAAGTATCAGAATCTAATTTAGCAAATGAAGAAGATCCAACATAAGATTTATAAAATAGATTAACTTTATTAAAACAAGAAAATTAAAGATTAAATTAAACTATTGTATAGAAAAATTAAGAAGTTTTAAATCATTAATAATAGAATTAATAATTAAAATAAGATCTTTTATCATCAGATACTTTGAAAGTGTAAATTCAACAATTACATGAATAGAATTCACTATTGCAAGAACAAATATAAAATGAAAAATAAGGTAGATAGGGTTTGGAGTAGAGAATTTAATAATCAGAATAAGAAAAATATGATCTTTAAAGTAAATGTGCCATGCTTTCAACACACATTGAAGGCATGAAATATAAACTTGAAAAAATGGAAAATGTTGATGAATTAAAAAAGATTATTTAAGATCAATAAGCATAATTAGCTGAAATGGATGTCTTAAAATTAGAAATAGAAAGCTTAAATGAAAGAATAGCTGAATTAGAAAAAGAATTAAAATTATGGAAATAGAAATATGAATCATTAGATTAATAATATTAATAATTACTTCATATTAAAGAATAAATGGAAAATAAATTAGCTATGCTTTCATCAGAAATTGAAAGATTAAAAGTACTCAATTAAAAAAAGTAAGGAGAAATTGATCAATAAAATTAAGAATTAATGAAAATGGATTAAGAATTAAATGATTTACATAATTAATTAGAAGATATTAATGAATTAAAAACATAATTGAATTCTCTTGAAAATCAACTTTAATAATAAATTGATGAAAATTAAAACAAATCTACTGAAATTACTCAACTCAAATAATAAGTTACTGAAATAGAAGGGTTACTTGTTAATTAAGAAGATCTATAAAACTAAATTAAAAAATTAGAAAAGGAATCATAATCAAAAGATGAAATCATAGAATAGTTCAAATAAAAAATTACTTAATTAGAAAGTAAGATTGCAGAACTTGAAGATATCAAAGTATATCTATTATTTAATTATATAGTATAAATATGAAGATAAAATGGCTTTATTAAGCAGTGAAGTTAAAAGATATGAATTTAAAGCTAAAAAATTAGAAGATAAATCTAACGAACTATAAATATAAGTTGATCAATTAACTCATGATTTAAATGAAGCAGATTCTAAAATCATTGAATTAGAAAAGGTATATTTCTATATTTGAATAATTTTAGGATTTAGGGTAATGGAAGTTTGAATATTCTAAATTAAACAGTCTTCAATATAAAATAGATGAATACAGTTTCTTATTAGTGGTTTCATTTGCTGAAATTGAAGCTTTAAGATCATAAAACTCTTCATTAAATGAACAATTAGATAATCATTAAAAAACAAAAGTGGCCCTAGCCTTAGCATAATGAGAATTATAATAATAGATAAATAATTTATATAGATATTAATCAATAATTTGTCTAATAGAAAATAAAATAGAGTAATTTAAGATATTAATTTAAATTAAGATAATATTTTTTATTTTTAAATTATTAAAATTTTATCATTCTGTCTACTAGAACTTATCATAGAACATCTAACAAAAAAATTCAAACATTTATTGTTTTGATGGTTAATTTGATGAATTTATTGGACTATTGCAAAAGGAACTAGGATTCTTATAAGGACTTTAACGATTATTCATTTCATCTTAATAAGAATAAAGTTAATCATTCATATTAGATGGTGGTCTTGAATTTTAATTAAAATTTTAATTATTAGCAAATTATTCATGATAAGGATTATATTTTCTTTGTTTTTTTATGTGAGGTTCTTATTGATTCTAATAATGTTATTTTTACATATAATATCCTTATTAAGGAGATTAATTGTTTCTAAATTTTTTGTCGCTTGGTTTTTAGTTATTAAAGAATTATTACTATTATGAAAACTAATATTATTATTATTAGAAGGATTATTATTATTGTTATTATTAGAATTATTACTACTATTACTGTTATGGGTATTATTGCTATTATTAATATTTTCTAAAATTTCTTTATTTTTAATATGGAGATTATACTTATTCAAGATCATATTATACTGGATTGATAATTTATTTTTATATGTTTTTCTAAAAAGTTTAGTCTTTTTTAGTTAAAAATTCTTATATTCCATACTATTCTAAAGGAAATGCATAACTATTTTATCTTTATTATTGATTTTACTGAACATTAATTTATTCTTAATTATTTTAATTTTAGGTTCTTTAGTGTCTATCATTTTAATTATAGTTTTTTTAATGGGATTTTTAATTTCTTTATGAATCCCATTGATTGTTTTATTCATTTTGATATACCATTGATTTTTCATGACCTTAATTGATTTATTAAGATCTATATCCATATGGTTAACCTTCTTACATTTTTTAGAGGTTTTATTAATTATTATTTTTCAATTTAGACTCTATATTCTCATATTATTGATCTTAAATTTATCTTTCTAATGACTTTAATTTTTAATTTTGTTCTTAAATTAAATTACCATTTTTATAATTTTATTGAGATTATTAATTTATTTATTAATATTTCTTATTATGATATTATTATTATTATTTTTATTCTCTTTCTTTCATTTCTTTTAATTTAGATTGTTATTCAAGATAATTATATTCTTTTTAATATTCAATTTCATCAGATCTCATTCTTTATAATCTTTATTCAGCTTTTTTGATATTTTCTTAATGAATTTTTTCTTTTTCCTTTTTTTTCTATTCTTCTTTTTACCTTTCTTTTGCTTCTTTTTCTGCTTATATTGTTTTAAAGATATCTTTATCACTCTTTTTTTCACTACTCTTTCTTTTCTTAATATCTTTACTCTTTTCTTTTTCTTTGTATTATTATGAACTTTTAGCTCTAGTCTTTTCTTTTTTATCATTCTTAGATTCTTTTCTTCTAGACTTAGTTTTTTTATTTTCACTATTTTATTTTGAATGTTATCTCTTTTTATTCTTATGTTTTTATTTCTCTTTTATATCTATATCTGATTCTGAATATTTTTTTTCTTTAGATTTATATTCTTCATCCCTTTATTCTTTTATATTTTTTTCTTGTACTTTTAAAATGTCTTTGTTACTTTATTAATTTAATTATTCTTTAGAATCAAATTATTTTTTATTAGTTTAATTTTCATTAAATTTAATGCTACTCTAATCACTAATCAAAATTGATTATGAACTTACTATGGAATCTGGACTAAAAATATCATTATTATCTTCAAATAGATTATCAATATCATCATTAATTTAATTGATACCTGATTGTATATTAGGACAAACTATATTTTATTTTTAGATTATTATGCAATCATCTGCTTATTATTATTGAATTGTTGGTTATTGCATTTTCTTATTTGAGATATTTTCATCGTTTGAAGATTCAATACATATAATATTTGATTATTTCTCAGAATGACTTTATAATTAAGACTCTAATTATTTGATCTATTTATCAACATTTTCATTTTATTACTATTTTTGTTTTGAAGTTTCTGAATTTAATCTATTTGAAGCAGTTTTAATTACTTTAGATAATTATCCTTTTTTGCTTTCTCCTTATTAACTCTTAAATATCTCATCATCAATATTAATAATTTCACAAGGAATCACTTCTTAAATTTCATTATAAAGTAATTAATTTTGGTTAATAAATTTATTCTCATCTAATTTAGATATAATACTATTGTTTTCTTTATTGATAAAATCTGAATAATTTTGTTATTTTTGAATTTAAATTTATTAATTTTCATATAGATTTTTAATTTCATTCTTTTAATTTTAATTTAAGCTTTATTCTTATTCATAATTGCTTGAATATTTAATTAATTATTATGATTACTATTTATTAATAGAATCTAAATTAACTATACCATCTGCTTTTTAAAAATTCTCTAATTTCTATTAAGCAATATGAATTTCTTTTATCAGTTCTTATGAATTTATATTGTCTATCAATATACTTTTTGTTTCTTAAATTGGCATTTGATTAAGCTTAATTTCCATTTCTGTAACATTTTTCTTTGTTATGATTGCCCATCTTTTCATTAATATAGGTAATTTTTCAAACATAATCATCTCAAGTTCTTTATCACTCATTGCTTTAAGACATCTATCTTAAAAATTAGACCAACACTCAATCTATTAACATTTCTCTTTAAGTAAATCATATAATTTAATTAATTCTGTATCTTCAGAAAATTCAAACTCTTATTGTTCTTTATCATTTAAGATATCAATAAATTAATTAAATTTATCTGGTTCTGGAACATTGTTAGAATTTATTGTTACTTTCTATTCAGTATTAATAATTTTTTCAGATTTTTCTGTTAATTTTTCTAATTGTTTATCATGTAATTAGGTTTATTTTTGCATTGACTTATCCGATGAAATTTTAACTATCTCAAACACTAAATATAATATAAGAAACTATACTTTTTTAATCTGGTAAATCATCTTTAAATACTGATTCTAATGAAATTTTTTGTTATTCAGAAAAATAAGATCCCTTTGGATTTTCTTAATTGCTTTGGTACTTCTAATTTAATATAACCTATTAATTTTGACTTAACTACTATTATACTGATTATTATTTATGTTATTCATTTTAATCTTCTTAAAATTGTAGCTTATCCTCTATTTCAATTTATGTAATAAGCTTCTTTTCTTTATTTATTTATTGTTATTATTATATAACTTCTGTATTTTGCTTTTAGGATTATTCTGTATTTGTCGATTGATTTTATATCTTATAATCTTAATTAGACTTGATTTCATCAGCACTCGTTTTTATTAAATTATTAGGTTTTTCTATTTAAACTTAAGATACTTAAATTTTGTTTATTTAGTTTTCTTATTTTTAATTCTTTTATAATTTACTTTTCTTTTTATTAGATGATATTTAATTTTAATTTGATTAAAGGTCTGCTAATTAATTTAACTCTGAAGTTCCTTATCCACTTTTTAGTTTCTATAAATATTATTCGTATGAAGTTATTATTTTTTGAAATAAGCCTTCTAGAAACTTATATTCTCCTTAAATGTATTGATGCATAATCATTTAAACTGGTTCTACCTTCATCTAATCAATATACCATGAGGCTGCTGGATTATTCATAAAATCATTAAAAATTTTTGTATAGTTAAAATCTTTTGATGCTAAAATCTGTAGTAATCTAAAAATATCATTTTTGTTATGAATTATAAGCAATAAAGCTAGAGTTTTTAATAATTTTGGTAATTTCTCTTTTATATCTATTCTATTTTGCTGTTATTCCATTTTAATGTAATCCAAAATTATAGCAACATCATACTATTATGGTTTAATTAGACTATAGGTTCTACAATCATAAATGCTAGTGTTATCAATCCAAAAAATCATTATTATATTTTTATAAATTGATATTCAAGAATCTTAAGTCATTAAAAAATCATTGAATTTATTAAGTTTAATTTTTATTTTTTAAGACTAATATTGTAATTGATCATTAGATTAAAAAATACATAAGAATTTATCTTAATATCTATAATAAAAATAGATGGATTAAAGTTTTATATCTATATTTTTATAAAATGAATATGAAATCTTAATTTTTCATGAAATGAACGCTTAATTTATATAATTTATGTTAAATTCTATTAATGTTTACAAGGTTTTCTTTAAGTTTTCTCTATATTCTAAAGATATGATATTATAATAGTTAATTTAATATAAATTTACAGAATTTTTTAATGAAATATTTTTATTATGATATAATCTATCTTAATATATTACATAATAATCAATGTTGTCTTTATATAGAAATATTTTTTTTTAAAGCAGATTACTTTAATTTTAAGTTGAATAATTTTAGATTTTTAAACCTAAGAAAAATTAATAACAAAATTAATGATTAAGTGGTTGGGGATAGTAAAAAATGTAAATATAATAGATTTTATTAGTATTTTGTTTCTAAAATGATATTTATTAATTTAAATGATCTGTGTTATTGTAATTCTTTTATCAACTGCGAAATTTAAGTGTTAAATAAAATTTTATTAAAAATAGATGGGAAACAAAGTATATATCATAAAATCAGCTGACAATTCAATTTTCAATTAGAATCAATCTTTAGAAGATTAATTTGAAAGTGTTGGAGGATAATCTTTCCAACACATTGATCGCGTTGAACTTTATAGATTAAAGAGAGAGAATACTAAATATGCAACTATCTTTGAAAAAAGACATTCTAATACAGCAACTGATGATGAAGGTCCATTGTTAGAACTTCATGAATAACTTATGCTACTTAAACATAATCATTTGGTTAAATATTATGGTTTATGCATTGACCCTAATCTCACTTCAAATTTACAAATAAGTAGATGGTTTTATGAAGCAGTGTATAAAACCTTGAAATAGGTTTGTGGACATCATTTTTCAAATAAGAGTTATATTCCAGAGAGATAATTATGGAAGAGTCTTCATGAAATATTATTAGCCTTACATTTTCTTGATGCTAGATAGAAATGGCATACTCATATTCAACCTGATTCTATTTATTTAGATAAAAATGATTCCATTAAACTAATTCCGAAAGGTGTTTTAAGACTATTGAGTGGATATCAAGTAGTACTTACAGGAAAAGGATAAGCATTGTTATCTCCTTAATAAATGGAAGGTTTGAGATAAAAGTTAGAAATTCCAATACATGACATACAAAAGTCTGATGTTTTTTCATTAGGAATGACATTTTTAGAGTTAATGACACTCAAGGATAGTTTTGAGTGTTATAATTATGATCTACATAATCCATATATTAAAGATTAAATATTATAGGAGAGATAATTAGATATTCAAAATATTGGATATTCAACTGATCTAGTCAGAATTGTCTTGACAATGTTATAATATGAAGAAATGGATAGACCCACTTTTCTTGAATTATTAGTATTATGTTTACTAATATATAGAATTCCCATGAAGTTATTTAGAATCTTGAAAACTCAAGAAATAATCCATTACAACCAACTACTCATACTCCTAAACAAGAACTAAAGATTTTTTAAAATCGATTTTCATCAGATTCTTCTAGTTTGCAAATAGTGTAACCAAGTATCCCTATAACAAATAATCAATAATAAATACAATCATCTCCAATTAGAATATAATCATAAGTGGCTCCTCCACAGTATTTGCCTATCCATAATCCTAAGTAACAAGAAGTGGATCACTAAAGACAAGAGTAGATTTTAAGAGAGTAATAAATACAATAGCATTTACAATTATAATTAAGATAATAATAATAACTATTACAATAATAATAATAATAACAACAATAATAATCACTATTAATTGAATAATAATCATAATAAATACTTCTTTATTAACAATAATTATAAAAGTTAAAGAACTTAGCACCTTAACCAAAAATTAAGGAATAGTAATAACCAAAACTATAGGATTACATGATACATCCATTACCTATTCCACCTATTGTTTTAGATCCAAATGCACGAAATTCAACTGTTGATGAATTCTAGGAAAGCCAAGAACTAAATAATAGAATCAATTCAGCTTTAGCTTTATCAAGATAAGCTATTAACAAATATAAATGATTATTTAATATATTTTATTTAGAAAAATACAACTTAAAAAAATAAGTAATTATTTTATTTCAATGAATTACTATCATAAACTTAAAACTATGCCAATAAATATATATTAAAACACAATAGATTTTAATCTTTGTCTGATAATATAGGATATTAAGTACTCTACAGAAAATGTTTAATAAATGCCACTCTAATTAATTTAAAATATATGAGATAGAAAAAAATATTTGAGATAATTATAAGAATTTCAAAAATACTTTTGGGTAGCTTTCTAAATTATTGAAAATTAACTTTATTGAAATTTATAATAATCAATTTACCTAATTTATTTTATAAAAAAGAATACATCTAATACCAAAAGCTTGAATCATCAAAAATTATAAATATAATTTTGAATTTTAAACAATATTTTCTAGAATATAATAACAAAATTTTTAGAAAATTTAATGTAAAAATTTTAATCATGATAATTAGGAATTAATGATCAATTCTAAATTATTCTCTTATAAATGAAACTATAAATATCAAATCTATTGTATTGATTCAAAATATAAAACGAATATTCAAAAATTTAATTAGAATTCATTATTGATATAATCTTTTGCAATTCTTATTTTGATTTTGGGAAATAAATTCTATTTTACTTTAATATTACAAATAAATTTGGATTAGCTGTATTTAAAAAAACAACGAAAAACATAATATTAAAAATATTTATTAAAAAATAATAGAATTTATTGATTTATAAAAAATTGCATCGTTTATAAGTAATAATTTTTTAATTATCAAGTAATCTAACTTTAGTATGTTAGGTAAAATCTTATAATTTCGAAAAAGATTTGTATTTTTGTCTTATGTATTCTAACCCTAAGCATTATTAAATTAAAATGCTTAAAGAACTTTTAATGTTATCTTAATTAGGAAAAATGTTATTAATTATTTATTCAAAATTTAATCGAACTTAGATATAAGATTAAATGTTTTTAACCAATTTTGTAATAAATCCTAAAAAGAAATGAAATATTATTAATTTAAAGTTATTTGTAATATCAACTCTTAACTTTTCTTTATTTTTTTGATTGAACAACATCAATAACGTTCTTAGTTGGGGTAGACTGTGTAGTACTGCTAAGTTAAGAGGGAAATATTTATTTTTCAGGTGTACTTGTAATATTATTATTATTATTATGATCTTAAAACTCTTTCAAGATTTATTCAAAAGTATTTCTTAACTTTTAGACTAATTTTTATTTTTTTTTATTTAATTTTGTTTTATGCTTTTCCAAATCTTATAACTGTTTTTTTAAATTAAGAACAATATAATTTGAATTCTAATAAAAGGAAATTGATTTATTAATTTCAATAGTAGATAATTGTGATATTTATTAATTTTAGAAATCAATCTTCTTATCGACTTTTTAATTGAATTCATTAACATAAGTTATAAAATCCAATTTTTCATTGATAATCTCTTCCTTAATTTATTCTTTATAATCTGTTAATTTCTAAATTAAAATATTCATGCAAATATCAAATTATTGATTTAATTCTTCTGAATTATTGCAGATTGGTTAAATTGATATAGATGTCAAATTTTCAATTTTCCCTTTCAATTGATTTTCAAACTCTGATATTAATTTCCTTTGATGAGAAATAAAATCATTTGGCACATGAAATTCTAAAAAACAATCAGCACACCCTATTTTAAGATATTTGAAATACCTATCTTTTATTCGTGATTACATTTTTTGTCTAAGCAGATGTATTTAATTCTTTGACAATCATGGTGTTAAATTCTGCACTAATTCATATATAAATTAAAATAATTAGCGCCAAATATAATTAATCAATTCTTAAATTATCTCTATATCTGACCATCAGGATAAACTATATCTACATTTCCATTTGGATATTCAATTTACTTTACTTTTTAACTATTAATTTTTTATATTATCCCATCACTGAAAAAAGTCTACTCTTCACCACTAGCATTTATGTATTTTTCAGTTCCATCTCCAAATCGAATTTCCTTTGTTCCATCATTAAAATGTATCTCGATCTATTAATTAGAAAAACGATAAATCTAAAAATCTATTTTAAATATAATACATTTGGTCCATTTGCAATTGTAATTTGAGTTGTACTTGCATCAGCAAAATAATATATTACTGTTCCATTAGGTAAAGTTTATTTAACATCTTTATTAGTGAAGTGAACAATAACATATCCATCAGGAAGTACTTCCCTTTTAACTCCATTATGAAAAACTACCTCTTTTTTACCATTAGAATATTGTCTAGATATTTTACCATCAGGTCCAACATTTTAATTAATAATTTTTGAAGGAACATCTTTATTCTTTTTATAAACCTAATAAAAACGATTTTGATCATAGTTAAATTCCTATTCAGAAATCAAACTATTAATATTTTTTATTGTAAATGGGATACCTTCATCCTACATTTGAACTAAATCATATTTTTTACAATTTTATTATTAGAGGTTTCTTTTTTATTATTCTCTTCTATTATCATTATCTTCTTAACTATCATCACTTAGGTCTTCATTTTATTATTCTTCATCATTATCATAATCATTTTCATCTTCTAAATCTGAATCTTATTTCCTATATTCCTATATCGATTGTTTGTGTTTTATTTATTATTCCTCTGCAAAACTACTAGGGCTTTATCTTCTATTCTTTTATTAAGGAACTTCTTTCTTTTAAGAAAGTCCAGAAACATTAGATTTCAATTATATTTACTAGGATTTACTTTATTAAATAGTTGCTTAAGAATTTGGCCTCTTTTATTCTAGAATTCTAAGTTCTAATGCTTTTACCTCAGCCTACAATTCTTAATTTCTTTATACTAACTCTTCATTTTATTTCTTTAATCTATCATAGGATAGCTTATTCTTTTGATCTTTTTATTTTTATTCTTCTGTTAGTTTTTGAACTTATTATTTTAATAATTCTATTTCTTCTCTCTCTTTTCTATTTGGTAAATTTTAAATAGTTTTTTATTGTCTTTCTTATACTCTTTTTTCTCTTAACATTTTCTTTTTCTCTTCTTCCTTCCATTCTTCTAATTCATGTTTTTCTATTTCTTTTTATTTTTCCCACTCTTCCCTCTCTCTTTATAATTATTTCAATTAATCTTCACATTTCACTTTAGCTTTCTTTACTTTTTCATTTTCACTTTTAAATTTAGCAATTTCAGTATTTAAATTATCGATCTTTTCTTAGACATATTTTCTAACAATTTCCTCTTCTGATTCTTATGGTTAAGGTTTCTCTTATTTTTTATCTTTTGCATCTTTTTCTTTTTTTAACCCAAAATAAGAAGTTGCAATCTTGGATTATTTTGGAGGTTCATCATTCCAATCTTCATTATCATCAAATTAATATTCTTAATATGAATCCTAATGATTTTCAGATTCCTCTTTTTGCTTCAAAGGTTTTTATTATATTTATTATTGTTATTATTATTATTATTATTATTATTATTATTATTATTATTATTATTATTATTATTATTATTGCTATTATTACTGCTTAAATGGTTATTATTTAGGTTATTCCTTTATTACTTCTTATTTTTTTGATCTTTATTATACTTCTTTTTATTCTTGCTTAAATTCAACCTTTTATTATTATTACATTCTTTAAGGTTTCGTTTAATTTGTCTAATTTTATACAGGAAGAGCCCCTTAAGCATTATTCTCTTTTAATATCTCAGCATGTTCCTTCTTAGCAATATCAGATCTTTGCTAAGCATTTGATAAAAATTATCTTGTCCCTTTTTTCAAAAATGGTTTCTTCTTAACACGACCTTAATCATCAAAATTAGCCTCTTCAAGAGGTTTTTTAAAGTTATTTCTTGGAGGCATTTCATCTAACTCTTGATTTTTATTATTTTTAAAAGGCATATCATCAAAGGCTGAATTTTTATTGTTTTTAATAGGCATATCATCAAAGGCTGAGTTTTTATTATTTTTTATAAGCATTTCATCAAAAGCTGAGTTTTTATTATTTTTAATAGGCATATCATCAAAGGCTGAGTTTTTATTATTTTTAATAGGTATTTCATCAAAAGCTGAATTTTTATTTGTCTTAATTGGTATATCATCAAAGGCTTAATTTTTATTTGTCTTAATTGGTATATCATCAAAACCTCCTTTTGATGTTTTAATTGGAATGTCATCAAAGGTTTGATTTTTATTTGTTTTAATTGGCATTTCGTCAAAAGCTGAATTTTTATTTGTTTTAATAGGCATATCATCAAAGCCTCCTTTTGATGTCTTAATAGGTATATCATCAAATGGCTGATTTTTAGTAGGTTTAATAGGAACTTCATCAAAAGAGTTCTTTTTTGTTTTTGTGCCTTAATCTTCATAACCTTTCTTTCCAGGTTTTATTAAGATATCATCGAAATTATTTTAGTTTTACTTTTATGATGGGATTGGAACTTCATCAAATGGATTAGAATAATTTGTTTTCCTATTAGGTTAATCTTCGAATTATTTAAATTATTTCTGATTTTATTAATTTTGCCATTATGTTTCTTCCAATTAGAATTATTTATTAAAATCATCTTATTTCTTAGTTCTAATAGGTATATCATCAAAATTATTGCCTTTCATAGGTTTAATTGGCATTTCATCAAATTGATTAGATTATTATCTAAAATCATATTCATCTTATTAATATAAATTATTTTTATTAAAATTAGATCTAATTATTTATTCATCTAAAGTAGCTTATTTAATTGGCATATCATCAAAAATGGGTGTTTTCTTTTATTGTTATTTTTGTTATTTATTGTATATATCTTCATTATCTGATTAATCAAAATTTTGAATTTATTACTTAGTTTATCTTTAATCTCCCTATTCATTGATTCTTTATTATCTTAATTTTTGATCTTATTTATTTTTATATTAATTGAAGAGTTCATTATCTGGCAAAGTATAATCATGAAACTCATTTTTGTAATTTTAAGATACTTAAATATCTTCAAAATGAAGTTATCTATTAGTGTTTACATTAGTTTCCTACTTAATACTAATACTTACTTCTTAATATTTAGCTGGATTATAGTTATGGATGAATTAGGATGATTATTGTAATTAACATTCTTCAGGTTTCAATTGATTATAGAATTAATTCATATCATTTACTTTGTTATGATAAAACTTTTCTAAATCAAAACCTAGAACATAAGAAAAATCAAATACCAGATGATTGAGTTTACATCATTTACATCATTTGCTATTGAAACATTTTCATCATACTCTACATCATGACATCGTTGGGATTGATGTTTTGATTTGTCATTTCATTTTAGAAAATTTGTTAGCCAAAATTGCTTCGTTGTTAATGCATTTGGAAATTGAATTCAAATTTTAACAATTAATAACTTCAAAATTAACTCCAAAACTCAAATAGAAATTGGGCTTGGTGATCATTTTAAATCTTTTTCAACTTATCACAATGTTATAAGGCTTCCTTAACAATGTCACTGGATTTGCTAGCATCTATCAACTTTTAAGTGCGTAGTTTGAATTAAAATAAATATAATATTTGAATATATGGGAATCTACCAGATAAATATATAAAAAATACCTATTCTCTTTTTCTTCTTCAATAACTTACTTGATAAATTCTATATTCTCATCAAGATATTTATTTATTTCATAAATTGCTCCTTAAAATTCTTATTAAATTATATTATTATATTTAAATCCTTCATTATCAAATGTTAAATTAATTTCACTCGGAATTAGAAATTTTGAAAACTCATCTTCACTTAACATAGTTTCTAAAGATCCATTTTAATAAATTTAATTATGAATTCTAATTTTTAAATTATTAATTTATTGTTCTTCAAAATTAATAATAACATTAATGCCTTCAACTCTTATATTGATAATTTTAAGAGCATTATCATTATTAAATAATTCAAAAGAGTTCTCAACATTAGTTACTGCTCTATTAAATTATAATGTGACTGAATTATTTTAAACTTTTTCAACTTTTGTTACACCAAAGGGTTAAACAACACCAACTAACCATCTGTGATATAAATAAACTCCATGTTCTTTTGGTTATATATAAATAGCTTATTATATTAATTCTGTTTCATCTTTCAATCTATTGAAAGGCAAAGGTAGTAGACCTAAAATTTATTCTGTTTTAATTCTCTCTATAATATTTTCAGATTAATTATAATTTTTCATAAAATATTTGCTTCTAAAATGATAGGCTGAAAAATTACTAAAATTTTATTCAATCTAAATATTAAAATTATATATACTTTTTTTTTTGTAAATTCATCTTCCTTTCCAAAGGCACTTATTGAGGATAACCAATTTCTATAATTCCAAACATGAAAATTACGTTCATCTCTATCCAACATTTTGCTACATAATTCATATTCTTGTTTAATAGCTTCTATCAATTTAAATTAGTTGTCTTAATTACTATATAAGATTATAAATTTGATACATTGAACTAATAAGTTAATCTATTTCTTAGCTTCTTAAAACCATCCATTATCTATGAGTCCAAAGAGTGTACGATTTAGGATGTTATTTTAATAGTATAGTTATGAGCATAAATTCAGATTGAATCAATTTTAATAATTGCTTATACACATCTATGCTTTTAGATTCTGAAAGTAATCCTCCTAAATGATCAAATTTTGTTTAAAGCACTTCTCTTCTATAATTATAAATAGTAGAAATTTCAGGACATAACTTAGCCATAAGCTCTGAAAAAGCCAATTGATCTTCAGGTTAATTCACTTAGTTTTTTCTTACTTTAAAAAAATAGTCTAAAGAATCTAAAATTTATTATCCTTTTTCTGCTCTAAGTTTTATCTCTTCTTCAGATAATGTTTCAGCCTTTAATTTAGATTATCCATGCATCATCTTTTATCAGAATATATAAAATTAAATAAAATAATTTAAAATACATCATTTGAATAAACCTAAGTTATTTCTTTTTCTTCCTGTATATTTTGTTGTTTTTTTAACTTTTCTACCTAATCTAACTTATTTTTCTTTTCTTTTCATAATCCATAATTTAGATTTTTCATTTATCTTCTTTTACTTTTTTTATTTCTTTATTTTCTTTTATTATCTACCAATAACTTTAACTTTTTCATCATCTGATTCTTCAATTAATCCTTAAATAATATCCATAGTTTTTTTTGATGATTATCCTCCTAGTTGTACAACAAGATAAAGCTTTTTGGCTTTTGCAGAATTTGGATAATCAACAACAATATCACCGCTAAAACCTAATTACATAACTCTTCTTTAAAATACCTGCTCTTAAAGCGGCACTAGTAATCATATTTATTTATTCATTGTTTTCAGGATAGAATTGAAATACTGCTCGAGCATTATTTTTTAAGCAATTTCTTAGCGATTCAAAGAAAATTGTGCATCTTCTATAAGGATTTTCTGATTTCTTGAAACTCACGCATAACCATTAAATGACAGAAATAGAAATAGCAGCATCAAAAACACCTGGTCTAAATTTGAAACCTTGACCAATATCACATAATAATAATTCTCCTTCAGTCTTTTCTTATTGAGCCACATTCAACATAGATTCTGAAATATCTAATCCTACCCAATTCACTCCTTCTTATGTTAGATAAAATCCTGAAATTCCAGAGCCACATCCAATATCAAGTACTAAACTGCTTTCATCTGTATTTAGATCTAATAATTAGATAGCCCTTTCACTCAGTTAGGTTTGAATATTGATAATTCTATTGCAATTAGTATATTTAACACTTTCCTATTGATTATAGTACTAGAGGATGACTAGATTATGATACTTACTAAATTTGGTGGTAATTGTGATTCTGGTCGTGACATTAATTTTTATAAATTAATTTTATAATTTAATGTTGAATATTCTCAGATTAAGCGGAGCATCATATCTTTAAATTCTTTAAGAGAAAGCAATCCATCTCCATTTTTATCAACTTCTGACATCAAAGTCACCCAAGTTTCTTAAGGGATTTTATTTCCAGATTAAAACATTTGCTTCAACTCTTCAATTGTTATTGTACCACTATTATCTTTATCTATAACTTTAAATGCCTATTCTAATCTTTCTTAAGTTAATGCAGTCTTTCTATTAATAGTTGCCATCACAAATTCTGAATAATCAATAATACCAGATTGATTTTTATCAACTGATTGCATTATCTATTCTACTTATAAAATAGCTTCTGATTCAGGCATTATCTTCTTATAACCATCAAGCAATTCTTTTTTTGTTAATACTCCATCAGAGTTTTTATCAAGACTTTAAAAGGTTTTTAATAATTCTTCTTTCTCTTCTTTTGTTGTAAATTATTTTATTATGTACATATAGGCTGCTTCTTGAATTCTTTAAGTTGTCTATCATAAGCTTTTATTATTTAATACTCTAAATGTCTTCATATTTGTTAATACACTTTCTAGGACTGGAGCTTTGACTTCTTCTTTTGTATATTAGAGTATCCAAGGATCATTGAGACATTCTTATGCTGAGTATCTTTTAGAATCTTGATATTCAAGCATCTTTCGAATTAATTATTTAGCTTCTGGTGAAACACTTAACCATTGAGTTGAAGACAATGAATAAGTTCCCTTTTTTATTGATTCATAGATTTCATCATCAGTATTCCCATCAAAAGGTGGTTTACCGCTTAACAAAATATATAAAACAACTCCAGCTGACCAAATATCACACTTTTCATTATACTGTTCGGTAAACATCTCAGGTGCCATATAGTAAGCCTTTTAAAAGTTATATTATGCTTACTGTTCCAATAATTTCTCTTAAATTCTTTCCTGTAGTTCTTTTTGAAGTACCAAAATCAATAACTTTTAACTGACTATCTTTCTTATCACTCTCATATAATAAATTCTCTGGTTTTATATCTCTATGAACTATCCTCTAATTATGGCAATAGGCTAAAGCCTACAAAATTTATTTCATGATCTTAGCTGCATCAATTTCTGAAAAATTATGAATCTCCATTAATTTATCATATAATTCACCACCTGTACATAATTCAGTTATTATGAATAGTTTCTGGTTGGTTTCGAAAAAGTCATATATCTTTATTATATTTGGATGATCCTAAAGGTATTTTTTTAGTTTACTAGTGATTTCAATATGTTAACTTCATTGATAATATTTTGATATTCTTCAGAGTGTTTACTGTTTATTTGCTTTATTGCTCTAAATTATCCACTAGCTTTATGTTTTGCTTTCCAAACTACTCCAAAAGCTCCTTCTCCCAAAGGAGGCTGAATCAATTCATAATCACTTAAGCAACCTTAAGAACCTTCATATATGTCTTTATATGGTTAGCGTTGTTCCTAATTGTATATTAGCAAATTATACATCACACTCAATTTCCTTTTATTGCTATTTACATTAACAAGCACCCATCTATAAATGAATTAAATAAACAAACAAATTTTGGAATATCTAGATTTTACAAGGCAAATTAATGAATTATTTTTATATAAAAAATACTATAGATAATAAGTATAATTATAAATATGATATAGAATCTGCCAAATCCATTAATATTACATTATCTATTGATTTCTTTATTATAACAATAATATCTTTGTTTTTTATATATAAGCGAATTTTAAACAAGCCTTAAATCATTTTGTTATAGATTACAATATAAATATAATTATAATTTAAAAAAATGAACATATTATGGGCCATCTAAATTAATTATAAAATTATTAATTTTTATATAACATATATATCTTAAAAATTTCAAAGCTGTTATTCTTATTCTTACTATTTTTCATCTTGTTCTAATTCTTCAAGTTTTCTTTTTAATTATGTAACAGTATTCATCATAAAATCAAAAGAAATCTTTGATTAATCTAAGGTAGATCTTGATGATTTGGATTACATTGATTTATTTGTTGATATATTTAAGCCTTATTTATTTAGATAGATCTATTATATATTAAGAAAATACTCTTTAAGTACTAGGTATCTTTAATTTTAATTAATTATTTTGACCTAAAGATTATCTTTATAATTAAAAATATTTATTTGATAGAGTTGTACTCGGAATCACAATTAATAGAGGCTATTGATTAGATTGATTGGATTAATGTGATTGATGAGTTTACTATAACTTTTTAGTTGCTTAGACAGAAGGTTATGATGCCTTTTAAGGAGTTTAATCAAATTATTTTGTTCCAATTTCTTAAGTTGTTAAATTTTAAGATTTCCTTGATAATCGTTTTTATTTTTCAATAGGTAATTCTGATATTGATGGAAGATTGGGTAATTGATTAAAGGTTAGTCTATTACCATTTAAATTTGTATTAGATAAAAGCAGCTTCTCTTTTTCATTTTCTTCTTTTACATTAACAATCTTTCTTAATTTTTAGGATATTATTTATCTAAAATTAATTAGTAAATATTCTTACGCTTTTCTTTCAAATTAAGTTTATTCACAATATTATGTATATTGCAAAAAGCAGTCCAAACAAACTTATGTTGTTAAATCTTTCCAACTTTAATTTTGTTATAATTATTAATATTTCTCTTCATTAATTTTACCCCAAACTTTTAATATTAAAGGAGGTATATGATTAAAAGTAAATTTTTAATCCTCTTATTCTTCATTCAATAATTAAACTAGTTCTTTAATTTACGTATATAATTCATTTTCATTTAATGTATTTTAGCAAATCTTTTTTTTCTCAATTAAAATATTATTTGAGGGATTATCATTTTGAAATTCATTTTAAATATCATATTCTGAATTTAATAGTGATTATTACCTTCTTTAAGATTGTATTTTTATCTCATTTTAATGTTTCTATTATAAGTGACTTTTGGAATCTATTAATCTTATTTCTATTTAATCTTTTCCAGTTCCTCAGGCAATCTAGTGAAGTCTTTCTTCACTAAATTCTTATAATTTATATAAATACTTATTTAAAGCTTTCAATAATAAATTATAATTTCAATTGATATAGTTAATGAGAGAATCTATCACAATTACTACAAACGTTTTTAAATTAATAAAGTAGAGACTGCATTTCCCCTTGATTATTTATTTTAATAACAGTCTAAGCCTATTCCTTTGCGAAAGATACTGGCTCTTAATCTTTTCTTAAAACTCTAAAAATAGGAGAAAAAACTCTTGGTTATTGCATTAAATCATTAAATTTATCTTTAACTTTAATATTAGTACAAAAAAGCAACCAAATCCTATTTTCATAATCAACTTTAAAATATAGGACCATTCTTATTATTTAAATATTCCCTCCTGATACTTCTAAAATGTGTTTTACAATATTCACACATAACTATTCTAAATCTGCACTTAATAAAGGAGAATTGATTGAGTCTGCTTATATTAAATATTCTGGTCCATCAAATGTAGTTACTCTTTCAACTTAAGTCTTTTTTACATCATTCATTTTATTGATATTTGTCTTTCTCATAACTAAGCAGAATTATGGAGACCATGTTACTTTAATCAAAGAATTTTAATCATTTTTTGGGTATATAAATCTTGTAAACTAAAGATTCTTACTTTTATAGAACCAAATTTAAATCTTTCTCTCTCTAATGTAGAAATATTATAAAATTCTCATAATCTAAATACTCAAACGTAATAATTTCTTATGATTTATTTTGCATCTGAAGTATATATATAATTTTAATTTATACCTGACTTGTCATTAATTAAGCTACAGTATTTTCTTGTTTAAACGAACTTTCCACTTAATCTATGAATACCCTCTCTTTAGTTTTCCGTATAATTTACCCATCTTATATAGTGAAATATCCTTAAATTATGATATTTTTTACTAAAATATGGTTGAGCCCATCGATAAATTATTGAATCTGCAACAAAAATTCCATCACAACTATGTCCAGTTTTCGGATTTTTTTTCCATATATGAAAGAATAACCACTCTGTACATGTTCCTAATTTCATAAATTTTAAACTAATTTATTTTAATATTAATCTGTTTTAATATCATTTTCAATTAACATTAATTATATACATAGCAGCTACTGGAAATTAATTTTTGGTATTAAAAATTATGATTAAGTAGATTTAGAACAGTGAAAAGAGGCAATAGGAAGATTAAACTATTCATAATAAAGTTATTTAGAGTAGATTATTTCCAGATCATAAATTAGTTGTTAAACAAGATAGCAATATAAATTTATGATTGAAGTTTATATATATTAGAAACTATAGATTTTAAGTATTTATAATTAAAACAATTGATAATTTTTTTGATAATAAAAATCACTCAAATGAATATTAAATATATGTAATTGCGAAAAAAAAAAGAAATTCTAATCATAATAAATGATATATAATTAATGTTTAATCAAATAAATTCAAAATTACTTATTAATTTACTTTAAAAGATCTTCCATAGCTTAATTGTGAGTTGCTAATCCTTATTTGTAATCATTACAAAGATTTTTTACAAGCTAATTAATATTTATTTTAATTATACTTAAAACACATCATTAAATTATTATCCATCTTCTTCTTGCACTTCATTAATTTACAGCTTCAATTTTAATAGTTTTTCAGTAATATCTAATATTATAATATAAAATACCTGTTAGTACTTTCTCAATGTTTGAAATTGATTCTATATATTTGTCTACCTCTTATTATAATTAATTATCTAATTCATCAAGTTTTTAGACTAAATCTTAAATTTATTAATCATTATCTCCATTTCCTCCTTTCTTTTTTTTAAGTTTATTTAATTCATCTTGATTTTTGGCTATTTATTTTTCTAAATCTGATCTTCTTTTATCACTTTATGAAGATTCTTTTTCTAAATTATCAAGTATTGGTTTTTATTCTTAAATAAACTTTCTTAATTTGTCAATTTCTCCTTTTATATCATCTTTCTTCAATTATTGATTCTCCTTTTATAATTAATCGATTTATTTTTATTTTTCTTTAATTTCATCTTCTTATTATTTAGCTTATTCTTTAAGATTCTATACTTAAGCATCAAGGGCATTGCATTCATCATCTAAATCCTTGTTTTCTTTCTCTTTCTATTTTAGTTGACTATTAGCTTTATCCAAATCCTTTTTTGCTTGATTTTATGCTTAAATAGCATTTTTAGCATCTTATTCAGCTTTTTATATTTTATTTTTAACTGCTTCAGGATCTAATTAAGCAATCTATTTTTCAGCTTATGCTAATTTGTTTTAAGTATCTTTTAATTATTTTTTCAAATCATTTAAGTTTTATAATTCTTATTTTAATTTTTCAGCCTCATTAACAGCTGCTTATCTTTATTAATCTAATTAATCACATTCTGCATCTAAATCTTTTACTTATTTTTCTAAGTCTTTTCTTTATTAATCTTTATCTTTTTATTCTTTAAGATCTTTTTATTTCTACTCTTTTAACTTATTTAATTCATTCTAAACTTTTGTTAATTAATCTTCTTTTTATTTTAATGATTACTATGCCTTATTTAATTCATCATTAAGTCTTTTAATTTCTAAATTTTCTTGTTATTCTTTTATTTTTTATTACAGTTTTGCATCTAAATCATCACACTCTTTATTAAGATTATTAATCTCATTTTATAGGTTTTTCTTCTCTTTTTCTTGTTCTTTCAATTAATCCTTTAATTATTTAATTTCATTTTATGCTTCCTATAATTAATTTTTCAATTAATCTTAAGTCTTACTCTATTTTTATTCAGCATTGTTAATTTAATCTTATAATTTTTAGGTTTATTTTTTTGATTCATTTAATTATTTATTTAAATCATTATTATTTTATTGCAATTATTTATTTTCTTATTATTTATTTTGAGTATCTAATTTAGATTTTTCTAAATTTTCTTATAATTTTTAAATATCTTTAGCCTATTAATCTATTTATTTTTGTTTTTAAGCAACTTCTTTATTTAATTAATTAATTTAATCATTTAGTTAATCAATTTCTTTTTATAATTCTTTATTTTCTTGATCATATTCATCCAAATCCTTATTTAATTATTCAGCATCATTATGTTTATCATTTAATTCTTTTTATGCTTAAGCTAAATCTTTTTATTATTTCAAAGCCTTTTCTTCAGCTTAATTGTATTTTTAATACAAATTATTATTATCTTAAATTAAATTTTATTTTTCTTTATTCAAATCTTTTATTTCTTTTTCAAGATCTTTTATTTAATTTTATTAATCTTTCACTTTCTATTCTAAATCAGCAATTTTCTCATCTAATTGATCCAACTCTTAATTTGCAGCATTAATTTATTTAGCTTATTCATCAGTCTTATCTTTTAATGTCTTATTATTCTTATCCAAAGTAGCAGTCTTTTTAAGTTCTGCATCTAATTTTCTTTAGACATCTTTTACTTCTCTATCTCTTTTATTATCAGCATCTTTAAGCTCTTTTTGTAATTATTATATTTATTTAGTCTATGCTTCCAGTTAATTTGCTTTATTAGAATTGTCATTTTCTAATTAATCAATATTGTGATCTTTTTCGTTCTCTGTTGCTTTAGCATTATCTAATAATTCTTTAATTTATTTTTCATATTAATTCATTTAGTCCTACAGTTGTTTTTCTAACTCTTATATATATGAAGCTAATTGTTTAATCTTAGCTTGGGCATCATTATATTGGCCTTCATAGTTTTATACTCTTTATAAATCTTCAGCAAAGAATTATAATTGATCTTTTAGAGAATCTATTTCTGCTTACTTCTCTTAAAGTAGTTTATAATATTGGTCATTCTATGTAACAATAACTTAGTTATCGTGCTACATTTCTGCCAATTTAGCAAGGGTATCATTAATAATTTCTTATTATCTATTAATTTCTCCATCTTTTAATTTGATAATCTTTTCTTTTCCTACTATAAATCTTTCTCTATCATTAACAGAATTTCTCATATATTAAGCCTCCTTCTATAAAGTACTAATTTAATTAGCTTAATTTAAAGTATTTCTTTGTTCTATTTCCAACATTTATCCTAAACTTTATAGTTGTTCATCCATAACTTATTTACTAAGATACGCATCATCCAATTTAGTTTACAATATTTACAATTCGTTTTTTAAATTAGCATTTTCTGCTAATGCCAGTTACAATTCTCCGTTTCTGGATCTCGATTTTACAATTTCATCATTAGCATTTTAAGATTTCAGTTCAGCTATCTCTTTATCTTTACCTATTACAACTGATTTAAGATATTCAGCTTAGTCTTGAGTTTCTTTCAAAAGTTCTGAATATTCATAATTTTCTTCCTTCAGTAGATTGATTTCAGACTCATAAGCCTCCTTCATATTTTCAGCCTCCTGCTGAAGTCTTTCAATCTCGTCACTTGGATTAACCTTTAATTTCAGTGCTCTTATTTCATTATCCTTTAACATCAAACTTAGTTTGAGCCTAGATATTTCATCTGATTGATTTTCTGGTTCTGGAGATTAATTACTCATTTTTATTAATAAAGTTTATTTATATATGACTGAGTCTTAGTGTTAAATTTGCATTTAATTTGAAGCTGAAGATATTTGTATCCTCTCTGAAATGCTAAGTTAAATTACTACTCCAATTTCAGGTATTAAATCATATATTTATGTAGACCATAAAATACCTATTCAGATGTTTCCTTACATTTTTAAAAGTTTGAAGTTCCGTAAATGTCTGGCTCAAATATTTGATACCAAATACCTAGAAATATGTGAAAAATGCTCACATAATAGACTCTAATAAGTGTTCTTACCATTATTTTCAACCGCTGTTACTGAATACAATGAGACTCAAATAATATAGCAAATAGAAGAAGGATTAGATAAATTATATGAATCTATATAAGAAAAACAATAAAAACTCAAGTAATCTAAAGAATAGTTTGATAAACTGGCTTCTCAATTGTTTAATTGTGAAGATGATGTTGAAGAGAGTAATTCATTAGGAGAGGAAAGTAGTAGTAATGAAGAAATCAGTAAAAATTTTATATTTAAAGAAAAAGAAAAAAATGAAGAGGATGAGCAACAACCGATAATGCAGTTTAACAAAAATTCTAATAAAAACAAATTTTAGAAAAGATCAATTGATATACTTAAAAAGTGGTTTTTGGATCATCTCGATAATCCATATCCAGATAATACTGAAAAATAGAGGCTCTCTAAGATTACTGGTATGCATGTTCGTCAAGTATAGCTATATAATATAGATTTTTAGATTTAAAATTGGTTTACAAACTCTAGAAAAAGATATTTGGAACCTTTAAAAAAGAAATTCGAACATGGATTGATGAAGGATAGTGATAGTCATGAGGATGACTCTTCTAAAGAATAGAAAAAACCTTTAAAGATAACTTAGTAGCAACAACAACAACAATAATAATAATAATAATAATAATAACAATAATAATCATAATAACAATAACAAATAATCTAACCTCAATAATTGAATATTGCTTCGTAATAGTTACAATAATAATAATTTTAATAACAATAATAATAATTTTAATAATAATAATAATAATTACAATAATAATAGCTGCTTTAATAATAATTTTAAATGCAATTACCACTTTAAAAGAAAGTGAAAATGGAAGAACTCGGCCAAAATAAATCATAAGATGCAAACCATATAAAATAGGAGGCTAAAATTGGATCATTTACTTAGGATCTTTCCTAATTTTAATAACCAAATCAATTTTAGCAATTATAATCGATGTAATAAATTGCTCAATTATAATAATTACAATGGCTTAATCCTCTAAATCAATTAAATCCATTATAATTTTAACTTGGCCCTTAATTTTTATCTCAATATTATAATTTTTAAGATCAATCAAAAAATCCTCCTCTTAATGGATTACCTCAATTACACTAAGTTCCTATATTTCCAATATTGCCCTCATTACAATAGGCTGGATTTCAATAATTTTTATAGTAAAGTCCAGGATAATCAATTTCATAATAGATTTAAGTTCCAAATATATAAGCTTAAATACCATAAGTGACTAACCTACAAGCACTTTAAGCAGGTTTTTCATAGTTAAATGGATAAATTTAAAATCCCTAAAATGGAATATTGTATCCAATGTATTAGTAATAAATGCTAAATGAATAAAAGAAATGATATCAATAGATTCATTTTAATATTGCATATAATTATATTTTAATAATAGAATTAAATCAAAGAATTTTTATATTTTTTAATTTTTATTAATTGGGAGGGGCAAACCCAATTTTTGTCTATTCCTAGTTTTTCTAACCTTATAAGATTAATTTTAACTATTATTATGATTATTATGATTATTATGATTATTATTATTATTATTATTATTATTATTATTATTATTATTATTATTATTATTATTATTATTATTATTATTATTATTATTATTATTATTATTATTGTTATTATTATTATTGTTGTAAGAAGAATTATTACTATTATTACAATTATGAAAATGATAATGATTATTACTATTATTACTATTATGATTATAAGAAGAATTATTACTTTTATTTCTATTACTACAATTATGATGATGAAAATGATAATAATTATTACTATTATGTTTATTATGATTAAAAGTATGATTTTTACTCTTATTATGATAATGATAATTAAAATTTATACAATTATAATTAGGATTAGCTGAAAAAATTATTTAAAGATTTTTGGTGAATTTTATTATGAGAAAAATATTAATTTTAAACATGGAAGTGTTATTTCTATTAATTGATCTTTTTAGTTCCATTAATTTTTAATTTATTTATTACTTCATTAATTGATATTCTCTAATTTGGCTCGATTTACATCATTTATAAAACAAGGTTGACATATTCTAAATTACCAAGCTTATTTTTAATTTTTTCATCTATTTATTCTTATTTTTAACTTAATATCAAATTAAAAACTTCTTGATTACTGTTTTCCATGAATAAGACCTCTCCTGAAAATACTTCATAGATGACTGCTCCTAAAGCCCAAATATCCACAGAGGCATTATAGCCAATATTTTTTTGGGATAAACACTTGATTTACTCTGGGGCCATATAATGAGATGTACCACATTGATATGTTTATGAAATCTATTTAGTGCTTGACAATCCAAAATCGCATATTTTATAAGTTTTTTAAGTGTTTTCTCCATCGATATAAGAGAAAACTAGGATATTTTCTGGTTTTAAGTCTCTGTGTATTATTTATTTATCATGAAGTTCTTTTATACCATTAGCAATTTATTTAATAATATATCTGGCATTTTATTGATTTATCTTTTCTTTATGTAAAACATCTTCTAAGCTTTGTTCACAATACTCCATCAAAATAAAATATTCTTAAGTCTAATAATTTAATAAACATTCAATAGTGTTAACAAGATTTTTAAATTTTATTCCTTAAAGCTCTAAAAGAATTTTTTATTCTTCTTTATTCATTTATTTTTACACTTTTAGGGCATAATAAGAGTTTTATTTATTTAATAAATAGACTTACCCAAAGTTGCCTTATCCAATTTACTTTAAAACTGTATATTTTATATTTTAAATGTCTACATCTTGATTTAAATTATTTACAATTTTCTAGGATGTTAAATTTGTAAATTAGAAGGATTTCTTAATTGAATTCTAATCTCTATCTATGAAAAATGAATAATTTTAATTAGGAATTCTAATTTCGCTGTTATTTTAATTTTGATCTCCTTGATTTTGCATTTCTTAATAGTTTGTGATGAGACGAGGAGTCATTATTGGTCTACAAACGTTTGATGGGTAATTCATTTATTAATTAAATTTATTTCTATTAAAATATCATTAAATAGAAGGTTTATACATAAAGAATTATTAATTATCTTACGTAAATATTAAAATTTATTTAGCAATTTCTAATTTAAGCAACACTATATTAAAAATAATTGATTTCTTTATTCATGCCAAATAAAGAACTAAAAAAAATATCAAAATTGAATCAAAATTTCAAAGGAATAAATTCTGCTTTAATTCTTCCCTTTCAATGTAGGATTCATTATACTATTTTTATATGCTCTCATTCGCATAACTCTGATGTTAACTATATTTAAAACTACTATGACTCATTCTCCTTTATTTATTGAATGCAGCTGGTGTATAATAATAATCATCACTAAATGAAAATATTTTTATACTTTTCATATTTTTGAGGAGTGTGTGTCCATTATAAAAAATTCTCTTTGTTTGAAATATTATTTTCTTTTTATTATTTCTTAAAAAGTAGATATTTTTTATGCATTCTATTTCTTCTAGGATGTTTAATTATAGTTCTATTTCTCATATCATTCTATTAGATATATAAATAATAATCCTACATATTATTAAATTCTGATTGCAGTGCTTTCTCTACTTTATTAGATTGGTTATTTTTTTGGTTCGTCTTCTTCATCTTCTGAATCTGTGAGTAAGCTTACATAAGTTTTGTTAAGAAAGATGATTTCTAAAGCTTTTCTTTCAAACTCAATCTCAAATTGTTCAAAGTAAGAAGGCCTTCCTTCATAAAATTAATAGATACAACCCTTTTTAGAGAAACTATTATTTTATCCCTAATAATTTATCCGTGAATTCTGCAATTCTTTTTTTCATTCCTGAATTCCAATGATTTTTTATGGCATTGTCTGTTCTTCCTTCTAAATGTTTTGCAATTTCTGCCCATTTATTACTAATTGCTTTATGATATAAGAAAAGAAGCCACTCCTCACTAGAATCCCAAGATGTCTTTTTAATTAAAGGATTTAAATGATTATGCCATCTAAGAATATGAATCAAATTCAATACCTCTCTCTACATTATTTTCCAATCCTTCCTGGTAATTTGGAGGCAATAAATGTCCATTTATGAGGACCATATTATTCTACTAATTACATTACTTGAGTGTCTTCATAATCAGTCCAAGGTTCTAAAGATAAAAGAAAATGGATACTTTTTTTTGTTTTCTCTATTTTCTTTCGCATTTTTAATTTTGAAATAATATATTTAACTGATGAATAACAAAATAAAAATAAATAATCAAAAATTAATAAAACATTCTTTGAATATTGTATGAAAAACATAAAGAATTCAAGTAATAACATCTTAGTTAATATAACTATAATCATAAATATGAATTTAAATACAATATATTTTATAAAAATACTCATACAGCTTCATATATAGCAATTATAGTAATTGTACTTAATACTAATACATATATTAGTATGAGTAAAACTGAAAGATCTCTGGCAAAACGATACTTTTTTATTATACCATATAAAAAAGTTATAATCAATACAAAAAGAGTGGAAAATATGATGATAATCATTATCTAAATAATTTATTTTCTTTTTACTAAATTTTATTAGATTAGTTCTTTATTAAATAGATCGAATTCTACACTGGCTCCTGTCTTTAAATTAGTTTTTACTAGTGATATGCCTAGACCCACTAACAATCCAAAAATTTATCCAAAATATCTATATATCATGAACTTTGATACGCTCCTGTTATTCCCATGGTAGCATACCCTTATTTAGCAAGAGCCATAGTAACAATTCCATCTGGGAGTGCATTTCCCATAGCTATGATTGTCATACCTAAGTAAGAATTGGATAGATTGGTTAGCATTCCAAAAAAAGTTAGAGTATCTATGAGTATTCCACTCAAACAATAAATCCAAACTAAAGATACTATAGTTATATAGATCTATATATATATGTAGTATTTAGGTAATTCCTATATTAAAAGTAGTATATTACATTCTCTTAAGGATATGATGTATAAATTGCTATAGCTAATACAATAGATATTGACAAGAGATATAAATAGCTGAAAATATCGTAATTATTTGATCCCAATATGAAGTAAACAAAACAAAGACTTGGGAAAATAGTAATTAGTAAAATAGATTTAGTAACATTAGTAGAGGGAGGTATACTATATTTTAAGATGAATCTAAAGGGTATATCTACAACACAAAATGTTTTATCAGCACAAGTCTTTCTATTATCTTGAATTATATAAGTATCTTGTAATTCAGCTTAAATTTATTCAGTTTCTTAGGTTTCATCTATAACATTTTCCATTAAAAATTCATCAAATTATTTTTTAGATTGACCTTTTTTATGTATAAATTTATACTTTAAAGCTTATCTTAAAATAATACAATAATTACTAAGATAATATAAATGATCAATAAGAATGCGGAATCAATCAACGAAAACTCACCTATAATTCCATATATAATAATTATAATTGTTGCAACAATATAAAACAATATATCTCTCCAAATAAAATAAGATTTCATGACAATATATGATTATGAATTAATAATAGTTATTCCAACAACTAATGTTGCTACAAAAAAACCTGCTCCATATAAAGAACCAATATTATAGCTTATACCATCTAACGTCTCAGTAGCCACAATTGCTGTGACAACATCTCCAGCCCTTAAATATATTGAATATATTATACCCATTAGCAAAGGCCAATAGAGTTACAGCACTCAATGACTGAGAAATATTTAATTTCTCAGTTATAAACTCTATTGCTGGTGTTAAATAATACATCACTAATGTGCTCATAAATCTATTTATAAATATATGATATCATATAACCTGAATACTATTAATACAACAAATATTGCCATAAATATGAACACAATCCAATGTCCATCAAGTTGACAATAGATTAAAGAGTAATAGTTTATGAATATTTAATTTTGAGTACATAAAGAATTAGCTATTTCGCACTTCTATTCTAAATTAGAATCACTAAAAAAAAAGGATGAGTCACAACTCATTTCAATTAATATAATAATAAATACTTGATCATATAATGAAAATATAGAATTTTCACAGTTCCGAATTATCAGATGGAACATGATCTTTCCCTAAGTCTTGATTGTCCATCAATAATAAATGTTCTATTAGTACATCTCCTACCATTCTATTAACATAATTTTATAATGCCTAATCAAGTGAGGCTGATTCATGTTCTGCTTATAACAATTGCGTCATCTATGTTGATAATGGTTAAGATATTTCTCTAACCATTTCAGAACATAAATCATTCAAGTATTTTTCAATGGCTAAATCATCTAAAGCCTCAAATATTATTGTTCTCAAAGTATTTGGTATTATATGATCTTTTATTACTCTTGCATATTATAAATCAATGTAATAATTAGCACTTGATTCTTAAATTGCTTCCTTTGCTATAATGTATACTTCCTTATCTAAGAAATTTTGTATTGTTTAAAATGCAACTAATTTCATTGGATCTTTCTCTTATTCTGGCTTATCTTTAAACCTTTAATTTAAAATGCTTGTAACTAAATAATCAGTCTAATCTTTAACTACTTCATTAGCCATCCGTCTCACTACTCTATTCAATAAATCATCAATGATTCTCAAATATGCCTAATGCTTATCACTATAAAGGGATAAATCTTAGTTGTATTTGTTGTATGTAATTACTTCTAATACTATATCTGGAATAAATTTATCCTAAACATAAATATCTAATTTATACATATAGAACTTTTCTCAAATAATCTTCTGCATACAATTAACATACTTTAATCTTTTATTTAATTCTTGGTATTTTGAATCTCCTTACATGATATCCTTTCATTGCTGCCTACAACATTATCAATCTCTTCAAACGTAATTTTGGAAGTGTATAAGCTTTGAATTCATTTATTATTTATTCTGGAGTTTTTTATGCTAAATTTGATTTCATCACTAAACTTTGAATTTTGTCTTATGCTTTATCCTTTTATTCCATAAACTCTTTTTATCTATCATATTTTGATAGGTCAATAGGTTTCTTTTGTAGTTCCACAGCCTCATAATAAGGTTATTAAATATATTTATTATTTGCAGATGTATAAATTGTTTATGGTTTCAATTATCTAACAGGTATATCAGGAGTTACTCTTTATGATAAGTTACCATAATCTTTAAATGTATTTGGATCATACCTATTATATACAGGTTTATTATGAAGCATAGGATCATAATAATCCATCGATAAATTTTAAGGTTTAATAATCTCATAGCCATTTCTCTAAAGCTAACTTTGATAATTTTAATTTGTGTTTTGCTAAGTCATTTTTTTAGATAGCTATAATAAAAATATTAATAATATTACATTTATTTATAATAAATCTGCAAATAACATCTCATCAACTTTTTTTTTCCATTAATGCAAAGTTTATATGATTTCAGATAAACCAAAATAATATAAAATGGCTATAATTTCAATCACTTAAAAATTAGGTTTGATCATTATTAAATATAATTAGACAACATCTAATAATTATTCTGTTAAAACAAGTATATTCATTAAATTTATATTGATAATTGATATGATATTTAATTTAAAAAGGAATTGTAGATAAATAATAAATAATTGTTTCATCAAAATTAATATTATTATTTTGTCAATAATAGTAATAAGGATAAACATATAATCGAATTGTCTAATTCTATTTTTTGTGTAATCTTTAATATTGTAATTGTTTAAGATTATAAATTCTAAAATTTATTGATGATTATCATTATTTATTATTAATACATAGTTCTAAAATTTAGGATTAAAGCCTTTTCTTTTAAATTAAATAAATAGAAAACATAAATATTTATAATGAACTTTATGAATACTCACTCATAATTTAACATATAGAGAAAAACTATTCCTCGACCAACAATATCGAGATAATTTACAAGAGAAAAAAGTTAAACCAATTTTAACCCAACAACTCCATCAGTAAGTTACTTATATTTATCATTTAGACAAAATTTCGTATTACAAATAGCATTCAGCAAATAAATAGAGATAAAATTTAGAAGGTAAGTGGGAACTATTTTAATTAAAATGATGATACTACTGGGAGCACAAAAATGTCAAAAGGAATGACTTAGTAATTATTAAAAAAGCATGAAATCGAATTTAAGCAATCATGGTTTGAATAGGAAGACAGAGAAGAAGAAATGTAATTCGCTCTTCTCCTCTAAACTCTTGATAAGATCTTATGATTCTAATACTTGTATTGATATGATAAGTGTTTTTAATCGAATGTGTTTATAATTAATATATAAATTTTGCTTAGAATTGAATTATTTACATGATTTAGAGATTAATTGTTTTTGTGATAGGCAATTTAGGGAGAGAAAATATAATAAATATTAATTATATATACTAATGAATAAGACCCACAGATTCAACGCTTATATTTTGAAATTTCTCTTAAAAATAACTCTCTTAATCTCGGGATTTATAAATCACCTTCTTATTCGAAATCTAAATATATGGGTCCTAAAAAATTTAATGAATATTTATACCTGGAGCTACTGTTTCTTTCTTTTTATCCCTAACTTTTTAAAGCATAGGATGTTCAATTGCTTAATCCAAGGTGATTCTTATTTTAGGACTGAATTATAGGCATTTATCTAAAAAATCTAAAGCCTCAGGAGGGGCTCCTGGAAATATCTCAACAAATGCAACCTTTGGTTTTTTGGGAAAACTCTTCAAATATTCTATTGCCTTTTTATCAGTAACAAAATCCATATCTCTAATTAAATTAATTTGATTTGATACTTTTCTCCAGGTGTTCCCAATACAGAAAAGATGACTGTGAGTTAATCAGTATTTGAATACGGAAAACCTCCTTTCTTAGCTATTGCACTTCGTTCAGGACTTAGTGGAAAACAACTTGTTCCAGGAAATAGAGGAGCTCTATCTAAAAATGTTGGTGCATTTTCTTTCATCATATTTAACAATTCTGCAAAGATACAACCTACAGACCAAACATCTATAGCTGCAGTGTAATCTTTTTCCAATAATATAACTTCTGGGGCTCTATACCATCTTGTTACTACATGACCAGTTAATTCTCTTTTTACAGCTTTGGCATTTAATTTATTTTATTTTTATAACATTCTAGGCCCTTTTTTCTCGTCTTTCTTTTTAGGCTCTTCTTATTATCTAGCAAGTTCCTCCTCTAAGGCCTGATCTGTAGCATCAATACCTAGAATATAAATAAAAATGAAAAAACCTTATACACTTCTGGCTAATCCAAAATCACAAATTTTAACAGTGCAATCTTCATTAAGTAAAACATTTGCTGGTTTTAAGTCTCTATGTAAAACTTTAGCAGAATGTAAATATTTAAGACCAACACAAATGTTATAGACTATTGTTTGGATGTGCAGAAATTGTAAGTGAATTGGGGATTTAAATAACTTTTTTAAGTCACTCTTTGATACTTAAAATAATTACTTGAGCATATTCCATAACAACATAAATAGTATCAAATGATTTAGGATCTTATGGTTCAAGAATTTCAATAATTTGAATTAAATTTTGGTGCTTCAATTCTCTTAAAATACATATTTCTCTTAAGATTCTTTTGCAATCAATTTCATCATCAAATATTGCTGTTAATCTTAAATAATATACAAATTATATTACACCTTTTGATAGCGACTTTCTTATTTGTAGATTTTTACATAGCCTCTACAACTTATCCATATGATCCTGATCCAATTTATTTAATAATCTCATAATCATCTCCAACTTGCCAATCTGAAAAGTTTTTTGGAAGTTAAGATAATTTTTAAAGTTTCTGCGCGTCCTACATTTTAATATATTAATAATATGAATAAAATTATTTTATGATTATTTAGCAGTAAAAATTGAGACTTTATTAATTGTTTAAAATAATATTAGAATTCTAAATTTAGGCCATATTTAAGTTATATAATAATCTATAGAGGTTTAATAATATTTAAAAACATATTTTTATAAAGGAAGACAAGTTTATTTGAGTAATTATTCCTTTTTTAAATTCTAGAACTGAATCAATTACAAAAAGAACCTTAATATCTTGATTTTAAAAGTAAAAAAAAATACATAAATTAGAATAGAATAATATTCTAATGAAGTACATATCTTAAAAGTAAGAATAGGCAAATTTATTGAGTATGCATTATCTATATATAATCATCATAAAAAGAATCTTTATTAAATCAATATATATAAATGAGGTATAAAATTTCAGTCATAATTCTCAATCTTAATAAAATTGATTTTATACTGAAATCCATTTGATTATTTAATAAATCAACAGTTAACATCATTAAGTTCAAAATCTATTTAGTATTATAGTTATATATTGTATGGATTTATTATGGATTCCTCTGTAATATCTATTATATATGAGATGAATAGCGTGAATCAGATGTAAATAAATGATAAACTCCTTGGCTGTAATAAACCTTGATATATAGATACTTAAGTGTTGAATAGCCTACAACAAACAAGGAATTTTTGGATTGATCCGAATATCAGTTACTCAAATTAATTTAAGGGATTTAATTTGTAAAATAATGGAGGAGAGGAATGATGCGTAATTTTCTCATTAGATGTAATATGATAATATAATATATTAAATAATCATTTCTAAAATACAAATTATAATCACAATTTATAAGGTAAACCCTTACTTCTTTTTGAATTTTTAATAAGACTATATATACTAAAAATGTTTATACTTTTGTTTTAAAAAGAGATTCTCTATGTTGCTAAGAAGATTTTAGTAAGTAATAGGTGGAAGCTTATTTCCTTTTTTCTCTGGATGCTTAAATTAACACCTTTCTCCATAGCAACAATACCTAATGTTAATTACTAAATATATACCCATCTTTAGTATAGTTTTTACAAATTTATGTTTTGTAATTATGAGGAACATGCACTTTCTGTCTTATTTCATGTTTTCCATGAGCGAATGCACACTAATTTAATTATACTTTAATATACTTGTTTACCATAAGGGCAATAACCTTCAATTGACCAATATTTGCAAATCTAATAAAAATTAAAGACTGGAAGTACCTCAGTTTTGACTTTCACTATAAAGGAAGTCTTATTTTTGCTCTTTTATTACTTTTTTATTTGACGTTCACATTCGTCTTAAATACTTTCACTATTTAAGGTAATGTTAAACAAAATACCAACTCAAGCCTTAGGAAAGATTATCATTCTCGTCTTAAGTTGAAACATTGCAACACTATTACATTATATATTCTTAAATATCTTAATAATATTATTAACAATTTATTTAATTATTTTTGGATTAAATAGAATCATAAAATTAATATTGTAATAAATTAATGATTGTTATAATATTATTAAGATATTTAAGAAAATCTATGAAATCATCATTTAATAGCAAAATATAAAGCTTAAACAATAATTTTATATATTCTATAAATAATGAATATTAATTTGGATCTAAAATATATAATATTCATATTATAATAGTCCTACAAATCAAGATTCTGTAATTCAAAGCAATTTAATAAAGTAGTGATGATGCCAAAACAATAAATTGATTATAAATATAATCCTTTTTTGTTATTTAAAATATATACTCTTTTATATATCCTAATTAGATAAAAAAATATAAATTATAAATTAAAACACCAATCAAAAAATTGAATCCTTTTATGCTGAATTCTTGAGGATCTGTAATTATTATAAATTAAATTAGAAGTTGAATATATTAGATTATTTGATTTAATTAAATATTAGTATTTTTTAATTTTTTTGATGGATAAATTTTTTTTTTTGAAAAGACTATTTAATACATTATATAAGAGAGCTTCAAGAATACTAGTGATATTATCTATTTCTGCTTCTTTTTCCATTGTATTAAAAAAATAAATAATTAATAAAATATTTATATTTTATAAATCATATTATTTTTATTTCTTCGTAACATCAAATGATGATGCTTTAATACTCTTCATGATAATATGTGTACTTGGTTTTGATTTTATTTTACTCTATTATTGAATCTATTTAAAGGTATTTAAAATAAATATCCTTTCCAATTTCTTGTCTTAAAAATGATCCAAAGATAAATTTAGCAAAAATAAAGTTTTAAAGCATTAAGAGATCAATTATATCTAACTTTTTAGAGTATAGTTCTTAATAGCAGCATTTTTTAATTCTTATTTACTAAAAATATTTATTTACACAGTATTTTATATTATTTTGTTAGACAAGTATGAAAATATATAAATAATGGAAAATACTCCTTTAAATAATTATAATCATTGAAACTCTTTTTTTACTTATCAAGATTTTAAATTTTGTAGTTAACTTTAGTTTAATATTTTTAAAGCCAATTATTTTTTGAATTTTTAAAGTTCTATCGCTTCCCATTCGAATTAAGTTAACTTAATTACCTTAAATGTTTTATTTTAGTGTTGTTGTGCAGCTTAAGCATCAAAATTCATATGGATTATTAATATTTATTTCAATTATATTTAGATATGTAATAATTTTGAATTAAATAATCAGAGCCATAAAATCATCGAATCATATAATTTAGAATCAAAGCTATTAAACACTTTAATATTTAAATATAATTATTATTTTTATCCAAATTTAATAAACTAAAACTTATTTCTATATTATTCTAAAGAAGTCTAATATAAAAATAAATTAATTAAACATTTTAAACCTATATATCAAGTCAAAGGATTTATACCATAAATTTATAATAAATTAAGATATATTCAAATTAATAATCTAATATATATTATAAATCTCATTGAATAGTGATAAAATATTAATAATAAAAAATATCATATTTAATTCCATAAATATATTTTCTAAATTTCTAATTGCATATTATCAGTTAATAATAGAGAATTTAGATTTGATTATAAAATATATTATAAAATAAATGTTCTAGATGTGACTAAGTTTACTTATATTGTTTAGATTTCAAAGTATTTAATATATATTTTTATATTTATGAATACTATTACTAATTATCTTATTATTTATCAACTGCAAGAATTAATTTTGGATTTATTATTTAACTTATTCTAATAATTAAATTAAGTTATAAATGTCTAAAGAAGTCCAAGGTTTATTGAAGACGTATTTGTAAGTTGAAAAGGAAGCTCAATAGATTAAAGATAAATAAATAAAGTTAGCTAAAGTAACGAAATCTAGTAAATAAGAATTTAGCGAATTCCTGAAATAGGTCCTCATCCTTAAAAGTAATCGCAAAACAAAGTTAAGGAATCAGTATCAGCTCTAAAATAAAAGAGAATTCAATTAGAAAAAGAATCCCATAAAATATCTTAAGAACATGATTACATGCAACAAATCCTTTAAAATGAATTAAAGAAATAATTGGCTCCTCCTCAAAAACATAATGATATATTAATAAATTTAGAAAAAGTAGCATAAGAAACTTAATATACATATTTAAAATTTAGAACAGAGAAGTTTGTATAAAAATTAGGAAAGATCTTTTCTATTTCTTCAATCAAAAAGGAATTTCTCTTAAAAATAAAGAAGCATTAATAGAAATCAAAAGAAGAAATACATTAATATTGTGAATTTAGAAATTTCCAATTACAAAAGAAAGTTTTTAATTGTTGGAAAATATTTTATTATTAAACAAAAGAAGAAAGAAGATTAAGGGAAGAATAACAATAAAAGAAATATGACATGGGATAGAACGTAAGATATTATATTAATTAATAGTAATTGGCTTTAGAATTTAATAATTTTTGTCTGACAAATAAATTTTTCAAAGCACTTAAGTAATATGTTAAAATGAACAGATTAACTAAATAATTTGAGACAGATTAAAATTAAATTAAAGTTAAAGTCAATAATTTTTTGAATTAAATGCAAAAGCAAATATCTGATGCTTTAGAAAAAGAGAAAGAGGAAATTTAATTGATTAAATAATCAAATTTGATAAATGATGAAGAATTGACAATATCGAATTCTCAAAAATCAATTTAATCAGAGAAAGAAGATTAAGTTGATAATAACTAAGACGAAATACTTTAATCATATGAAAATGAATTTTTATAATCAAATGAGGAATAAATGTAATTAACAATAAAACCTATTTAATAACCTGAAATTAATTAAAAGAAATAATATGATAAATAAATAATTGAATAATAAGAAGTAATTAATGAAAAATAAAAAATTCAAATAAATTAAAATAAAATAACTAAAGAAAATAATCAACCTCCTTTACCAATAAATCCTTGGAAATAAAAGTAGAGCAATTCAATATAAAATATGGTAGAAGATAACGAATAATCAATTTAAAAACAAAATAGTCCTTAAAATATGTCATAATAAAGTTTTTCTAGATAAAGATCCATTGATAAAAAGAATAATTATGCTAAAGAATAAGAAGAAAAAGCTAAAAAAAGAAAAGAGATGAATGAAATAATAAAAAAGAAACATGAAGATAAAAAGAAATAGAAAGAAATAGAAAGATAATAATACGAGGAATAAAGATAGTTAGAATTAAAAAAATAAAAAGAAGAAGAATATAATAGAATTTAAGAAAAAAAGAAGAGAGAATTAGAATTAAAACAAAAAATGGAACAAGAGAAATTTGAAATTGAATATAAAACTGAAATTGCAATAAAACATTATGAAAGAAGTTTACAAAAATATCAAATATTTATTCCTATTTTAAAATTACATTAACAATATTAAAATAATTAGAAGAGAGCTGAAAATCATTATAATAATAATTTAAAGTAGAACTTTTTTGTTTTACTCAAAAAGATTCAATAAATATGCGAAGATTAAAGAGAATATGAAGAATAAATTAGGATTAATATATCTAATAATCATTATGAAAGAAATTTGAAACTTAAAGCTATTTTTAGTTTAAGATCATTAAATAATACTTAAAAAGCTAAATTAAAAGATGCTTAATAGGTTAGAGAAAAGTATATTAAAAGACATATAATGACTGCTTGGTATATTTAATTACCAGAAATGAGAGCTGAGAATATAAAATTAGAAAGAATTTCAGAGAGATTAATTAATGATTTTAGAAAAGTAAATTTTATTATCTATTTATAGGCTATACTTTAGAAATAATTTTTTAATTAATGGAGAGATATTGTTAGAGAAAATATTGCTTAAAAAATAAGAGAATAGAATAAATAAGAAATGTGGTAAAAAGTAAATTAATGGCTTTAAGAATTTGATGATGAAAAAATAGAATGAATAATTTAGTTAACTTTATAATCATATTTATAAAATCATTATAATATTTCGATTTATAAATACAAAATAAAAATGTAAAATTAAAAAAGTATATTTGTTAATGGAGGTAGAAAAACCAATCAAATAAGATATTCATAATTATCCTCCTAAATTAGAATAAGCCTAGGAAACAATTTAAATTGAATTCAAATAGATTTTATAAGGTTTGGAAGAATAAATTATATAAGTATTCTAAAATTCTTAATATTTTGAAAAAGAAAACTTTAAGGATCAACATTCAATATAATTGATGATATTTAAAGAATTAAGACCTACTGAATAGTGGTAATAATTATAAAATGAACCACCTATAGAAATTTATAATTCTCTATTTCCAAAAAAATTAATTAGATATTTGATTGACTAAATTAATGTTAAAATGAAAACCTCTTTTGCAAATTAAGATGAAAAGTAAATTAGAAAAAAATTAGTGAAAATAGATTAAATATTTGATTTCTTTGGAATAAAGATTATAATGGGATATATAAAAATGCCACATTTGGAAGATTATTTTAATGAAAAATAATTATTTTAATGCAAAATATTTGAATGTTTTAAAGAGGGAAGATTTAAATGTTTAGAATAATGGAGTAATTTCACTGATGAATGTCTTTTAAAAAATATTAACAAAATAAAACCAGCAAATGAATTTTAAACTATTAGAGTATGTAAAAAGATTGGAAAAACTTTAAGAAATTTTAAAACACCTGGGAAAGATTTAATAATATAGATAAATTCAGGATTCATGATTGAATAGTCAGCAAATTCTTAATAAATAATGATTTGTGATCCTAAAAGCAAATTAATAGTTTGGTAATACTTTTGTAATAACATTTAAGAAGAAAAAGTAGGTCTTTAAATTGTTCATGTATTATAATAATTCAAAGATAATAATCATACATTATATATTTATGATAATATTTTAAGCTTAGAGTAAATTGCATATTTGAAATTAAAACTAAAAATTTAATGTATTTCAAAACTTGATAGTTTGGTAGTAAGTTAATTACCTTAGATTCCACTTTATCTTGATTATATGTCAATAATTAAAGAACAAAATGATGTTTTCACTGTGACTTCTGGAGAATAGATTTAGTAATTGATATGTACTTATAATCAATACAAAGAGACTATGTTATTGTATTGCATACATAAATTCAGACCAAATTTTTCTTATCTTCATTATTCAAGTGCAATTATGACTGAATTATAGGAAATTACAATTTGGAATTCTTATCAAATCGTTATAAAAATAAAAGCATCACAAAATTAATAAACTTATGAATAATTTCGTTTAGGTTTAGCTTAAGAATTGTTAAAAAATAAAATTGCTTAGATAAAGAATGTTCCTACTTTATTACATAAATAAAAAGTAGTTAATGTTGGTTTGGCAACAGAAATAATTGGTGATTATGGTTAAGGAACAAAAATAAATTCAAAATCATTATTTCACATCCCAACAATTATGGCTACTCCTAAAACTTATGCTGGCTCAATGAATTGTTTAGTTTGTAAGAGAAATACTTAATTAATAACTTTATGTAAACCTTGCTCAGAGATATCAGGTAAGTTAGTAATTCTATGTGCTTGTGATTGCTTTTATTTATTCCATTAGAATACTTTGGAATATATAATAAATGGAGAAGATGTTACTCAAGCATAGTATAAATCGATAGAATAATCAAGTTAATAATTATATCATTAAGCATTTTAATAGAAACCTGGTTTGATGTATGAGAATGTAGATAAAGCAAAATCTGTTTAGTATGCAAAATAAGTAGAAATTGAATGAATAAATGAATAATTTAAAATATATAAATTAATTTAATTATAATTCAATTAATATCTTTACAATTAGTTTAATTAGGTGATGAAGAGAGACATGGAGTGAAAGAATTTATACCAGTAGATTATGTCAGTGTCTGTTTATGTTTGCTGAAGTTCTCAGATGAATGAGTTTTTAAAGTTAATACTCTAGCTGTTAAAGGAGGAGGTCTTAGAAATTCAAACCTTCTCTTTTTGACACATAATTTATGAAGATATTATTATTTAAATGCTTTAAGTGGGATGTTACTAAATTTATTATATATTGGAATAAAACCTACTTTTGGAGTTAAATATAAATCTTATCCAAATAAAGAAGCAGTTGCATCATTTTCTGGATTGCTCTAATATTTTTTGAGATAAATAGAATTTTTATCACCTATTAAAGTTCCAATGTCAATTCTTTCATTAGATTCCTTACTTTTAATCTTCATTGGGTTATGTTTTATTTCTATGAATTATTTAACTGAGTTGAATAAAGGTTAACCAATCCCAGTTAAACTTTCCATATTTTTTTATTAAAATATTTTTCTGAATCTACTTTTTTTTAAATATTCTTCTTTTACCCATTATTTACATTCTTCAGGAAATTTTTATAAGAATTCATGTTTATGAATAACCATAACTGTAGCTTCATTTGATAAAACTATAGAATTATATTCACAACAACCATCTTCATTCATTACTATTTCTTCTCCTAACAATTATCCTTTAGCTATTTGAATTTAAAAAGACTTTTACTTAATATACAAATTTTTGTCATTTAATCATTTATCAGTTTTTCTATTAATATGTCTCCATATTAAATTAAATAAAATGATTTCTTAGGTATTCCATCTACTGTTAAAATACAGTTTTTTGAAAACTATTCAACATCGAAACTATAAGCTAAATGCTCTAATTATTTAGATGAATAATCTCCTTAAACAGGGAATTTAGTAAATATTAAACTTTTCTTCTCTTTCATTTACTATATGAATTGTTATCGAATTAAATCAAAATCATCTTTTTTCAAAATCAATAAAAATAAATCTTAAGTTTAAGCACAAGCTGTTAATGCTCTTGGAACATTCTCCAATAAAGCTCTATCTCCAAATCCTTCGCCTCTCTTTAATATTCTTATTGTTTCTCCATACTATTCACTTAATACTTACATTTCCTATTAAGTTATTTATACTCTTTCATTTGTTTAACCTTATATTATATTTCCCTTCATTTTATCAGCAAACTTTTTAGAATATGCCAACTATTTAAAAAAGTTTGTACCAGTAGCATTACCACTTATAGTTTTTCTAATTCAATGATAATTATATAAATACTGAGGCACAAGAGGAGCAGGCTTAGACAATTAATTTTGTGGTACTGATGGTGTTTTTTGAATATCAGGAGATTTTTCAATGGATTATTAGATTTATTAGGGCCTTGCTTTCATCAATGCAACTTTTCCATTGAATATTATATATAATTTATCGTTTGACTTGTCTCCCTCTTTGAATATTAATTCTCCTCCTTTAAAATGTTCCATTCTGAATTTGCCACATAACTAATATGGGTATTTTATGTACATATAATAAACTCTCCCTTTATGTTCCTTTAAGATTCTTCTCGATAAAGGAATTAAAATATTATAACTGCTATAATTTGGAATATATAATCTAAAGGTTATCAATAGTTGGATTAAGATGATTATTCAACAGTTTTTGTAGATTTAGATTCTACATAATGTTTACATAATATATACCTCATTCATAAGGATTATAATTTTTTTAATTAATTATGTAAGAATCAGTATCGGCTTATCTGAAAACTGAGCCAGATTCACTTAGATATTATCCTCCAAGCAAATTCAAGCAAAATATGATTTAAAACAATCAAAGAATTCTTAATGGTAAGAAAGTCACTTACTTGAATATTAAAAAATAACCTTAATCAAATCAAAAAGATGCTTGGAAGTAAATGTTTGGGAATTTCTTACATGATATTAATTTGAAACAAAAAAAGAAACATTTCTCACCTGAGGCCAAAGAAGTAAATTTATATTTAATATGATGAATAGCATCTCTAAGATCCATTAGTTAATGAAATTCCTATTCTACTTCCTTGTACTAATAAGTAATTCAAGTTAGAGTTCTATAAATATCTTGAAGGAGAATAATCAATTCAATAATTAATGAAAGCCATTAATTTTCCTCATGTTCATGCTGTATGTCAATCTAATATATTCTAAACTAGAAACAAATTGAAGATTCAAAAAGTCTTTAAAGAAAATTGTCAATTGTACAAAAGATCAAAAAATTTAAGAATCATGGATCTACTAAAGCGAGTGATTAAACTCCTTTATTAGATATTAATAGTTCAACAAGATAATTAAAGGCACATTAAGTACGTCTAGTTGATTAAAGGAGATTTACTGAAGCTGGAAAATTATTGGACATTTTTAAAACTAAAATAAATAAAAAGATTTAGGTTTTGAGAGACTTCGTTTAATAAAGAGTACTTGTAAAATGTAATATTATAGATTGATTTGAGAAAGTCATTAAATAAAGAATAAAGAGAAGAAGAAATAAGAAATATTCATTTTATCAAGACTTTTTTTGATATAACTAATGATTATAATTAACATATACAATAATAATAAGATGAACTTAAAGATGATGCATAATATTATAAAAAATTAGTACCATGTCAACGAAAATTAAAATAATTATTAGTAAATTATGATAATGTGTAACCTATTATTAAACATTAGGAAAAACATTTTGATAAATTTGATTATCCCTCATTGGGTATGTTAAAAAATTAAATGAATTAATATTCTAAAGATTATTTATTGGAATTAGAATAATAAAAATAAATTTAATTTAAATCAGCTCTAAATTAAGTAAGAAAATTATTGGAATAACAAAATATTAAATTTTAATCTGAGTTAAGAAAATCTAAAATTAAAAGTAATTAAAATTCTAAATCATAATCACCACTCTTAATAAAATAATAATAAGATCATCTATTCTAAAGTAATTCAAAAATGTCCGCTGATTGTGCATTAGATGTTGTTGTAGCTAGTCCAAAACATCATCGTAATTAATATCAATCAGTATGTTAATTAAAGGATTCCATCTCTGATCCTAGAAAAAGAAAATAATATGTTATTACAAAGAAACCTTTTTATCTCTTTACGAATTAAGTAGAAGGAAATAAAAATGCAAAAAATTCCAAAGGTTTAATCACAAACTTTGATGTTAAGTTATATGATTATATTCACAATAGAAATATCTATACGTTGAATAAGCAGTATAATTTTAATTTTATTATAGGGTTAAAGAGATGACTTAGAAATTTCATACTATGATTGAAAGTGAACATGAATAACACTTAAATGAATAATTAGATACACATTTAAATCAATTGAAAAATAGAAAATTGAAATATCGTTAACATGGATCTTTAGAAGCATAAAAACGAGTATAAACGGAAAGATAAGCAGATGAGATTTCAGATGATTAATCACTTTAATCTATATATGAAGTGAATCTTGATGTTTTATATGATCAATCAAATCAATTAACAAAAAAATTAAGAGAAAAAAATGATGCTGGATTTGCTAAAAGAATAAAACAACTTATTAGATTAGAAGAAGTTAATTCGTAAGAATAAAATTTATATTTAGGTAATGCCTTAAGACAAATTTATAGAAGTTAAATAAATCCTAGAATTCTCTAAATAGTTGATTATAAGGTTCTGTGTTCTCTTATTATTATAAAAATTAGTTAGTTGCATAATAAATTTTAAATTATATCTAATAAAAAATGACAAACAGGGATATGGATGCTCCTCCTTTGAATGAAGATGAATTAAATGAAATTTACAATTGGGTTGATACTATACCCTTATCAAGACCAAAAAGACATATAGGAAGAGATTTTGCAGACGGAGTTTTATTGGCTGAAATAGTTTAACATTATATACCTAGAATAGTTGATATACATAATTATAGCTTAGCTCATTCAGTTCAATAAAAATAATATAATTGGAATACTTTGAATACAAAAGTAATTATGATAATCAAATTAATAGGTCTTTAGGAAGATGGGCTTCTAAATTACTTAAAAAGATATAGATGCTGTAATTTCAGTTGTTCCAGAAGCAGTCGAAAGAATTCTTAAAGTAGTTTAAGTTAAAATATCAATGTATTTGGACAGCAAGGAACATAATTAAATTAATTAATAAGAGAAGACTGTTGAAGTTTAGCAATATTAAAACAAAGTTAACAATAAATAGGCATCAAATAACAAATAAAATGAGAAAGAGTTGATAATATAAGATTAGAAGGAAACTATAGAGATTCTAGAACTTAAAATATAAAAATTAGAATAACTTGTAAAATTGAAGGATAGTAAAATATAATAGTTAATGCAAAAACTTTAATAAGCAGGAATCAAATGATATAGTTACTATATATATATATCATTCACATAAATTTAAAAAATAGAGCTTCGTTATATTTTCATTTGAATCATTATCATAATTTTCGCTATAGATTTATTTTCATATTAATATCTTTAATTTCTACCTCATCAGTAAAGAATCATTATGATTAACCTTTCATTTTCTAAAATATTGAAATTCTTTTTTTTTTAAGTGTTCTTATTTCACTAAATTTTAACTAATTAACGGAGAATTTAAGGAGTTCTATTTGGATTCCTCTTTATTTAATAGAATTCATTTCAAAACTCATTTATTGAATAATATGCTATTTTATTTCGTTATTATATGTTTTTATTTTATACCCAATTATTTTATATGTACTACAATGACTTACTCTTTTTTATCTATTCATTTTCAGTATTATTAAGATTCCAGTTGAAGATTGATAAAAATAAAAAGAGATTAGTTAAAATTTAATTTAGTCCTTAAAAGAAGATTATAATATTTTTAATGAATTAAAATATTTTTGAATTATATTATATAATTATTGTTAATAGAGTATCAGTAATAACGCATAACTAATAAACCAACGTATTGTTACTTAATCTTTATTGTTCTCTTGAGAATTTTTATCTTAAAAATAATCTTATATTTCTTTTTTCCTCGTTTTAATAATATATTTATTTATAATACTTATTTTTCTTTATTTATTTAAAAATTGAGATTTATAATATGTTTCATTGTGTATAAAAAATGCTTGACTGAGTTTTTCATATTATCTGTATGTAATTTTTATAAAGAAATAGAAATTTTGTAATTTTGTGTTGTCCTTACCTTTTCTTTCAATTATTAATGTTTTATAAATAAGTAATAAATATAAAATTACATTTACTATCTATAACGTTGTAAATATATTCAAATTTTTAATTATTAATTAATAATATAAATTTTTTTATTAAATAATCTTTATTAAATTGTAAAATCAAAGAATATTTTTTAATAATCAATTTTGAGCCTATTCTTAATTCAAATTGAAAGTAGATTAATTAACAGAATGAATTAATCTTTTGGGAGTGTTAAATTTGAAGGAATTCATTTTTATTTATTCGAAATCTAATTCCCCTCTACAATAGGGACATGTAGTCTCCTCTTTTCGATTATTAATCCACTGAAATAAACAAGAAGTATGAAACGGATGTTGGCAAGGTGTTATTATTAATTCTTTAGCATTATCACTGTGTAAACAAATAGAGCATTGATTATTTCCTTCTTAAGCTTTCTTCATGTATTATNCTTTTTTTTTTAAGTGTTCTTATTTCACTAAATTTTAACTAATTAACGGAGAATTTAAGGAGTTCTATTTGGATTCCTCTTTATTTAATAGAATTCATTTCAAAACTCATTTATTGAATAATATGCTATTTTATTTCGTTATTATATGTTTTTATTTTATACCCAATTATTTTATATGTACTACAATGACTTACTCTTTTTTATCTATTCATTTTCAGTATTATTAAGATTCCAGTTGAAGATTGATAAAAATAAAAAGAGATTAGTTAAAATTTAATTTAGTCCTTAAAAGAAGATTATAATATTTTTAATGAATTAAAATATTTTTGAATTATATTATATAATTATTGTTAATAGAGTATCAGTAATAACGCATAACTAATAAACCAACGTATTGTTACTTAATCTTTATTGTTCTCTTGAGAATTTTTATCTTAAAAATAATCTTATATTTCTTTTTTCCTCGTTTTAATAATATATTTATTTATAATACTTATTTTTCTTTATTTATTTAAAAATTGAGATTTATAATATGTTTCATTGTGTATAAAAAATGCTTGACTGAGTTTTTCATATTATCTGTATGTAATTTTTATAAAGAAATAGAAATTTTGTAATTTTGTGTTGTCCTTACCTTTTCTTTCAATTATTAATGTTTTATAAATAAGTAATAAATATAAAATTACATTTACTATCTATAACGTTGTAAATATATTCAAATTTTTAATTATTAATTAATAATATAAATTTTTTTATTAAATAATCTTTATTAAATTGTAAAATCAAAGAATATTTTTTAATAATCAATTTTGAGCCTATTCTTAATTCAAATTGAAAGTAGATTAATTAACAGAATGAATTAATCTTTTGGGAGTGTTAAATTTGAAGGAATTCATTTTTATTTATTCGAAATCTAATTCCCCTCTACAATAGGGACATGTAGTCTCCTCTTTTCGATTATTAATCCACTGAAATAAACAAGAAGTATGAAACGGATGTTGGCAAGGTGTTATTATTAATTCTTTAGCATTATCACTGTGTAAACAAATAGAGCATTGATTATTTCCTTCTTAAGCTTTCTTCATGTATTATTTTAAAAAATCTATTGTAATATAATTTGAAGATTCTGAAAGGCATAATGGTATAACTGCTGTATTCCTGCTTCTGTTTTGTTTATATTTTCTAATGATACATCCAATTATCAGAATAAAAAACGCGGTAGATAATGAAACTAATACAATAATTAGAATATTAATTGCATCAATAGGAGGATTATTCGAAGAATTATCAGATATCTCAATATACAATTACGATTCCTATTTAGTTATTACTTTAAAAAGCAAACGATTGAATCTAAATGAATTATAAAATTACCTTAATAGATTTGCGTTATAAGATAATTAGGAGATATCTATTATTATGTTTATTGTTCTCTCATCTTTTGATATTGTATAATTTTCATCTATTTCATAAGGAACACCATAAATAAAGTTCTCAAACATGTAATAGAGCGTAACTGAGGCATTATCTTAATGGAAATTTTCTGAAAAACCCATTTCTAGTTATATTTTTTCTAATTTTGTTGTTTATTAAAAATAAAAGTATTAAACCCCTTATAAAGTATAATTATCTATCATCTAATCAAACTTCAGAGCTAAAGCATCTTTGGAACAATCTAAGTCTATTTTATTCTCGTTACACAGACATATCCCATTTACACAAGTACCAGAATCTAAAGAACAATTTTTGGGACAAGGATAATATTCTAATTTTTGAATTTTAAGGTTGTATTAATATTGACGTCGATCATTTCTTATTAAATTTGTAATAAAAAATGTATCTGTTATTTAAAAAGAGTTAGCTGGAATGACAATATAATGATAATCTTTACGCCCTTAATAACCATTATAATCAGCATAGTTAGTTATATAAGTAGAATTTTATAAACTTGTTAATTAATTTTTTCCAATTGTTGTAATGAAATTCACATCTCCATTTGTAGGATACGAAAAATAAATTCTTATTTATTAAAATTAGCTTACTCCATAAATATATATTTTGGTAAATCATATTAATTTAATGTTAGATAGAAAGTTGCATTGTTAATTGTTTATTTGATAAGATAATCAGAGTTTACCAATTCCAATAATTGTTCAGCTTCATAAAAATCCACACCTACATCAATTACAATCTTGCCATCAAAACAAAAAATGAATAAAGCGAGAAGTGAGAACATAAAAGTTTTTAGTTAATATATTTATTATATATATTTTAAGTTTAATAATTTGAATATCATAATATTTGGTATTTATTAAAGATATAATATATAGCTGTTTCAGATACTGTTCAAAAAGAATTTCAATATAAATGTTTCATAAAACCTTGAGATTGATTTTATTATTAATTTTGCGCGACGTTAATTATTTTAACGAATAAATTATGGAAATTAAATACAACAGATCACTAAGTGGAGTAACAGAAAATCAATTATAGTAACCTCTCAGAAGAGTAACTAAAACTTTTAATGAAAATAGAGATCCTGTTAGAAAGAATTTGACTATGTTGTATAATGAAGGTAAAAAATATATATTATTGAAATCAAGACACATAATAAATTAATAAATCACTACCATATAATAATAATAATGATTTGAATAGAAAAATACTTAATTAAGAAAGAGTAAAAAGATCTCTCAATCAAGAAGTTTTAGAAGATAAAGAAAATATGCCATAACTTAAAGAAATTACATTTATAAATCATTCTCTCCCATAGGAATTCTTAACAATTTCAATTAAGCATAAATTCGATCATACTATTTCAGAGAATAATAATCTCTAAAAATTGTATACAGATGAAATATTCTTTTATTTAAAAGAATAAGAAGTATTTATGAATACAATTTCGTTAGAGAAAATCAACACCCTTAGAATGGTTAAAGTATCACTTTATTCCAAGTAATTTGAGAGCTAAAATGATTGATTGGATGATAGAAGTTCTATGTTCATATAAATGCAGTGATTAAACATTTTTTGTAGCAGTAAGAACATTAGACTTTTATTTTTCAAAAAGCCAAAAATAATTAGAAATATCAGATTTACATCTTTGTGGTGTAACATCAATATTTATTGCTGCTAAATATGAAGAAATTAATCCTCTTAAATTATCTGTTGTTCATGAAAAAATTGCTCATAAAAAATTATCAACTGATTAAATAAAAAAGAAAGAAAGTGATATTTTGTAAACTATAGGTTTTGATCTTGTTGGTGGTACTCTATATGATATGTATAATCTAATATTAATGAATTGTTTTATTGAAAAAAAACTACAAGAAAAAACCTATAAATATCTTAAAAAACTTTGTTTATATCTCTCTAAAATGATACTCCATGATTATGAAATTTGTGGTAAAACTAATTACACATTATTGGCGGCTGCTCTAATTTTTGTTGCCTTTAAAATTGTAGAACAATTAGATTCTAGTTTTGATGCAGATAATTAAGTATAATCTTACATTGATTATTAGATTAAAGATATAGCTTTTGTTATATAAGTTGATCACGATTAGTTAATAGATATTGCAGCCAAAGTCTTGAATCTGGCCAAACACTTTGAGAAACATTTCCCAAATTTGGAAAATTTAAAAAAATTTAATGGATTTTAGTTAGAAGATGATGAAAAATGATCTAAACTTATATATATTACTTTTTATTTAATTATATGTGGCAAACAAAAAAAATATTTCTAATGTACTTCTATATTTAATAAATCAATCAGCTTTCTTAGTGCTTTCAGTGGTATGTTTCTCACCCTTTCCTTTTGTTGAAACTTTGGCTGATGCTTTTCTTGCTAACAATTATTTTCTGTCTTCATTAAGGTAGGGTTTTGTAATAATGCATTATGATGGTCTAATTGGGATTTAGTATGGCATTCCTAAAATAACAATTATTAATATACCATTGGCTTTTGTTCTTGTGAGTTTCTCGATTTAAATAACCCATCTCTTTCGATATACTGAAGAAACTTTACCCTTAGTACCCTTATGTGTGCCTATTCTCAATTTTATTATTATACCCCTAACAACTGTGACTTCATCATCCTTTCTAACAGGTAATGCTCTAACATTGTATTTCTTTCTTAAATCCTTTGAAAGATGAGCACTCATTAATTTATATCTAATGTTTGATGGAGCTCCCAACTGGGCTCTTCTTCCCTTTCTTCTTTAACTTGAAACTTCGATATGGGTTTTCATTTTGAAAAAGATTTAATTAAAAATTAATTTTTTGTTTTTTCTAAGTACTTTCACACAATATATTAAAATTCAATAAATTCTTCTAAATGCCATCTGATTTTAAAGAAAATTCTCCCATCATTGCTTATAGGCTTTTGATTACTAATAAAAGAGATAAAAATTGCAATTAAAATAATTAATCAAATTCATTTAATTTATACTTAACTAGTAGTTAAAAATAATAAATAATTTTTTTAATCTCTATTTTCTCTTATAGTTTCTATATTAATCGATATCTAATATCTTTCTACTTGTTAACAATTTTACTATATCCAATTGACTAATTTAACTTCATCATATTACCATTCTATGGGTTTTACAGATTAGATTTTCAAATTATTAATGTACTTTTCAAAGAATTGTTATAAAAACCTACAAAAATAAGGAAAATATTATGTATTCAAGTTCATTTAGAATGACATCTTTAAATCAATAAAATAAAGATTTTTTCTCCATATATAATGGTTGGATTTATGCTTAATAAATCCAATTTAATTTAATCTAGCCAATAAAAAGTAAGCTTTATTTGGCTCTAAAATTTTGAATATTTCAAAGAAACATCAAGAAATCAGGTTAAGTTGGAGTTGAATAGTTGATAGAAAGTATAATCATAATGATAGTCATTATTTAAATATTTTTATATAAGCTCAATAAATAGTAATAAACTAAAAATTTGTAAGCTTAAAAAAAAATATAGAAAAAGTATTTTTAGAAAAGAACCAAGTTTAAAAAAAGGAAGTTAAGGTAAATTAATTAATCCTGAATGAAAATAAGACTCATGCACCAAATCCATAGAGGGTTCTTCCTTATCTCTTTAATGAGTAAACAACATCCATAACAGTGACAGTCTTTCTTCTAGCATGCTCAGTGTATGTAATGGCATCTCTGACAACATTCTCCAAAAAGCTCTTTAAAACATTTCTTGAGTCATCATAGAGGAATGAAGAAATTCTTTTGACTCCTCCTCTTCTAGCTAATCTTCTGATAGCAGGTTTAGTGATTCCTTCAATTGAAGCCTTATTTGGTTTTCTAGCATGTCTTTTAGCACTAACTTTACCAATACCTTTTCCTGATTTTCCAGCCATTTTAACTTTATTTTGAATTATAATTATTACAATTAAAAACTGGAGGTTGTAAATTGGATCAAAATCCAAATAATGCCAAAATTAGCCAATCAAATTTTTCTTAAAAAATTCATTTATATAGTGTTGAATAATAATTATATGCGCCATTTTTTGTTTTATTTAATTTATTCAAATAAAATCATAATAATAATTCTCCATCTCTTAAAAATTTTTATAATTATTTCACAATCTAATTTCCTAATATTTCTCAAACCATTTTAATTTAGAATAATAAACCTAAATTAAAAATAATTACAAGAAATGTCAAGGTTTATAACTATCTTCATATAAATTCTAATTAGTAAAATTCATATTATAATCTTATCGATATCAAATAAATTATAGATTTAACTAATATTTATGCAATTCATACAATAATCACTTAATTTTATGATTATTCTATGATTGCCATATTCAAATATAAATTTCATCTTAATAGTCAATTAGTAGTATTTATGAGACCAGAATTTGATAATAATTATATGCTAGTTTTACAAAAAAAGATTAAATTGCTAAAAATTATTATTAATTATAAAAATAAAAAATGATATACAGATATATGATAATGATCAATAATCTTTTAGATGATTGGTTAATCAATTCCATATATTGACATAATAACTCTATAATATAAAATTTTATTATAATTTTTAGATGAAATATTTTTATTAGACTTAAATATTTGAGATATTACTATAATGAAATTAAGATTGAATTATGACTTGAATTTTTAAATGATAAATCATTATTTATTCATCTATTATTATCTTTTATTCAATTTTAAATTATAAATTAAATGCATAATTAACAAAAATAGATAGATAGAGATGGATAAGACTAGAATAGTTTTATTATCAATTAATAAATAATATTAATAAAATTAAATGATACTCATGCCAATCCTCTTTCTTTCATAACTTCCAACATAGTTTTACCAATTTAAGCAGGTGATTTCACAACTCTAATTCCAGCCTATTCAAGAGCTCTAATTTTTTCAGGTGCACTTCCCTTTCCCTCTAAAGAATGAATAAAATAGTAATATTACTAGATACAATGGCTCCTGCATGTCCCATTCTTCTTTCAGGAGGTGCTGTGATACCAGCAATGAAACCAACAACTGGTTTATTTTTTGGATTATTATTTTTAATCCATTCAGCAGCCATTTCTTCATTTTCACCACCGATTTCTCCTATCATAACAATTCCTAAAATAAATTAGAATTAAAAAATACCTTCAGTTTCTGGATCAACCATGAATCTTTCTAAAACATCAATAAAATTAGTTCCATTGAATGGATCACCACCTATTCCAACAACAGTTGATTATCCTAATCCAGCTCTTGTTGTTTAATCAACAGCCTCATAAGTAAGTGTACCAGATCTTGAGACAATACCAATTTTTCCATTTTAATGAATGTATCCAGGCATAATACCAATTTTGCATTCATTTGGTTTAATAATTCCTGGACAATTAGGCTGAATATATAAGTAATATGTTCATACACCAATGACGCGAGTGACTGATTAAGATCTTAAAGCATGTTTGACTCTAATCATATCATGTTATGGGATTCCATCTGTAATAACAACCTTTACATACTAATAGTAATTATACCACTAAACCAATTTAGGCTTCGATTGCTTCAATGATAGCTGCAGCAGCTGTAGGAGGAGGAACATAAATAACTGAGGCATCACATCCTGTGCTTTGTTTGGCTTCTTGACAATTCTTAAATACAGGTAATCCAAGATGAGTGCTTCCGGCCTCTATCTTATAACTTCAATTTTTACTCTTTGGTGATACTCCACCAACCATTTTAGTGAAATAGTTTAATGCTTGTTCTGTTTAGAAGGTACCCTATAATTATTTAATATCAAAAAATACCTAATTTCCAGTGATACCTTAACAGATCACCTTGGTATGTTTATTAACCCACACATAAGGAGCTGTAGTTGATGAAAATGCACGAAAGATTTATCTGCCAATCATTTATTTAATTTAATCAATATTTATTAATCTTTTCTTAACTAAATCACTTCTTTTAATTAACTATCCTCCTATATTATTGAATTTCTCTTTTATTTATACAATGGATTTATAATAAAATAATTTAATGTAATTGATTCTCTTTTAGAATAACAAATTTAACTATTTTCATTAAATGAAATAATATTAATCATAACCATAAAAATCACCATCCAATAGAGAAAAAAGTAATACTGTAATTACATAGATGGAATCAGGTGATAATTTTTATTCTAATGAACGCATTTAACATGATCAATATTTCAATCAGATTATTTAAATGCTTTAAAAAAGACAAGAGTTTTAAGAATAAGAATACAAAATTAAAGTTACTTCTTTAGAAAAACGAATTCAATACTTAATTTAAATTAGTTCCTAGCTAACGCAATAAAACACTCAATTAAAATTGCAATATACTGATTTAGTCAAAGAATATGATATTATGAAAGACAGAATAATTAACTATGAAGCTAATATGTAAAACAAAAATTTAGATTATTCATTAAGTTTAGATGATTTAACTAAATTAAAAATTGAAAGGGAGAAACTTATTGGTTAATGTAATATATATCAAGAAAGATCAAAAATAAGAAAAAAAAAAATTATTGACTAAGAAAACATTATCACTAATTTATAAAAGTAAGTTAATGATTTACAAAAGGATAATTTGATATTAGTATCAGAAAAATAAAATTTATTATTGCAATAATAATAAAACCAATAATTTGTAAATTAATAATAAAATATATTCGAAGAAGATATTATAAATAAAACATAACAAATAGATATATCAAATAAAAATGAAATACAATAAATTATCACAAGATTTTTGAATGATTATTGCGTTCATCTTACCTATATTAATAATGAGACGAATTAATTAATTACTATAATAAACTAATACCATGATATTAATCTAGATATCAATAATTAGTAGAAATATAATAGACTTATTAAGCAATTTGATTCATTAATTACTAAATATAATTAGATGTTAGAATAACAAATCAAACTTCAATATTAATTTAATATTTCTACACAAGACGATTTGTTATTAAATAATAATACTAAAAACTATTAACAACATAATAATAATGCCAATAATAATTCAATTTTAAGCAGTAAGAGAAACAGTTAAAATAATTTTTATCAAAACAATCTTAAATAGGATATTATTAGAACAAGTAAGTTTATTAAAATCTAATAAATTAATATGTTTCTAAACTAAATTGTTGAATCATTTATTATTTATATTTTTAGAATTAGAAATTTAAATCATTAAATTCTATAATCAGATCCATCCCATAATGAATAGAAAACTACATTAAAGAAAATCACAATTTTAATAATTGCAATAATAAGAATGCAGAAGAAAAAAAAATATCATGATTATAAACCATTGATAATACAATTACCTATTGAAGAGACTATGTATTAATTACTTGAAATCATAAGCACATAATAATAGTTAATAGAGAAATTTTAGGAGTGATTTATAGTTCATCGTAATTATTCACTAATTTTTAATAGTAACATATCAATATTTTTATGCAATCTCTAAACTATTAGATTCATTTAGTAATTTAATTAAATAGTATATTTTTCTTATGGGGATTATGCTTGTACCAAATCAGCAAGGATTTTAAATTTATGCTCTATTTTTTTAATTTCACTCAAATATTTTCTTTTAGTTCCTGCCAATTAATAATTGAGAGATTTAGCTTTTTCTGAATCACAATTAAGTAATTCTTCAAGAAATCTTTGTGTATTTTGATTTTCATATAAATCAAGTTCTTCAATAAATGTTTCTAATTCTAATAAATTAATAAATAATAGTTTATTATTTTCTAGATTAATATTTTAAGTTTTAATTTTATTAGTAATCTTTTGCTTCACTTAACTGTTAATTACATAATCTAAGTCGCATCTTAATCCATTCATTTCCTAATTTTAATAAAAAAATTACTTTATAAATATTTTTGTATTCTTATTATACATCTAATTTAACAGAATTAATATTTTTTTTAAATGTATTTTCAATTTAGAGAATTTCAGGTCGTCTAGGTTATGTTTTAGAATATAAAATCTAATTGTCCATTTCTATCATTCTTGATTCTAGTTATTTAATTTGATGTGATAATTAAGAATTATTTTGATTATTAGATTTGACTTTTCCATAATTTTCAAAATCATCTATTCTATTTTATAATAAGTGAATCAACTCTTCAATTTTATGAACATCTTCAAATAATTTAATCTATGTTATTAATCCATCTTATTCATTAATGATTTTATTGATATTATCTAAGTTAAAAATGGTTGTTACTCTCTAAAGTTGTTATTTTTTAATTGGCATCTGTTTCTTAATTTAGTTTTACAGAGCTTAGAAATTGCATAAAAGAAAAAAAAATTTAACGAATAATAATTATCAATTTAATAAAATAATAATGAAAATTAAATAAAAGTAAATTTATACAAATATAATTCAAAGATGAAATTATTCTTGATAAGTAAGATTGGACATTTATTTAAATATTCAAGATTATTTATTTATTTTTTAATATATATGGATGAATCAATTTACTACATTACTTAGAGTTTAGATTAATTGATTCTCATTTACTTTTAAGATAAATGTTACTTAATCTAATATATTAATAATTATTCTTAATACTTGCTTGTGGATCTTTGTCTAACCATTTAACTGATACCATTCCTCTTCCTTCTCCTTCCAAAATTACATTGCAAGGTCTCTCAACAAATTCAGTGATAATATCTGGCATTGTGGCTACAAGTATACATAATGGATCTTGGATATCGTATCTGTTATTAGCATTTTTCATTCCTTCATAAATTTCTTTAACAAATTTTCCTTTGATTGTTGTATCTTATTCGAAAACTTTAGTAATCTGAGGTTAAATGTGAAGATTACAGTAAATTCAGACACTGAGATAACTCCTTCATAAGGTATTACAATAAGTTTCTTAGCTAAAACCTTAAAGACTAAATGAGCTGCTTCTGGATCTGTATGTACATTATATTCAGCCACACCATCATTCATGAATCCTAATCCTAATATGTTACCACATAAACTAATAATTAATCCTATGTTTTCTTCAAAATCAGCTGTCTTCATCATTGCACATGCTACATTTGTTAATGCACCTAAGCATATTATTATTAATTCTTCTTTATATTTTAGAGCACTTTCTATCAAGAAATCAACAGCATGTTAAGGTTAAAGTGGATATTATGATATATTAAGTTCTTTTAGATATTTTTCTTAATGACCACTTAATCCATCATTACCAAAAAATTTAGAACTTAATGTGATTTATTATTTTAAGTTTCTATCACATCCTTTATGAATAGGAACTGTAATTCCTGCAATCTTTTAGACTATAGTAATGTTTTTGATACCATCATCTATATTAGAGTTTCCACTATTTAATTAGTTAATAATGATACTTAATGCAAGTGATTCCAATTATTTCTATGTTCTTTTTTGCTGCTAAATCAAAGGCTGTCAACAAAGCATGTATGTCATCACCTCCAGAATCTGTGTCTATAATCATTTTTGTTCTTTATTTCAAGAGCTTCTCAGGAATACCAAATTGGTGTTTGATGAATGAAGGAAGTGAAATCATTTATAAATATTATTTTTAATACTAATTTAATTTGCCTTTGGAGTGAAGATTTTTGTTATCAAATTTAAATTTCTTCTTTTGGCTCTATCGACACTTGATTTTGGTCTTAATAGAGTCTTTTTCATAACAACTATATCATTTATTCGATCTTTTTCTTAAATTATAGGTTTAATAAAATCCATAACAAAATTAATTTTATCTTCTATCACCAACTTAGGTTAATGAAAGGATTATTTTTAAGATATATTTTTCACTTTCATTTAATTTTCATTATTATTAAATAGAATTCTTCTTACTTTTTTACCTCTATATTATGTATTTATATTGCTAAAATTTTAACATGAAGTTATATGTTGTAAATCAAGATCTTATCCAGATATTATCCATGTTTATTATTTTATATAATCCCAAACCAATATATGAATATATTCAAAATAACAACCAGCACACAATTTCTTAGATTCACATCTCCAAATATTTAATAAGAAATTCTTAAAGTTTGATTATACTTCCATATTTGATTACATTCCTTATATCAAACAGATGTATATACATTATTAACTATATTTTGGTGTTATATAGAGTAATTTAGTTTATTTTAAAAACTAAGTTTAATTAAAACATATTTATCCTTTTGTTGTAATATATCCACTATCTATTTCTGCAATCATAGTTTAAATATCCATAAATGTTAAGTTTATTTCATTTTCTGCTTATTATAGTAATTTAATTTCTTTTGGAGATTAAGTAAAATAGAAATCCTTTTAACCTAAAATAGACCATAAGTCAACACATCCAAAGATTGGCAAAAATTCATCTTCAGTAGTACATGTACCATGTTCAGTTTTTAGTATTGTTCCTTCTGTTTTACATCTTATTTCAGAACGTGATTTCAAATTGATTCTACATATATCTAATGCTGAAGTGAATTAAGTGAGAATTCGTCTACTGTGAATTGCAGAAGGTAAACGAGAGTCTAACTATTTCATTAAAATTAAATAAAATTAAAATTTCATGTTTAGAGAAACATCATTCTCTAACTATTTTGAATAAAATAATTATTCAACAGTGTTATTATTATTACATGAAGCCAGATTTATATCATACTAAAAGCGTAATGCGCTGATGTAACTTAAAAAAACTAAATAGATGCATTAAAATATTGTAAGGGAATCAAATATTTACTTCAGAGACTAAATCTAATGAAAACTTGAATCCAAAATGGAATTAATCATTTCAATTAAGTATGAGTGGTATTGAAATTATTGTTAATGATTAAAATATGGCTATAGGATCATTATCATTGGATTTAAGAGAATTACAATAAAACAATTTAAATGAATGGTATAGCTTTTCAGATAAAAAATAAATTACAGGCACTCTTCGTCTTACTTTTCAATTCAATCAAAATAATAAAATACAAAAATGCTAAGAATAATTATAATATCTATTTTCTCAATTAGAAGTTAAACTTAAATAATAAAGAATAGCATCTCCAACTGTTGGAAGTGTACAATTAATGTAATAGTTTCTAACCAAATAAAAACATAATAATAGTAATATCATTAATTCAGAATATTAAATTGGAAATGAATTTGAAGTTCATACCATTAAACAATAAATGAATGAAATCAAATAATTAATTAATAAATTCTAATAATTATAAGCTTAAAAATCTAGAGTATATTAATAGCAAAGTATTTATTTTATTTTAAAAACACTCTAGAAATTATTAGTAAATAAAAAGAAATCTCTGATTTACAATAATAAATTGCATAAACTAAAGAATCAGTCTAAAGTTAGATGGCATTATTAAAAATTATTAATGAAGAAGGTAATTATGGAATAACCAAAAAACAATTGATTTTATAAAAATACAAAAAGAAACAATAGGTTTTGATATCTTTAAAGTAAAAACTGAATGAACATAAATTTGATAAAAGATAATCCTCTTTAGTTGTCTAGGCTTATAAATATGAAGGAAGACCAAGACAAAACAATAGTGAATTTTAAGTTAAATGAATCAATTTCTTTTTCTTTTATATTATAAAATTATTTTTTTAATTATATCAAATAAATGGAGAAATTTAGAACCTATGCAGATCCACATACAAGAATTAATCTATTTGTTCCTGCCTTTGTTAATTAAAAGATTTCTCCAATAATTCTCTTATTACATATAGTAATATTTTATTATTATATAATTAGATTCTAGGATCCTTATTAATATTGATAAGAATTCTATTATTGGCTATTTTAATCTTATTATTAATAATTTTTAATATTACTAAAGAAATAATTTTCCAAGATTTTGATTATTTGAAAATGCTAAGTTTCATTATTTAGATTATTATGCTAAATTAATTTCTTAATTATTAAGCTATTAACTAATATAACAATATTTATTAGGACATTAACATCTATTTCATTTAAATTTAGATGCTTTTATGTTTATTCTTTTCCTATTTACAATAGGTTAACTACAATTCTTATTAAAATTTCTAACGAACCATAACCTTTTTTTTAACTTTTATAATTATTATTTTTATCAATTCATTTCAAATTTCTTACAGTTTTAATTGCATTTAGATGGAAATTCTTTGATGTTGTATATGAGATGTTTTAATTACTAATATAATTATTTCAAATGCTTAAATTATTATTCTTAAAAATAATTTCATTTAAGTGGTTGAAAATTAGAATATTGATTAAGACCATAATAATAAATTGTTATTAGCTCATCAGAATATAACCTTTAACTATTTTTAGTTAAAAAATCAATAATTAACTAGCTTGTAATATTTTTACGGTTCTAAATAATCTAAGATATTTTTTTTAACCAAAATCATACCATTATTGTGTTCAAAATAAAAAAAATAACTTAAAAGGCTTTCATTATTTATGATATTTTTTATATTGATACAGAGTTATTATCTTGAATTCAAAATATATAATTTGGATTGAAAATATAAAAAAAATGATTTACATAGTTTAATTTATACTTACTTATTAATCTTTAGAGCAATTCTTTTTCTAAATTAATAATGAATATTTTGAACAAAAAATCAAATTTTTGATTAAAAAAAATCTATTTATATTAAATTCCAAATATATTTACTTCTATATCAATAGATTAAGAAATGATAATTGTATTTTAGATTAATGAAAAATTAAGAACTTAAGGATTTTTTCTTTATAAAAATTCTAAAATTCTTAGGTAAAAGCTAATTTTGAGGCATAAAGTTTGTTCAATTGCATGCAGAATTTTCTATCCTTTCGACAATAAAAAAAAAGACTTTTGGCTCATAGCAACTTCAGAATGGCTGAAGTTCCGCAATCTGTAACTAGCATTACATAATTTTTTTATCAACATTTATAACTATCCTTGGGAAATTGAACTCTCTGATTAACCTTTTTTATTTTAATAATAATAATTGCCTTTACAATCATCATTAGATTTTTCTCTTACATCTTCAATTGTCTTGGGTATATTTAATAATAGTTTTGCAAGTTTATAAATAAATTTGAATTTAAAAATTTATAATCAATCATATTTATAAAAAATCTTATTGTTCATTTTCTTTAAAAAAAAAACTCAGTTAAGTATTTCTCTAGTGATACTTTAAAAATAGAAACTTAAAATTTGTTAATAGGTAAATTGATGTTGTTTACTTATGGATTTTATAATGTTGAAAATTAGATTCCATTTAATGATAAGGGTGGATAACTCAAATTATCAAATCATTCCAGTCTAATTGATTGGATATATTTCTTATCTTAATCATCTCCAAACTTTGCAACATTTGTAGAAAGTGGTGATGAAATTAGATATTCAATTTTGACTATAAATTAAGTTATTAAGACTTTATTTTCAATTATTATAACATAAAAAGAACTGGTTTATATTTAAATGATGTATTTTTAAATAAACCAACTTTATTATTTTTTGAAGTATATTAATTTATATATATATTTATAATAGGGTTGTTAAACCAATCAATTGGGATTCAATCAATTGGGATTGTTATCACCACCAAGATAAATGATTTCTGAATTACAAAAACTTGAATAACCTATTGTAATTGAAATTCTTATTATAGAACATTTATGTATTAACATATCCAGATAAATCTTTTTTTACTCCTATTATTATAATTTAAAAATTCTTGACTAAGAACTCTTAAATCATTTCAAATATTTGTTAACATTAATACAAAATGCCATAACTCAAAGGACTACTAAAAACCCATTAGTAATTTTTATGAATTTGAAGGATTGAAAATAGTAAATTTATATATTTAATAAATAGATCCATTAAAAATATTCTGTATAAACAGAATTCTTAAATTATTATTGGAGAAGTTCAAGTGGAAATTATTTAAATAAGAATGATTATGTTATTATTGTTTTACAAAAATTAAATTAAAAATGAATTCTAATTTTTTGAAATAGATTGAAGAGGAAAATAGAATTTTGGAATAAGAATTACAAAATCTATTAAAGTAATTAAATATCCCAATCATTGTTAAGTTAAAAAAGACATAGAGTAGAGAAAGAATATGAAGATCCTGAAGAGGATAATAATCCAAATTTTAGAAGTGAAAAAGGGGATCTAAGTAAAATAGATGAAGAAACAGATGAAGAATAGCCAAATCGTATTGAACCACATAGATTAATGGAATCACCATAAAAGCCAGGTATAACAAATTTTGAATATTTTATTAGAATCAATTATAGATAACATATAAGATTCCATTAACAATTAATCAGAGATAAGAAGTAGCAGTATTGTCGATAATTAAAGTAATAGGCAATCATAAAAAAATGTAGACTAAAAAAATAAATAAATAAATTCTTTAGAAATGCGTTTATTGGGTACAAGAGAAGCATTAAAATGTTTAGAAAAGGAAGTAAAAGAAAAAAATGCGATTATATAAAATTTAGAGATTGATTTAGCCTAAAAGTAAAAATAAATTGATTTTCTTAAAAAAATTACTCACAAAACCAATACTCCTCCAAAAAAAGAATTTTATAATGATGGATTATAAGAAATAAAGAATAAATGTAAAGAATGGGAGAGAAGATATATTGAATCTAATGGTTAATTTAAAGAGTACTAATAATATACGTCTAAATTATAAGAATTAAATTAGCAATTAATGTATAAATTAAAATAATTTGAATCTGAGAAACTATTATCTAAATCAGAATTGGATTAATAGAAGAATATAAATAATGAAATGAGTGAAACGAATACAAATATTTTGATTAAGTATATAGTATAATTATATCTTATTAGATATGAATAAATAATAAAATCTTAATAAGAACAGATCCTATAATAAGAGGATAAATATAGAATATTGAATGATAAATATGATGAATTAAAATAGAATAGTGAATAATTTCTATTAAGTTCTCGTGATTTAAAATATCAATATGAACACATGCTTAATACTTTATAATCTATTGCAAATAGTTATTGAACTCTTTTGTTTTATTTTTATATTTATATTTATGCATTTATATAAAAATAATAATAATTTATAAACCATCAATTGATTTATTAGATTATTAGAAAATAAATTCAATCAATAAATTAATATAATAAAGAATGAATCATATAAAAAATACAAATAATTTGATAAGAGAGTGAGAAATGAATATATTAGTAATTATTATTATTTAAATTTGATTAAAAATTAATGAACAATCATTTTGAACCATATGTTAGAAATAAAAGAGATTTAAAAGTTCCTTACATTTCATGCTAAGATTACACAAATTTAGAATAAGCATCTAAATTGATACCTGCTTTGAAGTAAATAAATCAAAGTGACAGAAATTTAGCAGATGCTGCTAATTCATATACATATATACTTCGTAGTAACAATGATGATGATATTCATAAAGTAATAAATATTTATAATAGAAAATAGTCTATAAAATATGGAATTTGGACATCAAGTAAAGAAAACAATGAGAAGTTGAATGCAAAGTATTTAGAAGGTCAATAAGATGGAATTCCAGTTTATTTGTTTTTCAGTGTTGTTAGAAGTGGATAATTTGTTGGAGTGGCAAAGTTGACATCTGGATATAAAGAAGAGAGTTTTCAATATTGGTGGGAGATAAAAAAGTGGAAGGGACATTTCAATGTGTAATGGTTGTATGTAAAAGATGTACCAAATAAACATTTTGAGCATTTAAGAAATAGGTTAGAATTTAATTATAACTGTGAATAGTGATAATATTGAAGTGACTAGATCTAGAGATGGTGTGTTTTTGAATTGGGAAACTGGGAAGTAGATGATGAAAATATTTGAAGAATTTTCTGATTAAAAAAGCATATTGAATGATTTCACAGTAATAGATGAGAGAGAATAAGCATTAAGATAATACAAATATTAGATGTAGCAGTAACGAAATCAATAATAATACTATCCTTATTATCCATATTAATATTATGATTACCAATAATATCAATAGTATCCTCAACAATATCAATAATAATAATAATAATAATATCAAAATGATTATTGGTAACAAGCTTAGAAATGATTTTATATATCATAGATTGTTAAGTTTCACCATACACATAAAACAATAAAATTTATATAAATAAAATGAAAATGGAGAAAGCTCTCTATCTAAATGGCAAACCATTGATTCATCCTCCATTGACAATTGAAGAACAATTAAATGAAAGACTTGATAGAACAGGATACAAGATTGATGATTTAAATAGATTGAATGAAAAGCCAGTTTTACAAATAGTACATATTTAATATATAGACTAGATAGATCTTGATGGTCTTACTTCGGGTTACTTAAATAACAATCCTATATTTTAAATGTTGAAACAGGAAATAATGAATTGGAATGAAAAAATAACACTTCATAGAGCTGAACAAATCAAATTATAAGATCCATTAGTTTCTGACAATCTATATAGATAACTTAAGAATTCACTATTAGAAGTAGTTAGTACAAGAAATAAAATATAATAATAAGAATTCCTAAATAAAGTATCTAACTGGTTCTTTTCTTAATTACCAAAATCTTAAACTGCATCATTGAAGCAATCTCTATTAGAGAAAAAGGATTCTGTAATTAATTTATACTTATTTAAGACACTTCACTTTATTCCTAATACATACAATTCAAATTTGTATGCTTCTGGAATTGAAGATTATGCTTTAAAATTTAGATCAGTCCATCCTGAATTTGATCCTCCTGAAGATAGAGTTAAAACCTATCAAAGAAAAAATCTTTTATCAGATACTAGTACTCGTCCTGGTACTACTCCAGGAGTCTTAGGGATTCCACAATTAACTAGACCATAAACTTCTCAAACTACTTATAAAATGATTGATTAAGTTGAAAAAATCTAAAGACCTAAAACTAACTAATAACATACACTTCCTAAATAATAATAATCTTGGATGTATGATCCTAATTTTTCAGTCTACTAATAGAATGATGATTAATAATAAAAGTCAACTAGAAGATAAATTTAAAGGGAAGAATCTCCACTTAAAGCAGATAAACCATCTGATAGAGATAAATTAGATTAAATTGATGGAATTGAATAAGAACCAGATGAAGATGAAGATTAATCTCCACAAAAATTAGAAGAATCAAACAAAAATTTAGCATCTTAACAAGAAATTTAACCAGTGAAAAAGAAAAAAAAGAAAGAAAGATCTGATAAATATATTAGTATTGCTCCTTCAAATAAAACTTATAAAACAGATCTTGAAACATAAAATGCTTACTAAATTGGATAGAAGAGTAGATTAGGAGAATTTTAAGGGACTTTTCATAATTATGATCCTACTCAAATTGAAGATAAAATGGTGTCAGCTAAACTTAATTAATATTATACTGAATAAAGAGTTAAAGAAGTTAAAGAATAAAGAGAAGATATAGAAATGGTATAATCAATGAAAAATTGGGCAACTAATAAAAGTAGAATTGATGAAATGATACTTCAATCTGAATATGTATATTTTAATTATAATATCTTTTAGTTAACTGCTATGGGATCACAATATTCGAATGTGGGTATTAAAATGTCAGATTTATATGAATCTAAAAAAATGGATTTGGTTGAGGAAAAAGCTTATGCCAATTATCTTAACAAATCTAATCTACCAAAAGCAAGGATGATTTAAAGTGCTGTACCTATGACTAAGATAGTTTCAAACACTGTCATACCTACTTAAGTTGAAGAAGAAGCAGAAGATTTCTAAAGCAAATAAGCTGATCTTGAAAAATAAATTAATTCATAAAGACTTTAATTGTTAAAAATGTCTAGAGGAGCTTGTCTACCAGGTGGACTCATAAATTATCCTAATAATGAAACTATTTAAAGTAATAGGGTTATGTCTTCTAGCTGCTTTAAGAGTGCTTAGCCTTAACGATAATTTAGTTCTGTGTTAAAAACACATAGTATTAAATAAGAATTAGATTCACAAGTATAAATAATATTAATTTATTTAGATTGGAGAAATTAAATAGTTAAAAAATAGATTAGCATCTGCTAATAAATTTGTCCCAATCAATATTCTCTAGAAATCTATATTAATTCCTTAAGGACATGCTAATCCTTATAAAGTTCCTCTTCCAAAACCAGGAATTCTTTTATCAAATCTTCCAGATGATTCAAAATAAAAGAAAGGTAAAAAAAAGAAGATACAAAAATGATTAAAATTATATAATGAATCTAAATAGTTTCTAGATTTTATTTTTTTGTTCATGCAATTATATATTTTTCTGAATTTAATATTATTTTTTAATAGGAAATTATATAATTACTAATTCAATAGTATTCTATAATAAATTTAAATTTTATTTCCACAATGTCTCAAACAGAGAACAAGTCAGGACCTAAAAGCAAAAAGTCTTTATTAAGTTCTTTAAATTTGATAGTTAATCCCAACCAAAAATAATATAACTTTTGTATTTAAAAAGAAGAAAAAATTCTTAAAATAACTATGAACTTATATTCTACAATAAAACTTATAAATGCTGTTTCTGAAGCTCTTAAAGAAATAGGAAATGAAAACTAATTAGACAATAATCCAAATAATTATGCCATTTATATTTCTAAAAAGAATGGGCTACCAAAAACTGATTTCCCATCTTATTAAATGGATTTATTATTAGAAGAAACAGGAAATACCAATTTTTCTTTAGTTCACACAACATCTCAAAATAAAAAGCCATATGATTAAAAAATTCATCTTAATTAAGTTAAGGAATAAAAATTAAATGTTCATAAACTAGAAAAGAAACATAAAAATTGGTTTCTCAATTTTTTAGGATGCAGCTGATTTTTATAATTTATTTTATTTTTACTTTTATAACTTTATTATATTTATTATGAATAAACTCTCTAATTTCATTTATAATAAATTTTTTCATGTAATTTGATAATTAAACAAGGGTATGATTTTTTTGTTATTTTTGTTGTACTTTACAAATTGATATACATATTGTAATATTATGGTGTAGACTGATAATTTTAGAATAATGTTATTAATAAATAATAATAATAAGATTAATAGTATAGAATTTATAATTTATGAAAATAATTCTTATTGCATAAATCGGAAATTAAAATAAGTAAAATTATTTAAAAATGTCTATTTAAAATAAAATAAGAAATTATACTTATCATGAGAAAAATGAAAACGATTAATAGTACCATTAAACTAATAATTTTGATAGATAATCATAAATATTTAAGTATAAATGCAGATAATTTATTTCATAAATTCATATGCCTTTAAATTGTAAATATTAAGGGATATGAATTTTTAATTATGATAATTATAAAAAATTAAAAAGTTTATATTAATTATATAAATTTAAAAAATTATTATTATTATATTACAATTAATTTTAATCCATTTAATCAAACTTTATAAGGATTTAATATTTATTAACACTTGGATATCTGTCTAATAATTCTTAATAATATATGTATACTAAATTTCTTTACACAAGAAGACTTGAATAAAAGACTTATGTAGATCACTTTTTGAAATTCCTTATCCCAATATCAAATTATAAAGTGGTATGCTTTTTTCAATCTAATACTGAAGAAGCTGGGGAGTATGAAGTTTATGAAATTAGAAAGACTGCTCCAATAGTAAAGAAGTAGATGAAAGAAATAGTAATAATGAGCGAACCATTTGAATATTCAGATAGAGAAATTGGATTTTTCAATACTGAAACATTGTCTTTATGGATACTTGACTTTATGGATTCAAAAATAACAAATACAGAAGTAACTTTGCCTAGTTAAAGATTAAATAACTTTTTTACTCCAGAATTTTTAAACATTAATAAAGTAGTTTATGTGGATTAATGTTTAAGGTACAAGTATTTTTAAGGAATCTAAAGTTTTATTACTTTAGAATAATTTCATGTTTTTGCAAGTGAAGATGCCACTTGTAATGAAAATAATTTTATAAGTTGGAATGTAATAGAAAATAAAAAGATTGATGAATGTTAGATAAATGAATCAAACTATCTAGTTTTTGAAGAATTATAAAAATAAAAAATAATCTTAATTTGTAAATAAGTATATTTAGAGGAGGATTTTACTTTTAGTTTATGGATACCAGGTAGCAATATTTATAAATTTATTAATGTAAAATAGTCTTTAAATGCAACTATACTTAAATCTTTTGATAATCAAAATAAAATCACAATAAAAGAAGAATAACCTGATGCATCTTTTATAAGCAAAAGAATTATGATAACTGCAAATCCAAATCATTAAGCTCATCCAATTTTAATTAATATTGAATGTGATTAAGATCTTAATCTTAAAGACTTTAATTATGCTCCTTATTAGATAGATTCGAAAGGATGTATATTAATAGAGAGTCCATGGTTGATAGGAAATGATTTAATAGTCTCTTATTATACTCACACCAATATTACAATTGCTGTATGTGATATCAATAAATAATTAGAGCCATGTAAGTTAATAAATTTTAAATAAGAGTAAAAGGTTTCTAATTTTTATTTTTCTTAAAGTCCAAAACATTTTATTGAATTATTTGATGATGCAACCAAAAATAAAGTAGAGGAAGAAATTATATTACCAAATCAAACTTAAGAAGTAACACAATATTATCATCATTCTTTTGTTCCTAACCAAATTCATTTCTTTCATTATTTGATATCAAAAGGAATTTATAATTAAATTGGAGATTTGTGTATGGAAGTGATGCAATTTGCATTTTCTAGTCCAATCAAGAAGGAAAAAGAAGAACATTAGAATTGATTTAATGATATATCAATATATTTGTTTACATTATATGTTTAATGTTATTATAAATTCATAATTTTTGTTTCATAAACTAATTATTAGATAAAATATACTGAGAATTAGATATTCAAGTTAAAGTATTTTTATATCAATTTTAAGTGATTTACTAATAATCTGTCAGGAAATACTGTGATTATAAAAATATTCAAAACTAAATAAACTAAAAAATTGATACTTCTCGATAAATTATTATTGAAAATGGGAAATTATTGTATTACGGAATGGAAAATTGAAGAAGATAATGAAGTTGTTGAAATATCAAGTATTTAAGCTAGTAATTTAAATAAAATATTTTCATAAAAATATAAAATGGAAGCTGATGAAGACTGCCTTTAAGACTTAATTGATTAAATTGAACCTGGTTTAAGTGTTTAATTTGAAATCAGTAAAAAAAGAAATCTGCACGGCATAAATTTTGAGTCAGCAACTAAATAAAAAGATAACAATTTAAAATAACATAAATCATCACTCAAATAAATATCTCATCATAGTTCTCTTTAGAGAGAGCATAGTAGTAAAACAGTTCGATGGGACAGCTAATTTTATTCATCTGATTCTCTTAAATAATGAATTCTTTATTATTTATATTAAAATTGTATTAAATAATTGAAAGACTTATCAAAAATTTCATTAATTTAAGTAATTCTGAAATTAAATAATATCAGCAATATTTAGATAAATATTTTATAACTAAATAACTATATAATATAACAACTTTTAGTTTTTTTATACAAATTATTAAATTATCAAAATTTAATAAAATAATCACCAACAATCACTTTTAGAAAATATAAAAATATTATTAATTTTAATGATAAAAGTTATTTGTAAATATCACTTAAACAAAATAGACTTTCCTTTTAGAGTTATATCTAATTTTTTTTCTTTTTGATTCTGTTGTGAAAAGTTCAATTGAATTTATTTAATTTGAGACTTTCTTGCGCTTATTTATTTATCATCTTTCCATAACCTTGGGGTACATAATTTACTATTTGTTGGTGAAACTTATTTGCTCTAACTCAGTATTTCTGTTGATGTTCTAAATATGGAATATTCAGTTTTAAGATTATTACATTGAGTTTCACAATCAGGAGAATCCTTTTCTATGCTCTAAGATCTTTTTTTATATTATCCAGATAAAAGTTTATATTTTTATAATTCTTATAATATTGTTATTGGAAGTCGATCAGGACTTTTTCCATAACTATCTTTAGAATTCATCTATTATTAACTTAAGAATTAATCCCTATAATTTTAGTTAATTTTATTTAAATTCAAATTTAAATAAGGTTTATGTGTAAAATTCTTTTGTTTAGTAGGAGATTAATTTAATTTTAATTGTTAAGGTTTCATTGTTTATAAACTTTTGTTATTTGAATTTGATTAGGTTTAACATTTATTTAATTTACAAATAGGATGAAAACTGATTGAATTTTACAGATTTATTTTAGAACTTTCTATACTTTTATTTAATTATAACAGTGAATGTGTTGGACTCTTTTTTTCAGATTTCAATTTTTATAATTAAGGTAAATCTTTTCTATTTAAGTCTTTATATTAAGTTATAATAATTACATGAACTTTTTGATGATTAATATTTATTTTGATAAATTTTAGTGAAATCAATTTCTTTTTAAGTTTGATTCTAATTTTCTTATGCATTGATATTTATTAAAGTTTAATTGTTAATATTTTACATTTATATTTAATTTAATTGTAATAATGACAAATATTTTTAGAATTTTTCAAATGTTGTTTATGATTCTTCCTATTAGATAATCTTATTAATACCTAGATTGATTTTTATAATTCATCTCTACTAGTTAGATAATTTAAATAACTTATCATTTCATTAAAATGAAATGGAATATAACCAAAGTTACTTTAAGATTCTTATTAATCTTATTCTCTAATTTATTTGATTATATTATAAAATACTATATTGATATAAGATTTCATTACTTTTAGATGCTTATTCATCAAATACAGAATTCTTGAATTCATTCCAATTTAATGCATCTATAAATTAATAATAATAATAAATTTTACTATCTTTGTCTTTGTCTACCACTTAAAAGAAGTGTTGAAGTTATTATTCTGTAACTTTAAATCCATATTTTTAAAACATATCATACATTTCAATAATGTCAAGGTTTTCTTTGTTTACTAATTTTGCAATACTTGAATTGTCTCTATCGAAATTTTAAAATATCTTCTAAATTTCTTATTCTTATTTTATTTATTCAGGAAATAGGAGATACTATTTTTTGACTTTGTTACAATGTCTATTTTATATAATTTGATACCTACTCTTAAACCATGAATTTATATTACTCGAATGTAAAATAGATCTTGGAGATATCTATTAATGATCATTGAATGGATTCATTAATAATTAAAATGATTTATATTATTTTGATAATTCTCTTTCTCTTAATTTCGCTATTAGTTGTATATATCTTAAAAAGGTATAGAAGAAGATATTAAATTCCTTAATCTTAAATGCCAATAAAATTAGAAGATAATAAAGAGGATAATAAAGATAAAGTAGAATTAGAAGTAATAACAATTACAAAAGAAATGTCTAATAAAACTAATAGCAATGAATAAAATAATCATAGAGAACATTTAATTGATGAATAAGCTTTTTAATTTAATGAAGATAGTGATAATGAAAAAGATGAAGAAAGAAACTCTTCAGGCAATTAATCATCTGATCATAAATAGAATCATGTATTTTAATTTCAAGAAGGTGAATAAAAATTAGATGAATTAATTGAACCAGAAAATTGAGTATATGTACAAAAGAGTGGAATTTAAATTTGATTTCATTTATTTTTATATATTGTCTTAAATAAAAAACCTAAGTATTCTAATTAATTTCAATTAATCTAATTAGCATCACTTTCTTCTTCATCAAAATCTTAATTTTCTTCATCTCTAATATATACTCTTTTCTACCATTGTCTAACATCTTTGCTTAGAATAAATTCTTTAAATAAATCGTAATTTCCACTATTTAAATGTATATAAGGATAAATTTTAAAAAATGTAATTATTATGTTATCAGCTGGTCTATTTTTTTAACTATAATTAATTAATAAAGGAACTCTTGAACCTTTATCTTTTAATCTTTAAAAAAATCTGACCAAATTTATATATTCATTTTGACGTTCTTCTTTTCTTAAATAGAGTGGTTAATTATGTTAAGTCTAATCCATAGGTTCTAAATCTAAGATAATTCTAAAATACACTTGAGATTTAAACAATAATTAAGGTTTTATTTAAAATAAGAAACTAACAAACTATGATAAATCTGATATATTCTAAAACTATTACAATTTAACTTATTTCTAAAATAATAATAATAATAATAATATATTACTTAAATGCATTCCTATATAATTTATTAATATTATATTAAATCCTTAATATTTAAATTTAACCAGGCTACTAATTTTCCATTTTCTAATTTATTCTACTCATGATCACTTAAGTAATTCTTTTAAAATTTATCTAATTTTTTAATATTTTGATGAATATTTTCTAAATTCTATATAGCAGATGGTGATCTTATATCAAATTCAAAATCACTAGCTGATTAAATAGATATCGAAGTAAAACTAAGAATCATTAAAAAAACATAAATTCTGCATAGCTAAATATAGTATAATATTATTTACCATAAATAGAACAACTAATAGGGCATTAGTTATTTGACCAGTATTCATAGCTCCTCTTTCCCATTCCTTTTCTTCAGTTGGAATAGACCATATTATCATACAATAAAGTGAACTAGCATATGAATCATAACTCTCAAAGTTTTTACGAAATGCTATATAAAAAGCTAGAGACCAAGTCACATATTAGGCAACTCGAATTATAAACATTTTAAAAAAATGAATAGTTGTTCTGTATATTAAATTAATAAATTTAACAATTAATTCAGTTCCATTTAAATAACTGAATATCCAGAATACATTAAATGGGATGAATAATAGAACAAATGCTAAAAATATGATTCTTATTTATTAAATTTAGTATGTAGCATCTAATAAAATATAATTATGACAAGTTGAAAGCAATGGAAATCCATTATTCCAATTACTAATACTTTTGTTTTATATACAATTTTAATCATTTAATGCTTCTTAAATATCACTATTTAATACAGCAGATTCAAGAGTACATATAACTGAAAAGGCAGATTCTAAAATTGATACTAAAAATACTAATAATTAAGTAGCTCTTGGATCTATTGATCCTTCAAATATTATTTTCATGATAAAAAAGAAATTAAATACAATTAAAATTATTGAAAAAGAATACCAAGTTGAGGAGTTCATTGAATTAGTATTTATTTAATTAATTTAATATTCAAAAGTTTATTCTTAAGTTTCATGAAATTATTGTATAAAAGTATTAGAATATATTACATTATTAAATTTATTAATTCTATTAAATTAAACTACAAGAGCTATTGTATTATTAGTAATCCAATCATTAAGAATTAATTTATTAATTTATTATTCCATTTCTTCACGATCATTAAATTTTATATCAGCAATAAATGCACTATTTGGATATGTTCCAAATTATCTAGTTTTTATTAAATTTTCTGAATATCGTTTAAGAATCCCTTCATTAGTATTTTTGAAAATATCTCTTAATTAAAATTCAATGCATTCAGTTGAATATAAACATAATTTTGTATTATTACATATAAATAACTAAGGTTATAAAATAGAAAGGGCATCACTATTTGCAGGATTACAATTACTAGATAAACTATTTATAAATTTTTATTATTCTGAAGTATCAGTTTCTATTTTACTTATATCATATTGACAATCTACAGAATAAGATATTTAATATTAAACTAATCTAAATCCAGATAAAAGTATTTCAAATTCATTAGGATCAACAAATAAATCCCAAAAATTGTCTTTTAATACATGTAAACTAGCATTTTAGTATTTGTCTTTATAAAATTAGTGAGAAATCAATTTTTTATTTAACATATCTAATGAAAGTATTTATTAATCTTGAGATATTATTTGATATTAAATATTGTTGCTTAAATCGTTAAGGGTATCTAAATATAACAGAATTAAAATTGAAATAATTCGAATAATTAATGTCAGAATTTCTGCTTATGGAGACACCAGAATAGTTTTAATTGCTCTATATGCTCTTTTTGAAAATAGTGACATCTATTTTTGATTTTATTATATAAATTAAAATATTTATAATTTAAGTTTTAAGATCATTTCAAATGATAAACTCTATCTTAATTTTAGTTTATAATAAGGGATTAATTCTTTAAAAAAGCAGCATCACTCAATATTACACATTCTTTCATTATTGTTAAAAATTATTTTTTATCTTTTGATTAATCACCTGAATAAATTTTATATAATTGTCCATCAGATTCTTCTACAATTACTGAAAATTCAAATTCATTATTTTATATTATAACAGTATTGATTTTAGCAATATTTACTTCCATTTATGAATTATATTTAATATTTTTATATTAAAATTCTCTATTTTCTTCTTCAATATCAATTTAATCATTATTTAATTCTTTATAATCTTTTAAAATCAAATACTTAATTTCTAATTCAAATTTTTAATCACTTTCTTTTTTTACATTACAATAACTATAAAATAATAACAAATCTCCATTTTCTAAACTTGCAACTATTGTAGGTATTTACATATTCACATTAAATTAAACCTATCTTGATCTATGAATTGGTGATTATTAAAACTATAATGGTTCTTTCTCCCAAGTATTTAGTTTATATCTTAAAATATAATCCCATTTTATTTTTCTTATCTATTTAATTGAAATCTCATAAATAATAGTGCTTGTGCATACAATCAAATATGGACATCTTTATCCTTATTCTTTTTACCATTTCACTTCTAGTCCGATTAAACAAAAGTCTTCTTTAATTTATTCAATTCTATATATCATATTCATTGGAACCTTTGTTATTGAGTCTTCTAATGAATCTTTTGCATCTTATAAATTTATCCAATCACTAATTTTATAATTTAATAATTACCTTTCAAATATATCTAAAGAAATATAATCTTAATGATTGACTTTTCTAACTATCCAAAGTTATTCATTATCTAAATCATTTAATATAACTTCATCAAAATCTAAATTATCTTCTTTATCTATTGGATCTTCAAATATAAACTTTCTTATTTTTGCTTTTGGTTTATCATTAAAATATAATAAATATAAGTTCTAAATTCCATTATAATGAAATATATATTAATTATTCCTATCTTCCAACCACTAAATTAAATAGTTATACTTACATTAATATAAAGACATGCATTTCTTAAACTATTAGATTTTTCTATTTGTTATATAAAAAAATGAGAACTTTCCACTTTAATATCAACTTTCATTGAAATAAGGTCATATATAAATCTGAACTGATGAACTTATAATTAAACTTATTTTGCGAGTTCTTTCACATCAATAATATCTTATTAATCTACTATTTTTACATTATCTTAAACTAATTCTTACACAATCACAGTAAATTCAAGTTTCTTTTTATTTTATTCTAATATTATTTTATTTAATTGATTAGATTTAAACAATTTCTTTTTCTATTAATAAAAATCAAAATTCATTTGATTTTATATCTAACAATTATCAAATTTCACAATTTATTCATATCCAAATATAGATATCCTCTAAATTTATGATTAAAATGAAATTGCTTAATATTTAGTTTATGATTCAAAATAAAGCATATATTAATCATTAATTTTCTAACAAATAGAGTTTTCATAACATTTTAATTTACCTACATTTTTGATTATTTTTAATTTATTCTTTTCTTTTTCATTAATCTCAACAGTTATTGCATATGAACTAATATTAAATTCATATTCATCATTTTTTACTAATGATTAATAAGTTCCTCCTAAAAGTATGAAACTATTATTTTAACGTGGACTAATTGTAAAATTTATCAATGCTTCATAATAATTTTACTCATTTTCACTATTATTATAATATTATGGTTCTCTTATGGCATTTATATCATATTTGTAAATTTATACATAATATTTAAAGTTGGAGCCTATTTTTTTTTACATTTGATTTTCTTTTGAAAATTATACATTAAATTAATAAAAATAGAAACCTAACAATAAATAAGAACTTTTCTATTTATCACTGATATTTTAAAAGTATGGATATTAATTCAAATATATTGAATCTTCTATTTATTTTTCTTACTCTTTATTAAAATTGCATTATTAATAAAATAAATGATTATTTTTCACAATGCAAATAATAAATGATTTTTAATCTGAATCATAAGAAATGAAGTACTAAACTTCAGAAATTCTAATAGGTTATTTTGTTTCATTTTCATATAATTTCACTAATTCTATTTTATTGTTACTATTCAATATCCCTAAAAGATTATATTCAAAATCTTAAGCTTTATTTTTATTATTATCATTATCATCTTCATTTTATAATATAGGTTTGGCAGCAAAATGTAAAATTTATTTCTATTACTCTGTTTCAATTTCCATATAATTATTTTTAAATTAATTTTGTCGAACCTTTAAAGCTAAGAATTAACTAAAAAAGAATTTTTCTTCCTTTTGAGTCTATGCAAAATACTTAATATAATCATTATAGTCTTAAGCAGAGATATCTTCACATTAATAATGTGATTTATTTTTCCTTTTAAATCTATAATCATAAAATGAATTGCTTATTAAGAGAGTTGATTTTAAATATTTTTCATAACTATATGGAGTAAATGAAGTTAGGAGTGGAATAATTAAAAGAGAGTGTTACGAGATTTTCTCTAATTATGATATTAATTTTTAGAAGAAAAATGCTGCAAAATCAAAATCATCATTAATTTCTATTAATAATACTATTATTTTAGGCTAAAATTTTTTAATTTTATTCTTTAAAAAGTATCTATAAAGAAGTTGAATTTAATTTGTAATTTTATTGCTAAAATTTATTTTTAAATAGTATTAGTCTTATTAAATTAAGCTTTTTAATTCTTTATCAATTTAATTTTAAAATTTATTTTCATCTTAAATCATAATTGAGAAATTTTAGAAAGAATCAAAATCTTTCTCTTGCATAATATCTTTATTTAAATTATATTCTTTAGTAATACCAATATAAGTTAATCTCAAATTGTTTTCTTTCTTTTTTTCATGATTAAAATTAAACTATTAAATTGCTCTTTAAATGTAAACCCTTAATTCTTCAGGAACAATGTCACTATTTTATAGAAGAATTTATGAACTATCTCCATTATAAAAACTATTAAAAATTGATAATAGATTTTAAATAATATTCTTTTCTCTTAAAGGTTATTCTATAAATAATTCTTCCTGAATTTAGTTATTTATTAATTATTTATGATTCTTGTCAAACTCTTCATTCTTCCTTTTCAATTAATAAATTAATTTATTATTAAGGTTTTATTGTTATTGATATTCGATGATATATGTAAGAATTTTTTCTTATTTTTTCTATTGTTTTTAGTATATTGAATTAGAATTTTAATCGATAGTATCCATGTCCATCAAATTAAAATATTATTAAAAATTATCATTTTTTATTTCTGAAGACTTATTTCTGAAAAAATTTACCCTAAATTATTGCCAATCTTCATATTTGGGAATTGTATTTTTTCCATATTATGCTGACTCGTTTAATTTTTGATTCATCTGACAAGTTAATAATTTATATATAATATAATTTTATAAATCATTAACTTAAAAATTTAAATACTATATTATCAAATTAATTATCTTTCTAATGAATTAATATTCATTTAGTTTCTTAAGCCCAATCAAACACATTATCCCAAATATATCCTTCTTTATAAAATAAATCCTTAAAAAATCTTTTAATCCAAACATAATCAGGTATTTCTTCAAATTTTAAACTTTTTATGTAATTAAAATATTTAACAAATTCCTCTATATTTAAATACTTTTAATACCAGGAAATCCTTCACATAATTTATCTATTGGAGTAGCAATTTTACATTCTCCAACTTTTTCATACTTAGCTATTTTAGTTTCTGTCTTAATCCCTGACCAAGGCAGAGATCCTCTTAAAAAATATATAAGCATATATCCTATAGATTCTAAATCATCTCTTCTGCTTTATTCAATGCCTAAATGTGCATTTATACTTGAAAATCTACATGTTCCAACTAACTAATTCTATTCACCGTATTAAATATGTGTTTCTATATATGTTGAATTCTTTACCTGTCCTTTAATATCTATATCTTTTAGTTAAACCAAAATCAATCATATAGATATTATCTGCTTTTTTGTTTAAACCAATTAAAAAATTTTCTGGTTTGATGTCTCTATGTATAAAGTCTTTGCTATGTAAATATGAAATTCTTGTTAATAACTATAAGAAAAGACTATAGTAAATTTTAATTTACTTGATCTGCTAGCATCAAAACAGATTTAAGCGAGAATTTTCTTCCATGATAATTGAATAAATCCTCTAAACTTGGTCCAAGTATATCAAGAACTAATACATTAAAATCACCTTCTTATCCAAACCAATGTAAATTTGGAAATCCAGGTACTGGACCATCAAGTAATAATATTCTATAAATTTTTGCTTCATGTAACAATTAAGAATGTTTATTGCTAACATTTTCCTAAAATCATTAGAATTTCAGTTACTAATTTTATAGCCATCTCTTCTCCAGTTTTAATATTATTTCCTACAATATATAAAACTATTTAATACCTAAATATATTTGACCAAATGCTCCTAACCCAATCCTCTTATCTAAAGTAAATCTATACTTCTATGCAAATGTTAGCTCCATTAAATAAAATAATAATTTTATAAAAATAGAATATTGCTATTAAAATATTTTATATTAGGAACATGATTCTANCATTTAGTTTCTTAAGCCCAATCAAACACATTATCCCAAATATATCCTTCTTTATAAAATAAATCCTTAAAAAATCTTTTAATCCAAACATAATCAGGTATTTCTTCAAATTTTAAACTTTTTATGTAATTAAAATATTTAACAAATTCCTCTATATTTAAATACTTTTAATACCAGGAAATCCTTCACATAATTTATCTATTGGAGTAGCAATTTTACATTCTCCAACTTTTTCATACTTAGCTATTTTAGTTTCTGTCTTAATCCCTGACCAAGGCAGAGATCCTCTTAAAAAATATATAAGCATATATCCTATAGATTCTAAATCATCTCTTCTGCTTTATTCAATGCCTAAATGTGCATTTATACTTGAAAATCTACATGTTCCAACTAACTAATTCTATTCACCGTATTAAATATGTGTTTCTATATATGTTGAATTCTTTACCTGTCCTTTAATATCTATATCTTTTAGTTAAACCAAAATCAATCATATAGATATTATCTGCTTTTTTGTTTAAACCAATTAAAAAATTTTCTGGTTTGATGTCTCTATGTATAAAGTCTTTGCTATGTAAATATGAAATTCTTGTTAATAACTATAAGAAAAGACTATAGTAAATTTTAATTTACTTGATCTGCTAGCATCAAAACAGATTTAAGCGAGAATTTTCTTCCATGATAATTGAATAAATCCTCTAAACTTGGTCCAAGTATATCAAGAACTAATACATTAAAATCACCTTCTTATCCAAACCAATGTAAATTTGGAAATCCAGGTACTGGACCATCAAGTAATAATATTCTATAAATTTTTGCTTCATGTAACAATTAAGAATGTTTATTGCTAACATTTTCCTAAAATCATTAGAATTTCAGTTACTAATTTTATAGCCATCTCTTCTCCAGTTTTAATATTATTTCCTACAATATATAAAACTATTTAATACCTAAATATATTTGACCAAATGCTCCTAACCCAATCCTCTTATCTAAAGTAAATCTATACTTCTATGCAAATGTTAGCTCCATTAAATAAAATAATAATTTTATAAAAATAGAATATTGCTATTAAAATATTTTATATTAGGAACATGATTCTATAGTTTAAACAAATTCATAAAGTTTGAATTTTTTAGCCATAATGACTCTTATAATGGATTGGGTGTTTTTTTTTAAAAGAATAAATTAAATTATTTTTTGTCTAAATGATAATTATTTTTTTATAAATAAAAAATCATAAATTCTTTTGGATTTCATCTTAGGAATGAAATTTTGCTTAGAATTAAATAAAATATCTCATATTGCAAGTGAATATAAAGAAAAACTTAAATATCAATTTTTGATTGTGTTCATAAATAATATTGGATTTTTATTTATTTTAATATGAAGCTATTATTTGAACAACTCAATAGATACATAATTATAAATACATTAATTTTGTCTAGTAGCAATCATGTTTAAAATTATTTTATTGCTAATGGCATCATAAAGTTTATTCTATATAAATAATAATTTTTATTAATGGAGTTTTTGCAATAGGCAATTAACATCTGAGTATCCAGCATATATCTAAGGCATTATTTGATATCTTTTACGGGGCTCTTAAAGATCAATGAAGACTTCAAATGTACTTACGTTTAGTGGGAAAAAGAGTTAAATATATATTATGGACATTTAAGTAGTATCTTTCTAAATTGAAATTAATGACCTAATCACCTGAAAAAGTTTAGCCTTGGTTTAAAAAAAAGGTAAACTGACACATTCAGAGATGTACATAGGGTATAACCTAAATTAAAAACTTAGACCTAATAACCCATCACCACTTTCAATAAGCTGGTCAACCAATCATAAAAGAGAATGAAAGACCTAGGCCCAACTAAGGATGATTCTAAGAAAGCTTCCCACTAGTTCCCTTGATATTTGGTCAATTTTAAAAGGTATTCGATCAGATAGAACTCTAATCTACCAGGTCCATACAAAATGAATTCCAAAAGGATCATCACATACTTATTAGGAAAAGCTTCTGGAGCTGTTTCCTGTAGAATTAACCCAGGATGATAAATTAGTACTTTCATTATGATCAAGCAAGAGTTATTCTGAGATTATAGAGGAAACACCTTAAGCAATGAAATTCATGGTTGGAATGGCAACTTCACGATAATAAGTGATTCTCCTCCAGTCCATTTAAGGGGAAAAGGAAGAAATGGGAATTTATTGGAATATATTTTTTAAATTTAAAATATTTTTCTTATTATTATATTATTGCTGAACAATTTAGCGTTCTGCCCAATTACTTAGAAAACTCGTGTACTGGCGAATTTAACGGTCCCATTCCAAATTTCGACAAATCTTTGGCGATCTTTGTATATTTCTCACCTAAATTCTCCAGTGTAATGCAAGTTCTAGAATCAAGGGTATGCTGCTTGAAATGAAGCGATATCTGATTAAGATGAGTCTAATAAATTCTGGTCCAAATCAAGTAAAAGAAGCTGGAATTAGAGTATGCTTGAAAGAAAAACAAGTAGGGAAAGCAAAAACTCTCTAAAACTCGAAATGCTAGCAAGAAATAGAGATAGATAGACCCTATGAGTCAGTCTAAAGGAGTGAACAAGTACACTAAGGTATTCTATAACTGCATGAGACCAAGAAAATAGAAACAAGATCTTTGGGAGCTATTTTTAAGGAGATATTGGAAAAGCCTAGCCATCGTGGTGAATAGCAAGCAGGCTCCCAGTTTCCTGTTACCAAAATGGTGCCTTTCAGTATAAAAACCTGAATTCGTTTATGACTCATATGTACAAAACCTATAAAAAATGTATATATCTTGGTTCCTTTCATGATATTCATGAGAGTAAATCTTTACACCTACTTCAATTATGCTATCTGAATCCTAACATAGATCTAATTAAGCTCTTTAAAGCTGAATTTGTTTAAGAATGAGGATGGGATTTCATGTCGAATTTTAGTGAAGGCTAACTAACTAGAGGAGCTCATACTTAAATAATGAAGGCTCACTTTTCAAGTTTAAGAGAAGGAAAAAAAACCGAAGCCATGAAAGAATTTAAAAAAAAAGAATAATAAATTTAGAGTATCTAATTAATTATATACTTTAAACTAAAACAAAATGGTTATAAAAAGTATTATATATATTTTGTAATTTTTTTATATGATCTTTTTTGGTGAAAAATTGATTTATATTAAAAATTAAATGATGAAATCATCAAAATTTGTATTTTTTAAAGGGTTTCATAAAAGGACCATAAGAGAACTTAGGATCAGTTACAGCAGGATAATCCCCTTTTTGTTTTCTGAAAACAGTTTAATTTTCTTTAATTTTTTCTTAATATTCTTTATTAAAATTGGGATAGCACAATCCTCCTAGATCAGCAATTTCACCCATTCCTCCCTAAATATAGATATTTTGATTTATACTTTTTTTTTATGCAAAATTTTCATCTCTTATTTGAGATCATTAAAGGGTTGTGATTTTGCCTAAGTGAAAGAAATAAAGTCAAATTTAACTGATGAAACATTCATCATTGATCCAGGTTTAACTGTTCTAATTTCTTATTGAGATTTATTGTCTCTTGTATTTTATGTCTGTTGCATTTATGCTTATTCTTATGCAACTTCAAATTTTGCTTTTTTTGGGAATGGATGATCTTAAGAATGACCCAATTTCCTTAAAGGAGGTAAGGGTTGCTAAGAAGGATGAAAATCTACACATGTGATTATATTATAATCACGATTTTCTATTTAGTATTTTGATGCTTTCATAATATATTTAATATTTATTTTTATGTTAATGGTTTTTAAAATAAACGATCTGCTCCTTCTTTTATACACTGCTATCTTGTTTCTTAATCATCAAATGCACTAAGTATATAAATTTTAGCATTTCTGTTAAATTTCTTAAAATCCCTTATACATGATATTCCACTCTTATCTGGTAAATTGATATCAAGTAATATTATATCAAATTACTTTTATTTTACCATCTAGATTGCTTCACTGGCAGAATAAGCTATCTAAATTTAATTGACTCCACATTACTAAAACAACTATTTATTAGTTGCATTATTGAATAGTTCATCATCTACTAGCAAAACACTTCTTTATTTATTTTAAGGTGTTTACTTAGGTATTTTCTAATATCTGACTTAATGAATTTAAATTGGTTAATCATCAACATTGTCAATATCATCATGATGAATTCTATAAATAACAAACTAAAAATTGGTTCCAACTCCAATTCTACTGTTAATATAAATGTATTTCAAAGGTCCAATATATCCACACAACTATTTGCTAATCATTAATCCTAGTCCTACTCCATTCCTATTATTTGAAGATTTCTTTACCTATTCTATTTTTTCTCACCATCAAATGTACTGTAGCTTTTGAATAATTAACCTTTAACTTCATCACTAATACCAACTCCTGTATCTGAAACAGTAATTAATATTAAATTATTTAATTATTCATCTAATTAACATAAACTTTGTTTAGATTTATTTTGTTTCATTTAATTTTTAACATTAACATAAAATTCTTAAATATCCTGATTGTTATCTGTAATATGTAATGATATTTGTCCATTAGATGTAAATTTGGAAGAATTAGAAATTAAATTAAATAAAACTTATTTTAATCTAACTTCATCATTTTTAATTAAAGTGTCTTCTGCTTTATTTTTAATATGAAATTCAATTTACTTTATTTATAATTACAATTGAAAAGCTTATTAAATTTACTAACAAAGATGTAAAATATCAAATTCTGTTATTAATACCTTTAATTTTTACATTTTTATCATCTAAAAATCAGATAAATCCTTAACAAAACTTTATAAAAATAAGATATTATTGATGCAAATATCTATAAATTAAACACTTTATTATAAATCTTATTGTTATTGAATTAATTTTTATAAATCCTCTTAAACAAATAAAAGAGTTTAATAAATAGCTCCTATAGGATTTTTTAAATCATGACTAACAGTGGCAAGGATATTATCTTTATAAGAATCTAATTTCTTCAATTCCATAACCATTTAATCATCTGTTATGTTAATAATAGTAATTGCATAACTTTATTATCCCTTCCAAGTACATTATTACATATTTATCTTATATGTTTAATTATCCAATTATGCCTAAGCAACAAATGGTGTCTATAAAAATAGATCTTAATGATTAAGACTTTCTAATATATTTGTAGATTTAGTAAAATAATGATCAGTTGATTTATTACCATCAATGTTATATTCATGATCAGTCTGAAGAATGAATTATTCTAATTTTCTTAAAATATTAGTTTAAGCTCCGAATTATTTTAGAAATGGTTTATTTACATATAAAACTTCATGATTTCTTACCTATTATTAAATATCAATAATAATTTACATTTAAAATAATAAGGTACTGTTTTTCATTAATATCAAATAATTATTCATCATAGCTTTCTGCATCTTTTGCAATACTAAATTATGGAAATGTAACAGATAATTTTTTTTTATTTGTCACAAATAAATTTAGATAAATTGTACATAAAATTAACCAAGAGAATATTTGTTCACCATTATTTAATACAAAATTTTCAGGTTTTAATGTTTCATAAATAACTTAAAATCCTAAATAATAGAACACTTTCATTGCATCCAATTCTATTGCTGAGGAAACATAAATCAAATAAATAAACAAAAAATCTGACGTTTAAAATTTATACAAATAAAGTGCTGTAAACAATAATGAATGTAAAACCCTAATAAGTGGATTTATTTTGGTTTTTAAATGTATTAATATTATTGAGCTTAAACTTGATAGAGATAATAGGAAAAATGTTAATGCATACAAATTTGGTAATAACCTATATCCCAATAGAAACTCTAGTACGCTTTTAAAGATCTCCATAACAAAATTAATCTTCTTTTAAACTTATATCAAGGCCTCTTATTCCTGATCTATTTCTTATTGAGATAAAAAAGGTTCCTTTATTCTAAAGAGTCTAATTAATTTGGACAGATACATAATTATTAAAAAAATTAATTAATACCAAATATTTGAAGTTCCAAATGAAATCAGAACAATTTATACATAATAATCTTTATAGAATAGTAACTCATTGTATAAACAAAGAAAACCTAATAAAGAATTAAAATATTAAAGTTATTAGAAGTGGTTCTATACTTTTCTAAGGAAGAAATTAAGAAATTTAAATTAAAACTTAAAAAACTATCTTTTTCTTTGATAATAATTAATATAATGTTATTTAAATTATCAATCAAAGTTAATATTAAAGTTACTCCTAAAGAAAACTTAATAGTTAGCTTAATATATAGGATAAAATCTTTAGAAAAATCTCAAGCATAGTCTGAGATAGAGAAATTATTACTCTACTAAGGAGTTAAGGGGTATTAAGAATGAAATAACCCATATAAAACAGTAGATTAAATCATATATAAAAATATTAAAGAAGTAAGAGAAATAATGATTATTCTATAAAATGTACACCCTTAACTAAAATTATGGGAAATAACCTCTATTTTAAATTGATTACCAAATCAAGATTTTATAAGAAACCTAAAATAAAATAAATAGAAATATGATTAATATTAATTTATTATGATTAACTCTTAATCAGTACCTAATCTTTAAAATTCAAGTGCATTGCCAATAAGTGAACCAACTTTAGAGTAAATCAATAAAAAGTAGTATGGAGATACTTTAAGATAATAAATTGAATAAAAGAAGATAAGAGAGCAATAAGAGAGAATTTAAGAGCGACTAATGGTTTTTCATTTTAGTTAATTTATTAGGAATTATAATTGTAAAATCCACTAAATAATTATGGAAGAGGAGGAGGAGGTGCACCATTAAGAGATTAATATGGAAATATAACTGTAAAATATAAGATTGTGTTTAGACAACCAGAAGAAATCCAATGGACCCTAATATGTCTTCAGCTTAAATTTTTGGTCCGTCTATTTCATCTGTTCAATTTAATTAACCTGAATATTTAAGTGCTAGTCAATTACCTATTTAAACACAAAGGCTAGTAACTTCAAATCAAAGTATGATACATCTACCTACATCAAATAATGTAAAAGATTATAATATTTAGAGTATGAATTAAAGTTAATTAAGTCATATTGGTGAATAAATAGCTTAGGCTGAAAAAAAATAAAAATAATTTGTATTATAAAGAGAATTAATTTCATAAATGGAAATAGCAGAAAGAAAGAAGTAAGAAGAGAAATTAAAAATAAAGAGAGATAAAGAATTAGATGATTTAAGAATATTAAGAGAAAGAGAGGAAATAGAAAGAAGAATGAAAGATGAATTTGGAATTGATAAATTAGAAAAAAGAAATCTTTAATAAACAAATTTTGATATTGATGGTTTAAAAGCATTAAAGAGATTAGAAATGTTGAGATATTAAAATGAATTAATTGAATAATAAAATAGAAAAAATGCTAAAACAGGAGTCAGATAAAGAACTCCTATTTAAGAAGCTGAAAAAGCTTATAGAGACTAAAGGAATGATATATTGTAATCTAGAATTGAATAAAGAATTATTAAAGAATTACCTATAGAAGTTGAAAAGACTGTTAGAGATACAATAAATGTTGAATTAAATAGATTAAGATAAGAAATGAATCTTCAAACTAATTAAGTTTCTGAATAAGTAGTTTCATTAAAAAGTCATTTAATGAAGGCAAATGAATAAAGACATTATAATGAAGAATAAATTAGAAAATTAAAAGAAGAACTTAGATCTACTTAAATTATAGATGACATTAGATAAAGAGAATTATATTAAGCATTTTTAAATTAAGAAAAAACAAGATAAATTATTGAATCAGCTTAAAGATAATAAACACCAGATCAAATTAAATATACATTTCCAAGAAGATAGAAATTAAATTATAATTCATTTGATCCATTCTTAGGAAATAATGATGATGTCAATAAAGATTTATATGAAATTATCACAGACAATACGTAAATAGGGTCTGTATCTCAAAATTTTTAAATTGGATTGAATAATTAAAATAAAGAAAAGATTTTAGATTAAAGACTTTAAAATGAAGATGATGATGTTATCATTAATCGTAGATCAGGTTAAGAATTAAAAAATAATGAATTTGATTTACAAGAAGATTATTAAAATCGTTAATAATTGTATATTGCTAAAAGTTATTTGGATTCTAAACCTATTAATAATTATGATTATACAAAAATAGAAAGTAATTCAATTATTCCAAAATCAGATTATGTTTCTTTAATTAGTAGTACTCATCCTTATTATATATAAGAAGAGGATGAAATTAAAGATGTTATTTAAAGATATTCTAGTATTTTTTATTTATTTATATCTATTTTAGATAAACTTGATAGATTAGATGATATAGATGTATTATAATAAAAAAGAGACTTTAATCAAATGGACTATGCATTATAAGATTTATTAGATTAGTAAACCAATAAATTAAATAAAAATGAATATATCAATGACCCAATTGACTATAATGATTATTATTCAACTGATTACTAAGAAACAAATTTTTATAATAAAATGAATAAATTATCTTGACTGATTATAATAATATTATTATATATTACAATACTACATTAAAAGTTACTAAAATCATTTATTATAGTATTAAAAATTAATCATGAAAAATGCAAGAACTCTACTATTATAAGGGAATAATTAAATATTTTTGTATTATTCAATAAAATTAAAATTATTATTATGATTTTGTATATCAATTTTTTAATGAGAATTTATTTAACCTTTATAATGGTATCTATTAAAGCAAAATCAAGAATTTCAATATCATCATATATAAGTTCAATTTATATGATTATATGATAATAAATTTATATTAGAAATTAAAATTATTCTATATTATCTTTACTATTATCAAATTATAATCAGAGATTTTAAAAAGATGATTTTTATAATTTCTTTATTAAGATATCTATTTAAATATTGTTCTATTATATTATTATAAATTAATCCATTATCAAAAACAAGTTTAAATGAGAATTGTTGACCCAATTGCACTTAATCAATTAAAATTTTAGGATTTTAATTTCATTACAGTATATAATTTTCCTTTCTTTTTATAATTAATTTACTTGATATAGTAAATAGAATATTGCAGATCAAAAGTTTTGGATGGATATTAATGTGATAATATGAATAGTTAATTTTTTAAGAATGTATTTATATAAAAATTGAGTTTAGTTAGAATATTAAAATGGATATTCAAACTTAATAATTAAATGTATAAGTGGCAGTGAGAGTGAGACCTTTAAGCAATAAGGAACTAAATGCTAAGGATGAATGCTGTTTAAAGACTGAGAACAATAGAGTATGAATTATAATGAATATAGATAATTTTGCCATAAAGTGGAAAGATCTTTACTTTTGATCATGTATTCAATTAGGATTCCAATTAAGAAGAGATTTTTGATTGGTAATTATGTTATTTCTAAATTTAGTTGTGTAACAAATTTAATTTTAAGATGCTTTGAGGGATATAATAGTACAATATTGGCATATGGCTAAACTGGTTCTGGGAAAACCTTTACAATGGGAACATCAGGTTTGGATCAATATTCTGGTTTAATATTGTGATTAATGCATAGACTAAAATGAATGGGGAATGATACCAAGAGCAGTATATTTTTTATTTGATGAAGTGGAGAAAAGAAAATAAGAATAGGATATCATTATTACATGTTCATATGTAGAATTATATAATGAATAAATAATTGATTTGTTAAATGAATCAACAATGAAATCAAATTTATAACCAACAATAAGAGAAGAAAAGGATCATACAATTTCAATTCAAAATTTGACATCAATAGCAGTGATTAATCCATAGGATATGCTATCAATATTAAATAAAGGAGGAACACATAGAACAACAGCAGCAACTTAAATGAATTTAAATAGTTCAAGATCTCATGCAATATTTACAATATATTTTGAAATAAACCGGGAATCTGAGGAAGGATCTTTAAATGCCAAATTTCATTTTGTTGATTTAGCAGGTAGTGAGAGATTAAAAAAAACTATGGCTATAGGTAAGTAGATGGAGGAAGGAATTAATATTAATTAAAGTCTTTTAGTATTAGGTAATGTAATTAAAACATTAAGTGATTAAAAAAAATCAGCACATGTTCCATATAGAGAAAGTAAATTAACAAGGTATTTATAGATTTAAATAATTTTATAGAATTCTTTAAGATTCTTTGGGTGGTAATTCGAATACTTACATGATAGCATGTATTTCACCTTCAGCTGGTAATTATGAAGAAACAATTAATACTTTGAAATATGCTAGTAGAGCAAGAGAAATTAAAAATAAACCTACTTAAAACAGAGTATTAGTTATTTTTATATAAGGATCCTCATGCTGCATAAATATTAGCATTAAAATAATAAATATTTGGTCTTTAAGATTAAATTAAACAATATGCTTAAATACTTTAAGATAATAATATTAATACAGATTCTGTAAAATCTATGGCTATATAAATTTATGAATCAATATCTCCAAGTTCTGGACCATAATAAAATTGTTTAGAACATGGAGAGACTATTCTTAAATTAAAAAATTAAAATTATCAATTAGAAAAATAATTAAATAGTTTATAAAGAGAACTTTAGAATTCTTAAAAAGGCTTAAGTGAAAGTATGCTAGAATGTTATAAAGCAAAGAAATAAAGAGATCAAATTATGAAATAATTTCAAGATGCTAAGAAGTAATGTATTAATATATATTTTAGAATTTTATAAAAATACAATATCTAATATAATTTTAATGAAGATCAAGGGTTAGATACATATTATAATGAAATAGCTAGTTTAAAGAAGATAGTCTAAGAACAAGAATAAAGAATATTCCTCTTATAATCTAATAATGATTAATTATTAAAAGTAATGTAATTTGATATATAACTTAGTATAGGAAGCACGCAGAGATCAAAAGCTATTGAGATAAAAGTAGCATGAATTAATGAGATTAGAGAGACAAAAATAGGATGTTGATTAAATTGATGATGATTTTGAATTAGATGATTCTGAAATAATATAAAAAGATTTATAGATTGAAGAATAGGAATATCAACTTTAGGAATTGGATAAAATAAAAATAGAGACAATTTAATTATTATAAGATGATAAACAAAACTATTTAAAATAAATATCTATATTAGAAGAAGAAAAGGCTAAATTATAAAAGTAATTGAATACTAAATAGGATTCTGCATAAATGAATTCACTTAAATTGAAAATATCAGAATATGAAACTAAAATCTTAGATATGAGATAAAAAGAATTGACATCTAAATAATTGTAAAAGAAATTGGAAGATTAAGAATGTTAAGTGAAAGAATTAAGAACTAATATAGAATAAATGAAAAAATAAAAAGTTGATTTGATTAAGAAAATGAAATAAGAAAATGAGAAATACATAAAAGATAAGGAGTAAAAACATAAAGAGTTAATTTATGCTAAAAAATAAAAAATATAGTAAGATACATTAGTTAGTAAATTAAAAAATGAAAATACAAAAAAAGATGTATAATTAAAAAGAAAGGAAGATGAATTATAAAAATAAAAAAATGAAAAGTTAATTATCAAATAACATAATAGATATAATCCAAATAAATCTTTATAATATGATACATTTGAAAAATAAATAGATGATTTGTTTACAGAATTAATTCTTGGAGAATAAGCTGAGGAATAAATAACAAAAGAATATTCTAAATTAGAAGAACTTTAAGAAGAATTAAGATAAATAGAAGTTAAGATTTGCTCATTATAAATTAAAATTGATTAACTTTAATTTGATATTACATAAAATAGTGCTATTTGTAGCATTGAAAATATCTAATAATTTGAATTAGAATTAAATGATTTTTAATAAAAAAGAGAAAATATATTAGAAACAATTGAATTCTAGCTATAAAAAATAAATGATTATCGAATGATTTCCTAAAAGGCTAATGATTATTACACAATAGTATTAACAAATTAATACTTCAAAGATTTACCAAATTGGTGTACAAGATCGTTTAGATATGTTATTGATAATTGGGTCAAAGATCATTATTAAATGACTTTATATGCCCAATAAATAGAGGAATTAAATTAAACAAATTAGGAACTTATAAATGCTAAACCTAGTCCTATCAAAAAATCAACTAGATAAAATACTCCTATAGATGATCTAAAAAGGTAGATAAATGATTATAAAAGAAAACTTTAAGCATTGTAAAATCAATATCGAACAACAAGCATAGAATTAGATTATTATAAAAACTTTTATAGTGAATAAATAAATAAATAATAGAAAGATAAATCAATAGGAATAAGTCAATAATTATAACATTCATAATCATATCATTCTATTAGAAATTCAATTAGTAAAGAATTAAAACAAGAATAATTACCTTTGGCCTTGACTCATGTAAAATCAATTGGATAATTAGGATCAAGTATGAGAATTAGAAATTCTGTTTCTTAACATTGGATCACTGAATAATTAAATTCATCTTAAGAGATTATTAATTATGAGTAAATATTAATATATTTTTAGTATTGTAAAATCTATTTAAGGACATGATTAACCAGTCTTATCATTATATACAAAAGACAATATATTGTGTTCTGGATAGTATAAATAATTTAAAGTTTGGGATATAGAATCTCAATAACTTATTAGTACAATAGATCAAAGTAATCATTGTAGATCCATTTATTATTGGGCTAATAGAGATGCTTTTGCTGTGTCACATGGATCTCAAATATCTTTATATGATCCTTTAACATTGATGTGTAAAGGACTACTTAAATCATCTATTGAAGAAATCAAATCAATTACTAGTATCAATGGATTATTAGTAGCAGCTGGAAAGTCAATTAATTCTAATGCCTTAAATATTTGGGATTCTAGATAAAATAAGTAAATAATAAATACTATTTAAGTATTTTGTATGAATTTGAAAAAGGTTCTGATATATTAAGTCTTTATGGTTCTGATGAAAATTCTGAGTTGATTTATGGAACTTTAAAACATTATACAAAAAGGATTCCTTTTAATAAAAATAAATATAATTAAATTTAATAATTATAGCCCCCATAATTGGATAAAGTAACAGGAGTTGCTTCTTTTAGTGACTATATAATAAGTTGGTAAAATATATTTAAAAAAAATTAATTAGTTCATTGAGTAAGAGAATGTTGTTGTGGAATTAGTAAACAGGTTTAGAAATTACAACAAATGACAGTATACATAAGGATTTAATTACAGCTTTAACAAGTATTTTTAAAATTAATTTTTAGTTGATAAAAATTTAAAATTAATATATACAGCCTCTAAAGATGGTAATGTTAGGGCCATAAAAGTTAATGAAGAAGGGAAATTCTAGTTACTTCATGAAATTACTGCTTCAAATGTAATTTATATTCTTATTTTAGTAATAAATAAATGCTTTACATGTTATTTAAGACAATCATTTAGTTATAAGTGGAGGATAAGATAAATTAATTAAAATATGGAAACCATCAAAAAATTTATTGCAAATGTAAAATGCTATTGGTGAATTTATTGTTGATGATTAAAATTGATATTTATATAAAAATCAACAAAATATTAAAATCATTTATTTTTTTGTATATTTTCAAGATCTTCAATTTATTCATTTTTTCTAATATAGAATTATTACTTAAAAGTTAATTCATTATTCTTATATTAACTGATGATAACTTGTAATAATTAATAAATAAGAATATTATTAACATTTTTAATTTAATCTATTTTATTTAGAGATTTCATATTTATAGACAAACTCTAATTATTGGTGTAGATTAACTTGGTTTGTCTTTACTTAATATTATTCTATAAATATAATTATATAATTTTATTTTCATTCTTCAGAATCAATAATTAAACTCATTAACATTAAACATCTTTACTATATCCAATACTTCAGATATTTCTTCACTTATTCTTCATTTTATATCTATTCAAATGGCACTTAATCAATTTTTCTGAATAGTTTGAACCAGAATGGATATTCTTACAATTCTGAAGCAAATTAAAAGTAACCTTGATCTTCCATAATTTAATCAACTAAAATAATAAGTAATTCAATATACTTGCATTAAAACCCTTCTCAGCTATGTATTTACAAAGAGTAAAATCATCGAAATTAGTCCACTCTTCATTTTTGTATATAATTTATTCTTAATCTTTTTGTACTTTATTTTTTTGATAGTCTAAAAAAAGATTTAAATTGATTGTGTATACTTTCATGTTTTATAGTAAATTTTGCTTATCTATTTTAATAGAATTAGTATTTCTTTTTCAAATACATTAATCCACAAATTCTATAAAATATATCCTTAGGATTGATATTACAAAATGCAATATTTCTCTTATCTTTGAATTATTCATAATCCAAAAGGAGGGAATAAAATTCTTTAACATACTTTTTAAATTCATCATTACTAGGTTTATACTCAGCTGAAAAACATTAGGGTTTTTCTCTTTGTAATCTATAATATAATAAATATTAAGATTATTTACATTTAATAAAACTAATCAATAGAATCGAAATCCATTCCAAAAGATAAAATAAAATCAAGAAATTCTAATCTATGATAAGCAGTAAAACCATATGTCACAATATCATTGTCTACACTAAGTTATGCTAATTCTGAATGTTCAAGAACAGTTTATTAGAAAAATCTCATGATTTATAAATCTTTATCAATTAACTTTTGCATTCTTTCAGATACTATTTTTTAATCTTTTTTATTTTCATCATTTTCTTATTCTGATCCAGTTCCTTGACTCTAATCAGATGGACTATATTAAGATGATGAAACTAATAATATATATCTATAATATACATTGATGATAATCTTCATGATAATTTGGTATATTTTATTTTTTCAATCTTTTCCCTTTTCCAAATTCATCTTTCTCCTTTTCTGCAAACCCTTTAGCTTCTTCATCTAAAAATGTCTCCCAATATTTATCTAAATTCACATTCTAATGACTCTCATCACCTTCCTTTTCTACTTATTCCAAATTAAAACTTGTAAATTTGAATCCTGACAAATAATAATCGTTAATATCATTTTTTTTTAAATTAACATATTATTAATCAGATTACAATTCAATATCTCTTTACAATAAAATATTTAATTATTCATCAGTAAATTCTTAGTCTTTCTCTTCTAAGTTTTTATTGAATAATTCCCAAGTGCTTTCTTTAAAGATAGATTAGAAATCATCTTTACTAAATTTATTAATTGGATTAATAATGATTTCTTCTAAAAGTAATTTTTTAGTTGCTATCTAAATTATTCTTTCTTCAGCAGTGTATTTACTTACTAATCTAAATACTTTAACTTTATTTGTTTAACCCATTCTATGAGCTCTACTTATTGCTTATAGATCTCTATAAGGATTAAAATCACTATCAGTAAATATAATTGTATCAGCAGATGTTAAATTAATTCCTAATCCTCCAGCTCTTGTTGATAATAAAAATATTTTAGATTTACCAGATGAATTATTAAATGAATCTATTATTCTTTACCTATCCATTATACTTGTAGTTCCATCCAATCTCTCATAACTATATCCTCTTAATTATAGATAATGTTGCAGTAAATCAAGCATCATTGTAAATTAACTGAAAATAAGCATTTTATGCTACATCTCCAATAATCTAGGTATGATTCTATCTACAAACTTTAATTTATTTGATTAATTAATCATTTCTTCAATGTCTTCATTTGGAAATTCTCTTTTATAAGTAAACAGATAAGGATGATTACATACTAAACGCAATGACATTAGAATATTTAATAAATTAGCTTTGCTTGCTCCCTTTTTTTAATCCAACACTTTTAATTTTTCATAGTTTCTTAACATTACATTTTTATAGAGAAATTTCTATTTATCTGTCAAGCACAATTTAATGATAATCTCTTCCATTTCAGGTACTTACAATTTGACATCAGCCTTTGTTCTCCTTAGAATATGAGGTTTTAATAAAGAATTCAATTCTGTAAGTGTAGTCTTTTTGACTTCTTAAAAATCTTCTAGATCCTAATTATTGAATAAAAGATTTAATTATTCTTTTTTAAGTTATTTAACTTTTTAAGGAGCTATGAATTCAATTAAATTAATTAGTTCTTATAAATTGTTTTATAATGGAGTGCCTGTTAATAAGATAATGTGCTGACTAGAAAATTGTGAACAGACTTTAAAGAATTTAGAATCATTATTTTTTAATCTGTGAGCTTCATCTACAATTAAACATTCCCAATTAATTTTTTTAATTATCGCTTAATCTATAATAGCTATATCATAACTAGTGATCAAAACATTAAATTTACACACATTATTGTTATTACTATAATAAAATTCTTTTGCTTTAATAATATCTCTACTTTCTTAATTTCCTGTATAAACTATTACATTAAAAGTTTCTGCCCATTTTTTTAATTCTTTCAACCAATTATATAAGATTGTAGCTGGTCCAATAATAAGAAATGGTCCTGACTTTTTATGTTCATATTATAAAAAGTTCAAAAATGAAATAGTTTATATAGTTTTTCCTAATCCCATTTCATCAGCAAGAATTACATGATTATTGGTTTCATAGGATTTTTATAACCATTATAATCCTTATAATTGAAACTAATGTAATTAACCTCCAGTAATCCATGCAGGTTGATTCTTTTTAAATTTGCTAGAAGGCACTTTTAAAAACTATTTCATGAATTAATCATATTCAGGAGTGCCATAAGTTTCTTCTAATATTTTTGATTTTAGGAATCTTTTAAATTCATCTCTATATTTTTCCATAATGAAGTAAGCATCTTCCCAACTACTTTCTTCATAAAACATTCTTGACCATTTAATTAGAAATTTATAATTATTTTTAGTACCATATTATGTTATTTTAGGCATTTCCTGATTATAGATTTCTCTCCATGTTTTTTTTTAATCATTTGCTCCTCTTTTGCATCCTATAATTCTTTCAGGTTCTAAATATTCTAAAATATCTTCTTCAATATAATTTAGAGATGTCTATAATTCAGCATCATTATCATTCTCAATTGCATCTTGTTTACCTTCATTTTTTTCAATATAGTTTTTCAATTTCCTTTGATTTACAGTTTAAACTTATGTTTAACTAAAAAAGTGACAATGTAAATATGATGATTATTCAAGTAAAATTAAATAACATTATTTATCTTTGAATTTTAAATGAGCTAAGATTTATCCAACTCCAAAACTTTAGAGACATCTTAAACAACAATGAAATATTAATGGTGCTGTCTTTGTTGGTTTTTCAGCAGATAATAATTATTAAAATAGTTCTTCTGAAATATGTTTCCTATTGACTGGTGATCTAAGAACAGCTTCAAATGGAATATCTTTCAAAATGCATTCCAAATGAATAAAAGTATTACATTTTGAACAAATAATTTTTTCATTTGTACTTTATTCATCACAATAAGGACAATAAGATTATTCATATTAACAACATTATGGACAATACCAAGAACCTGCAGGCATCTTTTTTATTCCAACACATGCCATATGAAATGATCTATAGCATGAATCACAACACAATAATGGTCTATTTTTTTATCTACATTTCCAACAATAGTCTTCATTATAATCTGATTCATATTAACTATCTGATTGTTCATCCTCTTCTTCTTCTACTTCCATTGAAGACTCTTGGCTTAATTTTCTTAGCTTCCTAGATTTTGATGATTTCTCACATGATTTAATAATTTAATCTATTTCCTCCTCATCTTGAAACTACTTTAATTTAATATACAATATTTACTTTATATCGACTAGGTTTCCTCACTCTTTTTTCTTGATTCTCGCGCTAATTATTATTTCTCATTAATTTATAATAAATTAAAAATATTTCACATAATCACATAAATCATTTCAAAATTGTAACCAATTATTAAACAAGCATTCTGTCATATTATCCTCCAGATTGATGATTCATTTAAATCCATTTATGTATAGCCATCTATTCCAATCTCAATCTTTAAGATGGATCCTTTCTTAAACAGCATTTTGAAAAATCTTATAATTCATTAGAAACATATTTAGGAAAATCAACTCTACCTTCAATGATCTTTCTCATTGTATCTTCTTTAGATGATTAATAAAAAGGAGTTATTCCTGTTGTCAATTCATAAGCTAGGATACCAATTGACCATAAATCAACTGAATGATCATAATCTTATCCAGAAGCTATCTCTGGAGACATATAATCAATTGTGCCACAAAAAGATTACCTTGGTTTTGATTCTGGTGAATAGGTAGATAATCCAAAATCTGCAATTTTTAGAAATTACTAAATATATATACAATTATATTACTAGACTAATTAATATATTTTCTGGTTTAATATCTCTATGAATAACTTTCATTTTATGCATGTAGGATATTCCTTCAACAATTTATGCAATATAATTTCCAGCCTTATTTTCACTGAATCTACGATTAGGTTACTTCTTTAACAACTTATATAATTCACCATCTGGTGCATATTCTAAAATTAAAATGATCTTATTTTAAACTTAAATTAAATACTTTAGTTTGTTCTTAGAATACACCAAATAATTTTAGGATGTTTGGATGGTTGAGATAACTCTAAATTTTAATTTCATGGGCCAGCTAAGCCTCCATTTTATATTTGCTGATAACACTTTTTTGAATTACTTTCAAAGCTACCAGCACTTTTGATGTTTTCTCTCTAACTTTAAATATTATTTTACTATGCTTAAAACACATCGCTAAATTTGCCTTTTCCTAAAAATTTGCCTATATGAAATCTATCTGATATATTCTGGTATTTTGGACTTAATACTTCAGCTGCCTTCAGTTGCATTCTTAAAGTGGAATTATGTCCAATTGATGAAATTGGAGATGGACAATCAGTAGTTTCAGGAGTTCGAATAGGAGATTTAGATGCACACTGTCTTAATGCTGGTTTGTCTCTCTTTTCAATAGATCTACTGTTATATGGAATAACTAATGGAGGATTAGTTTTTGGAAGGATTGGATCAGGATTGTTGATTTTATTATTTTCTTCAGATTAAATGATAAGCTATGTCAATGCTGATTATAATCTCATTTTAATATTCTTTATTTATTAATCTATCTTGGTTGTTGATTATACTACTTTTTACCATTCATTGTCTTCAGATTGCATTATTGTATAATAATTTATTGAATATTATTATTTATATGGGAAGTGGGACATCAAACAATCAGTTAAACAATTATAGGTATCTATGATTTAGACTGGTAAGGATGCTATCTCTACTTTAAGAGCCTGAAAGACTGAAAACGGATCCAAGTGATTTTAATCTCAGATGGGATGATACAACTTTGTTTTCACATAAAAATAAACTCAAACATTAGACTAATCTTCTTGAAATAGTCAGAAATGTTCCTTCAAAAATAGTTCTAAATTAAAATCCATAAAACTTATAAGCCTTCAATTCTAAGTCACCAGGGATAAAAAAGCCTTTTCTTGAGTATGTTACTACTAATCTGATTGATGTGGTTAGGAAATCAAATAAAATAGAAGTAAGTATCAATATATTGTATGAGAAAGTAGAAATATCGATGGAAAAATATTTGAGCATTAAGGAATCATAAATGCTTAGCTCTTAAAGACAGAAACAACCTAGAAAATCTTTATAAGTCTAACATACTTTAGAAGTGGTCTAAACATCACATTTAGAGAAGAGTGTAAATGAGGAAGGCATGGCATAAATTAATTAATATACTGTCTTAGAATCTCTGGGACAAGGAGCCTTTGGAAAAGTTAAAAAAGCATAAAATTTTAAAGGCGAAATCTTTGTAGATATATTAACTCGATTTCATAGGCAATTAAAATAGCAAATAAAAAAAAATTGAAAAAGAAACTGCTTTCAAAATCAAGTGCTTATACAATGTTAGAAAGAGAAATAGCTATCATGAAAAAGGTATTATGACTTTTAATTAGATTTCTCATGAAAATGTTGTTCAATTATTTGAAGTTATTGATGATCCAAACAAAGATAAATTATACTTGGTAATGGAATATATGGGAAAAGGAAGTATATTAAGCAAAGGTTTCTTTAAAAAATAAAAAACTACTTCAAATATACTTGATGAAATTGAGGACAAAAATATTGTGTCTAAATTAACAGAGGAACAGTGTCGTCATTATTTCTCTGATTTTATAAAAGGATTATATTATTGTAAATTATTATTCATATTTAGTACATGAATGTGTGAATGTGATTCATAGAGATATCAAACCAGAAAATCTATTAGTCAATATTAACAATTAACTTAAGATTGCAGACTTTGGAGTTTCTCATATTATGGAAGATGGAGGAGATGGAAGAATATCAAATTAAACAGGTACTCAAGCATACTTAGCTCCAGAAGTATTTAAAGGTATGAATCCTTTCTATCATTTAGGATAGAATTTTGATGGAAAACCAGTTGATATTTGGGCAGGAGGTGTTACTTTGTATTAGATGGTCTATGGAAAACTTCCATTTACAAGTTAAAAATCTATGGAATTGAGATAACAAATATTGGAGGAGAAGTAAGAAATTATGTTAATTTAGTCCTCTTTTTCCATAACCATAAGGATTTTCTAGTTCAATTATAAAATTATTACAGGGTTTATTATAAAAGCTTCCTGAAAAACGGTTGAAAATTGATTAAATCATAATGGATGATTGGATTACTGATTTTGGTAAGTAGCCAATTATTAATTAATATATTGAATATGTTGATGTCACAGAAATGGATATAAGATTTGCCTTAACTAGTCTTAATATTCAAATGGCTTTGAAAATAGTTGTTAAATTATTGTATTAAGCTAAAAAAGCTAGAAGAAAAATTGCAGAAAGAAAGAAAATGCAAAAATGATCATAAAATTATCTTTATATTAGAACATAAATTTAATTATTTTGTTTTTAATGATTCATGACATAATGTGGAACTTTAGAATTTATTATTATAATTATGACTTTAAGGTACTCTTCAGATCTAACACTGAACATATATGAAAAGCCTCCACAAAACCCAGATTGGCTTCAAAAGTAGGGGAATATAGATTTAATCTTGAATAAGATCAAATAAAAGAATATGCTTTAAAGAATTCAATATACTANATTTGAAGTTATTGATGATCCAAACAAAGATAAATTATACTTGGTAATGGAATATATGGGAAAAGGAAGTATATTAAGCAAAGGTTTCTTTAAAAAATAAAAAACTACTTCAAATATACTTGATGAAATTGAGGACAAAAATATTGTGTCTAAATTAACAGAGGAACAGTGTCGTCATTATTTCTCTGATTTTATAAAAGGATTATATTATTGTAAATTATTATTCATATTTAGTACATGAATGTGTGAATGTGATTCATAGAGATATCAAACCAGAAAATCTATTAGTCAATATTAACAATTAACTTAAGATTGCAGACTTTGGAGTTTCTCATATTATGGAAGATGGAGGAGATGGAAGAATATCAAATTAAACAGGTACTCAAGCATACTTAGCTCCAGAAGTATTTAAAGGTATGAATCCTTTCTATCATTTAGGATAGAATTTTGATGGAAAACCAGTTGATATTTGGGCAGGAGGTGTTACTTTGTATTAGATGGTCTATGGAAAACTTCCATTTACAAGTTAAAAATCTATGGAATTGAGATAACAAATATTGGAGGAGAAGTAAGAAATTATGTTAATTTAGTCCTCTTTTTCCATAACCATAAGGATTTTCTAGTTCAATTATAAAATTATTACAGGGTTTATTATAAAAGCTTCCTGAAAAACGGTTGAAAATTGATTAAATCATAATGGATGATTGGATTACTGATTTTGGTAAGTAGCCAATTATTAATTAATATATTGAATATGTTGATGTCACAGAAATGGATATAAGATTTGCCTTAACTAGTCTTAATATTCAAATGGCTTTGAAAATAGTTGTTAAATTATTGTATTAAGCTAAAAAAGCTAGAAGAAAAATTGCAGAAAGAAAGAAAATGCAAAAATGATCATAAAATTATCTTTATATTAGAACATAAATTTAATTATTTTGTTTTTAATGATTCATGACATAATGTGGAACTTTAGAATTTATTATTATAATTATGACTTTAAGGTACTCTTCAGATCTAACACTGAACATATATGAAAAGCCTCCACAAAACCCAGATTGGCTTCAAAAGTAGGGGAATATAGATTTAATCTTGAATAAGATCAAATAAAAGAATATGCTTTAAAGAATTCAATATACTACAAATGAATAGATTTAAGTAATTAAAATAATAATTTTAAGGAAGTAGACCCTATATTACTTAGAAGTCATAGGTTAAACAAAAAATTAAAAGAATTTGATCACTATAATTAAGAATAAATAGAAAAATATAGAAAGATTTTACAATCTGATAGGGAACAAATAACAAATGCAATGTCTCAAAGAAGAAGAATGGGTTCGTTCGTTAAGCATGTAAGAAGCATTAGCACAACAGTTTTGAAGCCGTACTATTTATATTTTTATCAATAGACACATTTAAGTCAATAATATTGTAAATCTATAATATAATGAAAAAAAGGTGGAACATCAAGTTATTTCAAGATAGAAAATTAAATCAATATAAGAAAATAGAAAAACTATAGATAATTGTTCTAAAAGACTTCAATAATTATTTAAAGAGGATTCGTCCAATCATGTTTCTAGAGTATAGAGCCATTTGGAATAAAGATCATAAAAGAAAAAAAATTCAATTGACTTAATTCGAAACCTTTATTGATTTGATTTATATATACTAAATTTTGTTTATGTATCTTTTTAATGTAAATTTTAAAGCCATGAGATCATGAAAAATTCAAAGCATAAATTACTTTACTTTTTAAAAATGAATACTTCTACTTCTATTACTAATAAGAATTAATCCTTCAAGAGAGTTAAAGAAAGACTTGTTTGTGAGGCAATTGAGAAAGTTGAGAGATGGAGATAAATGTTTACTGAAGGATTATAAATCAATAATGGAGAAATAATCAAAGTTACCTTGAATTAAGCTGCAGAAATAGTTGGAATCCCCAAAAAAACGCTTGAAGATTATACTCAACTTTTCAAAAAAGTGAGATTACTCACTGCAGATATATAATAATTTTCTAATGAAAAGATGGGATTTCTAAGAAGCTATTTGAGAAAGAATCAAAACAAACTTAAAAAAAAGCTCAAAGATATCAGACTCAAAGAGCTTGAAGCCTAAAGAAAGACTCAAGAAATAATCTTAGAGTAAAATTTATTACTAAAATAAAAATTGCAAGAAGATCCTGAAACCACAGAGAGTTGTGGATCTCAATAAGAATCATCTAATCTTATGATGTGTGATGATCAAAATTATATTGATACTGAAATATAATTTATATAGGTATTTCAATTATGATATAAAATAGGAGGAAGATTTAAATTTTCAAGATTATGAAAGCCACTAGTATTATTTTAATAGAGTGTCCAATTTCAAATAAGAAGAAGATATTGACAATTATTTCCAATCAACATAATGAATAAGAATAAAATATTTATTTTTAGCACATATTAAATATCGTTTATTTTTAGTTATGAAAATTCTGTTTTTCTTTTGATATTAATAAATAATACCATTCCTTATCAATCATATTAATAAGAAACTATAAAAGAGAAATTGAATATAAACACACACTTCTTATACTAAATTATAAATATCATGTAAGAGTATTTTAATCTAAAATGAAAAAATCCTTTATATAGTAATTAAATATATGATATTATAATAATTTAACAGTATTTTATTGAATACCTTATTATCTATATATATATGGAAATGAGATTATAATAGATATGATGATGTACTACAAATTAAAAACACATATTTAAATTTATTTAATTTCAATTATAAAATAAAACAGGAAATGTATTTATAATATTTTATTTATTAGACTAAATAAAATGAATATTTTCAATATTTGTACTATTTTATGTAATTCTATTTATATAAAATGATAACTTAAATAGCTATGAATAGGAAAGTAAAGTGTTTCAAAGTTGTTCCCTTAAATTATATTGGAATTGAAGCAAATTGTAAAATATAATCATGATTATATATTAACAAACTTTTGAATTTTAAAATAAATAATGAGTAAGCTATTCTTTTAAGATTTCTTATCATGTAGAACAAGATCTATGTAGGAGAGAAAGAAGATTGTTAAAACACAACAAGAAATAGAACGAATAAGTGAAAGAAAAATTAGTGAAACATTAAAATCTAACGAACATATGGTTGACGAGTTAAGACTATACAAAATGAAATTAGAGAAATAGGTTCAAGAGTATTAATAAAAAGTACTGCATTTATGAAAAATAGAATTTAGAATTGGTTGATAAAGTATCATATTTAGAAGTGCAGAATACAACATTATAATATGAATTAGAAACATCTAGATTGAAATTAGAAACTATTGCTAATGCATAATAGTCATCATAAACATAATAAATCAATATATTGAAAGAATAAGTAGATTCATTAAATAAATATAAAACTGAGAATGAATCATATAAGACATAAGTATTTGCATTTAAAAATGAGAATCAAAACTAATAGAAAGAAATTAGAGAATTAATAGAAACGAATGCTTCTATTAAATCTTAATATTCAAGTATAATGAAAGAGAATAAGAGATGTTAATAATAGTTAGATAATAGTTAAAATGAATTCTACAAATTATCTGAAAAGGTATAATAATAATTTATAAAATTTAGTTCAATCAATTTGAAGCTATGTATCATAGTAAAATTAAATATTATGAGGAACTTCAAAAATAATATGAATTAGAATAGTAAAGAGAAAAATATTAATATTAAGAGTTGGTTAGAGAGTTGCATCTATTAGAAAATGAAAATTAATAATTATACAAATAGTTATAAATTAGTTAATTAGAAAAAGAAGAGAAAGATAAAAAGAGAGAAGATGAATAAAATTAATTAAAATTAGAATTACACAAAATTTAAGATGAAAATAAAATATTGGAAAAATCTCATAGAACTTTAAAAATAGAAAAAAAAGTGATATATGATAATTAAAATCAAATTAAATAGAAAATTAATAAGATGGAATAAGAATTAAACTAGAAAGAGTAAATTATAAAAAAAATGGAATAAGAATTATAAGAAAAGATTCTAATAATTAATTAACTTGAAAATATTGCTTATGGATTAAAATAGAGTGCAGAGGAAGGAAAAGAAAATACTAATTAAACATTATTATAATATAAGGATTTAATGAAAGAATGTGATTAATTGGAATAATAAATAGCAAGATTAGAATAAGATAATGATATTGTAAAAAAAGAATATGAATAAGTTTTGTATGAATTAAAAGATCTATAAAAAGAAAATAGATAATTACAGGAAAGAAATGCTTTACTTATCAAGGATAATTAATAAATTTAAATTGAAAATACTAATTTATAAATGGAAATTCAAAATTTAAATTAAAGAGTTGTAGAATTATAATAATATGCTGTTGAATTTTAAAGAGAACTTAAAGATCACATAGAATAATAAAGTAAAATAAATCAATAAAGATCTTTTTAAAATTCTTAATATTTATAAAATTCTGCTACTTTAAGTAATCAAAGAAATAGTTATAATTCAATTTAAAGAGGTACAGATGATTCATAAGCTATGGGCAATTAATCTCCATTATCTAATTAAACTACTACAGTGAATTAATTGAAAAAATTAGTTAAATAACAATGTGTAGAAGGAAATCCAAATATTGGTCAATAATCAATTGAGAATACAAAAAGACATTAAGCAAGAACTGATCATTTTTCTAATTCAAGTAAATTATAAACTGATAGATAATTTGATGATCATTCTAAAGAAAATTGTTTATAAATATTATAAGATAAATACTATGCTTTAAGGAACAGAATTTATGAATAAAAAAAATGAAAATTATAACTTATTAATTTATATTAGTAAAAAAATATAAAAAATCAACAATTTTTATGTTTAACTCTTAATGGGTTTAAATCTTGTTCTTAATGTTTTGATTTTATAAGTTTTGGTTTGATGCAGTTATGATTATTTGTGATAATGTTTAGAGGCATTCTTAGATTTTATGTAACTCTAGTGACAGGAGGCATAGATTTACAAGTAGAAAGTGTAATAGGTGACAAGGCTCTTGAAACACTTTTTGTATTGCTTAATGAATTATTTTATAAAAGATTATTGAGTTGACCATATGTATCAATCAATAATAGATTTTAATTTTCTTCAAGTAAACCTTATAATTAATGTGGACTAGGGAACATAACCAAAAAATTACTACAGAGGATGCAAACGACATTGTTTTCTCATATATAAAATAATAGCCATAGCCAAAATCTTAGTATTAATTTACATCAATTAATGTATTTTGTTTACTTAATAGACAATTTTTGAATGGTCTTTCAACATTTTACAACAAACAAAATTAATTATATTACTATCCATAATTCCATCATTAGAGTCTGTAGAAAATACTACTCCTATACATAAGAGACTTTAAACTTATTCATATAATGTGTTGACTTTTAGTTTCCTATTTGAATAATTATATTAAATTACCAATTTAATGTTTTTAAAACTAAACATTCTGCCTATTTATATTCATTTTTATTTAAATTTTAATCACTTACTTTAGATAATTTGCTCATTCCTGGAATATGTAAATCATCTTCAATCATTTTTGAACTGACCATCAAACACAATAATGATATTAATTTTGGATTATGATTTTAAAGTAATTTTTAACATCTATCTAAATAATGAATGGCTAAATGAACAGTTTGATCAGTTAATTATAGGTTCTGTTTAGTTTAATATAGAAAATCAATTAATTCTTCTCTACGTTCATAATTTGTATTTATGTTGCTTAGATCTTCATAAATATTTTTAGCTTATTGATGACTTTTAAAGGAATTATGTTTATAAGCAACAGATCCATCTTTATAAATAGCTATTCCACATAATTTGCATATGTTTTTATTTGGTTTATGTTGACAGTTTATCATTCGTTAAAATTAAATATATATATAAAAATATCATAAAGCATGTATACTTTTGCTTACGACCTTTTTTTCTTCTTCTGGGTTTTTTCGTTTCCAATTCATATTTTTTATAAGTTTTTTAGCAGTTCTTTTTGCCATCAGAATAGTCCAAAAATCTTCATGTTATAAATTATTCGCTTTTTTAGGATCTTTCCTTCCCAAAACTTCAAAATGTCTTTATTTTTATAAGTGAAAATCCGTTTATTTTCTTCTCATCTCCTCCACTTCATGTTATAATCTAAGAAATGTAGTTATATCTTTGCAATCTATATCTACATATATTTCTTTGTCTATTTTATATTCATCCAATTTAACTAGGCTATTATTTGTTAATTCTGAATTTTGACATAAACTACGTAAAAACTGAATTTCTTTTTTTTAAGTTCTTGTTTAACTTCTTTATGTAGGAACTTATTTTTAGGGAGAAGGTTAAGGAGTATAGATATTCTAATTAATAGAGTATTTTAATACCATTCCTAATTTTTTGATCGAATGTAATGCACGAGTTTACTCTTCTTTTTCACCAATACCTTCAGAGTTTGTAGAACTACTAGACGAGGAGATATTGAATTCGAATTATTAGGCTTGTTTCTCACCTAATATTTAAGCATTTTATCTATTAGAACTTCTAGATGCTTAATTATTTTTGGTTTTCCTGGGAGGTTTTAATTGTTATTTACTTTTTTCAATAAGAGACAGCCTATGTTCGATTCTGATTTGAGATCTGTTGTTGATAAAGTCTTTTGATGATCTCATCTCTTTACTAACTAATGATTGAAACTTAAATGCTCCTATGCCTAATTAATTATCCATTAAATGAATTAATAGGCAGAAAAACTACGTCTTTATGCCCAAGAGAATGTGGTGTTTCTACTCTAAAAATTGATGGAAGATATACTAGCCTCATAGCCAAAAAATGTGGTATAATGAAATCAAAATATTAGATTGATTGGTCAATTGCTTGGTTAGATAAAAAAGGAAGAGATATTGTTAAATCCAGATAGAAATAAAATGCACATTCATCATCCTCTGATGATGAAATAATAGAATTACCTAAAAGACCTGTTGCTGCTAGGAAATAAAGAGCTTCTATTTCAGCTGAAGCATATGGATAATATAATAGAAAGGAGGTGTATATTTAATATTAAAATAACAGTCATTTTAACCTAGAGTGATTGTGAAGACTCAATAATAGAAGGAAAATATAGGTAAAAGATTAGAGTAATCATTCATGTTTGCATCACTTGATTAAAGAGAAAAAGATATAGTAATTGATGCAATGGAAGAACGTAGTTATAAGTAAATATTTGATTTGCAATTTTAGTGCAGAGGATTGGGTAATTAGATAAGGAGAGAATGGGGATAATTTATATGTTGTAGATCAAGGGGAGCTAAATTGTTTTAAGAGATTTACAAAAGATAGTGAAAACAAATTTTTAAAAGTGTATTATCCTGGAGAATCATTTGGAGAGTTAGCCTTATTGTATAATGCACCAAGAGCTGCCTCAATTCAAAGTAAAACTAATTCTGTCTTGTTTGCATTAGACAGATAAACATTTAATCATATTGTTAAGGATGCAGCAATGAAGTATATATTAAATATTATATTTTTAGAAAGAGGGAAAAATATGTAAATGTTCTAAAGTAAATTGAATTACTTTCAATGATGGATCCATATGAAAGATCTCATGTTGCAGATGCAATTAGAAGTGCAAATTTCTAAAAAGGAGATTATGTTATTAGAGAAGGAGAATAAGGAGATATATTTTATATGATAGAAGAAGGTGAATTGATAGCAACTAAAACATTGATTCAAGGATAAGAACCAGTTAAAGTCTTTTAATATAAAGAAGGTGATTATTTTGGAGAATTAGCCTTACTAAAAGACATTCCAAGATAAGCTAATGTTGTTGCTTAAGTAAATTGATATTTCATATATTAATAGACAGAAGTTAAATTAATATACTTGGATAGACATAGTTTCAAAAGAATGTTAGGACCTTTAGAAGATATATTAAAAAGAAACACTGAGAAGTATGAAAAATATGAGTAATATTGGATCAACTAAGGTAAATGAAAAATTGTTATATCATTTAAATCTTTCCCTTTTTTTTTTTGTTCCTTTTCAATTTTTAAAAATAATTCTCCTATTTCAAATTATATCTATTTTTTATGTTGATTTCTCAATTAATTGATACTCTTCATTAATAAATAAATTATATATATATATTTAAAGTATAAAATGAAACAATTTCTCAAAATGAATAAAATTAAATAACATTTTCAATATAAAACTGAATTATTAGAAAAAAATGATTTTACCTATTATTTGACAAATATTGAAAATGTAATACATGTACTGTTAATATAAAGATTATAAAATTCACTTAAAAATTTATAACTTTATATTTTTTTGATTTTTTATGCCTTATTATTATATTGCATATCATTCTTTCAATATTACAATATATTATAAAGTGTAATTTGTTTATAGAATGACTTAAATACAATCTATTTAGTTTTGAGTCTTAATAAAGAATATATAAATATTAATTAAACTCATTTAAAATAAAAAAACATAATTTGTTTTGATTTCTAAGTTTTTAGGTTTATGGATGAGTGAATGTATCTAATTTAAATTAATATCTCAATTTTCTCAATCAAATGTCTCAATCATTACCTATTCATGCTGAATAACGCAAGTTATTTGTTTTGTAATAAGTCAATGCACTTGAAACTCTCTTTTAGAAGTGGATCAGCTCCAACAATCTGAATGAAGAACATAACCTATCCTCATAAATCGAAGAGTAAGTCACTTAAAGTTAAACAGCCACATATATTTCTCACTTTTAAGGTTTCTTAACTTACCTACGTTAACTGAATAATGATGAATTAGAGTGCCACACAATTAAATCTCTTTAATAGCACTTCGACTACATGTAATAGGTTCTAGAGAATGAAGTTAAACTCTATTAATAACGATAAATTCTCAAGGATCAAAATCAATAGGACAATAAGAAGGGCCATAAGTTTTCAAAAAAATCTAACATTATTCTCAAAGGATGGTTATATAAGCATTTTTCATACCCTTACCCAACAAAAGAATAAACAATTCAATTAGCTGAGAAGTGCAATCTTACATGCAAATAGGTAGCCTTTTTATTTAACAATTAGATTTAAATTTGGTTCATAAATGCAAGAGGAAGGATTGCCAATAAAACTTATGAAGAAAAGAAATTTAAAAATATTGTTAAATATAAATACTTATCAATAAATAAAGTATAAGAGAAACCAAGAGAATGAATTTTATAGATTAAATATAAATACAATATTTTATGACATTTAATTAGGTCTTCTTTTTAAAATTATTTTATATATAGATATTGATTAGGCTATTCAATATTAATTAAAAACCTAGTATTTTTTAGTAAACTAATATGAAAATATTTCATATATCAAATTTAAAAGATCAAGCATTTTATTAGTTATTTATGTAGATTAAATAATAAATATTAAATATATGTTAATTATCAAGATAAGTAAGTGAATTCCTTTGCTTTAAGTTCATATAATTTTGAATTATTGATTCTGATTTTCTACATTAAATCTGTCATCTCTTATTTTAAATGTTGTTTTTATTATTCAGATAATTAATTATTCTTTGAGAATTATTAGAATTATGTTTAGTAATTATTATTTAATCTAAATGCTTCTTTTTCTACTTCTATTATTTATTAAAGCAACAATTTATATTCAAGATCTCTTGTTGATGTTTATGGTTATTATAAAGGATGTAAATCATTTTATGATTGAGATGTAGTTAATTATAATGTCTTATCATTATGTAAGGCATTATAAATTTCTTTTTTATCATCATCATTTAATTCTGATTCCTCATCATAATTATTTCTCTCCACTTCTATTTTTTATGATAAGTCTTAAATTTAAAGGTGAAATTAATTTATAAGTTCATCATTCATTTATTTTAACTATTCTTATTGAATTTACAATTATTCTAATTAAGATTTTAAGTTTACTAATTCTTAATCTTTAAAGAGTAATTATTATTTTAATTATTTATTCAAATCCTCTAAATCTTCTATTATTTATTCTTATTCTTATAATTATTGATTGTAAGTATTATTTTTATTTCTTAATTCTTACATTGCACATGAAACTTCTTCTTATACTTATTACATTTAAGATTCAAAGAAACTTTTAATATCATTATATTATTTTTATAGCTTTTAAATTTCTTATTTCTAATGATATACAAGATCCTTATATGTATTTTCTAATTCTTTAATTTAATCTTATTAATCTTACTTTTCTTTCATTAATATAGTATTTTAGTTTTTCATTTCTTGATATAATTTTTATTAATACTGTAATTACTTTTCATATTATTATTCATTATCTTCCAATAATTATCTTTGATCTAATTTTAATTTATTTAGCATTTATCTCTCCTTTTTCAATTCATCAAGTGTATTCTAAAGTAAAGAATCTTAATCATTTCTACAAACTTCAATATTCTTATATCTATCATTTTACAATTGCATTTATTATTTCATTTCATCTAATTGTAATTTATATTTTCTATTGATTTAATCAATACATTAATCCTTTTCTTATTTTAATTGATTTAACTATAATTCATAAGATTACAATAATTGTTTATGGTCTAAATCTAAAACAATATACTGTTATTATAGATTTTAATAGATTGTATTGATTTCATTTATAGTACTTTATTAATTTTAATAATTTTTTAACTGCTCTTTCAAACTATCATTTTCTGTTTTAAGCTCCATATTTTTTTTTTATAAAGCCTATAGAGCTTATATTTATGAATTGCTTCTTTAAGTTGTTTTGTCAGGTGTTTAAATTCTTGTATGATAATTAGATCGTTGATCATTTGAGATTGAAAATGAATTTTCTTTGTTAGTAGAATTTTAAAGATTAGGTAAAGGAGCTATTTAAGCCATATATTAATCAAAGATTTTTTGAACTTTCACACTACTACTTCTAATAGAGCATGTTGATGTGTCGTTGTCCATTTTCTTATTACTTATTTAATTTAAATAATATTTAGAAGTATATAGCTAATATTAATAAATATATAATGTATAAGAAATTTATTAACATTTATTCTAGTTCAAATAGATGTCTTTAAAATATAATTATTATACATTAATTCAAAAACTTAATTATTTCTAATTATTAAAAACCTTTTTAATTGGAATTATTATTATTATAAATATAAATCAAAATAGAATTCTGTAATGGATGAAACATTTAAGATGGATCATTATTTAAGGCCAATTATTATTATGAGAATAGATGAGCCTTAAAATGAATAATTATTAAAAAAAAATAAAAACAATAATGATACTTAATGGAAAAAATATGAAATCATTTTAGAAAAATTTCATCGAGATGCAGCTGCTGCAGAAGAAACATTAATCTAATTTGCTGAGCCTAGTTCCACAACCACTAATATTTAGACTTTTATCATAACATTTTATTCTCTTTATACTGCAATGACACTTGGATGGAATGAAGAGCGCATTAAAAATGAAATAGATAGATTAGCTAAAAATGAGAGAATTCCTAAAGATATTACTGATTTCATTGAAAAGAATACATAATATTTCAATAGAGCATATTTTTATCTAGAAAAAGACTCTTATTATATTGACATTGAAATGAAATTACTCTAAGAATTAAAATATCGTAAATTTGGATAAATGCATAATCTAACAAGCATTGAAAATTATGATAGATAAGATAGTATTATGAATGAAAATAAAACTTTTGTTAAATTTAAAATAAAAGCTAATGAACACTTTAGTGTTAATAGAGAATTAGTTGAAGATTTCAATGTACCAGTTAAACAAGAATTTGATTATCTAAAGGATTTAGAAAATACAAAATAAGATACATAAAAGAAATTATAGTAATTTAGAATGAAGGCTATCTATTAATTATATAGTCATTAGAATAGAGCATTAAAAAAAATATTCTAAAATGATAAAGCTCATTCAGGTGTTATTATTTTACCATGTGGTGCAGGTAAAACTCTGCTTGGAATTAATGTGGCCTTAAAAATAAAGAGAAAAACACTCATTATATGTGATTAAGTCAATGATGTTTATTAATGGTAAAAGTCTTTCATTAAATTTACAGAAATGGATAAAAACAATTTGGCAGTTATTTTAAGAACTTAATAAGAAGTACCAATGGCAGTCTTAGGTAGAGAACATATTATAGTAATTACAAATAAGGATATGATTTCATCAAATAGAAAGGATATTAAACATGTTACTACTTTGGAATGGCCATTATTAATTATGGATGAAGTTCATGGTTTACCTGCAGAATAAATAAATGCTGAAATTTCTAAATTGAAAGCTAATATGAAAATTGGTTTAACAGCAACACCATATAGATAAGATAATAAAATTAAAGAGATTTTTTATAAAGTAGGTCCTAAATTACATGAATCTATGATTGTAGATCTTAAATAAATGGGATATGTGAGTAAAATATATTGCATCTAAGTTTATGTTGGTATGTAAGATCTATATAAATAAAAATATGAAGAATATAGAAGAGTCAATAATCAATTTGTTACTAATACTTTATATTAAATGAATGTAAATATAAAAATATAAATAGCCAAAAAAATTTGAAGTTTTATAAAGTCTAATTAATATACATAGAGCAAGAAAAGATAAGATTTTAGTATTCTGTGAAAAAGTTAATAAATTAGCAGATACTGGTACTCTTGAGAAATTTGCTAAACTTAATAATTGTCCTATTATTAGTCAAAAAGTTGAATAAACAGAAAGATAAGCTATTTATAAATTATATTAAGAAGATAAATTAGATGTTATTATTTTTGGTTAAATTGCTGATCAAGGTTTGGATTTACCATCTGCAAATGTAGGAATTCAGATTAGTTTTAATTTTAAATCTGTTAGATAAGAATTTTAAAGAATGGGTAGAATTCAAAGAAAAAAAGAAAATTAAATTGGTGAATATGATTGTTTCTTTTATTCAATTGTAACTAAAGGAACAAGAGAAGTAGAAATACAATTTGAAAGATAAATTGCTGTAATTAATTAAGGATATCCTTATGAAATAATTTCAGCAGAAGAACTCAAACCTCCTTAATTAGAATCAGATAAAAAATTATTATTAGATAAAATTTTGGATGAAATGTAAAAAAAAGTTTTAGAGACATGCACATAAAAAGGAGATGAGGATAAGGAAGAAGATGGTTATTGAAAAGTAATATAAAATATAAAATATTATTAATAAATTATTATTTTGAGAAGAAATCATAGATTTAAGAAGTCTACTTATATTATATATCTATAAAGCATATATAAATTAATTAAATCAAATTAGTTTTCTTTTGTATTTATTATGAATTGCACTAGAAAATAGTTTTTTTTAAGATGATTATAAATTTGTAGCAGGTTTCTTTCTAAATCCCATATTGCTCGATTATAATGTTCTAGTTTATGGTAATAATCTTATTGTTTATTAAAAAATTCAATTTACTTTTTTTATGGTGTTAAGTGTGTTTCTACTTCATCTTCCCAATCTTAATCATCTATCTCTCTTTAGAACTTATTTTTAAAAAATTCTATTGAAAGTTGAGGATCTTTTATCAATTCTTCTTATTCTGATACAGTAAGTAATTGATTTATATCCATCTCCAGAGTTTCTTTGGGTAGTAAATTAAACAAATTATTAAAGGACTTCTTGATCCACATCTTTGAATTGTTGAAATTTTATAAATTAGATTCTTTGGCTTCCTCTATTAAAATAATATTTGTTTAAATCAGTTCTTTTAGAATAGACTTGTCACAATTCATATTTTAAATTTAAATCAATAATACAAAAATTATTAATAATTTAATTACAATGAATGATACGATAGATAATGAATTGTGTTTACAAGAAATGAAGGAAATCGAGAAAAAAATTCTTAAATATTTATGTGAATAGTTAAAACTTGAGTAACTAACAGATCCTCATTTGAAACAATTGAACTATGAGGACTCAAAGAAGAAACAAGTATTCTCCTTAAGATCTCTTGATTCTGACACTGAGACATCAGATAATATTTCTACAACTCCAAGTATTCGATGCTCCTTACTAATTGCTCGATCTCCTCTCATTTTAAAAAGGTTAAGTGCTTCTGTCTCAGAATAACTCTAATGATGATTAAATATATGTTTTATTTTTAAACTATTTCAAATCCAACAGATTCTCATGATAAAAAGCTAAATTTGTTATTTTAAACATAGAGGATTCAATAAAATTTTATTTCCATTTTTAGCTAAATGGAATCTTTAAGAACAATCTAAGAAGAAGTTAAGATTATTTTTTCAACTAAAATAAGCCTAATATTATTCAGAGATTATTTCGAATTTAGCTTCCTTATCATAATAGTCTTAACTTAAATTACTTAATATAACTATTTCAGATAGTTAAAAATGATATTACTTCGAATTATTAGAAAAACTTTTTAAATTAGAATAAAATCTCTGAAATCTTTTAATTTCATACATCATATGATTATTTCATAAAAACAAGAGTCTAATTTCAAATGAACTCGTTAATGATTTTCTTCTAGGTTTACAAAATTAAATTTTATATTAGTATTAAAACTTTTATATTTTTTGTTTATATACATCTTTGACTGTTTATCTATGTTACTTTATTTAATAAGTTTAGGATATTAATGGATTGGATGAGCTTTTTCATTGATTGTAAGATGATTTATAAGTTATTAAGATTAATAAATTTACATAATATACATAAATAATCATATTTTAAATATATATATAAATGATTTCATTAATTTCAGATTTTTATAGGAATTAAGATTTAAACACAATTTTAATATTAATTTATGGACGTCGAATAAGAGTTTGATTTGTTTGTAATAGGAGGAGGGTCTGGAGGTCTTGCTTGTGCTAAATAAGCAGCCAAATTAGGAGCAAAAGTTGCTCTGGCTGATTTTGTGAAACCTTCTCCTTTAGGAACAAAATGGGGATTGGGAGGAACATGTGTCAATGTAGGTTGTATTCCAAAAAAATTAATGCATTTTGCTGCCACTTTAGGAGAATTAAGACATGATTAAGTCGAAGCAGGGTATTTTTAATTTTAAGGATTTCTAGATGGATTGACACAAAAGTGGATTCAAAACACAATTGGGAAAAAATGGTTGAGAATGTGAATAATCATATACGTAAATTGAATTTTGGCTATAAAAATCAATTAATGAGAGAAGATGTGAAGTATTATAATAAATTAGCAGAACTTATTGATGCTAATACAATAAAAGTAAAGAATAATAAATATTCATAGTTAACAGATAATAAAGGATAAATAGAAACAGTTAGAGCTAAAACAATTGTAATTGCAGTTGGAGGTAGACCATCATACCCAGAAAATATTCCAAATATCTAAAAATTGGTTATAACATCGGATGATTTATTTTGGTAATAGGAGAATCCTGGAAAAACATTAGTTGTAGGTGCTTCCTATGTTGCATTAGAATGTGGAGGATTTTTACATGGAATTGGAAATGAAGTAGCAATTATGGTGAGGAGCATTCTATTAAGAGGATTTGATTAAGAGATGGCAGAAAAGATTGGAATATATATGGAAGAGAAAGGAATTAGATTTATTAGAGGTTGTGTACCTGACATGATTGAAGCAACTGAAGATAATAAGAGAAAAGTAACTTGGATAATTAATGGATAAAAATAAGAAGAAATATTTGATACAGTTTTAGTTGCAACAGGTAGAGTAAGTGATACCTAAAAATTAAATCTTGAAAAAGTTGGAGTAAATATGAATAAAAATGGAAAACTAGTATGTTCAGCAGATGATAAAACTTCTATTCCTAATATTTTTGCTATTGGTGATTGTGTAGAAGGTAGACCAGAATTAACTCCTACAGCTATTAAATGTGGATAATTATTAGCTAATAGGTTATTTAACAAAGCAACTGAATTAATGTCCTATGAATATGTTGCTACTACTGTATTTACTCCTTTAGAATATGGATGTATTGGATATAGTGAAGAAGATGCAATCAAAAAATTTGGAGAAGATAAAATTACTGTTTATCATTCAATATTCAAACCATTAGAATGGAATTACTTTGAGATGCATTCAGGTGAAAGTTGTTTTGCAAAATTGATTGTTTTAAATGATAATCGTAGAGTTATTGGATTTCATTATCTTGGACCTCATGCTGGAGAAGTTACTTAAGGATATGCAGTTGCTATGAAAATGGGAGTAACAAAGGAATAATTTGATTCTACAGTAGGTATTCATCCAACTTGTTCTGAAGTATAAATTTATTATTATTTAAGGAACTTGTATAAGTAACAGCAGTTAAAGGAATTGATGATGCTTAAAAAGAAGGTTGCTGAGGTTGAATCCCCTGGCCTTTATGGCTAGGGGATGTTTTAAACAAAAACTTCACCTAACCTTTAATAGAAGTATTCTGAGGCTGATTTTGAAGAAGAAAGACATTTGTTTGTTTTAAATTAAGAACAAACTTTATGAAACATTTATTTGAAATAGAGAATAAATAAATGTTGAAAAAAGATGTTTTTTGGAATTGAAATTTGTTTAAGAATATTTCTCACAAATATAAATTCAATTTTTATAGTTTAGATTTAAGTTTATAAGAAAATAATAAGATTATAATTATTTTAGGATAACAAAATGAATCAATTTAATAGTTTTCCAAGTTGTTTTCTTCCTTCAATAACTAAATTATGTTGATTTCCCAATTGAGTAAATAATTCTATCAACTTTTTTTAAGCCTTCTTGTCAGCCCAATTCTTATCCATTTTAACAATCTAAATTAAATTAAATATATTACATTTAGTAGTGTTTTAATAGCTAATTCATAATTTTTTGCATTTATAGCCTCCAAAGCTAAATCAAAATAAAGATCTTTATCTTATGGATTATCATTTAATCTTTCTAATATTCTTTTAATTTCAGGAGTTAAAGATTATAAGTCTTTAATCATTTAAAATTAATCTTATACTAATTAATATAATTATTTAGTATTCATATCTTCTAAATCATCTTTATATTATTTATCAAATAAATCAAGAGTTTCTTAAATTTTATTTGAATCTTCCATTAAAACATATGCTAATGCTTAGAATAATAAATATTTTGGATGTTCTTTTTTTATGTTTTCTCTTGCTAATGCCTCTTTTGTTAAAGTCAATAATCCTTAATAATTTCTACTTTAAAATAATCCAGACATTTATTCCAATATCATTTCTTCAATATTTTCACCTCTTAATATTCTTGATATTTATTCTACAATAGACATAAATCTATCAAACTTTCCATTTTTAAAATATCCATCCACAAATTAGTTATTATATACTACACCAGCAAATGGCACAGAATTAATTTATAATTAAGTGATTAAATTTGGATGTTTATCAATGTCAATATTGATTATTGTTGAAACATCTGAATATTTTTCCATGTTTTTAGTCAATACTTCTTTGAATTCTTTGCATTCTAAAGACCATTAGGCAAAACAATAAACAATGATAATTTTCTAATTGCTTTCTTAAACTAATTAATTAAAATGATCTGTATCAATAACATCTACATGTTATAATTTATTATCCACTACTATGTTATCATAAAATTATTATGCTTAATTCTTCAATTTATTCATGATTTCTTCTGAAAATTTAGGATCTTAGTTTTATTGACTAAACATATATAAAGCTGGAGCATAGAATTTTAGACTTTTAAATATTGGAGTTCTAAACAGTTTTCTGATCATAATTAAATTATATTAAGAAAAAATTAATTAAACAGAAATAAAAAAATGAAGAAAACTAATACATAATTTAGAACTATATAATTGTAAGTAAATCTATTATATTGAATTGAATTTTAATATTATGAAATATGTATGAAAATTGATTATTGACATAATTTAATTTTATTAATTATTAGTATGAATCATTAAGACAATGCAATAAAAGGTGTACTAAAACAATAATTAATTGTTGATTCTGAAAGTGGTCCATATAAAACAATTCAAGAAGCTATAGATAAGGCAGAACCTAATACAGTTATTAAAATAGCTCCAGGACTTTATTCATCTAATATTGTTATAAATAAACCTGGATTACGTCTAGAACCTAAAGATAAAGTTGGAGACATAATTATAGTTGTATCATCTAAACCTACTATTTTGGTTGATTTAAAAAAAGATGAACGTTGTACTTTAATTGGATTAAAAATGTCACATAGTGGAACAAGTGAAGAAGTTGAAGAATTAGAAAAATTAATTGAAGGTTAAGAAATGGCAAAAAATCTATTTGGAAGTCATGAAGATGGAGGTGGTGGTTTAGAATAGAATCCAGATGAAGAGTTTGTAAGTAAGGTACCAATAGAAACATCTATGAATTGTGTAGTATTATTAAATGGAGGCAAATTATTTATGGAAGATTGTTTGATTGCATTAAAGTAACAATTATTTAAAATTTAAGTTTCATTGTCAAATCCTTTAAAGGTATATTACCAGGTATAGCTGTTAATTAAGGTGCTGAAGCATTATTCATTAGATGTGAAATCAAAGGAACTTCATCAAAAAATTAAGATGCTAAGACAATAGGAATTTTAGTAAAATTAGGAGATTTAATAATTAAAGATAGTAAAATACATAATCATACATATGGTGGTATATTATTATAATAAGGTTTATCAAATAAAAATGTTCGTGTTATGAATAGCAAAATAATATAAAATAAAAAAGTGGGAATACATGTTGTTGGATCAGATGCAATTCCTTAAATAGAATAATGTAGAATAGAAAATAATGAAGGACCTGGAATTAAAGTAGGTATTGGAAATAGAGCTAAGATTTATGGAAATGAAATAAAAACTAATGTAATAGGAATAGAAGTATTATCTGCTGATCCATAAATATTTAATAATAAAATTGATAAAAATTTTACTGATGGAATATTAACTAAAGTATTTGAATAATTAAGATGTGATGGTAAGATTAAATCAAATTAAACAATATCTGGAAATAAGGAAAATGGTATTCATTGCACTGGATAAAATAATTATACAAGAATTGAAGCTAATACTTTTATAGGATATAATAAAAAAGCAGGAATTAAAGCTGATACTGAAGCTCGTATTTCAATTCATAAGAACAAGATTTCTAAAAATTTAGGTTAAGGTGTTTTATTAGTGGAAACATCATCTGCAGTAATTGAAAAGAATGAAATTACTGATAATATTAAAGCAAATATTGCATTAGGTGGTGCTAATTCTGTTGATACATTTATAGTCGAAAATAAAATTTTAGGAGGTAGATGTGAAGGTATATTCTTAATTGAATGTGGAAGATGTTGGATATTTAGAAATACTATTGCTGAAAATGTAATAAATATTTTTATTTAAATAGAATGATGGAATTGTGTGTATTACAGCTGTACCATCTATAAGAGGAAATGTAATATAAAAAAATAAAAGTAATGGGATAATGATTCTAAAAGATAGTAGACCTGAAATAATTGAAAATAATATAAATGATAATGATGGAATAGGATTGTTTATAAGAGATAAAAGTCATGGAAAAATACTCAATAATATTATCAAGTCTAATGAGATTGAATTAGTTGTTGAAAGGAGAAACCCATCTTTAGAATCAATTGTATAAGAAAATAAAGTTTCTGGAGATATTAGAATCCCATAGAATTATGATTGCACAATTTAATGAAAAAATATAATACTTTAATTTATGTAATTTAAAATGCTTTTTAGCAATTAAAAAAGCTAAATAATATATATATTTATAGATTAAATATAAATTATTATCTTAAATCCAAATGAGAGAAAGAAATTTTACTTGACTTTTCATTTTGCAAACTAGACTTTATTGTAAGATTTAAAAGACTTTAAGGTTTTGCCTTTTGCATTTGATTGCATATGAATATAAATAAGGGCTACTTGCTAAAAAACTTTATAGTGATATAGAAATATTGATAAATTAATAGTTAATTTTAATAATCAGAAAAAGAGTTACAAGAATAAAGTTGCCTAAGTTACTTAAGAAGAATTTGTATTATTATAAAACAGATAAAAAATCCTCATTTTAATTGAATTTTGAAAGGCATTTACAGATGATTTTCCATATTTCTAAAATGTGTTTAAATGATGATTTCCATATTATTATTTTCAAATAATTTAATTCTACATATATAAGATAAATTAAATAAAGAAATTTATAGAATAAAAAAATCAAGTATTCACTGTTTTCAATTTTATTCCTATGATTGTATAGGTCTTATTTAATTTTATTAAATACGCCTATATTTAATGATTTATTATATCAGGTAGTAGATTAAGTATAATAATGTACCAAAAGTAAATATTAAGGATATGATCCATCCAGCTAATACACTTTTACTAGATAGAATAATGAATGCCCCAAAATAGAACTATTATTAATATATATTTATATACATAACATAATATTAGTAATAAAGATCTGTCAACTATATTAAACCATTTGATATATGAGGGATCAAGTCTAAAATGGAAATAAATTAAAGCACTCATCACTGCAAAAGAGAAAAGCATTTAGTATTAATATGCTTATTCTTACAAATTTGAAAATACTGAACTTGACCCTAATATCAATAATTTAGCTTATATATATAAGACTACAAAATTTGATTTGTATTTTAGATCTAAGGAACGATCCATGAATTGAAATGTAGGTTATAAGTATGTTGAAAGAGGATAATAAATTCCACAGCCTACTATTGCTAAAGATATATATAAAAAATGTATGTCACTCATACATTCTACTGATGGCTATCTTACTAAAGTATATGGATATTCACTATAATCACAAATAAAGGCATCTATGTATGTCTTCATTACAAATATAAATTATCCGCTAATAATTTATATGGTTTTACTTAACCAAAATCTTAAACTTTTGATTCCTGCTATTGATCCATCCTCATTAAAACCAAATGAATTATCAGCTATTTATTTACTAGCTTATAATCCTAAAACAATATAAGCAATACTCATAACTAGAGCTAAAAAGAAGAAAAAGTTGTATTCACTCCAAATAGCAGAATAATCTACCATTTTTATAGGTTTAAATTCAGAACTCTCTCCAAACCAACCTACTTAAGAATCAAATGATAATGTTATTAATCCATAAAGATCATAAACTCTTAAGAATGCAGCTAAAAGATTTGTTATTGTAAGTTTAAAATGGAATTCTTATTCATTTGATTTTTTATCAAATTTATTAAATTCATCAACTAAAACTCTACATATTTTTTATGCTATTCTACTCCAATCTTCATTTATAGGATTTGCTTTAGGTTCTATAGGAGCAATTTTACTATAGAGATCTGCTAATTGATTCATTAATTTTTGTGTATATTTTTTAGGTGTAATCCAAATAGCTATATGTATTTATTTACAAATTTCCCAAATCTTCTTTTCCCATTAATGAGGAATTTTGTTTTTGTAATTATTTTCAATCTCTAATATTTTCTATTAATATTTTTAATCAAGATCTTTATATTCAGAAGACAATATTTCATTTAATTTATTTGTTTGTAATTGCTCTGGTACTAATATTTTATTTAAACATTTCCTTTCTTCTTTAATTCTCTCAATTTTTATAAAATTTTATTCTTAAATCACACTTGAAACATCCTTAAATTTTGTTATTTGTTAATAAAAATCAGGATGATCAGTAACCAAATGATAATAACTTTATAAAGCCAATTTTTAAATAATTTCTAAATAAGAATAATTTTCATCTCTATAATTATCATAAATTAATAAGGCAAAGTCTTCCTCTGATAAAATAAACCCTCCATTATTTTCTTCAAAACTTTAATATTATTTTAATATTTCATAATCCTTTTCTAATTTTAAAATCTCTAAGATATTTGACAAATCACCTTTATTAAAAAAATAATGATAAACAGCTATCCAAAATCTTTCTGCTCTCCTAGAATCTACTTTAATAGGTTAATATTAATCAAGATATTTATTATCTTATTATAATATACTTGAATGTCTTTATCTTATTCTTCTTTTTAATTCTATTTTTTATTCAAAACATTATTTTTATTTTTTTAATTCTTATAAATCTTTTTATTTATTAATTTCATTTTATTCCATATCTTCTAAATCATAATAACCAAATTTACACAATAAACAAGAAAATAAACAATCTTAAACTTGATATAAACATCCATGTTATTCTTCTTAATTTTTTTAATTAATTGTATCTGCAGATGTTAATGATACCATATCTGTTTCATTATCACTTAAAGATTTTCTTATTTTTAATCTTTTTCTTTCTTATATATATTCTAATTTCTTTTTATTTTCATAATCTTATTTTGTTACAAGAATAAATTTAATATTATTATTTTCTGCAGGTTCTGGATGTTCATACATATTTACTGGATCACCTATAATTAAATCTTTTTCTAACTTAATACAATTTCTATGTTAAACATATCTTACAAATAATAAAGATGAAATATCTTCTGTTGCATATACTCCATTTTCAGAAAACTCTTTCATAACTGCTCTAAGTACTTCTTTCTTTTTCATTTCTAATTATTCTTTATTTAATAAAACAGAATAAAAAATAGATAATACTGTAATACTTATTATAATAATTAATATAGAATAAGCAACAGCTAATTAAGCAAATAAAGCAAATTCTGTTGATGAATTTTCAAAATAATTTGCAAGAATAGGAAATATAGTTCCTATTGGACCTATTATAAATGTCCAGCCTACAATAACTACTAATGGTTGAATAAATTATTAATAGATAAATGAATCTTATTTTAATGAAATCTAAAATTTGTAATACAAAAATGATAAGGGTATACCAATTGTATTTGCTAATAAAGCATTCTTAGTTACTTCACTTTCAACAGATTATGATATTGGTAATAATACTATAAATGGAAGTAAAATACCTACTGTAGTAAAATCCTACATTCTATTTATGAACTTTTAAGTATAAGTTAAATTCTCTTATTAATCAATTTTTTATTATGTTTGTTCTTTGACTTCAAGAGATAAAGCATGACTTGTTAAAATAAATAAAATTGTATGTATACTCAATAAACCAATTATCTAAAAGTATAAATAATAATTTACTGTTCCTTTTTTTGTTCCAGTAGCTGTAATTGGTTCATTCCAAGCAAAATAACAAATTAAATAAAAGGATATTATAAAACACATAGAATTATACCAAACTGCATAACTATTTAAATTGATGTACTCATAAACAACAAATTATAAGTTTTCTGCTTATTTTGGTAATTTTACTAAATAGATTAAAACTACAATAATATAATAAATGATTAACAATATTATTGGAATAAGTCCAGCACTAGCCAACACAAATGCTCCTATCTCTAATCCTTTATCATTAAAATAAACAGAAAATGTTAATAAAATACCAAAAGGTAAAGCAAAAGAAAAACATGAAAAAAGCATTACAAAAAGTTTTTGATTTCTTTTTTCAGATTTAAAGAATCCTACTGTAAGCCACATTAATGATATAATTAATGGACATATACCTATTAATCTAGAAATTGATTTTATATATTAATTTTCAATTGTCAAACTCCATATTTTAATACATATAACACTAAATATAGCACCAAATATTAAAGGAATGTATAAATATAAATTCTATTTCTTGAATCTTGAATTACTTATACATATCCCAAATATTATAAATATAGGAATAGCCAAAATTAAAAATCCAAAAGTAATGATCTATTCAAAATCATATGATTTTAATCCTATGATTAAATTAGCATAACAAAAAATTTCAATAAAAGCATAACAAATTGTAATCATAATTGGAACAAATTTTTGGAGCTTTAACTTTTTAAATAATTATCTTGATCTTTTATTCATATTATAATTAGAAAATTCATTTTTAATATCGTCATCTGCATACTTTTATAATGATAGTTAATATAAATCATATTTTATTGTCTTCCTTGGTAGATTAAATAATCCTTTTAATAGAAAAATTGAAAATAAAAATATTACTATAAATGTAGATGGAGCTATTATTGTTGATATATTATCAATAATATATTCTACTTATGTTGATTAAATAAGAAGTACAAAGGCTATTATTTTAAAAAGAATGAAATATGAAACTAATACACAAAAACTACAATTAAATAAAGTAGCTATAACTGCTGAAGAAACTTTTCTAATATATTCTAAAAATCCTCTATTTATTAGAGAATTTATAAAAATTACAAAACTTAATATGCAATATCCAATCCCTATGTAATCTTATGAAAATCCATCATAATTTCCAAAAATATTAAGATGGTATCCTAGTAGAACAAAAGCAGGAATTATTATTAAACCTATAAATAAAAAGATCCAAATTAAATAGTTTTTAATCTATTAACAACTAAATTTTTGATAATTTATTACATTTATGATGATATTGTATATAAAAAAGCATATACAGGCAATTGATGAGCTATTTATTAACGTATTGTATCATTTTTTATGATTTAATTATTTTCTATTGCCTAAAATAAATTTCAATTTTACAATAGATTCTGAGAGAACACTGAAGAATGTACTCCAATACACTATTGTTATGATAAGTTAATTTAAATCAAAACTTATTTTAAATTGTCTAGGACTACAAGTGAAAAATGCATTAAATCTGTCTTCAAATTCATTATATTTTTGTAAAAATAATTCTACATATTTTGGGTATTAGGAATCTTGAAGTTGTTTCTTATTATCAAGAAGAGCACACAATTCCTATGCTTCATCAGTCTCTGGGATAAAAAATTTGATGTTTTAATCTTTCAATTTTATAATACATTCCTGCTTATTTGTTTCTTATTCGGTACTGAAAACTATTTAATATTTTGAAACCTATTCATTTGGATCAGATATCTGATTGTTTGATTCTTCTTAATTAATCATATCCTTAAATTCTATATAATATATTAATTTAAATTTAAAAAAATAAAATGATTTCATAGTATTGCAGTCTTAATGATCATTTATCTGTTATAATATTCTCATATTAATTTTTAATGATTATTTATATCAATTTTTCTTTGCAAATCTATTAATTTATAAAAAAAATGTTATGATATTTGTAATCTCTATTTTGTTTTTCAATGAAATTCTTTTTGTTTTTCTACTCTCTTTTGTTAAATTTTCATAATATTTTCTAGAGTTACTACTTTAAATTTATTTAAAATATATTTGCCTTTACATTTATGTAGCACAATAGTTAATATTTTTTCATTTAAAATCCATTTGTTCTGTTTTTATTTAACTAATATTTTTTTTTTATTTGTTTCATTAATAAATTGATATTTTGTCTACAATAATTCTTTTTTATTTAAACCAATTTAATATAAACTTCTATCATGTAAGCTACTATAATTATCCATATATATATATTTTTTATTGCTGTATTAATCCAATTAATGATACCAAAAATTTATAAAAATCAATTAATTATCTATAGCCTAACCTATAATTCATAATTGCTTATGCTTAATAATATATTTTCTCTATGACTTCTTTATTTTCCTATTTAATATTTCATTAATCCCTATCTAGAATATTTTTTAAGCAAGATCTTTATCTTGTAAATTTGAGAATGTTTAATCTCTTTATCTATCTTTAAGTAAAAGTGTAATGCTTTAAAGCTTATTATAAGAATTTCTAATAATTTCAAATCTCTTCAGCTTATTGAATTTTTCTTAGCATAGCTCACTATTCTGAAAGATACTACTAGAGATTTTCATTTCTTTATTTAAATCTTAATTCCATTTATTTTAAAACAAAAGATTAAAAAAATAATATATTCCTATAATAATTTATATCTATGTTTTAAATCATGTTGATTTTTATTATAATAGTATAATATAAATGAAAGCATTTAAACAAATAAACTTTCAAATAGCTAAGAATAATTCTAAACAAATTTTATGTAAACAATCATTCAAATGTAAAAATATTATTTTTTAATAATAAAATGATATTTGAGTTAATTAATTATTAATGATTGTTATGTTATCAATATAACCCATTTTTCTTTGCATAAGGGTTGTTTTATTGATAATTATCATAGTTTTTTGGCTTTCCATCTTAAGTAAATAGACTAAATGTACTAACATTAGAATGAGCAATTTAGTAAGCTAATATTTAATAATATTTTTATACATGCTCCACCACCAACATTACAAGCAGGTCTACCATAACCAACATCATTATAAGAACTTTTAGTTGGTTATTAGTATTATTTTTATGGCATTTGAGATATTGGAGACTTTTATATTATCTTTGTTTATTATTATTATTCTAAATTTGGTTATTTATGAGTTGATTTAACACTTTATGAATAACCTTTTTGATTGTACTATTATTATTAATATTATTATTATTAAGAGTGTGTTTATTTATATTATTATTATTATTTTGATTAAGGTTGATTATGAAAATTTTACTGATATTAATTGGTCTTACCATATTTTGTAGGTTGTTATTTATTTGACATACCATATGATTAACCATATTATTGATGACCAAATGGATTACCTCTTCCTTCTGCTTTTTCTTATTATGCAACTTTCCTCATCTCTCTTAAAGCCTATTAAAATTCAAGATGTTCTTGTTTCCATTTACCAGTTTATTTGGGTCTTAAGTATTTGGCAACCCTTTTGTTCTATTCTTATTATTATTCTTTAATTTTTTAAATATCTGGTTCTGGTCCTATACAAACAGATTCATGTTTTCTGATTCTATCAGGATTAAATCTTCTTCCACATTTTCTGCACTAAATTGTTATTTAATAATCATACTCCAACAAGAGCCATAACTTATTATGGTTATTCTTATAAAAACTGTTATGATTTTTAACCAATCTTTGTTCCTCCTTATTACCTTACTTATTTCTCTTGGTTCAATTTTTATAAAACCTACTGTGCTAAAAGGTAAATTATTTATTATTACTAGTAGGCATCTATTATCTATGACCAGGATCCATATTAATCAAATCATTTTAATACTTTTTGATACAAGTTTTTTAATGAATTTCTAATGAAGCTGTTCCAAACTCTCTTCCACAAATTGTGCCTAGAAATTGATATATTCTGTACAAAGCAATGATTTTGGACGAACTGCAAAACCTCCTCCATTTAAATAATTCAAATTGTTATCATTAGTTTTTTAATTTGTTTTTCTCATTAAATTATTATTATAATACACAAAATCAAAAATTAAATGTTTTAATACTAAATAAACTCATATCTGCATATTATAATAAGATATATAGATATTTTATTATAGATTTATAAATCTTTTTATGACAATGGATTTTACTCTAAATCTAGAATTAATTCTATTGTATACAATGATGATCAAATATATAATAATTATCTCTTTTTTATTAATTTTATGCTTGAATGTTAACACCTAAAACATTTTTAGCTTTTTTATTAATTGATTCTTATTTTAATTCTTATTAATCTTTATTTTCTTAAACTTTTAATTTATATATTTCATAAACAAATTCTCTATCTTATTTCTCTAATTCTTAAACAAATTATTTAATTTTATCTGTTGATAATTAGATCTCTAACATCTTTTTATAAATTAAGTTAAATTAATTAATTCTACTGATAACTATTGTTCTTTAAATTTAAATTACAATATTATGCATTAAATTATCAAGTCAAAATTTTGATACATTTTTTCCTACTCTCTTATTTAGATGAGTATGAGCTATAAGATTAAATTAACATTTTATTTTTTTCTTACATAAAACAAAACATTTCCTATCCTTCTTTTTTGTGCTTGTATATTTATTTCATCCTCTAATTATTCAAATTATTCGTTATTCATTTGAGTACTTTTTTTATGATTAGCTGATTATTATCAATCCTAAACTCAAATAAATTGCTTAATCTTATATTTTTTTAAAGAATAAACAATTGCTTTTAATTTTTTAAGCAGATTATTAAAATCAACATCTCAATATTATTTATTTTCCCTACTATATTTTTTATCTATAGGCTATTATAATATATAATTATATAGTTTATGAAGACCTTATAATTATAGATTACTATGCATTTTATATAGCAATTATAGTCTTGTAGAGGAGATCATAATCTTCTAATATTCTTAATATCCATAGCATATGATTTTAACATATTTTATTTTTATAATCTAATATATTTATATGAATAAAATAATAAAATATAATAATATTATTTGAAATCAAGGTTCTAAGATCCTTTACATTATTTCTTTATCTGAGAATTTTTAAATATCTGATAAATCTGCTACATAAAAACATTCATTCAATCTAGCTGTTCTTAATGTTTTAAATAAGTATTTTATCATATATGTAGCTAATAATTGATGTCTATTTAAAGTTCCTAAATTAACAGAAAAATTCGAAAAATGTTCTTCAAGTAATTATATTAATTTTATCATATCGAAAGTTAGTGACTATATATCTTCAGGTGCATTATCAATAAAAGCTTATTTCATCTATTTCAATTATGTAATACAAAACAAACCTCTTTCATCATTCAAAAACTTCTGTTATTCTTTCAAAAACTTTGAGTTTTCTACCTAAATTAACCAATTAAATGAAAAACATCTTAATTTTTAGCCCAAATCTAAAAATTATTATTCAAATTTTTAGATAAAAAAACTAAAATTAAATGCACTTCTTGCAAAACTTAGCTAATTCAAATATATTCTTTAATTAGCTTCAAACTCAATTTACAAATAATTTGTTATTAAAAATCTTCTATAATCAGTTTATTCTGGTTCTACTTCTACTAATATTCCTGCATATTGTCTTTTAGAATTCTCTTATTCTTACATAAGAGGATTCTAATATATTTCATCCCAATTTATTCTATTTTCTTCATTAATTTACAAACATCCTTAAATTAATTATTATAAATAAGTATTATCTAATTGAGGTACAATAATTGGTTTACAAATTTTTTCTTACAATTGAATTATATTCTCTGCATTTATAGGAGGCTTTTAGAATAGTAACTCATATAAAATCATGCCTAAAGACCATATATCACATTTAGAGGTGTATGGTTACCTTAAAATAACTTATGGTGCCATATAAAGAGGAGTGCCTGCAATACTTGTCATTAAATCATTTTCGAAATCAATTTTCTTTGCAAATCCAAAATCTGCCAATTTAGGTATTCCTTAATGCATAAGTATATTGGCTGGCTTTAAATCTCTATGAATTATAGAGTTTAAATAGAGTTAATGATAACTAAATATATTTCACTTAATACCCATTTAAGATTTATTTTAAGATATTGATAACAGATTTTGAATCTAATTTACCTTTTTTTATTATATCTCTTAAATCCCCACCATTACAAAATTCTGATATAATATAAAAATTGTTTTGAGTTTCATAGAAATCTAAAAATTTAACAATATTTTTATGATTAAGTTACTTCATAGATCTAATCTCATTTAGTAATTGTTAAGTATTAGTCTAATTTGTTATTTTATATACGTTACTTGATTAATCATTCTTCTATCAATCACTTTGATTGCTACAGGCATTCCATCATTTGAGATCCCCTTATAAACTGTTCCATATGCCCCTCTACCAATTAGATGATTCATATTGAATGAATATTTTCCAACAATCTTTTACATTTTATGTTAATAAAATTAAACGATAACATTTGTATACAAAATAATATTGAATATTATAATAGTATTATTATTATATTACAAAATAGTATTAGATTATTGAATTACTACTTTTGTATTCTAAATTTATATATATTTTATTAAAGTATTTTCTAAATTCTTATGTCTCTCCTCAATCTCATATTTTATATATTTCATTAACTAATTAAGTATAGTGACTTATGAACAATTTTATTAATTTTCCTTTTATGATTAGTACTCTCAAACTGATTTTCCAAAATTATTCATACACTCTTAATTATTTTATAAATCCTTCATTAGGCAATATTAATTTTCTCAAACACCATAATATTTTGTATGCTTGATCAAAATGGCATTCAAAATGTTAAATTAATACCTCATAATAACTATTGTACTTCTTGAAATTCAATTTAATAATAAACCATAACATTTGTATGTTTTCCTATTATCATCAATAATTTTGAAACACAAATAAAAATGATCAAATAATGATTAATCTTCTAAATAAGGGAATGATTTAGAAGATTGAATATAAGATTAAAGCAAATACATTTCATGAAATTCAATCACATTTAAAATTGCACTTCTATATATTTTTTTTATAGCAAATATTGATCGTCAATAAAATCAATATCTCCTATATTAAGTATACTATAAGTATTGGTTTCATTTACCTTAGATTTAAGAATGCAAATCTATTTCGATAATCTAATAGGGTCTTTGTTCATTAAATTATTATATAATATATATATAATCAGTAATGGGTTTTCGTAATATCCGCATGAATTTTCAGCAGACCGTACGTGATTTTACATCATAAGAATATAATTTTATTAATCAGTGTAACTATGACTAAAGTCCATGAAGAATTGTCACCATTTGTGATAATCATCATAAAATAAATTTTTATTAAATTAATAAATATTTTTATTAAAATAATCAGAATTTAAAGTTACAAATCATACCTGTAACAAATATACCTATTTATTTTGCATATTATAAAGTTGATATATTTTCTTTGTAAATATAATCCCTACAAATATCCCATTTCCAAAGTTTCTCTTCTAATTTTTCCTCTCGATTTTCTAATTATATAATTTTTTATTTATTTTTTTCATTGTCCTCTTTTTCAAATAATTTTTTTTTTTATTCTTCCCATTACAATTCATACAAATAAGATACTTCATTAACTAAATTAACAGAAATAAGAGTAAGCCAATCAGAAAAATTAAGATCTACAGGTTTATTCTCAAAAAAATGAATATAGTTTATTCTCATTTTTTTTATAACTTTTTTTCCAAATTTTAGTTATCCATTTGGTTAAATGAATTCTTCTAGTCTTTTTATAATACCTAATAATGAATTTTTAGTAGAAGGCACTATGAATTTTTGATATAATCCTATCCCAACTCCACCAACCACACTTCCAACAACTGCTCCTACAATAGGCATAGGTATCAATATCTATCCTGCAATTGCTGATCCTACTCCTATTGAAGTCTTTACTCCAAAATTACCAAAAATTTTAAATTTATTTTATATACTCAAGACTTTATTTGAAAGTGTATTGTGAAAAGAATATAATAAAAAAGTTGATGCAACCAAATAACTTATGATTGGTAAATGCATAGAAAGTGCAGTAAAGGCTATAGTTTCAGCACTTCCATAACCTGCTCTCTACAGTTTTTATTACCATGAAATATTCTTATCAAGACAATCCACTAAAAATATACCAATTCCTGTTCCTATTGCTCCTGCTGTAAGTATTTTTTAGTTCATTGGTTTATATACAGCTCCTTATGATTTTTTATCTATTTTCTTACAAAATTATTTTATTTTAACCTACATCTATTCTTCCATATTCATCGAGAAATTTACTATTAATTTTGACTATCCTTGATAATCATCATCATTTTATACATTATTTTCTTATTCATATAATTTGATATTTTTGGCATATTCTATATTAATTTCAAGAATATGTTAAACTCCTTATGATAATTTCATATTCAGATTTGAGAATTATTCAACTTCAGTCCATAAATTTTGATTAAAATAATCAAATTAAATAATAATTATTTGATGTTTCATCATATATAATACAAGTTATTCTTTATTATGTAGATATATTTTATATGCTGATAATTTACCCTTTTTTATGATATTGATTTTTTCAATAAAAAGTGAATCTTTTTCTTTTATAAAATCTCTATCATCCTTATTAACAATAATCTAAATTGTTTAAATAGGCATTTTTAGATCAAAAGCCATTCTAATTAATGATGTCTAGAAATTAGTTGTTTTTTATGGAATATTGATTTTTTCTTCTTTATACTCTAAATATGATATCAGAATTTTTTTAATGAATTCAAAATTATTAGCGAATTCAGGTCTCCAAAAATTTGATTTTTCAATTAAAAAATATTATTGAAGTTCTCTAACTAAATATTATGAAACATCTGTTTATATTGCTTAAAATGTTTTAATATTAGCTAAAGCAGGATAATCATCAAAGAGATCATTTACTTTTTGCAATTAATCATTTACAACTATTGAAGTCATAACTATAAACTATTCAATATCTTTATGAATAAAAAAAATAACTTCTTTTATTTTTTCAAAGAGTATATTAAAATCTTCAAATTCAACTAATGCAAACTTATGCATTTCAATTGCTAATTAACTAACTTGATTTTCAATTTACTCTTCTAATACATAATTTAATTCTTAAGGATCGAAATCATTATCTATTAATAAATTAATAGTTTCTTCTATAAATTTAAAAAATTTATAAATAATCTTTTAAACCAAGATCATTAATTATTAAACAAATTGATCACTTTAATCAATCAATAAAGGTTGTCCTTTAAATTAAGATTTTTAAATTTCTAAAATTGTATAAATTTAATTCATGATTTGTTTTTCTATATCTACTTTTGATAACTTTGGCTTTATTTAAATTGAATTTTTAAATAGATCACATACACCTATAAGTATTTGAACTATTATTGAATTTCCAAGTTTAACCTATCTTTATAAACTCATCAATGCTTCTTAAAATTCATCAAGCGTATCAATATAGCAATTTTACTCAATGAAATACTCCCATACGTTTTATAATACTTATTTTGGGCAAAGTAGAATAGGTATTAGAGATCCTGTATTTAAATTCCTTTCAAAAGTATTAAAATAGATTTGTTCTCTTAAATTGTAGGTGTTTAAAAAATTTTTAAGTGTTATTTTATAATTTTTCAAAGGATCAAATTCATTACTCATTTATTTTGGATAGAATGGCAAAGGTTAATTGTTATTTGATATTAAAAAGGAGCACTTTGATGGATCAATTAAAAATTTACTTGAAAAGATAATTACTAATATAAAATGATCTAACCTAGCTGCCAATATTTTAAAATTTTAATGTTAGAAAGTTGCAGGACCTTTGAATTATTAGGAATACTTTTAGCATTCAAAAATTTAATCATCACATAAAATATATCCCTAAATAATTTTATCTTCATCGCCACACCATTTATAGGTGTCTATTAAGAATTCATTGATCATGATATTTTATGTTTTTAATAAAAATTATTCATTTTTAGATTTTAAATCTATCTTATTTATTGGCTGTAGGCTAAGGTACAACAATGGGTTTTATATTCCTAAGAGTTAAGATATATAATTATACCAAATTTTTTGAGCATATTCATGAATAGTTCTATCACTACTAAATTTACCTGATCTGATAGAATTATAGAATGCTTTCTTTGCCCAAGATATCTTATCTTGATATAATTGATCGATCTTAAATAATGTATATTTATATTACTTTAATTTGAGCTTAAGCATAATGATAGAAATCATGACCTACCAAATAAAAATCATTTCTATTTGTTATTGAATCTAATAATCCATGATGATCATGTCCAAATATACCAGATCTAATAGTTTAGATAACATTCCATAAAGGTTTTTGAATATATTGATAAGGATCAGAATTTTTCATATTGTCAATTAATTTACCAACTTCCTCTTCTCTTGCACCAAAAATAAAAATGTTATCAAGTCCAACTTCTTCTGCAATTTCAATATTAGCACCATCCCAAGTTCCTAATATTATTCCACCATTCATCACAAATTTCATATTGGATGTTCCTGATGCTTCTGTACCTGCAGTTGAAATATGTTAAGAAATATCAGATGCAGGTATAATGATTTCTGCTGATGATACATTATAATTGGGTAGAAACACTACTTTCAAATAATGATTTGTATCTAGATCATGATTTATAACTTCAGCAACAGAATTAATTAATTTGATAATCCTTTTTGCATTCAAATATCCAGGAGCTGCCTTTCCTCCAAAAAAAACAGTTCTTGGTGCGAATTTTCTTCTTCCTTCTGTAGGAGTATCTTTTAATAAAAGATATCTGTATATGACATATAGTATATTCATGAATTATCTTTTGTATTCATGAATTCTTTTAACTTGAATATCAAATAATGTATCAGCATTAACTTCTACATTACAATATTATCTAACCCATTTAATAAGTCTTAATTTATTATTTCTTTTTATTTTCATAAACTAAATTAATGCTAATTAATCTTCACATTTATCTTCAAGAGTTTTTAACATATCCATATTAAGTACCCATTCATCTGTGCCTAACCATTCATCATATAATTTAGCTAATTGTTGATTACATGATCTAAGCCATCTTCTTGGTGCTACACCATTAGTAATGTTAATGAATTTTTTTGGTCTCATTTCATAATGATCTTTGAATAAATCAGTTTTCAATAAATCTGAATGAATTCTGGCAACACCATTAACCATATGAGATCCTATGATTGATAAATTAGCCATTCTGATTTTCTTCACTGGACCTTCTTCAATAAGTGAGAGTGCTGATAATTTATGTGTATCTCCAGGGAATTTAGCACTTACTTTATTCAAGAAAATCAAATTTATAAAGTAGATAATTTCAAGATGTCTTGGTAATAAACTACCTAATAAATCAACACCCCATTTCTCTAATGCTTCAGGTAATACTGTATGATTTGTATATCCAAAAGTCTTAGAAATGATATCCCAAGCATTTGCATGAGTCATACCCTCTTGATCAATCAATATTCTTAATAGTTCTACAATAGCTAAAGAAGGATGAGTATCATTTAATTAAATGGCCACCTTTTCTGGTAATGTAGACCAATCTCTTCTTACTTTCTTAAATCTTCTAATAATATCTTAAAGTGTAGCACTAACAAGTAAATATTCTTATTTTAATCTTAGTTCTTTTCCAGCATAAGAATTATCATTTGGATATAGAACTGATGTTATATATTCTGCTTTTTCTCTTGCTTCCAATGATTTAAAATAGTCTCCTTCATTAAAACTAGTAAAATCAAATTCATTAGCTGGTACAGATCTCCACAATCTTAAAGCTATTGTATTGAATGTCATATATCCTGGAATTGGAGTATCATAAGCTCTTGCCACTATTGTTTCCTATTAAATTTAATTAGTATATATACTCCAGCTTCCCATAAAGACTTTTCTTAACCATTTTCATATCTTTTGACTACTTTTCCATAAAATTTGACTGGATATTATACATCCAATCTCTCTATTTCCCAAGGATTACCTTTCTCTAACCAATAATCTGGTGCTTCTACTTATTAACCATTCTAAATCAATTATTTGAATATTCCATAACTATATCTAATACCATAACCAAAAGCTGGATAATTCAATGTTGCAAGTGAATCTAAAAAACAGGCTGCTAAACGACTATAAATTAATTAATTATTTACCCTAATCCACCATTTCCTAAAGCTGGATCTACTTCTTCATCATAAAGGTCTTCCAATTTATAACCTAATTCTTGTACTGCATCTGTATAAGCATCTTACAATCCAAGATTTCCTACAGCATTTTAAAGACATCTTCCAATAAGAAATTCAATTGATAAATAGTATACTCTTTTGCAATCCTATTCATGAAAATACAATTGAGTATCATTAAAACTTTCAATTAATCTATCTCTTATTGAATGAGATACAGCCTAATAACAATGTACTTAATGAAAATCAAATCTTGTTCTAGCAAGTGAAAATTCTACATGATTTACTATTTACTCCTAAATGCTTAATTTAAAATTATATAATATACCTTTTTTTATCAGAAGGTAAGTAATTTTACATTAAATGCCATAATCTTTCATGATTAGCTAAACTTTGTGTAGAACCGAATTCAGGTCTAAATAATTAATTCATATTTGAATTAGACCCACAAAATGATTTCCTAGACATTAAGGTCTTTGATTCACTGGCTGACATCTAATTTTATAAACCTGACATTTTACTTTAAGATATTTATATATAAATTATTTATATACAAAGAAACAATCAATTGTGAAATAACTTAAATTTATTTTAGTCATCATCAAATAGTTGTTAATGTAATTATCTAATGCTTTAATCATCAATTCTAGTACTCTATTTGATATAACTATTAATTTATTTGCTCCTATAAGGCTTGATAATATTAAGATCATCTTTTCCAAAATGACTTTAAATAGATCCAAATTTATATTCAATATTAGGATAATTTTTTATTTATGAATACATAGCTTATTTTTTAACTGAAATTGTTGGTCTCATAGGACTTATTGATTTTGATAATTTACTATTATAATTTTTAGATGAATAATAATTGCTTTACTTAATAGGTGTCATATGATTTTTATTTATCAATTCTGGTATTGGTATTTGATGCCATTAATTTCTTAATGAAATTGGATCTTTAGATTACTTAATAATTTCAACAATCTCATTATTATTAAATCTACTTTAAGTATACTGATTTTCAGATTTATTATAGAATATTCCAATTCCATTTAATTATCCATTTTTAAAATCACCAATATACTTATCTCCTGATTCAAAAATGATGCCTCCTTTACCATCTAATTGCTAATTTAGAAAGTAGCCATATTCAAATTTATTTTATTTCGTATCATATAACACTCCAATTCTTCTATTTTCATTTTAATTTTAATTGATAATTGTACTAAAGTAAAGTTAAGTTTGATTAACCAATTTCCAATTCTTAAGTTATGTTTTCATTAATATCAACTAGGTTATTTAATTATATTACAAAATAAGAATGATTTAATTTATTAATAATGTCTAATTCTTCTTAATCTTATGTTTGAGTATTATCAACAATAATTTCTCCATTGAAATATTCATACTTTATTAATCCTACTTGTTATCCATTCTCATATTTGCAATACTTAAATTTATTAGAATAAATGAGTTAGCAATATCCATGCAAAAGTCCATTGTTAAATTAACCCACTATAATATTATCATTATTAATGAATAATCCCATTCCACTTATTTTGTTATCTATCCATTAACCATAATAAAAAGATCCATTACTCCAATAATAACCTTTCTCTTTTAATAACATCGTTAATTTTATTTTTATAAAACATTTAATAATTTAAAATGATGAACACCATTATTGATCAACTAAATAAACAGGATTTTTAAAGTATTATTTATAATTACTCACATAAGGTTGCTTTAATTCTGTAAATAAGTTTTTATAGGAGAATGAAAAATAGAAATCATTTCCAAAAGAATATATCAAATTATTTATAACCATCTTAAATTCATTAAAGATCATCATAATTGATTAAGAAAATAAAGAATTTAAATTTAAATTGTTTTAAATTCTTAGATTACTTACAAGATCCTAAGATGTTTCACTTAATGTTCAATCTTAAGATTTTATAATTTTACTAGACTTAATGTAAATTATTCAAAAATAGACTTCATAATCATATACAATGATGTAAATAGAAAATTTAAGCATTTAAAAACGATTGATTTATTTCAACAACAAAGTATTTATATATTTATTACTATAATTATTATAGTTGCTTCAAACCTTTAATTCTAAATATGTACACTCTCTCTTAGATTTAATGACTTCTTCTTCAAAAGACTTGAAATTAAGTCTATTAGATTATATTAAATTAGCAATGGAAATAGATGGATTATTAATATAAACTGAAGTTTCATCTCTTTATTATGTTGGTAAAATGCTTGTATTACTTGAAAATAATGATCAAGAATTAAAGATTTAGACATCAAATTTAATTACAAAGTTATTAGATTGCTATCAATTTAGTGAAAACTTTCGTAAATTAACAGGAATGGCAACAGTAATCTAGGAAATTGAAAAGAAAGATAATGATAAATTAGAAGTAAAAATACCACTTTTAAATTTATTAATGAGAATATCCTCTGATAATAAAAATTACACAGATCTAAAAGTAAAAATGCATTACATTTTATAAGTTATATGGCATAGTTGAAATTTTACTCTAAAATTTAGATCATTAATAGTACATGATTGTTACTACAGTTATAAATATTTTTGGTTAATTAAGTTTTGATGATGAATTATCATCTAGGATAGCTTAGAAAGGATTATGTATAAATATTATATAAATATTAGAGAAAATAATTAATCTTGTATTTATGTGTCATCCTCATAGAGTTAAGTAATTAAAATTTATTGATATTAATAAAAAGGATTATCCAAAAGCTATTTTAGAATTATAAATTTATACATTTAGATTATTGAGATATTTAGCTTCTTTAAATAGACATAGACACATTTTTAAATAATTATTTATCCCAAGATTATTATAATAATTTATTGATATTGAAAATTATAATAAAGCTTTAAATGCATATAAAAAATTAGTGGATGATTTCAATTAAATAGAACCTGAAGATTTATTATGTATGTAAGAAACATTGTAATAATCTGCAGAAAACTTTTATATGTAAAATACAATTAAAAAGATTGGAAATTATGAAATATTGGAATAAATAGGGAAAGGTGCATTTGGATCAGTTTATTTATGTAGATTGGGTGGCAATTTCTATGCAATTAAATAAATCAATGATGTTGAAACTTTATAATATAGAGAGGTATAAATACATTCTGAATTAAATCATCCTAATATTGTTAAATTATATGAATGTTTCATACATGAACATTCATTATGTTTAGTTATAGAATATATTAAAGGAATGAATGTATAAGAATTGATAAAATTAATGAATGAGAAAAATTAATAAATAGATGAAGAAATAGTATGGAAAATATTGATAGATCTATTATCTGTATTAAGATATTTACATATTGATAAGAACATTGTTCATAGAGATTTAAATCCTGCAAATATAATGGTAGATTCATCATATTCAATTAAAATCTGTGATTTTGGATTAGCTAAACATTTTTAAGAAGATATTATCAATAATTCATTTGTTGGAACATTAATATACACTTGTCCACAAATAGTAGAGAATAAAGCATATTCTGAGAAAGCAGATGTATGGGCTTTAGGATGTATATTATATGAAATACTTTAATAAAAGCCTGCATTTTAATCTGCAAATCCTTTGATGCTTGCAAAAAAGATTGTTTAATTAGAATATGAATAAATAAATTAAGGGATTTATAGCAATGAATTAATAAATATAGTTTAGTTATGTCTTTA